ACCCATCAAATATGGAATCTTTCTTTGTAAGATCAATAAGTGGGTGTGCAATAGTTGAATAATCGGCAATGAAATGATGGTAGAAGTTGGCGAATCCCAGGAATGATTGAACATGCTTGACGGTCGTAGGTTGTTCCCATTTGACTACTCTGTCTAGTTTGACTTTATCCATGCAAATCTGTCTGGGACGGATGAGGAGACCAAGATATTCGACTTCGGTGGTGTCGAAGACACATTTTTCGGGTTTAAGGGAGAGTTGGTGATCATGAAGTCATTGCAGTACTCGCATTTTTTGTTGATGATGGGATTTGAGGTCTTTGGAGAAGATCAGGATATTGTCCATATAGATGACCATCCATCCTTCGTCTATCATATCCGAGAAGATGTTGTTCATCATTGCTTGGAATGTTGCAGGAGCGTTACATAGACCAAAGAACATAACCGTAGGTTCGAAGAGTCCTCTTGATGTTTTGAATGCGGCTTTCCATCTGTCTGGTCCATGAATTCGAATGTTATTGTATCCTGCGCGAACATCCATTTTCGTGAAGATTGTTGCTCCCTTTAATTTGTCGATAAGATCAGGGATGCGGGGAAGTGGGTATGCATTCTTTACGGTTGCATCATTGAGTCTTCGATAATCTTGACATGGGCGAAGGGATCCGTCTTTCTTTCCTATGAAGAAGAAAGGAGATGCTTGAGGGGATTGTGATGGTACGATAGTCCCTTTTGCCAGGTGTTCATCCACGAATTTGTTCATCGCCTTCTCTTCTGGTGCAGATAATGGATAGATTTTGCAGGATCGTGGTTCGAAGTCTGGTTTCAACTTAATTTTGTGATCAAAGGGTCGAGACGGGGGTAGAGTGTCCATAGCTGCCTTGTCAAAGACGTCCTTGTACATGTGGAAGACTTCGGGTACAAGTTCTTCAAACATCTTTGGCTTTTCTTTGGCATAGGCTTCTTGTGCTAGTTGTTGGGCAACGTTTGCAGCCTTTCGTACGGGAATTGGGGAGAACATGAATCGGGCTGAGTTAGGGACTTTAGAGATTCTGTTTGTTCGAGACACAAAGGAAAAGCAGGAAGGAATATGTTCCTGTGTGAGTGGTGAATCAAAGTTGATTTTTTCGTATACTCCCATGAATTCTTCTCCTTTGACGTAAGCGATAAGAACTTCGTCATCTTGCAGTTCTTCTATTATTTCTTCTGGGTCTTCTTCTTCTTTGGGTAGAAGCTCTGGTTGTTCCTCGGGAATTTCCTCCGAGGGTGCATATGCTTCTTCGTCCAGAATTTCTTCTATTCTGGGTTGCATAGAAGCGTGTTTGTTTCTATCGGAGATAAGGGTTTGGATCATGATTGGGTCTTCTTCTAGCGAGATTTCGCTTTTAGCCCAATCTATAGTTGGGTTTTCATTCTTAAGCCAGGGAAGTCCGAGGATGATGTCTTCGCCTCCAAGGGAGGTAATTAGGAAGGTAGCGAACATAGTTCGACCTCCTGCTGAGAAGAAAAGATTGCAGGCTTTGTTAATGGTTCCTGCTTTGTTCTTTGTTCCATCCACGTTCCGGACTTTGATTTGTGAAGAGAGATTGTGAGTTGAGAAATTGTTCTTTTGTACGTATTTCCAGTCAATGAATGTTCCAGCGGCACCCAAGTCAATTAGGGCGGCTGCTTCGGCGGTTTTATCGGATTTGCAGGATTCGATCGAAATAGGAATGCGCATAGAATTCGAATCGCCTACAGAAGATACAATGAGTCCGATAGATGTACTAGGGGTTTCCGACGCCGGTCCGGTCTCCCCATTTAGAAATCCTTCTTAGAAGAAGAAGGTACTTTCGACGCCTTCCAAGCTTTCCAAGTGAGGAACTCTTGATATTCAGCGTCTTGATTGTCTTGTTCGATCTTGGTTTCACGGACCGGTCGTCCAGCCGGTTTCTGCCAACCGGGAGCGGAGTCTCTATGGTTGGGGCAGTCTTTCATAAGCCCTTTCTTTCCACACTTAAAGCAGAGTCCCAACTTGCAACATCTGTCTTGCTCGGACAGAGAAAGTTGAGTGTTGCGAACTGGAGTTGCTTCTTCATCATCAATGTCGACTTTGTCTATGTCCATTGTGTATGGGTCGTTCTTCTTTGAGAAGCTTCCAGAGTTTATGAGCTGCCTTCTAGATTCGTATTCTCTGGCGGCTTCAATCCACTCCTTGATATCTGCGGGCATTTTCTCTCTAATGAGGATTGCTTCTTGGACTTCTTTCCTGAGTCCTTGTCTGAAACACGTTGTTTCGACGTCTGCATCTATGCATTTGGCTTCTGCCGAGATTCGTTTGAAATAGGCAATGTATGCCGAAATGGTGGAGGTTTGCTTCGCTTTCATCAACATGTTTATGGCAGTGAGTGTGTCATTCTTTGGGAAGAACACTGCCTTGAATTCTTTAATGAATTTGTCCCATTTCCCCATAGGGGTTGCGGTATCATGTTTCTTGTTAATCCATCCTGTAGCCCATTGTTGAGTGTGTCCTTTCTGCATGAATGACGTTGCGAATGCAATGCATTTTTTGTGGTTGTTGTAGATGTCTTTGTTCACTGTTATGTATGTGGAAACGGACGTCCACCAGGCTTTGGCCTGTTTCTGCAAACCATCAAAGATGGCCGGTCTGTTCAGATTGATTTCACCCATTTTCTTAGGTGGTGGTCTAGGTATCTGTGGTGAAGGAGGTGTTGGGAACCTAGGTGGTGGTGGTGGTGGTGGTGGTGGTGGGTTCGATGGTCCTGGTTGATCAGGTCTGTATCCTTCAAAGTATTCGTTCTTATCCTGTTGGATAGGAGAACCTGGTTCAGAAAAGTGTTCTTCTTCTTCTTGGTCTGACTCCGAGGAGTATCTTCTTTGTTCTCTATAAGCCACAATGTATCATGACAACTACTAGGGTAGCGTCGTCTTGTGATAGAGCTTAACCTTTTGTTATGCCGAAGTATAACGCAGGCAAACAATAATCAATAAGACCAAAGGTCTGTCGATACGTTCAAGACAACAATCTTAAGAACATCCAAAGTCAAGTCTAGACTAAGTACCGAAGAGGTAACTTAGAATCAAGTCAGATGTTTCAGAGGAAAACCAGTGTAGGTTAAGCTGAAGAATCAGTGTCACCTAGCTAGGGTTTATATAGTATCCAGGGTACAGGGTATGACATAATAATAGGTATGTATCAGTAAGCACATGCGTAAGCAATGAGGCGTCTGAGTAATACCGAACTAAATATAGCATGATAAGAGACATGCGTAGTAAGTGTGGATCAAGGGAAAAAGAAGCAAGATAAACACAGCCGTAACATGTAGGGCTTAGACGTTCACGCTCAAATCCTATCAGTTGATCATCATCATCCCTGACCGAGTCCTAGTGGTTGTGATCTGACCTTTACCATTTGGTGAACATTAGTCGTAACAGTCACTTCTTGTGAGAATTCTCAGTAGGACCTTGCCTCCTCTGGACACAAGTCTCAACTTGTTGTCACCTCTGACCCTCTGACCCTCTGACCCTCTGACCCTCCACTCTGACTTAGAGCCATGCTCTAAGTCTTTCCCTTATTACTCTGCTCCTATCAATATTCCCCTTTGTCCCTTTTCCCATCCTCCGCATTATCCTCTGCCTTCCCTGCTCCTACCAAAACATTCCCCCTGCTCCTATCCACCCTCCACATCACTCCCCACCTTCTCCGCTCCGCTCCTAGTCGGCCCGCCGCTAGTAGCTCTTACTTCCCGACCCTCAAAGCAGACCTAAGCGGTCCACTCGTCCTATCGTCGGACAATGTTGGACCCGCTCCAAATTCGGGGCACGTACTCGGCTAAGGGCGCAGCGCAAGAGCTGAAGCCAAGCCCCGACCCCTCTGCTTCCTGAGCCAGCACAGTACCTAACAGGTGGGCTGAGGTAGTTGGATATCACATATATGGGTGGGCCCAGATACATATCAATAGACGTATGGGCCGAGGTGGTAGTATATTATATAGATGTATAGGCCGAGGTAGTAGTATATTATATAGATGGGTGGGCCGAGATGGTTGATATTATATACATGGGTGGGCCCAGAAGAATGAGTGTTATAAACATCAGTGGGCTGAGATAGTTGGATAACATACTAATCAGTGTGCTGATGTAGGCACCAGTACATACCCACTGTATGAGTGCATACACCCATCATTGATCACCAAAACGAGAAACACAAAACCCTGAATACAATCTTTCGTAAATGAGATGAATCACCAAATACCAAATACCGAGTACCGAGTTTTGGGGAACATCTATTGAGTTCCAGGTAACGTCTATCGACGTCCAGGTAGCTAATATCAAGTTCTGGGTATTTCGTCAATTGAACAAATCACCGAGTACCAAGCTCCAGGCACCAAGCTCCAGGCATTGAGTACTGAAATATTGAGTTCTGGGTATTTTGTCAATTGGACAAATCACCGAGTACCGAGTACCGAGTTCCGGGCACCGAGCTCCAGGCACCGAGTTCTGGGTATCGTGGTCTGGGCATTGAGCACCGAAACACGAAACTAAAATACAACATTTCATAAATTGAACAAATCACCAAGTACCAAGTACCAAGTTCTGGGCACCGAGTTCCGGGCATCGAGTGCCGAGTACTGAAACCCGGCACTTGGCACTCGGTGCTTGGTGATTTGTTCAATTTACGAAATGTTGTATTTTAGTTTTGTGTTTCAGTGCTCGATGCCCGGACCACGATGCCCAGAACTCGGTGCCTGGAGCTTGGTGCCTGGAACTCGGTACTCGGTACTCAGTGATTTGTCCAATTGACAAAATACCTGGAACTCGATATTTCGGTACTCAATGCCTGGAGCTCGGTGCCCGGAGCTCGGTACTCAGTATTCGGTGATTTGTTCAATTGACAAAATACCCGGAACTCGATGGTTGTTGCCCAGGACTCGATGGTTTAATTCTTTGGGTATGCCAGGGGTACAATGCACCAACAACATTTACAGAAATCTAACACTACCAAATTATGTAGACATTTCAACCTTGCCCAGATGACCCTCATCACCACCTTCAACTTCAACCTTGACCTCAACATCCATGTCATCAGCAGAATCGTATTCCGGGACAAGGTTGTGTGGATCATCCGGCACCACAATGTCTCCGGCAGTTGGGGGAGTAGGTGATGGGTTCAGGGCTAGTTGAACTTGACTTGGCTCAAATGTGAGACCCTTGATGGCAGAGGGATCCTTGATTTTCGAGGGTGTGGGCTCCATCACTGCCATCGAAAGATCAATGAGAGGAGGGAGTGCAGATTGGGAGGGTGACGTTGTTCCAGTGACGGATTGATCAAGCAACAAAGATGTTGCAATTGCCGGAGTAGTGGGAAGGGGAAATGAGGGATGGTGTTCCATGGTTTCGCATCGAAGGCTCTCATGGAGCCTGGTGAGGGTATTGATACGTCTGCCCTGCTCGGCAACAAGATCCTCGAGAGCCTTGATGTGTCCGGCACTATCGTGAATACTCATTGCCATGGAATGGAGGTCCGGGATGGGGACATTGAGAGCTGCACGAGGCATGCAGGCACTCGAAGACGCAATTGCTACAAAGGAATAAGATAAGATGATGATGAGAAATTCGAAAGACTTATGAGCTGGTGCAGGTGAGGGTGTAGGTGGTGGGGCAGGTGCCTTGACAGCAGTTATTGTCTTGCTGTGACCGTGCGTCTTAGGCGTGGTCACAGCAGACGCACTGGCAGTTCCGGCAGCACCGGCACTGGTAGATCCGGCTACACCACAAGGTTGGCTGCAGGTCTGGGCCTTTGGTTGGGAGGTGGACAGAGCTTTGGAAGGTGTCCGGACCTGGCCTTCTGGGTGGTTGACTTACCCCGCGACCGTTTCGGTGGACTTCCAAGGGTGATGGAAAAACACTTTACCTTCTTTGTGTTGCAGAAAACACAGGAGAGAAAGCCTTTCCCAGTCCTCTTGTCGAAATGGGTGGTGCAGGGCAACTCCACGTTGTTGCAAGCCCAGCATGGGTTGTTCTGTTTGTTCAGTTAGTTGAAGGATGCACAATGAATTTTCAAAGTACTCATGGGTCCGGGAATGAGAATGTCATCTGTAGTGATGACAGTTGGCATCATGACCAGGGTGACTGTGGGGGTGTTGGATGTTGAGTCCAAGTCCTCGACGACCTCTGGACAGCTTCCAGCAGGGCCATCAATGACAGTTGGTGCCACCACCGGGGTGGCCACGGGGGTGTTGGACGTCAAGTCCGTGTGCCCGGTGACGTCTGCACGTCTTCCAGCAATTACCTGATGAAGGTATGGATGATGGGGAGTGATGCAGGCAGAAATTGGACATACCTTCGCAGGGCCGAAAGGTCTCTTCTTGGGGACCCAGGGCGAGACTGAGGTGAGACGATGAACTAAGACGACCGGCCCTCCTTGGGCAGCTGGCTGCAAAATAATGAGTGGCAATGAAAAAAATAAATGGCATGACATACCTTGTCCTCAGGTTCGTCCTCAGACTCCACAAACTCGGCTGACTTCACAACGCAAGCTGACTTTGCCCTCTTGCGACTCTTCATCGCGGATTTTGGCAGTTGGGAGGAGGGTCCTGAAATCAGGGGCAATTTCCTCTTCCTACTCCCGTCCGCCTCAGGTTCCGGGTCAGCATCTAATGCCTTACCCTTACCCTTATCCTTACGGTTCTCCCAGGACTTGGCAATAGTGCCGGAAGATGGGCTGGCAATGCTGCCAGTGATGACAGGTGGGGAGGGAAGGTCAATCACGACAGTGTCAGGGGATTTGGGGGCCTCAAGGGGAAGATTGAATGTCTGGTCGCCTAACGCCTCTCAGGCGGAGACCTTGTGGCGCCAGCTGTGCTTCTGGAGGCGAGGATCGTCATGGCTGATGCTGTGCCAGTTGGGCCAAACCTGAGGGGACATCTTCCGAACGTGAAGTAACTCCTTGGAGCAGGACAAGACTATGCCCGGAATGCAAGGTGCATCCTCATGGTCCCGGATGGCCTTAGCCTGCCCGGACATTAGGGAAAACAAAAAGAAAAAAAAGGAAAAATCACATACCACCAGTTCAGTGACTTGTGCTTTCAGAGCCAAGTGGCTGTTGCCGGGTGGGAGCAGCTGAGCCGTGCGGACAATGTCAACAATCTGCCTAGTGATTGCCTTAAGTTCAGCAAAAGAGGTTTCAGCTGGAGTGGACATGTTGAATGATGAGAAAGATGTGTAAATCTTTGAATCAGATGTGAAAATGATGAAGTTTCAGAGGGAAAACAGGCAGTTGAATGACCATGTAAAACTTTGTTGATTTGTTTGGCTTTGTTTGGTGATGGTTCAACTTTTGGAAGTTGCCAGACTTCAGTTGAACTTCAAGTACACAATCAATTATTGGTACTTCCGTCCCTCACAGCATGAATTCACATCCAACAGTCAGATTTAACAATCCTCCAGCGACCGAGTATTATTCAATGGATGTAGATGATTCAACACAGTCCCGGACATCAACAGGTAAAATCTATTTGTACTATGCCTTATCTATGTATTTATCTTACATGCCTTAGATGATTTATACCTTGGGCCAGATGATGACATAGAAGATGATTCTGTGTCATCCAGTGGTCCAGGCGTGTTGGCTGCAATCCCCAGTACATTTATCACTTAGATATTACCATGTATGTTCACTAAACTCTTACAGATCAATTACCTCCAGTTCAATACAATCAACCAGTTCAGTACATCAACCCGGACTTGTACCTTGAGCCTGATGAGGATCTGATTGATTGTGATGATGAGCCAGGGTCTATCTATGCACATTGTGAGTCTCCGGTTGCATCTGAAGTTTCAATGTCATGTAAGTAAATTCAACACATTTTTCGATCGATACTTAATTTATCTCGCAAGCAAATGAAAGACCCACTGAACACGATCCAGCACATCCGGAGCTCACAAATGAAGATTTGTATGTGATGGTTCATGAGTTCCAGCCAATAAGGTCATTTGAACACTCCGGATGTGAGTATCTGGTATACTACTACATCCATCATTTTTCTTATTTTCATTTCAGTGCAATCACTTCAAGATAGACTCAGCAGCTACAAACAAGATAATGGAGGTCTTCCGGTGCCTTCCATACACTACTCATCGAGGCTGAGCGACCATTTCAAATCACTTGGGTGGATACATCTGACAAGCTCCGGAGGGCTGATGCTGAGCTACAGAGGCTGAGAAGAGCTGAACAGGCAAGCATCAAAATGCTTAAGGTGGTAGATTCCATGATTCGTCAGTGTGAAGAACAAAACCAAAACTAAACTTCTGAATTTTTGATAACATCAAATGTAAAGTACCAACTCAGTAAACTACTGAATCTTCGATAACATAGTCACATCACATGTAAATTACCAGAACACCGATGTGTTACATTAATGCCATGTAGAATAAGTCATCTATGAAGAGTTCCAGGTATCAAGTTCCAGGCATCGAGTACCAAACACCGAATATCGAGTTCTGGGTATTGAGGTCCAGGCATCGAGTGCTGACTACCGAGGTCCGGGCATCGAGTTCTGGGTATCAACTTCTGGGCATCATTACAACTTTTTGTGAATTGAAACAAGTACCAAGTGCCGAGTGCCAAGTGCTGAGTTCCGAGTTCCAGGTAACAAATACCGAGTTCCATGACCTCCTGGCTTTGCCCCAAACTTGTCCTCGATCCTCTTTAGCACTTCCTCTCTGTTCTGCTGATAGATCACCTGCCTAGGCGTCCATTTCCTCCCATACTTTATCATGTCCTTCCTTTCCTTCTTTTTCTTGTTGTTGAACACCAAGTCTTATACATCTAAGAGGCAGAGGAAGAATCAGACATGAAAAATCGAGTTTTTCAACACAACAAGGATGTATCACCTGCTTCCTTTTTTTCCATTGTCCTTGGTCGACCTTAGGAGCAAATAACCTGGCTGCTCGAGCCATGGCATTGAAAACTCCCCGTTTCTCGCTCCTTTTTGCAGAAGTCCACTCAGGAAGGTAGTTCTTCAGCTCTGAAATTTCGTTTTCCGTGAGCTTCTGTGACTGTGGTTGACGCGTTCTGTGTCTTCTAGAAGTCAACTGAGTGGAATGACCTGATCTTGCCATGGTGAATAAGATTGCAGAATGGGCTGAGGATAAGCAAAGTGGAAGTAATAATGGTCGCAAGTTCAACTTTGATCCAAGCCTAACAGTTGGTTAATCTACCTATAACGGACGCAACACCATTAATGGAAATGAATTGGTAATGAGCCAACCAAACTGCATAATACGATAATGGAATAACAATTCATTTGACCTTCCTGAGCTAATGCTTTCCTTGCAACATTGAAGAATAAAATGAAGATAGGTCGTTGCACCCCATTGCAGAAATCCCACAGGGTAGAAGCAAGGGGCAGCAAAGGTAGGAAGACATGGGTCAAGGTCCCACTTGCCAGCATGAGACGACATGCCTACAGGTCCATGCCTAACTCTCCCCTGGAATCATCAACACTTGAACCTGTTCAGGCCCCACCTCCTTGGGAAGACTTTCCTGAAGATACTTACGAGCAAGACCAAGGGTCATTTGAGCCCTTGCAACTCCCAAAAACAATGGCAAGTTCATGTAAAATGTTGGAATGTCGTTCGAACAATAGCTAAGTATTAAAAAATGCAGAGTCAGAATGACTACCTCAGGCAATGGCTGCCAAGGCAGGAATCATATCTCCATCACCTCCTGGATCGAGAAGCTCCACCAGAAGATAGGAGATGCGTCATCTGCAACTAGGATGGGGTCTACAAATGTCAAGATTGTCTTGGGGAGCCACTCTATTGCACAGGCCGTTGCCGGAGTCAACATCATTGCAATCCTTTCCACTGGATCAGTCAATGGAATGGTCAATTCTTCAAGCAAAGTTGTCTGGCTCATGTTGGACTCGTCATATACCTCGGTCATGATGGCAAGCCATGTCCGGTAGTCACAGATAGGTGGGATTTGTTTGACGAAGATGAACAAGAAGACCACTTTGAACCTGAAGATTTACCTTCTGTGTCAGGACCCGAGTTCCAGCCCAAGGAAAATACAATGGTCATCGTTGACAAGTCAGGAGTCCATCACCTTGAGGTTCGATGCTGTGATTGTCCCAATGCCATGAGTCCAGACATTCAAATGTTTTGACATGGCTTTTTCCCTGCATCATTTAACAAGCAGAAGACCATGTTCACCTTCAGAGTGCTAGATGATTTTCTGTTGGACAACCTTGAATGCGGCACCTCAGCGATGAACTATTACAGCAAGCTTCGGTGAATGACCTTGAGCGTGTTTCCACACCTTGTTCTGGTAATACCATATCTACATCATCTGAAGCACATTGTATTGAGAAAGCACGTTGCAAGGACCAATACAGAGAGCTTATAAGAGTCGCTCGACAGTGGAGGCAGTTAAAGTCTATGAAATGGCATGGCTTCAGGCATCGTTCTGATAACCCAAATGCCGGAGATCTCGCATTATTCTGCCCGGCATGTCCTCAGCCTGGGATTAACATATCCTTGTCAGGGGATGAATCACTTGATGAGTGAGTCTCTTTTGTTACCAAATCTACGTCAGCGATATTAAAAACTCCAAGCTGGAAATACACCCAGTCATTTGTGATGGATGGAAATTTCAAAGCTGAACACCTGCATCCCATCAAGCCATATGATGAAGTTTGGCTCTCCAATGGGTTGGGGTTTATGGTGGGAAAGGAAAGGTATCAAAAGTATCTTGAAGAGGCTGCTGACACTGTGGAAAAATTGAGCTGCAACAATCATCGGGCTGTCAATCAAGTAAATGCAGCTCAGCACAAGCTGGAGTCCACTGGTATCGGGGGAGTAGCCTGTGCCCGACACAGTTGCTTTGTCCCTCACTCGATGGTAGATTTCCAGAAAGGCGAAAGGCAAGCCGGACATGCCATTCAACATTCCCGAGTTGACCATGCATCGTTTGCAGACAAATGAACATGGACTACGCACTTTGTGAGGCTGCCCAGCTGTTAGGTACCATGCCAACTCAGGAAGCAGAGGGGTCGGGGCTTGGCTTCAGCTCTTGCGCTGCACCCTTAGCCGAGTACGTGCCCCGAATTTGGAGCGGGTCCGACGTTGTCCGACGATAGGACGAGTGGACCACTTGGGTCTGCTTTGAGGGTCAGGGAGTAAGAGCTACTAGCGGCGGGCTGACTAGGAGCGGAGCAGAGAAGGTGGGGAGTGATGCGGAGGGTGGATAGGAACAGGGGGAATGTTTGGTAGGGGCGGGGAAGGCAGAGGATAATGCGGAGGGACAAAGGAGAATATTTGATAGGGGCAGAGTAATAAGGGAAAGACTTAGAGCACAGCTCTAAGTCAGAGTGGAGGGTCAGAGGGTCAGAGGGTCAGAGGTGACAACAAGTTGAGACTTGTGTCCAGAGGAGGCAAGGTCCTACTGAGAATTCTCACAAGAAGTAACTGCGAGAAGACAAGTAATATTAAGACTGAGGAAAATATCTAAGTACATGATATGTTATATACTTCTATGTATGAGGCAGTGATCAGGATAACTATGTTATAAAGCTATGTACCAAGGATATAATTTGTAAGTACTTACACAGGTGAAGACACAAGTCGGAGTGGATATCAATATGTACGTGTCGGATCAGCGATCGAGCGGTAATAGGAATTACTGGTGAACTGGAAGTAAGGGTCTATGTACCGAAAGGGAAAGCATATATCTAAAAGGGGAAAGAGGTCCAGTTGAATGGAGATGTTATGGAAGGGGACTGGTTGAGCAGTTGAGCGGAAATGTAGGAGCGGATGCGGACGATGATTGGGCGGAGCAGAGGATGGATGGAGCGGAGATGATCAGAAAGCGGAGCGGGTATTGATATTAGAGCAGTCGGATCAGGTATATGACACCAGCACAACATGGATGAGATTACAAGGGCTGTCACCTTCTATGACATCAACTGTCAATACAACAAGCACTTGCGTGTTCGGGTGGATCAAGGCTGATTTCTGACAATGGTTCCAGAATTGACCGTCATTCCCAGAATCGGGCTGTGGCATATCCATGGACATCAGGATAGCTGCTATGCCAGATATGCATCAAATTTCATTGAAGGCATTGGTCGCATTGATGGAGAGATAATGGAGACCCTATGGGCACGTCTCAACCTGATTTCTCCTGCTGCTCAGGGAATGTCTTCCCCACATCGGAAGGAATGTCTTGATTTCCAGATGAAGATTCCAACTTTTGCAAGATGATCTGCATGAAGAGGACCCTTTGCCAGGAAATACAAGCAGGCGAAGAATGGCATTGCCGAAAGTGGAAAGGCTTTCGACAGACTCAACAAAGCTGCACCGGCCAACTTAAAGACAGACTGGTTAGCAAGTGAGAGGATTGCTCAGTCCGACAGAATACAAGATCCAGCTGCGATGGATATATATGAGATTAATATCAAGAAGGGTAAGATCACTCTGTCTCAATCGAATTCTGAATTCATTTTGAACCCAGCACCGAGCAAAAAGGAGATAGAGCTTAGACTGCTGCAGGAGGGTAATGCCCATCATGCAGCACCTTCTCGCAGATCTGTGGCAACATGGATATCAATGTGCCTGGCAATTGAAGAGGCTCAAATCACATTGCTCATCAAGGTCCGAAGAATAGGAAAAAGAACTACCAAGACTCAGAGATTAGACATTGCCCGGCAATGCGATCGTCTACAAGGCCAGATAGATGCATTCACTTGGACTGCTCTGATGCATCTGGGAGAGGGATTTGATGCAGATGACAACCCTGATGATTTGAATATAGACATTCTTGATGATCTCAATGATGACCCGGAGGATTTCATCGGGAAATCCGATACATGGACAAACTCCCCTGAGCTCACTGTCATCCCATTGCCATCAAACCTCAGGGTAGATCGATCCAAACGTTGTTTGGCAGAGGATCTGATTCCACTGGAGTTGTTGCTTCGTGAAGGACAGGCCAATGATGCCCTTCACAACCTCCGAATTCACTTGTGCAACAAGGCAATACTCTTCCAAACAACAGTTAGGAAAGCCAAATATCAAGCATTGAAAACCCGAGCTTGGTCCCAGGTGACATCAGTGCAGCAGGCAGTGTCCCTCCATGCCAGCATATATACCAAGACCAGGAAGCAAATGATGAAACTTGAGCTGGGCCAAGACAAGCTGCAAAAATATAAACCCCTGCTTCAGGAGCAGCTCAAAATCAGCACAGCTGTGGGCGATCCTAATGCCCGAGGTCAGCGAAATGAGTCTCTCAATTGGTTCTGGTCTATCAAAGTAGATTTGGGGGGTTCGGATCACTTGTGGAATGAGGAATGTGAGTTCCAGCTTTCTTGACAAATGCCTGTGATCTCACTGGACCTGTGTGAAGTTTACCGAGTTCATTGGCTTCGGGCAAAGGCACTACAGGATTGATGGAAGGAAGAACTGATATTGGTGGAATTGGAGATGGATTGGATGTGTAATTTCTTCTTGTGGAAATCAACACAATGGGGCGACCGGATGAGGGAATCATTGGTGCAGGATGCTCAGGCAGCGTTTCAAGACCTGCAGAGCATGGTAATAGATGCCCGAGATGAATGAAGTATGAATATTTTCTGCTGATGTATGATTTGACCACAACAATTGAGTCTCGGCAAGGGGCCGGGTCAGCCCATGTTGGAGTTTGAATTCCTTATCAATCCATCAGTCGCTCCCATCTGCAAAAACTGTCATTATCATTGCTAGCGTCCTACTCCTGTATTGCTCATGTCTGAATTAAATTCACCTCCTCCATCAACTTTTGCACCTCCTGCATCACCTTCTGCCACTGAGGATTCCGGCAATGAATATAAACCCCCCACAATGAGTCTTGCAGATATTGCAGCTACATTGGCAATGGCTGCATCGCGAGTCCAAGCCTATATCAGTCAATATCAGATGGAGGCTGCCAAGAACAATGTTCCTTCAGCTCGGATAATCTACTTTAAAGCCGGAATCCAATGGGAGATCACTGTAAGCCATCAGACTGATTACTGTGGTCAGCAATATGCTGAGATTGCTATCAGACCTTTGTGACACCGATTCTGCAATACTCAGCTGCAAGGAACATAATTTCGGTTATGCCACCCCCGATCGCTCATATTCTTCACTTGTTTCCTCAGCTCACATGGAATGTGGTGTAGGAAGCCGATCGCTACTAAGCTAGTATCCCCTATCTTTCCGATCCTCTCCGACCCACTTTCCCGTGCTGCCGCTCCACATCAACGTTGTCGATGATCGGCCCAATCAGTCACACTCGATCCAAGTTGGACATCATCTGCACATGCAATCGGTCACTGTCCATTGTCTCATGTCATTGGCCCATCGTCTACTGGTACGTATATCGCTTACTTTCATCGCTTTCCATCCCCATTCGCATAATTGGACCGCTTATTGGCCTTTTATTGCCCCACCTCACACCTTATTACATGGACACAGAGAAACAAGTATTTAGCAATCCATGAGGCATCTTAAGCAACCCGAAGTTCCCCTTCATCGCTTAGTCTCATTTACTATATATTCCGCCCATGTTCTTAGTAGTTTCTCTAGCAAATTCTCACTTGGAATGATTTCTTGTGTGATTTCTCATTGAGTTGTCAGCTGACTCTCTTAAATGTTCGCTCATTGTACTACACACACACCTCCTCTATTCCACTCATTTATCACTCAGGACCACTCCACTTCGCTCAGTTTCACTCTCTCTTTGCTCAACTTCGATCAGCCAAGTCGGCATCGGCATCGACTATTAGGTCGGACAATACGACTTGTTGTTGGTGTTTTGCATTGCACTGCTTCCCCTATAGGGTCGAATGCACTTGAATTGGCCGCAGTCGCGCTGATATCACAGTAGCAACCAAAACCCACACTGGGATTGTACATGAACTCTAGCTGAAGACTTGGCATACTCATGCGAGCATTCAAATAATTACCCACGGTGGTGAGAATATCAAAGCATTCAGGAATGGATATGTGGTCTCGATGATTGGGGGTTTGCTGATGGGAAATGACGGTGAGGGTGTTAAACACGGATGCCCAGTACTGGAGGGTCTCTGACATCCTCAGAAGATTCTTGCTTTTGGCTGATTGTCCGATGCTTAAAAAGGCTCGTATCCCTGCCCAGTACTGCTCAGGATGCATCACCCTGAGTGCGGCTGATGTGATTGCTGCCAGCCTGGCAATGGCTTTGAGAATATTCTCGGAGAATGGTCCGTTCAATGAGGCAGATACTGCTGGGTCTGACAGATTCTACCAGATTAGTCAGTTTAACTATCAAAAATCACCATCTCATGAGATCCCACCTCATGCCCCTGTTGAAACCAAGCCGGAGATAGATTGATGCACCCGGGAGATATGCCATCATTTTCCGAGCTTGGTTTGAACCAATCCTGATTAGTTCACCAACTCCCATCAATCTTTACACTTTTTGCAAGGCTTGGACTGAGCAAATTGGAGGCTGCCAGAATTTCCTTCTGGAGTTCCCATTTCATATTCCATATCCATTGAGTAACAAAATATATTACCCACCTGGGTGGTTTCTGTCAGGGCATCTGGGAGGTACCATGCAATGATGGCGCCGGTAGCATTGAGAACTGTGGCGGGTATGTCGACCAACTTTGTACCTTCATGGCCAGGAGGACACCTCACAAGCAACTTCACCTCTCTTTCTTCATTATGCCTAGTGTCCTTTGGGGAGATCATTTTACTTTATCTTGCAATATCAATCTGCATCTGAACTGTGAAGCAATTTGAATGATCAAATGGACTGTCCGAATCTGTGGGAAGACCCACTGGGATTGTTATATGCCTTATGAGGCAATGCACCAATTGATCACAAGCCATCACCAGATTGGTGTCTAGCTTAGGAGAAGATATGACTGGGTCTCCTCCTGTTTTCTCAGCAATGAGTTTCTGTTTGGTATATTCACATGCCTCATGAGTGACAGTCAAGGCCCAAGTGCGCCAGAAGGTTATTTCAATATTGGAGGTGGAAGACACATTCATGATGGTGTTGATCTTGGGAAATCAGATGGTCAATGCCGGATGTCCACAGACTTTAAAGGTGGTGGAGATAGGGTGGATCAGATAGGGAACCTTGATTTTAGCTTTCAAAGATGGATTATCATTTCATTGCTATACTAATATGTCAATGAAATACTGGATAATTGGAAGGGTGCTAGATATCAAATATTTGAGTGTCAGGACCCGGGACCCGGAACTCCCAGATCCTGGAACTCGGTGCATGATGCTTGGTTCATTCAAATTTTGGTCGTTGGAACTCAGCTTTCAAAGACAGATTATCATTCATTGCAATGTTAGTATGTCAATGAAATACCAGATAATTGGAAGGGTGCTAGATATCAAATATTTGAGCGTCGAGACCCAGGTCCCGGAACTCCTGGGTCCTGGAACTCGGTACATGATGCTCGGTTCATTCAAATTTCGGTAGTCGGAGCTTGGCACTTGGCACTCGATAGTCCCACCCGTCCATATCATATAACAACCTCGGCCCACCCGTCAACATCATATACATCTGGGCCCAACCATGTATATCATACAACACCCTCAGCTCAGCCCACCCATCAACATGATATGTATCTGGGCCCACCCGTGTATATGATAACAATTACCCTTGGCCCTACCCGTCTAAGTGATCTACATAATATCCAACTACCTCTGCCCATCCGTCTATATAATACTCATGTGCATCAGCCCACTCATCTACCTTACTTATTCCTGACATGGGCCCACCCACCTCCACCGGGAATAATATCACTCCCAGCCCATCCATCATCTTTGAGGATATTCATAACATCAGCCCATGGTCCACTGGCCCGTCTTATACAGGATATTATGTATGTCTGTTCACTTGTATAATACGGAGTTAGGTCACTGTAGTATGTGGCCCTGTACCATTAGAGAACCTCCTCCACATTTGACAGTCTCACTAACCTCTCTGTCTGTTAGAGAATCCCCCTTCTTTTTCCACACATATACCTTCCCATTGGACCCAATCCTATTGATTTTGGTCTCATATGACCATATAACATGCTTCAAGTCCTCTACAGTCCAGTTTTGATGGGCCAATCCAAAGGTAGTCTTCTCTGCCTATGTTTGATAGAGAGAAAAGGCTTTTTTTCTTTGTTACTGCCTTGAGATGAGCTGCCTTGAGAACATCCCTCACAGTTTGTGAAGAGACAGTGGTGGTGATGGTAGAATTGATATAATGGGTGGTTTGGATAGCATTATCAGCGTTTCCTGTAGTGATATGTTGGATGATAGCCCTCTTATTAGTAGAGATGGACATCTTCTACAAGAGTTTTCCTTGTCCAGGTGGCTTTCTTTGATAAACTTGGCCACGGTAGACTTGCATACTCCAGTTCTAGAGGAAATTTGATGAACAGAGAGGCCAATATAGGACAAAGAGAGGATATTATCCCTTTGAGCAGAGGAGATGGTTTTCATGGTGATTATGACCATGACACATGTGATATTCTGGTTTATATAGTTAGATATAGTTTCAAGAGTATGCCTAGAATGATAGAAGCAGTAATTAAAGCCAAGGGAGGTCACACAAAGTACTAGAATACCTGATTATCACTGTAAAATACTTAAGTCAAAAAACTGTCCGCATGAGTCATCATTTTGTAAGCCTCATATCTTCACCATATCTCAACCAATTCCCACACCATAGTGCTCAATTGAAAGCCCTGAAGTAGTACTACAATATGGTACCAGCATGTCCTTGAAGTGTTTGTATATTCTCATACAATATAATAGATAGTGAAAAGTGTGAAAACATGCAGACAGTTTTTTGAGCCACTGTAAGTGCTCACTATTCATACAACTATCTTCTAACATTATCTTTGAGACGGACTCAAAGAGTAATGACAACTGGATGGATGAGCCCACAGACACAAGTCTTTCAGGAGCATTCTCATGTGTGAATCAGGGAGAAACACTGGACCAGACATATGTAAGAAGATGTTTGCAGTATTCAAGGAGTTGGGAATTTTCATCGCTTCATGCTGACATCATTTTGTGCTTCTAGCATGTGATATGATTTGAAGTGGAGAACTGTAAGACCAAATTCTGAAATGATTTTGTTTGTACTGATGCATGTTGGCAGTGCAAATATCCATTAGCAATCATTGACAAGCTGCTTACTGTGTATGGCCAAAATGGAGGTTGTGTTACAATGGCACTATATTCTTTTCTTTTCCTTTTCTTACTTACTCATTGGGTCTTGTGACTGCTTATCAACACATCCAACATGTGAACACTTGCTCATGTGCTTACTCATTATGCTTACACAGATGATTACTCATACTAGCCTCCGATTGGTCGATCCAACATCACACCACTTCTTGTCTCTTTTTCTGATTGGTTGTTACTATATTTCTATTCTTGATTACCTTTTCATGATAGGGTCATCTACCTACAGACCGGCCCTAAACCATCTTCTTGTTATGTATATATACCACACATCCTGTACTTGTATTCCTTAACTTGAATCTACTAGGTTCTCCCCTGATACTTTGAGTTCACCGATCTAGCTGCCTTCCAGCAGACTAGCCTGAATACTTGATCTAGCAAAGCCCTTGACACTCGACTAGCCAGAACCTTTGATCTTAGAACTCACAATATGCTTCAGCCTTGATCATCCCTTATTGGAACACTGAAGAACTATCCTAGTCATAACAGGTTGTGCTTACAATATTGGTTGTGCTTTCTCAAAAACATTAACCAATAGCACATTGGGTCCTCGTGTGCACAATCTTGGCTTTCAGATGATGGTTGATGCCTTCCATGGCCATGCACACAATTGAAGGTGCCAGCTTGACTGGCACCCAATGTATATTTTGAGAACAGGGCATACTGAGGGTGAGGGTTGTGAGCATATCTTCTCCACATCTAATGAGCTTGCACATAGCACAAGACATGCTAACCATTTTCATCACCACCAAGCCATTGAGGAACATTTTGCATTTTGGGATGCCAATAAGTATGCTGCACTTAGTATGTCATGACAAATTTACAACCACAATACTGACACTTGCTGTCAGGCAATTATTTGTGGAATCATTATTGAGAAGTGTTGAAATCAGTTTGGTTGTTGATGGCTGAGCTAGAGACTACCAAGGCTGAGCTACGCCTCAGCAACAACGACTTCCCTGGATTCTTCGATCAGGAATGCATATACCTGGATAGTTTGAAGCAGCCAGCTCCATGAGATTGGCTCTCTATACATTATGTTGAGGTACTTGATGCACTTGCAGAACAAAGGTGTTGTACATTAGCTATTAACTGCCGCCCATCCCTGATGCTGAATTTTAATAGGGCTGAATAGAATTTTGCCTGTGAATCTGGGAATAATGCCCTTACAGGAGTAGATGCTGGCAGTTTGGAACAAATGAATGATGCACTCAAGCAAGCCTGCATCTGAGTTGATTCTTCCTATGCCAAACTACAGCATGCTGAGGGGCTTGTTGCTCATTGCAAATGTGTCTTATCTGTTGATGAGAGATGGGTGATTGGTGGCAAGGAATACAACCATTTCAAGAAGGAAGTGACACTCGGCAAGTATCATGCTGCATTAGACGAGCTGGAACATTTGATTGTTATGAAATTATTTGAACTTTTGAAGCTCTTGTTATTGGTGTGGGTACAACAAGTGCAGCAGTGAGAATCCCATCTACTACACAGTTGGGTCTTTGCTGCCTGCTGCCTCACTTGAGAACAAGCACATTTGAACCTAAAGGGGATTGCTACTGGGGATTGCCAGTCTCTGTCTAAACAACCCTAATCAACCCTACCATAGGAAGGATGAGGATCCGCAAAAATATGGAACAAGCAAAACAAGCAGAACTCAAGCGGAACAGGTGGAACTCAAGTGGAACTCAAGCAGAATGGAATGGAATGATGTGGAACTCAACTGGATACAATGCAGAACATACAGATTTGTTAGAACTTGCAGATCAAGTTGAAGGAAGTATATCACAAGGTTAGATTGATAGTGGGCATAAGTCAAAGCGGTCCTCTAGTAAGGTGAAGGAAAAGTCGGAGAAAAGTTGGAAGGTAAAAGATGGGATTCAATAAAAAACACCCAAGCCCTGAGTACCACTACTTATAGGGAACATTATTTTCGAGGAACACTGAGGTACAGGTAGTAAGTTCTCAGGAAGCGGAAGTGAAGGCAGGCAGTGCACAAGGGCGCAATACTCCGCAATAGGGGTCTGTGCCATAAGGGCATGTGTCAATGGGATCCGGATAACATTAGAAGCAATGGGAAGAGAGATACAGCGTACCAATGGACCTGGAAGGATAGGGACAGGACATGTGAAGGTTGTCCGACGATGTGTGGGAATATCGGATAGTGCGGGCGTGTTCCGAAGGATGCACGGGAATGCAAAACCCATCAGACGATGCGCAGGAAATGCGGAACGTGCGGAATACACAGAACTGATGTGAGACGATGTGGAATTGGCAGGGTTTTATGCCTACAGTGGGAGCATTCCCCACATTGGGCACAGGTTTGAGTGTTCCACTACTAGTAGGTGCTTGTACTATGACTGATTGATTTGTTTAGGGTACCAGCTACGTCAACAAATTAGCAAATCTTTACAGTGGTGCTCAAATGCTATTCGCAATGCAATCAATTGCTACAATCTTCCCTGATCCCACCAAGACCAAAGATCACGTGGAAAGACATTGCTGACTACACTTTCCTTGGCAAGTTTGACTTTCTGTGAGACTCTTGTGCTGACATCCAAGACAAGGATTGGGCAAGGCCAGCTCACCATGAGGCGACTACAAAGTACTTTAAGCTCTGCTGAGCTCGTGAAGAAGTCATTCAACTCAATATTGAAATTCACCGGCTCCAAACTGCTATCCATGATGAAGCCACTGAGATGTCTGCCATTATCAATGAACTTCTTGTTCCTGACCCATTACTTGCTTCCAAGCTGAAACACCAGTGGCACTCACAGGTGGCTATCAATGCTGTGCACATATATCAGTTAGATCAGATTGAGAGACTGTTTGGATTCTCTGGTATCAGGGGCATTGGAACTCACTTGTGAATCCTGCATTCAGCAGACCAGTCAATACCAATGGGGCTAGTTCTGGCGAGTGTAGATCTTCAACTGCACATATCATCCTAATCCCTATCACAGCGCAACCAGATGCTGATTCTCTTGTGTTGGAATTTGATGATATTGAAGCTCTTGACTGTGAAGAACACAAAGTGATCACTGAGGACATGGCTGGTTTTATACATTCAATAAATGACTGACATACTACATATTTGCTTTGTGATTGCTATTTCATGTATTGCATAGGACTACATATGACATACATCTCTCTGCTTCGGATGTCAACTGCAAATCCAGCCATTAGATTCAAGTACAGAGCTAATTGCTTCCTACCAGGAGTAGTCATCCTCATTGACAATGTCTCCACCCTCTCACATCCACATTTATTTCCACACTCCTGTTTCTCCTAATGACTCACATCCCATTCTGCATAATGCTGCATATACTGTACCTTCAGACACATGCAAAGGCAAGTGCAAGAAGCTTGAGGATAACAATGGTGATGCAGAGGAAGGCTGAGAAAGACCGCATGCTCCTTGCAGCAGCTAGATGAATGATAATATCAGTGTTGACTTTGGAGGCATATAATTTGGATGTGATCTTGAGCTCATGTGCTGTATAAACTTTGAGTGTTCAATCAGTTAGACAGTGCAATATTCTGCTCAATGTATGTATTCATCTGTAATCTGTAGAAGCAAGACACCAACAAGACTTTTGAGATCTCTCCATGAATTTACCATTTGCAATCACAGCTATTTTATGCTTGATTTGTTCTGGGACTTGTTCCAGAATTGCATGACCCACAACAGTGAGCATCATGATTACATCTTATGTTCTGGTGCTTATTCGTGCTTTTAACCCTGCTACACAACTACAGACCTTACTAGTTCCACCATGGTCACTCCAATCGAAAACACCAAGACCACTACTGTGTCTACCACCTCAATTCACCCCTCAAGTCAAACCACGGGACAAGCCACTATGAAATTCACCATCCCCAGTATTGCAACTTTGTACACTTCAACATTTGCTCAAGGGTTCAGCAATAACAAACATCAAGCAGCTGATAGGGCTTTACTGAGGCATGATGTTCACATCAATTGGACACATTATCAGGCTAGACAGCCTGGTGGCCTTCACCCATCGTACTTTAGCTTTAGTGGCACTACCAAATGAACTGGCAAGAGATCTCTTACCCACAAGGAACTGCTTGAGGCATTGCTGCAAGATGTCTTTGACATGGTAAGTCATCTAAGTTGGTGTCCATGTCTTACTTAAGTCTCACTCGTTTCCTAGCTGAGTATGCAAGACTGCCTTGATGGCAGAATTTCAGTCCTCATTTGATGCGCTGGGTCTGAAGCTGTCACTTCACCTGAAAATCTCCTCATCAACCTCTACATTGCACCTTGCAAACTACAAGAAACTCCTGAGCAAATTGGTGGAGACCTTGCTGTCTGGGTGCAGGTATTTGCCCAAGAGTTCACAATGCCACATCTTGAGCGGTTCAACCAACACTGTGTTGTTGAAAATATCCAACCACCACAACACTGTAAGTAGTAGATCATTTTTTTTGCTGTTCACATGGCTAACTCAATTTGACAGTTGCTGCGGCTCATATTTATGTCAAGGGCCCACTGTATCTACCCAGCCCAGTGGCTGCTACTGGTGTGCATATAAAATGTTCTGTCCAACCTGCCGACATCTTCACAAATGAGTTGCAAACAACCATGACACATGATGCTCCATCTGCAGCTATCTGTGGTGGTGCAGAGATGGGTGCAGGTCTTGGCAAGAAAATTTCAACACTGCCAAGCACACCCCATTCACAAGTTCGCTGACATAGGCATGCAGACATTTTTGCACCTGGCAAGGTGGTTGGTGAAGGTCCAATTTTTTCAGTACCAAAATCGGAGCAGGACACTGCATTGTTTGTCAATGGACTGAATACTGATGCTGCTCTGGATCAGATTAAGTTGGGGGATGAAATCTTACCCAAGCATTGTGTTCTAGTTCAAACAGTCCATAGCAGCCAATGGGAGGCAGTGTTCAGGTCTCCAAAATGGGATCTCTCATATGAACATGCTTCCATTCTGTCTTGGGCACTGTTGGTTGACCTTCATGGCATGCCACCCAGCCCTGAGGTTGTAAAGGTCAGTGATACTTATATTAGCTGCTGTTATTATACTAACTTAATTGAATGACCATAGCAGCCATTATCCGTCCTCACAGTCATCCTGAAGCTTATTGGTATACTAATTTTTTTATGTGGCATATACTTTTTTAGTGTCTTATTATTTTGCTGTAGATCACTTTTCCCCTTTGAGTTTTAGTTATAAGCCATATGTCCTGTTTCTCTGCTGCAGGTTAGAAAAAATAAATGCATTCTTGGTGTGTTTAAAATATTTGAATTCAACTACAAAAGCCCTTCACTGATTTTTGCTGTCCCTCTGTGGACAATGGTCTCCCAGTCATTCTACACTGCAAAGTGTGCAAGGTGCACTCAAGTGCAACCTCATAGTCATCCTAAGGTCACCCTCAGCAAAGAAGCTTGCGCAGCTCTCAAGTTTCAGTGAGCCTAGAAGTTGCGTTAATTTAAGGACACACTTAATGCTGTATGGAGCCAAATTGACAATGTTATGGCAACCATGGCTACCGCCCATCACAAGACCTTCTATCGTGTACAACACAATTTGTACATGGGTCAGGGATGACTCCATTCAAAGTGTTCAAAGCTTAATGTCTGGAATGTGTTTTGTTGGAAGAAATCTCAGGAGGCCAAGAAAGAAAACTGTAAGTTCACCTATTTTTATCTTATACCTTTTTGTGACCTCGCACTGAATTAACAGGCAATGGCCACAGAAGGAAGTGCTCTAGTCACTGGTCTGCAACCATAAGGATGAATACTGTGCTCTTACACAGGAAGAACAAGAAGAGTTGCTCCAGGAATTCGCCAACCAGAAAAATACCAAGATCTCTGGGGAATGTGTCTCAAGAAGGTCCAAGATTAATGAAATAACTCAAACCTTCAAGGTTGTTGAAAATGAGGTACACATACTTGAATTGCAATACAATGTTGCTAAGCGTGTCTCATTACTAGCTTAATAGTTTGAACTCTCGCACCAGTGCTGAGATTATGTTGTACATGACACATGGTACCACTGATCTGCCTCTCTGTGCAATCATCTTCACAACACCAGGTGTTGATCACTTCATGGACTCCGTCATGGGCATCAACACTCAGGACTTCATCAGCAAAATGGAAGGGTTTGCTATCCAAGGGATACAAGGTTTGGTTTTCCATTGTTATCACCTTCTCCAGTTAAATTCTATTTGTACTAGACACCGCAAACAATCACCAAAAATGTGTCTCAAATCTTCATGGAGAAATTCAAGCAATTATTTTTCCTTTCTTTTGACGGCACACATTTTATTTTACTTTATTAATAGGGGAGGTCACTGGCAAAAGCAAAGCCAAGATGCAGTGGGCAGACTACTTTCACAATGTGGTCAATCCCTATCAGGTCGCCATCAAAGGATGGCCAGAGCATATTCCATTTACAAACCTCAGCAATGTGTCCAGCACCCTTCCAGACCTTAAATTTCTTTTAGACTGTTGGAAGATGGGAGCTATGGCCTGGAATATCTTGGATGATGAGGAACTTGCACAACTCCATTGCAAGCATGATGAAAAAATTAACAGTGGTCAAGTTATTGAGTCTCGCCAAAGGACACGGTCTGACAAGGGTAAGAAGTGAGTATGACCTGTGACAGTCAACAACATCGACCCCAGATGTCACAAGAAGTACAGCAGTGCAGAGACCATTGAGTCCAGTGATGATGAAGATACCCAGAGTCATGAGTGGATACCAGACCCATCCACTGCTTTGGGCAATGAGCCAACAGTATAAGACTCAACCATCATGTCCCCTTTGAGCAGCACCCTAGTACCACATGTCAATGCCCCAGACTCAAATGCTTCTTGGTCCCACACCAACTGGCACCCCGACTAGGACCCTGAAAGAACCCTTGTCAACACAGCACCCTACAGCATCAATGATGCCTCAAGGCGTCAAAACCTGACCTAGCCCTCCCCCAGGAAACTAAAATACCTGGAAAGTACCAAACTCAGAACAATGGTGCAAGGAAAAACTGCACAGCATGAGCTTTGGCTCAAAATCACCAGCCTCTTGGAATCCCTCTCCGACAATGCCAGGAGGACCCTCCACAAAAAGAATAACAAGATCTATAGATGCAACTGCAACTCTAACCCCGTCAGAAATCAAAGCACAACCCAGCACCATCACCAATGTTGCCAGTGCACACCTATACCTCAAAAAAAAAGAGCCTCTGCCACACGACTGAACCTTATACCTTAAATCACTTAATATTGGTCCTTTTACAGACTATGCAGATATCTGGATCAATACCTCTCCCAGTAATAACGGCCATAAGAGCAGTCATGTTCCTTCTCAAGCAGCATGCAGCAGATGAAATATCAGAAGTTGTGGCCAAGCAAGTAACCCAAGCAATAACCCAACAAATCCCAGATCTGGTCTCAATGAAACTGGTTGAACATGTCATTGCCACCATAGCCCCGCAAGTAGCTTGACTACTGACTGCCTCTAAGAGTTTGAAAAACACGATACAAAGAACAGAACAATATACCTCCCTATTGACCAGACCAAACACAGAGGAAGCTCCCCCCGCCCACCTAACCCAACTAACTCCTAAAATCATAGAACACATAATCACCACCATCGCTCTGCAGATAGAACAACTTACCTCAATGTCTCTCTCTCTATCCCAATCCTTGGAAGAAGCCTTGAAAATCCATCAAATGATTGATAAATGAGTAGACCTGGACCATGACATTAACGCAGCAGCGGATCAAATTACAAATGCGACAGACACAATCTACAGTGCCATTGACAACTGCCACAACACTATCAGCTTCCTCTGCCCAGCACTCAAATCTACTCAAGAATGCCTCCACACTGTTTCCATGCAGCTCCTTACACAACAAGACCCCTCTGCACTCGCTACTTCAAAACCAGCACTGTTTAGCGAAATTACAACCTCCCACACCCCAGGTCAGATGAGGCACTTACCCACATCAAGAGGCTGCCCTCCAAACATCCAAATCTTCTCTCGGCAGCCCACCCCATTCCTATACTTGAATGGCGAGGACCAACAGCAAGTTCCTCCAATTGACGATGCCTTAGCTAGATCAGCCATATGCGCTAGACAGATACTGCTAGACCCTATACCAGGAAACCTGTTATTCCCCCCTGACATCAGTCATGTTGACACCCTGAAGAAGATCAGTACTGCTCTCAAATCCACCTTCCCCCCTAATGATAACGAAGGAAATATCAAAGCTCTGACGTGACTATGCAATGGGGGAATCATTCCAGAACTGGACAGCAAAGAATCAGTGCTCAGATTAAGACACAAGACCACCTGGACGGCATTCCTCAAGGTGCTAGACTTCTCTGTAACATTCAAAGATAGAACCTACACCCTAATAGCGCAATATGTACCGGTCAACATCCTCATCGAACAACCAGGTATCTTCTGCTTGGTAGAAAACAAGAACCGCCTCAAGAACAACTCACTCGCCTCCATGAGATGGATCAAACCCCCACACAAGCAATCCCCCACCCAAATGATGGTATTTGCACTACTCTAGGTAAACAACGCGACCACAGCTAACAAACTGATCAAAGATGGCCCTTATATCAACCAACACCTAATCTGCGTCAAGAAAGACAAGAAAGAACCTATATGCTGCACCAAATGTCAATGACATGGGCACATTGCCTGCAACTGCAATGTTAGTAGGGATGTTGCAGCACCTGCACTGACAATCATCACACAGCCGACTGCCTGGCCTACAAAACTACTCGATGTGTTAACTGCTGCAGCAACAACCATGCCAGCTGGAGCAGGCCTGCCTGGAATTTGAATGAAAATGCAAAGAACTCAGCAAAAAATACCCAGAGAACTCTCTACCCTACTTCCCCACCTGCAAAGCCTGGACTCATGCACTACTTCCCCCCAAACAGCCCCATACAAGAAAACAGACACAGCCCCCACCCCAAATGCAAACGCACTCCCCCGCCTTCACCAAACCACCCTAATGACCAACACCACAAACCCAGTACTCAGACCTCAAATCAGACCACAAGACCCCAGGGCCCACAAGAACCACCCCCTCTGTTAAGACCATGCTCAGGGGTAAGGCGGATTCTGAGGGGCTTGGCTTCAGCTCATGCGCTGTGTCCCTTACCCGAGTACATGCCCCTAATTTCGGAATGTAGTCCAACACGAGTTCTATGAGTTCTGACAGGACGTCAGAATGGGGGTCCTCTGAAGGAGGACCAATGGACTACTAGGTGAGCGCAGGAAAGTTGGGCGGGGGTTGTTCCGCCCGACAGGAGAGGGGTTGAAGGTTACTGCAGTCGGAACCAACAGTAGAAGCGGAGCAGAAGGAACTGCTTGGTCAAAGTCTGAAGCAGGGCGGAACGGCGGAATGGAGGAACGGAGGAACGGAGGAAACGGAGGAACGGAGGAACGGAGGAACGGAGGAACGGAGGAACGGAGGAACGGAGGAACGGAGGAACGGAGGAACGGAGGAACGGAGGAACGGAGGAACGGAGGAACGGAGGAACGGAGGAACGGAGGAACGGAAGTCATCGCAGACCAAATGACTTACTATCTCGAACACCATCAACTGCTACCAGTGACTCACTTCAGCGGACGGCCAGGTAGATCAATACCAGACTCCCTCCATCTACTAGAAGAGACTATCAAGAACGCCTGGCATACAAAGAAAGTGGCCTCTGTACTCTTTTTGGACATTGAAGGAGCCTTCCAAATGCAGTTACCGACCGACTTCTACACAACATGAAAGTCCAATGCCTCCCACATGCGATGATCAACTTCACACAGCAAGTTCTCTCCAAATGTCAAACCTGCCTGCAATTCGACGACTTCAAGTCAGAATGGTTCCCAGTAACTAATGGTATCAGCCAAGGTGACCCTCTCTCTGTGATCCTATATATTATCTATAATGCTGACCTAGTTGATGTAGCTCTGAACCGTGGCAAGACTGAATCCACCCTTGCCTTCATTGATGACACAGCATTCATCACAGTCAGAACATCCTTTAGTGAGATGCATCGCACACTATCAAGAATGCTAGAATGCTAGAACGCCCTGGAGGAGGTTATGACTGGTCATGAACTCATAACTCCAAATTCAAGACAAGTAAATTTGCACTAATTGATTTCTCCATGAACAGAACCAAGACACGACCCCTGATGGCTATCAGAGGTATCACCATCTGCCCAACTGCTACTCACAAGTTCCTAGGCATAATTTTAGATTAAGAACTGCACTAGAAGGAACACATGGCTTACACCATCGCCAAGGGATCTGCATATGCACTTCGACTATGCTGCCTCTCCTCCACAGCATCAGGGATGCCCATGAAACTAATGAGGCAGCTTTACCAAGCTGTAGCCATCCCCAAGATGTTATACACAGTGGATGTATGGTTCACACCAACCTTTCAATCCGGATCAGATATGGCACAGAGGGGTTCAATTGGAATCACAAGGAAAATGACCTCAGTTCAAAGGATAGCAGCAATAGCAATCACAGGAGCAATGAGAACGACTGCAACAGACCTGCTCGAGGCCCACACCAATCTCCTCCCCATAACTCTCCTCCTGTGGAACACATGTCATCAAGCCATTATTCAACTAGCCACTCACCCCCTCCCACCCACTTCATGCTCATGTCAAACACACTGCATCATGTTACGTCAAAAGGCACTGTACCTCCCTCCATCACTTAACACACTCCTTCAACATTAACCCAGCAGAAATAGAAACTCTCACCAGTGCCATCCAGCACCCCTCCTACCAACACCCCTATGCAGTACATATCGCCGACACAAAGGAGGACTCCATCAAAGAGCAAGCTCAACTCACTGACACCATCCAGATCTACAGCGATGGATCAGGGCATAATGGTAAGATAGGAGCAGCAGCAGTGCTGATACAAAGAGGATGTGAACCCCGCATTCTCCACTTTCATCTCAGAACAGACAAAGAACACACCATATATAAAGCCGAAGCTGTCGGACTCACCTTAGCAGCTCACCTTCTCTCCACCGAATGACAATTAACCTTTCCCACTTCCATTCTGGCAAATAATCAAGCAGTCCTGAAATTCGGTGAGAGAACGACTCCTAAAGCTGGGCACTACTTAGTAGAGCACTTCAGACACATGTTGAAAACACTCAAGAAAACTCACCACAGTAGGGGTTATGACGTGACAGTTCAATGGATTGCAGCTCCTAGTGAAGTAGAGGGCAATGAACTGGCTGATGGAGAGGCTAAGAAAGCGGCAGAAAGTAGATGGAACAATAGCGCAACCCACCTCCTACCTCAATATCTCTCTCTCAGTCAGCTCCCCAGCAGCCTCTCCACCATCAAGAGTGTTCAAACAGGAGACCAAAGGTAGATGGGACCGCCTTTGGGCCAAGTCTCCCAGACACGCCCGCATGCAGCAAATTGACCCCAATATCCTCTCATCCTTCATCAAACTTGCAGCAGACCTCCCAAAATGCCTAATCAGTCTCTACATGTACTTTCGCACCCAACACATAGTGCTCAATCATCACCTTCACTGCATAAAGAGAAGTGATTCCCCCAACTGCCCAGACTCAGAGGAGACCATCCACCACTTCCTCTTCAAATGTCCTCAATATGACCATGAACGCTTCATCCTCCACCAAAAACTCAGCCACAAAACCTCATCCTTCCCTTACCTCCTAACGAACCCCTTAGCCATGAAGCACTTCCTCCAATACATTAATAGCACTGGCAGACTGAAACCCACATTTGGTGATGTTACTCTCCCTCCCCAACCTGACCGCTGATAACACCTGCAATTAGAACAGAATCCATCATGAACCAAACCCAGTCGTGCATGATGACATGCTATCGGTCACCATACCTTACCCCAGTCATACCCAGCCTAAACATACACCATATTTCTTAATCATTAATCAACTTGCCCTACATGAAGATGAAGGCCTGGCCCACAGTGAGCCAAAAAAAGATCAGATGGAAGATGGGATTGGAAATGGACTAACGGGAGGAGATGAAGCAGTGGAACCAAGCAGAAGCAAAGCGGAATCAGAGAATGAAAGAAAAAACAGCCTCAAACAACAACAAAACCAGCAATAGCACCACCACCCCTGCCCCACATCTTAAATCAACAACACCAATCCACACCACTAATGCACTTCTTTCATAGCTTCATGTACAGTCTGCCCCTCAGGGCAGTCGAGTATGCGTTTCAGTCACGAACTTTACGATCAGTTACCCAAATATCACATCACAAAGAGAGCAGTCTCCTCTTCTTCGCACAGACTGCATGTCTAAAACAGCCGGCAGGAATGGTAAACCGAGTGAGGACAGCCTCACTTCGAGGCATTCATGAGTCCAGAGAAGTAGAAAAGGCAGGTGCCTTATAGACTAGTTAGTACTGTCTGACATAGGGTACTTTACCCCAATGGACAGAAATTGGAAACAAAAAAAATGCCCAGACTCAACCATTGTGTCCCCTTTGAGCAGCACCCCAGTATCAAATGGTCAGTTCAGCACCAACTTTTTTGACACCCAGTCTAGTGCTGGCTTTTTCAATGCACCTGTGCTTAGTGCTGATTTTTCCAACACCCTGGACATGTTCAACATGCTTCCTTTTGACTGTGATGCCACCTTAGCACACCTTGACGAGCTTTTCAGTGGTCATGCTCTCGGAGGCACTGATTTCATCACTCCCACACCATAATTCATTTCATAATAGTATTGCTTGCAATAGACTTGGTTTGATAAAATGATCATCCTAAATTAAGTCACCACCCATCTATAGCAGCACGGCAGAAGTAGAATATAAGATATGAAGACATAGGCAAGATGATCAACAATGTGAGCAAGAAATATCAAACACACAACTCACTATTATGAAGCCTGAACAAGTGAAGGGAGACTCTAGCAGCTGTTGAGGACTGCAATTATCAATGATTCAGGAGAGGGTGCAGGGTGTGGTCCATCTCTGGTGTGGTAGTAAGCTATTGGCCATAGGCAGGACTATAATAAAAGAATGAAAATGATATACCTTGAGTATCAGTGGTTGTTGACCGGCCATCAGGACTTTGGAACAGTGATGGCACCCTTTGAAGTTGTGGGATATAATGGATTTGGAGAGCCCTTTGACCCTCCCAACACCCAAGCTGCAAGGCATTGGCTGGGTTGGGATGATGGGCACAACAAGGTAGAGGACGAGGATATGAGGCAAGGTGAGTGCACAAGGGAGACAACAAGAGGGAAGCAGAAAGAAAGAAGCAGAAAGAGGGAGGTAACAAGAGGGAAGATGAGGAGGAGGGGAATGGCGGGGACGGTGAGCACAATGAGGAGGAGGTATGGGAACCATGGGAAGCCCCTTGGTTCAAATTGGATTAAAATGAACAGATAATGCAATTCCCGCCAGGTGGGATGCTTAACAGGCCTGTGCGCCCATCTCCACCATAGTGAGGTAGATACAGTATTTCTTGAAGGTGATTTGGATAGCTGGGGCACTATTTAATGCTGGTGTTGAGATTTAAAAAATCCAAGCCTAATTAAAGTTGGCAAGACACGTCACTACCAAGTATAATTAGGCTTATTAATAGGGCAACCCAGGTGGATTTTCCATTCACACTTCATGATACCTTGCCAGTCACAGTCATCCTAGGTTGTGATTGGTATGCTTTCGACCACTGAAGAATGCAGAGCAGGATCATCAACAGCACTGATCGACTTTAAGATTGAGAAAAAGTCCTATACCAAATGACTGACAACTTTAAAATGACAGCCACTTGCAATTTTTGTACTATCAGCTCTTTCTTGCTCCTGTGTCCATAATCACTGTTATCAATGTTTCTTGAAATAGCACATTCAACTGTATCTCTAATATTCTTGTAACACCAATAATCTTGATTGGCATTTGAATGACAGACTCAATTGGAAACAACATTAATTACAATGACTCAAAATCAAAATCAGAAAGAACATACCCCCCCCAAAAAAAAAGACAAGGGTAGTGGGCACTGCCACAGATGTGGCCTTTTGTGACTTATTAAATAGAGATAATTGCGAACCCCTTGCAGTAAGCCCACAAATTTCATCCTCTTGAACAATAAACATCAGTTGGACAGGGATGGGGGCCCAGTCGCAGTTGTGAGTTGAAATGAACAAGGCGCTGTTTGGAGCCTACTGGAGAAACGGTACCAAGTGTCCATCCAGCTTTCTTTTTTTTTTAAAAAAAAGCAAGTCTATTATATAGCAACTGACACCGTCTGGCCCTATATAAACACTTATAGTAACACCTAGGTGTCGTCCGAGGGAAAATGCAACTTAAGCACACTCTACTTGCATAGAGTGGTGTGGGACTCTGTATACTACCTGGTTACCTCGGTCTGCAGGGGCTTGAGTAGTTTTATACCCACTAAACACTGTGGGTAGTAGATCCAATGAAATTCATAGCATAATGCACTGAAACTGAGGTGCTGAAATTGCCGTTTTTTACTCTGAAAATATACTCTGAAATGATGTGCTGAAATTCTTGCTCGAAAAAAAATCAAAGACTTTGTGACATGTCACACATCACATCATCTGGTGCATCATAACCTTACCTCACAATTTATAATTTGCCAATAGCAGGAATTGAACCCATGACCTGGGGCTTATGAGGCCTAAGATACACAGCACGACTACCACTAAGCCATGGGACCTTTGATTACTTCCATCACAATTCTAACATATACCATCCTTCTTCTACCAAAAAATTATTAGTGAAAATGTCATTGTTGTAAGCTATTTACAACATTCATTGGAAAAAAGGTGCTGAAGTTGGTGCTGAATCAGATTCATTGGAAAATACTGTATAATTTCGACCTTAGGTTCATCACACCATCACAAGCCCGACGAACCTAACCTATTTTTTATGACAGTCACACGCAAATTCAGCTGACGAACCTAAATGTGTGACACTTTGTATTCATGCGATTTCAAGACATATTACTGTACTAGTACATGCTAATGCTCCTCAAATGCACCATATTGTTTGTTCGCGACACATCTGCGCTTGCCCCTTCCCAATGGAATGGGTTCACCATTAGAAACACTGGCAGGAACTTCCTTGAAACAATCAGCAGCAGTGTGAACAATCAGTGAGGGCCTGTCCACATCAATTCTGTACCCGTCAGGTGCACACTTCTTTCCTGACGCTACAAACTGCAGGAGAAGCTCCAATGGAGCATCATCACCTGGTTCCTCTTTGTCATTGACAGTATCCTCAGGCACAGAGACAGTGGCAGCAGCATCTTCGCTACTAGTAGTAACAGGTTGACTCGGACAACGTGATTGGATGCACTCCCACATGTCTGGAGCTGTTCATGGCAAGTCGCGAAGTGTGCGACGTGCTTCAACACTTGTCAGGCTGTCAAACGAGAGGTTGAATGAGCTGTCAATCCCAGCTGTGCAGAGCGAGAAAGCCTGCCAGTGCACCCCATGTCAGTGGCCAAAATCAAATGATGAAATTTGATCTTACTTGTTGGTAGCTAAGACATGAACTGTGCGACACACACCTATAAATGAGCCAGAATCAAGCTGAGTATTGCCCACCCGAATGGCAGACTTCAAGCCAACACAGAAGTAGTGCGAATCCTTGCAAGTCTAAAGGCATTGCTGGAGCCAACGCCTTGGTGGTCAATGACTCGACGAACCTATTTTAGGTTGTGTCACACGTCACAACGGTCGACGAACATGCTACAAATGATTACATAATGTGGGGGCGAATTTCCCACGAACCTAAGGTCGAAATTATACAGTAGTGCTGAAAGTGGTGCTGAATTGGATTTAGCACTCCAATGAAATTAACTACCTGCCATTTCAGTAGAAGTTCCAATGAAAATTTCAGCATCAAAGCTTTTTCCAATGATTTTGATTGGAATCACTACCCACAGTGTAAAACCTCAAGGGTGGTCACCCAGTCTTTGTGGAGAAGTGTGTCTGTGGTTATTATGTCAGCCCACGTGTGTTGGACTTGTGCGATTGCTTTCTGGGTCCGTTTATTTTTTGCTGCTATTACTCTGTCTATCTGCAGTCGTTTATCGATTGCGTGTGTCCACCTTTTTATGATGTTCGTCCAGCTTTCTCTTTGAAGTCAAACCATCTATACAGTATCAACGGACTTAACGCAATTTCTATCCTTCATTTACTTATCCTACTCGTAATCATAGAATTTTTCTTATTCATTCATTCATTCATTCATTCATTCATTCTCCTCTCGCCAACCGCTACAATCTCACATTTGTTACCATTCTAGTTGCATCATTGGTCAATCCATATCTTTCTGATCGTTTTTTGCGTGGCACCGCATCAAAGTCGTTGTTTGTTTGCCCAACCACTTCACGTCTACTCCCACTGCCAGACCCAGGAGACCCTAATCGTCGAACGCGCTACTCAAGTATCTAAGCAGAGATGCACGAGAGGTGTGACCGCACGTGCATTGGGCACCATCAACCACTATAACTGTAACACCAACCAATAATGACTGTTTATGGATCACGTACAGAAGAGTTTGACTGGGATGTTCTGAGGTGTTAGTGTAATCCCGGGACGTCGTACATGACTGCTTCACACTGCTATTGCACACACGCACACTCACATATTAGTACGTCCCTACAAGTCAATAACGATTTGGATGAAGAGATCGACATCAGCTTCTCATCAAAGTCGCACTACCCTTGGCACATCCCTGTGCCATTACAGTCAATCATGCACATCAGGCGACCGATCCCTGGACGGAGAACTTGGGAAGGAGGAAGAAGGCGGCACATTAGATTAAGCGTTCAGCCTGGATGGCACAGGTGAGTATCTGTTTGTGGCATTTACCAATAATATCGTTTATTCCTGACTCTCCTGGTGGTGTGCCCACACTGTTACAGCCTTGCTAAGAGATATCATATGAGGCGCTGTCGAGGCGAATATTGCCATCAATATCTTATGAAATCACCATGTACAATTTGGAAAACCAGAAGTCGGACTTCCTGTGGTCGTAGGGTGCGTCCAAGTGTTCTTTTCTCCCATGTGCCCTCTCAGCATCGTTGTGGTCTATCACTAGATATCAATTATGGCATATGAATCAGGATGTATCTGGACGGTGTGGTGCATTGCCATCGCGTTGACCAGCGATGCAAATTGAGTGTAAATGCGTTGTGCATCGAAGTCTATGCTCACTTCTTATTCGCATCCTCGTGAGATTATTGGGGAGAGAGCGAACAGGTGCGCATGAGGCTATCGATCCCTGAACCGAGGGCTTGCAGTGAGGAGAAAAGCAGCACATTGGATTAAGCATTGAGGGGTACATTACTAAAACAGACAGATAGCATCGGTGAGTTATCTGTTTGGTGGCATTTACGATTGATATTGTTCATCTCTGACCTTTTTGGTACAATGTAACACTGTTAAGAGAGCTTCGACGAGCTATTACGCGCGGTGAGCCGGGTCAGCGAGGCGGAGGCACTGCTGATGATCATTGAAATTTGAGATGACAAATTTTTACGATGATCGCATCGCCTGCGTCAGATCGATGAACTACATATTGGGTGCAGTGCGTTTTTTTTTACTTTTGCAAATTTGCATCAGGTTCTCCGCTTACCCTTTTTTTAGCATCCTTATCATACAACGGCCAGATGACCAAGGCAGGGAGAGAGAAGGTGCGCATCAGATGCTGTAGATGTCACTGCTTTGCAGATCCACAACAAATATCAACTTTGATTCGATCGAGGACTTCCCCTTCTAGTCAACTTCATGTATCAATACTGACTTCGGTCAATCAAGGCCGGAACGCCCATCACCCCTAATACTCGTTTGGGCGATAAAAGCGCTGTATGGTGATATATCTAGGACGAACCTCATCATCATATGTCCACCGAGCTCGCTCTTACTCACATCTACCCTCAAACAGCATGGCCCTAGTCTCAAATGATCGCAGTTGGTGGCCGCTCATTAATATGACTCGTATTTCCAGCTATGTTGTAGGTTCGTGCGAGCCAGTCGGATTATGACGATGCCGTCTCGATCTAACCTTGACTGCGGTTTCGCAGTTGCTTCCTCTGCTGCGCTAATGTATGATTGGGGTGAGAAAAGTAGTATTATCAAGAACCACTGATACATATATGATATTTCCAGCGCTGACACTCGCACAAGAGGTATGTTGATGCCATAACTGCGGCAGCCATCTTGTTAACAATGGCTTTACAGGTTGAACTGGTCTGGGTGAGCGGATTGCCTCATCGGAAGAACAACATAAAAATACAATTAATTCGTGACAGAGGCAACGTTGGTCCCTCATGACTTTTATGTATCTCGGTGTATGTAGCTTGCCTCATAAATGTAGCTGGCAAGTTGTGCTGACTTGAATTTATCCTAGGTGCGCTATCTTGGACTAGTATATGCTGTGTATGTTTGCAAGATTAACCACCCGGCGCCGCGCTAATCATCCATCTCCCATAATCAGCAACAGCATCTTATGTATGTCTCCCCATATCCACCGTACGCGTTTCTTCTGACAAGCGGTAAACAGTCGATATTCCGACAATCTCATTGACCATTGTAGTGAGCACTCTGCACTATTGCCCGCCTGTTCCAATCGATTGTATTCCCACGTAGGAGTGAGATTTTTGACAAGCTTGTTCGTTCAATATAACAACTGCCACAGGTGTGAGTTTGTTTGTTGCGAGTAATCCTGATTCCTCCGATGTCAATAACTGGATTTGTCAGGCGAGGTTTTGTATCTCGTACAACAGTGGACGAATAACGTTGTAATGGCGATGCTGGGTGGTGAGCTGTGCAACTACAATAACTCCGTGATATTGACCTGACTGAACCATCACACAAGTCATCATGATCGCTCGATTACATGCCATGTATCAGGGATCCAGAGTGATACTGATAATTACAGTATTTGTCTGCTTGTCTGTCGACATCGTCGGTGGAGTACTCACCATTATAACAACAATGTACATCTTAGCCGGTAAGCTTAATTATGGATGAAAGACCCAAGGGCGTGAAGCTCGTTGACGAATCCCAGAGGAGTTCATTCTCTCCGGTACCCATCTCTGCACCATCAACTTTAAGGAAGACGTCCAACCTCTCAATGCCACACCTTGGATACTCACTACTGCATGGGAGATCCTCGCACTTTGTCTTGCAGCCTGGATTGCTGTAAAACACTTCCGTGAACTGCGACAACACTCGACTGGAGGGATTATCGGGGACTGTTTCACAGTGTTAATGAGTTCTCACGTGATTTACTTTGCAAGGTAAGCTCATAATGTGATTGTGAATTTTTTTTCTGCTGAAGTTCCGGACGTGCTAGCACTGTTGCTACTTCGTGCTTTAAGATGGGTTATTTGTCTCCGGCGTTATCAACGGTATTCCTATCTGTCATTGACCTCTGCATGCGAGCACTGCTCATCATTTCTATAGAGCCCATACTCCCCGGTATTTATCATCTATGACGGCATCGTTCAAGTTTTTACGGTCGTGCAAATGTTTGTGCTGGGACCACGCCTGATTCTTGGCATTCGAGAATATCACGCCAAGCTCGTGGCCGTCTCGGATACAGCAACCGCCATGACTTCGATTGCATTTCAGGAGCGCATACATGTGTCAACTAGCAGTAGTGTGTAGTGCGGGAGATGCTTGATGTGATTAACACTCGTCAGTTATTTTACAGGGAGGGGGAAAATCTGTTCTTTGTTCCACTTTTGCTGTGGTATTTATTTGAGTTATTTTATGTTCCAAGCTTGTAGATTTGAAAGAGAAATATGTCTGCACAACCCGGTCACTTGTTGTATCCCCACTATAGCTCGCTGCCCACCCATACTTGTACGAAGTGGCAAACTGAAACCATGTAGAACGTCCCGCTACTTTACTTGAATACTGGAAGATAGTCGTTCAACAATCATTGTTGGAATCCGACGAGACGAAGGAAACGGAAGACGGACCGTAGAAGATGAGAGTGAAACAGTACGAGCGCAACCAGTGAGTACGACGAGGCGACGCGTTGACGTCGGCCGAGGCTCGTCGATATTGGAATGTCTATCTCTAAGTAACGGACAATTTACTTATCATTTACTTATCTATCCTATCCGTACTATAAAGGACCGAACGAGTCGTTAGAACATCTCAGGTCTTTTCATAGAGCCTGAGATGTAAGTCTCATATATTTTTCGCGTTATTCTGAAGAGCTAACATACCATTAGATATTTATTCTACTAGGTACTTTACCCGCTCTTACTAGAGGTCTTTTCATAGAGCCTGAGATATATTTATTCTACTAGCTCCCGCTTCGTGCGCCGCTCGCCTGAACTCACTTTAATCATCACTTCTTTTCTTTGCGACGGTCATTTATCCCTAACGCGCGGATTTATTGGCACAAGAGTTAGGTGGTTACATAGGGATCAGGTTCGTAGTCTTGGCCGCGGTTAAGTTATACCCTGTATCGATGACCACCATCTCGTCACTATTTCACTCCAGATCGTATTCTACATCCAAGCACTGCACGAGCCGGAAGGGAGGAGCGAATTGCCTAACTTCGTCTTCCCGTTCCTTTTTTCTTTGTTTGTCCGATTGTATAACTGACGAAGCCACAATAAATGCGTTCTCTTAAATTGCTGTTGAATGATGTGCGAGTGACACAATGCCGGAAATGATAGAGGGCACATATGCAGAACCAGAACGGATGAAGGCCAAATTGGAAGCACACAGAGGCTCGCCATATGTCAGCATGCTAAGTATTTTCATCCATGTATTGTGAGCAGCCCCTTGTGACACCTGGAGGGTGATGTGAACGACTGCCTCCAGTAACCTCAAGTTGTGATATCAGCTTTCCAACGGGTTTGACAGAACTGCACCATGAGCATGGGAGGAACTTACATCCGTCTGTACAGTAGCGTGGCCAATTCAATTCGAGCTTGATAATTCCTGTCAAGAAATCCTGGACATCCTGCGTCGTATGAGAAGCAGCTCGGATGACGAGGAGCCTGAAAAGGTAAACGCGAACACGGGGGCATCAGCTGAAAACCTCCAAACTAAAACCCCAGGATACGCTGGAGTCTTCAATCGTTGTCCCGGCGCGTGACTTTTACAGCTTTTTTCTCTGCTATCGTTTGTCCTTTCATTTGCGGGGTGCTACTATCGCTGATGCTGGCTTGTCATCGTCCAAAGAGGCGTCTTCTTCTGACGACACGTCCCAGTTACTCTAGAAGATCGATGAGAAAAATAGAAAGGGAGGAACAGATCCTCAAAGGCTTTCTCACTCGAGAAAATATACGTTACAACAAACGCCTCGCCAAGCAACGTTCGATGTCTGGACTATCTGCCCATTCTTCATTCATTCGAACCCTTGTACAGGTACAAAGGCATTGTTTCACTCCCTACCTGATCCAACTTCAACGATTCAAGGATGCGTCGATTTTCCCCAACATCAACACCCCCACCCCCACACAGGAATAATGCGCACTTACAAACTCGTTACGCGGACCTTGCACTGCTAGCACACCTTCTGATGACGGTGTATGAAATGCTCAAAGGCTTAGTCAAATGGATCATCGTGTAGTTCAGGGACTCTGTTCGTTAGGGAGATATGCGTATGGAAGGTGGAGAGGGAGCGGAGTACAGGGTAAGTTGTTTGTTTTTATTGGTTCGTGTGCACTGCTTGTGCTTTGAATTAACTAGCTAGTGTCGCTAGCATTTCGAGGAGACCTCAGCTCATCAATATTAATGTGTCATGGTTTAGCGTTGTAGATCAGTCAAGGCAATTTCCGAGTCACCTGACTTCGATATTTTGAAGTTGCTTGCTCGTCAACCTGATCATAACGCTTCAGCACCTTCCAGAGTCATGGCATATAGGATATTGAGTCTAGCAACTGCATATGCAAATTGTATCCCTTGTACTACTCGATTGTTGACTTACATGGTCTCAGTCGTCGCCATGTATCGTACTTCAAGCGTTCACTTTCCTTGCTTCATCTCACCTGTGTTCCCCGTAGACTACATCCCAATCACCAATCACGCAGCTCAAGTATCCAATCGGGCATGCTTCATCATTTGCATTGTACCATCACCTAATCGCATTGATCACACACAGCACCACCAACAAGTGACGGTTACCACTGGTTCGGGCACACTGACACCAATCACTCAGCTCAGCACACCCGCCAGGCGGGCATCCGTCTCCCCCATCTACCTTGCAGCCGAACTTCGCCACCGCCTCACCAACCAACTTCACCAGATACAGCATCTCCATTCTTGGCTTTGCTCCTCGAGAACACGGAGCATGCGGAAAGGCTTTGGATTAGACGGCTCTGTTTCCAACGTAGCATGTGCGGAAGAGTTGGAGAAGGATCGTGAGGTCTGTGACACCAATTCTTCGTCATTTGGTCACTCTTCTCCAATCACACCGTGCTTTTCAGCTAGTGCGAGAATGTGGCAGCATGTTGGAAATCTTATGCTTATATTGGCTGGCGCAGCTGATGATCAAGCTTGAGCAACTACCATGGCGCTCCTGTTTTTTTCTCTGATGTTGTCATGCGCATTCGACATCTGCATTATAATATTCGTGGGCTTATGAACGTGGTCTGTCCTTTCACATGTCATCTGAATCCTGTTTAACTTCATGGACAGAACTTCGTTGTCTATTCTATCAACGCGTTTGTAAATACATAGGTGCTGAATGCCACATGGTGAAGATATGCGAGTAGTCAGATTTCGTTCCTGTTACATTCGACAATTTTTTTTTCGCGCAGTATCTCATTCACTGTGGATCTCTCGTCCTGAAACCATCATCCGTGCTAGTGTACAACATCAAGATGAATTTGCATCTCTTGCATCATCGAGCTCTCATGGACTTTTTCTAGGTCACACTCTTGAACCCGTTGGCCAGTGATAACATACGCCAGGGCGTCAGACTGGAGCCACCATGACTTTGGCTAGAGTGTCCCCATACCCTGGACAAGCTGGACTTCAGCAAGACCGCATAGCAGTGCAGAGCCTCGGTTCAGGATCGTGAACACATCTCGAGTCACAATCTAAAGAGTCTACCGTTGCGTTTGCGATGTAAGTCACCACTGCCGTTCGTGTTCATCATCGTATGTGCTAAGCAGAACTCGAAATGCGGCAGAGTTGTATGTATGCATCATTCTGAACACCGAACTTCTGCCCATCAGTTGCTCACAATGCCAACGACGATCTCCGACTCTACACGCATACAAGGTCCCATATTTCAAGCAGCTCGCTATCAATTGGCATATCTCTCGCAGCTTGGACGTTCTCATTCATACATAGCAAATTTCGCTTGTTCGGTTCCTGGGGCTCCAGATACCAACCCAGATGTGTTATATTTTGACTCTGGCTGGACATGTGCACTATTGTATCGATTTACTTCATGCAGGTGAGTTTAAGAGTCTCATTTAGTGTTTCCTTCAACATTCAAATAATTTTAGGAAACGATTGCTTCCAAGGAGGATATCCTTGCAGGAAGTTCATATCGAGATGCTGCAGGCAGGGTGGCTCAGGACGCCAACAACGCCGGCACCACTCTTAATAGTGGTGCGTGTTTCAGTGTGTGCATCATTTCCCCCCTTGCATATAATCAGAAGACTCACTCCCTCCCCATCCTCCACCCGATGTCCTAATCCTGACGGGGCTTCAGCGGTAGGTTCAAATTCGTACCAAAAACTACAAGCAAGGTTTGCTCTGACGAGCAGGACATTGATTTACCTATATGTTTGATGTCTGTGAAGAGCATGAAAAGCGATGTCCGGGCATACGAAAGAACTACGTAGGACGTTGTACAGCCTGGTTCCAGATTTGGTTAGAGAATAATCTCAGCCTCGTCCTCGCACGCAACTTTTACAGCTTCTTTCTCTGCTGTGTCATTGTGCCTTTCTTGTTTTGTGGCCTACTGGTGCTGGTGCTGGTGCATCATCGTCCCGAGATGTTTTCTTCTGAGGCGTTCCAGACAGTTGGATAAATAAGGTGGGGGAGCAATGGGAATATGGAGGGACATATAGCTGAAAGTTGATGTCACTCGTCGCGATCGATGGCGCAGCAGGAACTGCAGGACCCGGATGCTGTGGTTGATCATGATGAGCGGTGTGCTAGATTCTTAGGATGGCACAGATGTTTGCTTGGTATCACATTATTCATCCCTCGCGGTGGGGACAGGATGGAGGCCCCTGGAAGCTCCAGCCAATGTACCCCCGCGAAATAGCATCTTTGAGGGCGAAAATTTCTGTCCGGAGATTGCATTTTTGGAACCAGGAATCACTGAAGCCCTGTCCGGCTATTGCATCTCCTCTGTCAAGTTTTGTCAGTGGCGAAGCAATTTCTCGGGGAGTGACGCAGTCCACAATGCGCTACGTGAGGATCAGGATCACACCATAACCGACATCCACCGGTGTCCGAGTCGAGTCCCTGTCAGGACATGATGCCTCCAAAAACACAGCTCACTTGACGACGACAAGGGCTGCTGGGGCCTGGCAGCAACCTTGATATTGTCCGTCAGATATAACATGTCCTCGTATGTTCTTACTCGGTGGTGTCTGGGCCTGTCATGGCTCGTGCACTAAGAGAACTGACTCACAGCTGTTAATGCCAGTAGAATGATTGTCAAGAGATTTATTTAGACCATCAGTGTCACAAGTCGGATCTACAACTAAGTACAGGTTGATGAGGTGACTCTTACCGTCAACAAGTGCGAGTCGTGATAATGGGCCAGTGCCAAGTTAAGCGCGGTTTTTTTCCGTTCATTTGTCAGTTCCGTGCCCACTGCATTCTATAGCTGCTGCTCGTCAAAATATTAATCCATAAGTTCGAAAAACTGCATTCACGCTAGCATCATGAGAATGCAGAATCTCTTGATCATCGGCAGAGGCTCAACCAAGAGCTCCCAGGGAATAAAACTGAGCTGCAAGCTGGAAAAATCCAACTGCCTGAACATAGTGTTGTGGGAACAAAGAGTTAATTTCCAAACCCTTTGATTTAGATGAATTGAATAATCAAACGAAAAGTAAATATACGATCAAGGACCTTAGATCCCAACCCCCGGCACTCCCTGCTGCTATTCTCTCCCCCTGTTTGCATCCCTTAATGTCCTCCCCACACCCCTATGAATTTGTACAACAGAACAACTGACTCCTCTCGTTCCGGATAATGTTGCATGATTTGGTCAGTGCGACATATTCTCCCGGACACGTGTCCCCACACGCCAACCAACGGCATGAGATGGGACCGCACGCGGTGTCTGAGCTCTGCATGGCTCTTGCACTAAGGGGACTGACAGCTGTTGATGCCAGGAGGATGATTGTCAAGAGATTCATCTAGACCATCGGTGTAATAAGTCGGATCCAGGTTGATGAGTTGACTCTTACCGTCAAAAAGTGCGAGTCTATAACCAGGGTTAAGTTAAGTGCGAGTTGTTTTTTGTTCGTTCGTTCGTCAGTTCCGTGCTCATGCGCTTTATGGCTGCTGCTCGTTGCAATATTAATCTATACGTTAGCATCATGAGAATGCAAAATCTCCTGATCATTGCAAAACACAAGGGTCAAGCCAATGACAACGGGACACGCAAAAACACAAGGGTTTCCAGCAAGCCAATGACAACAAGACACACATGTTACTATCCTCATCTCATTCATTTTCAGGGATAAAGGTTAGCCGCGGGTAACCGAAGCTGGAAAAACCCAACTGCCTGAAGGTAGTGTTGTGGACAACAAAGAGAGAGTTGATAAATATTCCAAGGACTCTGAATTAGACGAATTGGACCCTTCATCAACTTCCTTGTAGCGCCGACGGTCGCATAGTCATGAAAGAAATATTCAGAAGCTGATATCTGTAAGCTCATTTGTACCGCACCTCGAATTCGAATATCCTTACTATTCCGCAGGTGTGGTGGCTACTGCCCTTTCCTTGATTGATCCTTAGGTCTGTACAGTCATTGATCCAGAATAAGTTTGATGCTACCATAGACAATCTGTGAGGATATTTAAATTTATCACAGCTTAACGTATGAGCAGAACTAATGCATATGACATACGTACTATAACGGTGCTAGGGAGTTAGAACGTTTAGTGTTCGCTGACGAATACAATTGCCATGTCCATCCCTGAATTAATACACATGCTAGTAACGAACACTCGTTGAATCATTACGTTGCTTTGCAATGTCAAGGCGGTCAGTCGCAATTTGATGTGCTCCCGCTGTGACGAAGATACATTATAATTGATACGCAAATGTTTTGACACGTACTGGGCGATCACACCGCTATTGAAATTCACCCTCAGCACAGGTTAGTTATTTACAGAGATGAAAAATATCAATCGTAAATGATCTTTCTGGTATACGGTAACATTGTTAAGATACCTCCGACGAGACATTGCGCTCGGTGGACCGGGCCAGCGAGGCGGAGGCGCTGCTGATGATCATTCGGTCAATCAAAGCCCGAACGACCATTACCCCCATAACACTCGTTTCTGCGATAATAGCGCTGTATAGCCTGAGTGGTATATCTAATACGAACACCATGATCACACGTCCACCAAGTTCACGCTTGCTCACATCCATCCTCAAACAGCATGGTCCTAGTAGTCTCAAATGATCCCAGTTGGTGGCCGCTCATTAATGTGACTCGTATTGCCAGCTATTTTGTAGGTTCGTGCGAGCCAGGCGGATGATGTCTCGATGTAACCTTGACTACGGTTTTGCAGTTGCCTCTTCTGCTGCAGTAATGTATGATTGGGGTGAGCAAAGTAGTATTATCAAGAACCACTGATACACATGATATTTCCAGCCCTGACATTCGCACAAGAGGTATGTTGATGCCATGACTGCGGCAGCCATCTCGCTAAGAATATTTTTATAGGTCGAACTGATCTGGGTGAGCAGAGTGCCTCATCGGAAGAATAACATGAAAATACGATTAATTCGTGACAGAGGCAACGTTGGTCCCTCATGACTTTTATGTATCTCGGTGTATGTAGCTCTTGCCTCATAAATGTGGCCGGCAGGTTGTGCTAACTTTAATTTGCCCTAGGTGCGCTATCTTGGACTAGTATATGCTGTGTATGTGTGCAAGGTTAATCACTGGCACCCGGAGCTGCGCTAATCAGTCATTTCACACATCAGCAACAGCATACTGTGTATGTCTCACCGCATCCACTATACGTGTTCTTCTGACAAGCGACATACAGTCGATACCCCAACAATCTCGTTGACCGTTGTAGTGAGTATTCTGACTCGATGCCCGCCTGTTCCAATCGATTACACTCTCATGTAGGAGTAAGTAAGATTCTTGACCAGCTTATTCGTTCAATATAATGACTGCCACAGGTGTGAGTTTGTTGCGAGAGTGTATGATCCTGATTCCCCAAGGTTACTAACTGGATTTGTCAGGTCTGGTTTTGTGCATCATACAAGATTGGACGACTATCATTGTAATTGCAATACTGGGCGGTGAGCCACGCAGCTGAAATAACTCAGTGATATTGAACTGACTGAACCATCACGCAAGCCATCATGATCGCTCGGTTATACGCCATGTATCAGGGATCCAGAAAGGTGTTGATACTTCTCATTGTCGTCTTCCTGCCTGTCAACGTCGTCTGTGGAGTGATCACCGTGATATCAATAATGAATACATCCGCCGGTAAGCTGAATTATGGATAAAAGACCCAAGGACGTAAGGCTCATTGACGAATCCCAGAGGAGCTCATTCTCTCCGGTATCCATCTCTGCACCATCGACTTTGAGGGAGACGTCCAACTTCTCAATTCCATACCTTGGATGCTCACCGCTGCATGGGAGATCCTCGCACTTTGTCTCGCAGCCTGGATTGCTGTAAAACACTTCCGTGAATTGCGACGACACTCGACAGGAGGGAGTATCGGGGACTGTTTCACAGTGTTAATGACAACTCACGTGGTCTACTTTGTAAGGTAAGCTCATAATGTGAATGTGGTTCTCTTTCCGCTGAAGCTCCGGACGTGCTAGCGCTGTTGCTGTTTCTTGCTTCCAGTTGGGTTATTTGTCTCCAGCATTATCAGCGGTATGCCTATCTGTCATTTACCTCTGCATGGATCTACGGTTCATCGTGTTTACAGTCATACTCCCCAGAAGTTATGATTTATGACGGCATCATTGAAATTTTCGTGGTCGTGCAGATGTTTGTGCTGGGACCGCGCCTGATCCTTAGTGTTCGAGAATATAACGCTAAGCTCGTGGCCGACTCGGATGCAGCAACTGCCATGACTTCAATTGCATTCCAGGAGCGCGTGCATGTAGCAACTAGCAGCAGTGTGTAGTGCGAGAGATGCTCAGTGTGATTAATACTCGTCGAGTACTCTGCAGGGAGCAGGAGAATATGCGTGTTCATTCCAAGTTTCGTCGTGGTATTTATTGGTGTTCTGGAGTGGGAGAATTTGTTTTTTTTGGTTCCAAATTTCGTCGTGGTATTTATTCGAGTTATTTGATGTTCCGAACTTGTAGATTTGAAAGAGAAATATGTCTGTACAATCCCATCACTTACACTAGTTGCATCGCCACTGTCGCTAACTGCCCGCACGAAGTGGCAAACAGGAACGTTTCGCAACGTTCCTTGAAGACAGTCGTTTGGTAAATTTCTCTGCGATGGAACATTGATCCTTAACGCACGGATTTTTTAGTGCATGCAAGTTACATAGATACTAGGTGTCCTTACATAGGAGATTCGTAGACTTGACCACGGGTGGAGTTACGCACTGTAACGATAGCCGACATCGCGTCACTATTTTACTCTAGATCGTACCTCCATACATCCAAGCGCCATTGCTTGGCGAGCTGAGGGGTGGTAGCGATTTGCCTGATTTCCTCTTCGTCTTCCCGTTCCCTTTTTCCTTTTTTGTCGGGAGGAAATAGTCCGATGGTATAACCGACGAAGACCTGATGGACGAGTGAAACAATGATGGCAATAGTTAGTCGTGATATAGGCGCACGCATAGGGAAGCGACTCGGAGGTGGTATGAGTGATACTGCAAAAGTGACCTTTGGGACGCATGTCGTGTAGTAGCAGGACCAGTTAATGAGAGAATATTAATAAAGGCCGGGGGACTCGAGTGTGTTGGAAGTGTCATCAGTACGAGATATGGGATAATCTAGACAGAAGAAGGTCGTATTGGGAGTATAAAAGATGTTCTCCGTGTGTAAGAGCAGCGCCTTGTAACGCCTAGAGGGCGATGAACATGACTGCTTCTGGTAGACAATCGCGTTTTCGACATCACAAGTGTATTGTCTCTTCCGGGAATGCTACTGGTGCTGGTGCGGGCTTATCCTCGTCCGACGAAGAAGCGTCTTCTTCCGACAATGCGTCCCAGTCGCTGTCGAAGGTCGAGTACGGTTGTAGCCCTAACTTAGCCTATGTACGTACTACGCTTGGGTAAATTTTCTGGCTAGATTAGCGCTCAAAGTTAAGCTTCGATAACGTAAGCGATGTTGTGTGACACACACTTGGTCTTGTTGTTCTTCATCGTCATCAGAGTCTTCTGCAGCCCCGTTCATGGAGACGAACGGTTAGCAGGTACGGTGCAATATCATGGAGACTATGACCGGCATAAAACTCGATAGCATTCCCCGATGCCTCAAATTTTGTTAGATGTCTCCAAAATGTCCCCGGTGGATCATCAACTCAGCTCTGATGGCATCTGATGGGTCTGTACCATTTCTCTGGTTCTAAGTCCTGAGCGCTAGCACTGAGCCACTCATCCCCACGTCTACCAGGTCACCAAAAATTACCTTACAAGGTAAAAAAAATAAAAGTGTTGAGAGGCAATCAAGGCCTCTCCCAACTCTTTTGCCTTCCCTGCTAACCGAGTGGCTCGTCCCTTATGCTCAGACCATCGCACACAATTGCTTTGCGCTTTTTGCCTTTAAAGGCAGAAACGCGCGCTGCAGAAAAGCAATCGTACTGGATGTCCATAGCATGCCAGGTGCTTAAAAGGAAGCGGGAAAAATGTGTGGATCTGCCACAACACACGCGCTATTCATCCACACCGGGGATTTAATTCCATCCCGCAGATCGTCCACATACTCTTCTCTTCTCTCAAACCCTATCACAAGATGCCTGCTGCAAACCGCGTTCACGTACGCTTCAAACCTACCTGCTGCATCGCCCCTTTTGTACTCATGACACATTCTTCACAGACACCTGTTGATTGCCCTGTCTGCCACAAGACTGTGAGCCGCAAGGGAGATCTTCCTAGACACATGCGCACACACGATGGAAACAAGGAGGCTCTGTACGTGTTTGTCCCTCATTAAACCAAATGGTTCCTAACCTTTTTACTATCTTCATCAGTATGCACGCATGCCCCTTCCCCGACTGCGATTACAAGACCCTCCAAAAGTCCAACGTGCAGACGCACATCAGGACCCACACCCGCGATCGCTCAAAGACGTGCCCTCACCCCGGATGCGCGTTTGCCACCACTGATCCGGGCAGCTTGACGCGTCACCGCAAGCAACTCCACGGCTACGAGCCCAAAGCGCGTCGCAACCTCGGTGGCAGAGCTGCTCGACAATCTGCCACCGCTCCTTACCCCTCCCCACGACTCATGAATGCAGAGGTACAGACTCCTGCCTCGCTGGATCTCAACGCCCTAACATTTCCCGCGCTCGCAGACCTCATTAGCTGCGACGCACCCTCACCCGCTGAGAGCAGTAACTCCAGTCTCTCCCAACTCTCGTGTGACGTCGCCGATTTCTCCTGGGAGCAGCTGTTCCTCGATCTCTCAGATGACGGCTTCTCCTCCGTTTATAATCAGCCCTCTCGGCTCCCCGTCCCCGCCTCCAGCCACTTCCGGCCCCCAACAGTCCCCTTCGATCTCTCCACTCTCCACATGCCGCTGCAGTATGAGTCGGAGCTATTCTCCGATGTCGAATTTCAGTGTCAGCCCATCGCCGGAAACAATCTGAACTACTCCCAACCAGACATCCTCGAAGAGTTTTTGCAGAACAATGGCTCGGGATACTTTGACGGCTGTGGGTACCAGTACAACACAACATACCCGATGACCCAGCCAGCGTTGGCGAGCGGGTATAACGTCTATTGAAATCTTCACTTGATATCCTTCATTCGTTGTCACATACATTGTTCATTGCATCATCATTTGCATCTGTATTTCATCTTCACTGGAACACGACATTATCATTATTTTTCATTTGTATCACACCATTTGCATCTTCATACGCACTTTTAGCATTGCGATCTTCACTGCATAGGCATTGTGTTTGATTAGACGAATCTCAATGGCATCACTATCAATGACTCCCTTGAACGTGACTGATTATGTGTTGGAATCGGTGGCACTGTGGCACTTTGACTCTTAAGTACATCCACGACCGTGACTGCCCTACGCATCCATGATACAAGTGCATGAGCGTACAGCAAGTGGAAGATCAAAGAGGTTCGGTCGAGTACTTGATAGGTATGTAGCTGAACACTGAATCAACCAACATGAACCAAACTCTTAATCGAACTTCGCGCTTCCGCTTATCAAAACCCACAGTTTCACTGAAGAAGTGCTGTGTTGTTCTTACTGGCGCTGCTAGCACATCCAGTCTCAGACGCGAGGGTGAGTGTGTTGGTTTTTCAAACAGCATACTAACGCTCGCGTCTTGAACCGGGGAACAGTGCACGGAGGACTCACGCTCGTATGCGCGTTGGGGAGCGGGATGGTTTGTATTTGGTTACACGTCTCGTTGTGGTATTAAATATGTCATTTGGTGTTTCAAATTAGAATTGACAGAGAAATAGGTCTGGAGTCAGGACTTAGAGACAACTTGTCTCCTGTAGCCGTCGTCAATTCTTCTTCCAGCTGGACATCATTGCTACGAATCACCTCCATCTGATCCTGTCTCGTACTAGCCCTATTTTGTGTCGAAATCTCAGTGTTGTCCGGCTCGTCAACACTAGTATAGCGACTGTCTTCGTGACTAGAGATGACTAGTACGTTTTCGCCGTCCGGGGTCTTCACTGACCCTCCAGCTACATATCGTGATACTCATCCCTAACGATGAAGATGGGTATGATGTACAGATTTATCAGGCCATATGGTATATGGTTAAAATTAAGCATAATCCTCACTGACTAGCAATGTGATGGTTTTGCAAGTTTGTTTGTAGTCCACAGATCCTACACAATTAAGCTTAATGGCTTCTGAGTCCCTTGGTGATTCTCAGGCTTCCAAGAATAGCACTACCACCGGAAAAATCACCAAATTGGGATATTCCAATAATCTCACTATTCCCACATACCTCCCTGGCTCTACTGCTTCACCAGAGCTTTCCCCTTGCTCACTCATGTATATAAGTAGTAGAATGGCATGTACATACATAAAATGATACAATAGACCGCTTTTTTCATTGTATAAGAGCTTGTACAGTAGTCTACAGTGCTGACTACAATATGTGCATCCCAGGACTAAAACATATTCGCTTTTTTGCCCCTTTAGCAGGGGAGTTATTCTGACTATATATATCATATATTAGAGTGTTAATTAATATATTACACCGCTTGTTTGAGCCTCTGAAGTGTCCTACATTAGTAGATATGTTAAATTCATACATACCTCTCAAAAAACATAAACCAGTTTGCATTTTTTAGTGTTTAGGTATATAGACTGGTAAATATTATTTCTAACATCTATTCACTAGTATATACAATATATCAAGAGTATAGGTCAGTAGGATCAGCCCCTGGGGTCATATGTAATTACATCCTCCTGGTGGTTCACCCCCTGAGAAAGAATTTCCTGCAGCTCCGGCCCTCCAGGATAGTAGGTAGGCTGTTACTATGAACATATAGAATATATTCATCATATAGATATACCATAACAATTCCAGGATCCTTGTCTACAATCCAAAGTCACTTCCTGCCTACAATGTACCATATTTTCGCAATTTTGAGGTTTTTCACTACATTCTCACTACATAGACTATACAAGCTATTTATATATCCCTTATTGTACATATATGAAGCCTTCCAAAGGCTATGATCAGGTAGAAATGTGTCAGAGTAATGATATCAATGATATAGGGGCAAACCCCACAATCATACAAATGTCACATTTCAACCCTGTCTAGGGCGAAGATTTCATTAAAAATATGTAGAATACATTGTAGACTACTTAAATATGCTATATTAATATATGTTGTGAAGGTAAAGGTGATGTGGAAGTGTTGTGGTCTCAATTTGTTGCATTATTATGGTCTGACCACCCATGCATAGACTGTTGGTGCACAGTACTTTTTCGATGTTTGGACTTTTTGACTTTCCCACGACCTTTTTCTTATCTATTGCATTCCCCTGCTGTCAATTATTCATGGATCCTTCTGGTAGTCCAGGACTGTATTACCTGGTATATATTGTGTACCCCTTGATAGTCTGATTATAAAATTTCACTATATTCATGTCTGGGAATTCTTATCAGTGAGAATAGGAGATATGTGCTTGATATCATTACTCTGACATATTTCTACCTGATCATGGCCTTGGGAAGGCTTCATATATGTACAATAAGGGATATATAAATAGCTTGTATAGTCTATGTAGTGAGAATGTAGTGAAAAACCTCAAAATTGCGAAAATATGGTACATTGTAGGCAGGAAGTGACTTTGGATTGTAGACAAGGATCCTGGAATTTTTATGGTATATCTATATGATGAATATATTCTATATTTTCATAGTAACAGCCTACCTACCATCCTGGAGGGCCGGAGCTGCAGGAAATATTTTCTCAGGGGGTGAACCACCAGGAGGATGTAAATACATACAACCCCAGGGGCTGATCCTACTGACCTATGCTCCTGATATATTGTGTATACTAGTGAAGAGATGTTAGAAATAATATTTGCAAGCCTATATACTTAAACACTAAAAAATGCGAAACACTTCTTTTCATAGTGTGTCCTTGAGGAAGACAAGGTTACAGCACTACAAGAAATGGTCCTTGTGTCCTGAGCTTCTAACATGTGGTATATACATATAAATTTATTGTAGAGAGCATATTTACTGGACCATATGTCTAATACCTGAAAAATGCGAACTGGTTTATGTTTTTTGAGAGGTATGTATGAATTTAACATATCTACTGATGTAGGATACTTTAGAGGCTCAAACAAGCAGTGTAATATATTAATTAACACTCTAATATATGATATATACAGTCAGAATAGCTCCCCTGCTGAAGGGGCAAAAAAGCGAATATGTTTTAGTCCTGGGATGCACATATTGTAGTCAGCACTGTAGACTACTGTACAAGCTCTTATACAATGAAAAAAGCGGTCTATTGTATCATTTTATGTACATACATGCTAAGCTACAACTTAAATACAAGAGTGTGCAAGAGGAAAAGCTGTGGTGAAGCAAGTAGAGCCAGGGAGGTATGTGGGAATAGCGAGAATATTGGAATATCCATATTTGGTGATATTTCAGGTGGTAGTGTTGCTTTGGGGAGATCCAGATCTTTGGATCGTGCCTGGTATCATTTGGGAAGCATGCAAGAAGTGCTGTCTAGGACGTTAAGCTTCACGTCAACAGCTCCGAAACAAACTTGCAAAATGTGTTGTGTCTTACTGGGCATGGTGAAGCATCATCCTGCCATGAACAGGTGGATTTATTGGTGTAGTACGACCGTGATAAATAAGGTAAGTTCAATCGATCATGATTACACCCTATAATGACAACTGCAGCATTATCTTATTCCTACTTCAATCAGCACGGCCCAGGTATGCTGTTTATCTTCCAAGTGCGCATGGCAAGTATCAAGATGATAGGAAGTTGAGCATGGGGAGAGGTGAGCTATACAAAGAATGTATTCTAAGGGTACATTAGCTCGTTATCGAGAAGGAAAAGAACTATAGGGCTTACATCTCAGTATCTGGAAGAGACTGAGATGTTATGACGCTGGTGCGCTTATTTTAACTATGGGTAAAGTAGGGATAGAGTAGAAATTAGTTTGAAACCTATTCATGTAGTCACTTGGCTGAACAACTGCTCATTGCGCTCGTATCTATCACAACGTCAATCGTGTCGGTCCTCCTGTCCCAATTCGTCTGTATGCGACACTCCCCCTCGAGCGCAATCCCCTAGGCCCATGAGTCGACGAAGCTTCTGGAGTCAAGGACGTGGTAGTGGCTTGGTGAATGCGTCTGCGACATTGTCATCAGTGGGGCAGTACGTGAGGGAGAACGTGCCATTCTTGACGTGGCTCCTAACGAAGTGGTAGCGCAGGTCTATGTGCTTCGTGCATGAATGGAACTTATTGTTCGACGCTAAGGTGATGGCAGCTTGGTTGTCAGAGAAGATGGGAGTTGGGAGTTCGACTGCTTCGTACAGTTCGTCGAGAAGAAGCTGGAGGTATAGTATCTCTTGCCCGACAGTGGTCAGGGCGATGTACTCGGCCTCAGCGGTTGAGAGGGCTATTAGGGGTTGCTTCCTGGCACTCCAGGCGACAGGACCACCATTTAAGAGGATGATATAGCCCGACATGGAGTGTCTGTGCAGCTGGGAAGCCCAGTCCGCATCAGCATAAGCCTCCAGGCCTGCATCTGTACCTCCTAAAGTGATAGCGTAGGTGTCACTACCCTTCAGGTAGCGTAACACCCGCTTGGTGGCCTCCCAATGGGCCACTCCAGGGTTCCTCATGAATTGGGAGAGTGTCGCAACCAAAAATGCGATGTCAGGACGGGTACTTGTCGCGGAATACATAAGAGAACCTATGGCTCGCTGATACAGTACATTTTGCATTGCCTCGTGCTGGGCATGTGTGGCTGGCAACTGGGCGTCTGAGAGAACCACTCCCGAACCCATAGGGGTTTGGGTGGACTTGGCATCTGTGAGGTTAAAATGTTTGAGAACAGTGTCGACATACACCTTTTGAGACAGGGTGATAGTGCGAGCTGTGTGATCACGTTCTACCTTGAGACTGAGTAGCCAGTTGAGTTCTCCGAGGTCCATGATCTCAAAGTAATGGTGAAGACGGTCCTTGAACTGGGTGATGTGATGGAGGTGGTGGGAGGTGACTGCCATATCATCAACGGACACCGTTATAATGGTATGTTTGTCCTGTGAACGCTTAAAATAAATGGCCTGGTCAACTTGTGAGCATTTAAACTCCAGCTTCGCAAAAACTCCCGCTAACTCCTCCGACCACTCATATCCAGCCTGCTTTAATCCTGGTAAGCTCCTCTTTAACTTCAGCACCTTTCCCACATCTCCTGCCTTAAGATATCCAGGGGGCGTGTGCATATATATATCCTTGCGAAGCTCAGCATAAAGATATGCACTCTTTATGTCGACCTGGTGAACTTCCCAGTCTTATTGGGCCGCCATCGTTAAGACTGTACATATGGTGGACATATTGGACGTGGGAGCGAATGTATTGAAATAGTCGATGCCGTACTTCTGCCGTTGGCCATTCGCGACTAAGCGTGCGCGCAGCTTTAACTTCTCCCTGTTGGGTCCTTGTTTTGTCGCCAGGACATAGTGACAAGGTATGAGGTTGGCTTGCTTAGGTGCGTCCACTACATCCAGGTACCAAGCTTCTCGAGCTGGCTGATCTCATAGTCAACAGCTTCCTGCCATTCGACCGCATCCGGTCCATTCAAGGCCTGCTGCAGGGTGGGTTCGTCCTCTGCGCTTGCCAATGCTCTATGCTGCCATATGGTGAGTGCGTCATCATCTACAAAATCTGACTCGGCTGGTTCAAACAGGTTCGTCTCGGTCGCCACATTGGCAGTTTGGCCGCTATGAAGGGTTGCGTAGTAGCCTAGTGGGTAGCTGACTCGTTGCGGGCGTGGCGCGGGTGGCGTTTCGGGACACTGGGTTGGTCTAGGTGGTGTGGAAGGTGTTGGTGGGATGGGAGTAGGGTTCTGTGATGTCAGCAGGACGGATGTGTTAGGCAATGTGCCTATGGACTCCCCCTTGTCCTGCATAACATCTACAGCTGGAACGGTGAGTGGCGCAAAAGTCACATTACGCTCTACTGATACTCTGCGTTTTTCAGGCCAATATATCCTGAAACCCTTGCTCTCGTCATCGACACCCACAAAAACCGCCTCCTCAGTGCGGGCTTCAAGCTTCCCGACTCCCTCAAGACGCACATAGGCCTTCATACCAAATTCCCTGGCATTCGTGAGTGATGGGCGACGATTATGAAGGAGTTCAAAAGGAGTGCAATTGGGGATAGCGCTGGATGGTAAGCGATTCTTGAGCCACATTGCATAGTTAACTGCCTCTGCCCATAGGTACTTGGGGAGGTCACGACCCAACAGCATAGCTCGCGCTAGGGCCACCAGGGTACTGTTCAAACATTTGGCTACCCCATTTTGTTCGGGTGAGTCATGGACTGTCAGTTGTCTCTTGACTCCCTGCTGCTTTAGGTACTGATCGAATTCTCCACTCAAGTATTCGCCTCCCCGGTCAGACTGAAGGGTCTTAACGCGAGCTCTCTCTCGCTGTCGCGCCAGCCAGGCTTTGTATTGCTTATATGCCCCCAATGCTTCGCTCTTATGCTTCAGGAAGGTGAGTTTGGTCTGCCGACTATAATCGTCGGTGAAACTCACATAATATGAGCAGCCACCTATACTCGCCATCTGTGCTGGTCCCCAGAGGTCGGTGTGGATGAGTTCTCCATAGGACTGTGCACAGCTCATGGTCTCCTTCGGGAACGGTTTTCACGTTGCCTTAGCTTTCGCACAGATGTCGCAAAATTTGGGCTTGGAGGCTGGGTCGATGCTCACCCCCTCTATAAGACCCTTCCGCAGAGCCTCAAGCAGGGCAGTCTGCGATACGTGCCCCAGTTGACAATGAAGCTCCATGATGGTGAGTTTAGAGGTGGCAATATTCGCGTGCTGTTGCTGACGCTTCGAGATGATGGTATACAGACCCTCAAGCTGGGGGATTTCAGCTATGACATGGCGCTTGGGACCTGGGGACAAAATCTTGCACATTTTTCCCTCGAAGAGAACAGCGAGGCCACTAGAGGTAATGCGATTTGTGGATATTAAAGTGAAGGCCATGCGCGGTGCATAGAGTGTGTCCTTCAAGGTCACAGTGGTTCGCTTCTCGCCCAGAGGGAGATCTATACTAACGTCTCCTCTGCCTACAGCACTGATGTTCGACCCATCAGCTGTTTGGATATCCTGGGGAGGGATGGAAACATAGTTGGCGAATTTCACGCAGTCAGGACAGAAATGGGCTGTGGCGCCCGAATCGATGATAGCACCACGGCAATCTGGGGGTACATTGAGGCTTTCGGCAATACCTGCTAGATCTGATGTGGCGAAGGCATAGTTATCCTTCACCTCACTCTCGGCTGCAGTGTTAGCCATTTGCTTCTGGGAACGATTACCCTTATTGCAGCACTGATTAGGGCCTTGTCCCTCCTTTCCGCCTCCTGGTCTCCAGCAATCCGTTTTGTAATGCCCCTTTCGGTTACAATTGAAACAGGTTACATCTGGATCCTTTGGACTTGAGTTACTGGAGTTCTGACCTCTGGCAGTGTTCGCTTTCGTGGTCAGTGCGGAGTTGGAGCCCCTTTTAGTGGGTCGAGTTAGAAGGCAATGTTTGTATTCCTCAGAGACGACGCTGATTAATTCGTTAGGGCTGAGTGGGCTCTGAAGGATCTTTGCGGTAGCATTGATCGAGGATAGGAGAGGTCGATACGACTCTGGGAGTGAGCCAATGAGTATGGCGTGGAAGTCCCGGTCCTCAACGGCTGCGCCCACTCCTGCTAACGACTCACGCAGTCTCAGGAGCTCTGCGAAGTGCGCCTTGACATCACCATTTTCCTCGCACCTCAAGTCCTGTAGGCGATGACGGAGGTCTATTTGGACCAGCTCTGTTTTTCCTTCGTGGATGTCACATATTTCAGCCCAGATCTTCGAGGCTAGCTTGAGCTTCTGAACACGGAGGAGCAACCTGTCCGTGATGGTACTAAACATTTGTTGCTTCACCAACGAGTCCTTTTGGAAGAACTCGTCGATCCTCTTGTCTAGGGCTTCAATCTCTGCCTCCGTTGCTGGCATCCTGTCACCCCTTACTGGTGTGCCGGTTGCCTCATCTATAGTGAAAAGCACGGGCTTCATGGAATGACCATTGGCATAACGCATCAGTCCTCTGGCACCTATGGCCGTCAAAGTTCGTTCTTTGTACGTTATCCAGTTCGATCCGTCCTCTGCTAGTTTTGGGACGTTGAAAAGACCTGAGTTGGTGCTAGGGAGTGCGGTATCCATTGTGGCCGTGTCAGGGCTCATAACCTATCAAGATGATAGGAAGTCGAGCACGGGGAGAGGTGAGCTATACAAAGAATGTATTATCTCAGTATCTGGAAGAGACTCAGTATACGTGAATAGTACCTATACAAAGAATGTATTCTAAAGGTACATTAGCTCGTTATCGAGAAGGAAAAGAACTATAGGGCTTACATCTCAGTATCTGGAAGAGACTGAGATGTTACGACGCTGGTGCACTTATTTTAACTACAGGTAAAGTAGGGATAGAGTAGAAATTAGTTTGAAACCTATTCGTGTAGTCACTTGGCCAAACGACTGCTCATTGCGCTCGTATCTATCACGACATCAATCGCATCGGTCCTCCTGTCCCGATTCGTCTGTACACGACAGCAAGTGCGTCAGAGCATGAATACAGGACATACTACAATGTGGTACTGCTGTACAAACATGGAGTCCGTGCATGACAAGCGCTGTAAATGCAATGAAATATGCACTTCAGTACTCCATGATCTATACGCAGATGGACATGCATTGTTTCAAGCGACATAATATGATACTTGAAGGCAAATTCAAGGTATAAGTTGTCGTAGCCAATGCTGCGTCGTTCCCCCCCTGGCCCTCTTATGAATACCCCACGACTCAGAGTCATTCAATCATCTTCTCAAACCATTTTACATCAATGCAATGCCTTCAGAGTGACACTCCCTCAGTGGACGCAGACTCAAGACTGTTGTGGCGGATGAATCGTGTCTCCCATAGATAGACCCAATAGCAGGAAGATAATCGTTCCTTCTAGACGAATCACGGTCAGAGCCTCTTTGAGCGCAAACATGCTTGACGATGCTCTCGCCTCGTACTCTCTTACACTCAAACATGTTGAACGCCAAATGTAGTTCCTAGCATCATTGCATTCAGTATGACCTAGGGGTTATTAAAATAAACATAAACTCACGCGTCTTTTATCAGGCGACAGTTCATCCTTGTAAGACAGAATTCTCTGACACACTCCCACTCGCCCAATACGTGCAAACAGTAGAGTTCTATGATTTTGTGGTATGGTTCCCCTGTGGAAGGTACAAAGTCATATTGACCGCGTTTCGACAACCAATCCTCTATTATCTCGCAACCGATATCTGACCAATCTATCTTGAGGGTGGATGTGATGAGTGTGATGAGGACTTGGTACGGAAGAAATGCGGAGCTAGTTTTTCGAGGACAGGACTAAAGAGTAAAGAATGTGAGAGACCGGGCATACAATGTGGAGATAGAATGATTGAGGAGACAAGAATAGGGATTCTCGGAGTGGTTGTGGTAAAGTAGTGAGGTATGGGATGAAGAGAAGATGGTGTTAGTGGATTTGAGAGTGATGTGAAGGATAAGAAGAGGATTGGCAAGACGAAGGGAGGAAGGTATGGCTAAAGAAGATTATTCTTCGTCGTGATCAATATTAATGACACAGTTGGAGCAGGAGCATCGTCGGATGCTATGCTTCATTGTGGTGAGTGTTGGGGTGATAGATACATAGGAATGAAGAGATTGTTTTTTACCCTAGTCTGACATGGTATGGTATCGTTTGTCGCTTGTAATGGCCATGTGTAGGTAATGCTGTAAGTGCAGTGTGGTCTGAGCGATACATCGAAGAAACATCAATATTGGGCCCACAATGTGGCTGCATCACAAATGAATTTTAATATGACCCAACTTGGTCGCAACCAGTGCCAAAAGCCTAAAGCTCACCTGGACCTCACCTATTACTTAACTAATTAGCTTGGTATTCCCAGGGGGGAGCACCAACCTAATTAGCTCGGAATCTATCAATCACATACACTGCCAGTATATAGCTCAATAAATCCTGAATATCTATACTTAGAGAAAACAAGTCCCTTCAACCGTGAGACTATATCAGCAGGCTATCGGGTACTGCCGTAAACCCGCCCCATGTACACAGATAAGGCAATACCATTAGTCATATGTGTTAGCCATTGTCGGCAATGTCTGCAATGGTTGCGCTCGTCATTGACAACGACAAGCTTGTGATATTCTCCATTTCTTACTCAAATTTGCAGCTTTTTTTTATTCATGCATGCAGATATGCTCCTGTCACCTATCCCAGCCTCCACAACCACCACAACCATGCAGGAACATTGACATTATTGCCAACCTTCTGTATGACATGCCCTCATTGATTGTAGAGGCTATTTCTACTCCCTTCCCTCCCTTCCCTCCTTCACTACCCACTATGGATGCCACCTGCTCCCAAACACTTTAAAGGACTCTCCTGTGCTGTCCACATCAAGGAAGGACATCAATATGAGAGGTTTTCAGAACGATACATCAAGCAAAGCGGTTTTGCGCTGGAGAGAGACAATGGTCAGGCCAAGTACATGTTGGATATCAGCGGTAAGCCTAACGATCTCATTGTTGTTATCTCTGAGCTCAATCTTAGTAGGTCTTGCTATGGAAACACTTGGCGCATTGAGTGAAATGCACTCAGACCCTCCAATGGACGACACACCATCCGACACTATTGCAAAAGACTTTGGTGTTGAAATGGAGTGGGAAACACTTCCCCAGCATTTGCAGGAGAATGAAACCTTTGTCTGCACAATCCAGGACTACACAGACGCTCTGTAAGTCACCCACACTAATGTCATCTTGTCTTTTCATCTGAAGCATACAGTTGGATTGGCTGTCGCTACAAGGATTCGAAAACATGGTGTCAACGACTTCGCAATATTCACACTAACTGGGCTACACTCATTCCCTCACTTGTTGATGCCTACCTCCAGTGGAAACCTTCTACCTCTTGTCATTGTCACTGTTCCATGGATGAACAGGCTTACTGCGCCAATGAGTATGACTTTACTGTCAATACCATTGATATTTTCACTCTCGAATCATCAGCGTCTATCTCACAATCTGCAGATTGTCTTTCACCATCTGTTGCCCTCATATCTCATGGCTACACAGGCAACACTCCCCATCAACCCTCATTCGCTGTCGCTATTCAGACCCTCGAGCTCTTCTGTCTCCTTCGGCTTCGCAAGCCCTCATTGAGTGTAGAAGCATTTGCTAAGGTGATATGTGATACTTATGTGGTACATATATTCTCTGTTACCTGGAGCCTTACTCCCTTACTCATGTCTTACAGGTCCCTTACTGAAGATCTTATTGCACCACTCTTTCTAGCACGTTCGACACATATCTCACAGTTTTACGTGTGGTCGAGAAGCGAGTCAACACAGAGCTCCAATGCGACACTCCCAACTGGCGAGTGCAGCATGCATGTCTCCCCTACTCCTATGTACTGGCAAATGAGCCCCCACTCGAGTTTGGACGTATGTATGTGTTTGACGGAGGCAATTCAGCCAAGCAGATGTTGACACCTGGTGAACACCAAGCAGGGGACTTATGTGTATTCCAAGACAGTGATTATCTTCTTCCATGTACCTTTGTTGATGGCTTTGCGAACAAAGTGCACCTGAGATTGGACCCTGACATTATGAGACCCACCGAAGCTGATGTTGTCGCTGAGACAGATGATGACCTGCTGGTGTCCGTCTCCTCTCAAGCCATCGCTGCTGAGTGCAGCAAAAATTGGAAGGCTGCTGCATCTGATGAGGAGAAGAGAATGTGGAATATTTTTGATGAAACAGGGATTTTTGTATGTGCTTGTCACCATGGCTTCATATTATGGTATGCCAACATGGTGCAAAGTGGTGAGCTGTATGTCGCTTCTTTTTGATTTACAAAAGTCGACGCTAAATAATAGTACACAGTGCAAAGTACCCTCTCTCCATCATTGTGAAGGTTCTTGAAGTCCTTGGTGAACATTCTCTTGGCGCATATGACATCGGATGCGGATTTTCATCCACCATAGAATCCAGCAGTCTCGGCCCACTGTTCAAGCAAATGGACTGTTGCATGTGTGTGGATGTATTTCATGGGTTTGTGCATAACTACAAGTGCCAGACAAGGCACCATCCTCATGGTATCAAAGGTGCAGGTCTGGAAGACTTCGGCATGGCTGAACATATATTCTCAGCATTGAATGCACTTGCTCCAATCATCTGCTATGCCAGCGCTTACAATCGGCACGTTTCTCTCGACATGTTTTTCAAACAGTGGGACACTAAAAAGTATCTGAATCTTGCCATGATGATCTTCAATAACTACCGTCAGGCTCTCGATATAATCACACATGAAACTGTTATGTTAGCTGAGGCCATGGCATCACTTGGTATTATGGAGGGAGACTTCCCACTGTGGCAACAGGAAGAAGTTCAGTACTTCAGTACACTTGGGCAGGAGCTGGAGTACAATGTCCATGCCATGGTATATGTCGATCATCTATCACATCCTCCCTCTTTATCTCCAGCGTGCCTACCGACTATCAGTTCCAGCCCTCTCAAAACTCATATGTGGCTGAATTGTCTCACACCTGCAAACTTGAAACTCAACAGCACTACCTTGCTGAGAAGGTTGATACAGTGCAACGTGAAGTTCTTGTGATGGAGGTTAAGATGGGCATAAGCCAACACTGGGAACCCTCTTCGCCAGAATATCAAGCCACTATGAAGTATATGACAACACAGGAATATCACTGCACTCTAGACAATCTGCAATGGCTCATGGTGCAACGTCTGTTTGAACTACAGCGACTCAATGTTGCACAAACAGGTAAGTTGTAGCGTGATTTTTAAACTCTTTATTAACATAATCTACAGCATATAAAATGCAGACACAAATCTCGAAGTCCCTTCAAACACGTTGTCACGCTATTCAAAATGCCATCAAGAAATACAATGAGGCTGCTGCGAAGTTGGAACCTCCACAACCTACACTTGAATGGTCCAAAGTCTCTCACTACCAGTTCCTTGATGAATTCACTCTCCTGTGCAGCACATGTCAAGATATTTGTGACAAACCATGGGCGAAGCCAGCTATATGCAAGACCATGCACCAACACCAACACATTCAATGAGCACACAAAGAAATTCTCTGCTGCAATGTAGAAATCCGAAGACTCCATTCTGCCATCCTGGATGAACAGTGCCACTTCAAAAAGGTTATTGGGGAGTTGGAGGCTGCAGGATCACCTTTGCTTGTAGTGGTGCAGGAGGCTGCTAAGATCTGCACTCTTGTTAATCATCAACTTCTTGTATGCATCACTCAAGTCTATTCTCTTCCTGGTTTCACTGGAAACCCCTCCCCTGGCATCAGAGAAGGTGTGGTTGCAGAGGAGGACCCTGTGAATGATGACCTTGAACCTCACAACGAGATGAATGTACCTCACAGTGATAATGAAGGTGATGCATTGGAGGAGGATGACCTCTGCACAGATATAGGAACTGTTGTAGAATATATCTCAGACTTAGCTCATACTTCAATGTGATTGTTTTACAGACATTTTAACTCAATGAATGCATTGGAGCCTCGAAAGATAAATCAATAAAGTATCAGTTGCTGCAAAGTCATGTAAGATTTGTGTGTGTGTGTCTATGTGTTGAAGCATTGAATCAATTACCAATCAATCAGCGTCAATCAGCATTCATATCACCATCTCTCTTGCAAACTCTCAAGATCTCACCAACCGCAGACTCTCAAATCTATCTTATGTACTTGCAGAGCTCTATGTGGGCGATAATTGGAGGAAGGGCACCAGGGATCTATGACAAATGGTGGGCTTTTTTGTGAATCAACATTCACATCTTCTAATGCCGACTGACAAGGCCATTCATCACCTGCGGGTTTAGAAGCCCATCTTTTCCAATTCCCATCAAGATGGACATCAAGAAGGAAGCAGACACTATCTATTCATGCCTTCAGCCCATTGCAAGCCAGTTTAACAACTCAACACCACCAATCCAGGTCGCTCATGTATACTATCTGTCTGAGAGTGTTCGAGAACTTTTTCTTGGTTAGATGAGAAGGTTTTACGCTGTCGTGGTGGGCCATGAATCTGGTATCTATTTTACTTGGTGAGTTTCAATATATCTACTCTATTCCTTCTAATCTTTTTTTTTAAGGGCTGAATGTCATCTCGCGGTCAATGGCTTTTCCAGACCTGTCTACAAGAAACTTGCTTCATTCTCAGAAGCTTTGGAATGGTTCATTACAAAGGGGCACCATGTGGGCAATGCCACTCATCAATGTTCTCGCAAGTCCACACCAATCACCCAAAGGGGGGCAACTTTGAGTACCGGTAAGCTTGTACTTTGATTGGATGCTTCATATTGCTCACCATCAGAGTTCTCATAGTTACTTCTGATATGGCTGACTTTCCACAGCTGCAAAACTTGACACTCGATGTCATGACGGGTGAGTTCATACTACTTTGATTTCCAAGCTAAAACACAATTATTGACAAACACTTCGCCCTAGATACTCATTTCGTGTCTACAGGGCATGTCCAGACAACTTCACACTCTCGCACGGGTGCTGCGACAATGGGGCAAGCCCAGATGCCTTCATGCTCTTGCTTGGGTGCTGCTCATGCTTGGTGAGTACCAGGTCAGGGACAAAGTCAACAGCCAGGTCATCAGCAAGTCTACCAACATGTACGAGAGATTTTGGGCATCCAAGACAGTCTTGATGAACCCTTATTTGATGACACTCCACTTCCGTCATTTGGAGAGCTCGCTGATCATTACTTACAGACTCATGGGTACACTCCCTGTGCAGTTCTTGTGATAGCACACTCCCTTGACACCACGACTACTTGTACAGAGTTTGTCGATGTACTATCTCATTGTGGGATGCCTACCACTGAGGTATTTTTCCTTTGGTCTTTGATCAACGCTGGTGATGATGATACAATCAATACTTAGTTGATTGTGAAAGTCATGTGTCTGTATATGAAATATGATGTTGTTTAATTTTTCTTCATGTGGTGTGCATTGTAACTCTGACTTGCACTTGCTCATACTCAGACCCACTGTGCAACATGTCAACTGCAAACAGCGAAGGTGTCATCTGCTATCTGGCGGCTATGGGGAAGTTACAGACATCCAAACCATGGACTCCATGGCACACACGCACAAAGGCACGCTATAGACTTAACACAGCTCAAAAGGCAGTCCTGAAGAAAAAATGAGAGGAACATCACATAGAATATAATGATGCCCTTGTAGAGGCTAGGGAAACCATCCACAACAAAAAGAACTTTTTCAAAGGTTCGGAAAGCACAATGTGGATTACTACTATGCTGAGATCATGCAACATTCACATCTTAAATCTCACAAGTGTGGTCTCAACCAATGGAATGCTTTTGTTTTGGGCAAACTGAAGGAACACAATGAAGGAACACAATCCTTCTCATGATTGGCCATCTAACTAACAATTTGGTCCTTAGAACTGGCACAGAATGGTGAAAGCAAGCAGAAAGTTGGCGCCTTCATGGCTGAACTTTCTACCCAGTGGAAAGGCATGACCATGGAGGAGCAGGAACTAGCTATGGACGACTTAATGCTCAAGATTGGTGAACAGCATGAAGTGAAGGAGCTCGCAGTCCACAATGTCCCATTACACACCTTTCACGACAGTAGAAAGACCTTAGAGTCCATGGATTGTGAGGTATGTATTTTTTTGCCCATGGAAACAAACCCTGACACTTGGCTTATAGTTAGAGGCCCTGCACACATGCACGGGGATGGAAATTCTTCTGTTCGCTGTCCATTCTGATGTCGACCATTATAATCGGCCTCACGTCTTTCAAACTGACTGCGCTGTGTCTTTCTTCAATGCTTGCTTTGGAAGTTCCATGAATCAAGTTGTGCTTTGCCTTGAAGGCTACAGTGTGGCTGGTGTGCAGGGTAAGTAGTACAGTGAATGCTGGCGCAATATTTTGAAGGCTGACTATTGTTTTTACTAGGTATGGCAAAGACTCACATACAGGAGGTCCTCAAGTGGAAGAAGAAGACCAGCGAGCTCATTTTAACAAAAATCTGTGAGTTGTCTCTTTTTCAAATGTCTCCATCACTTATCATTCATTTTTCAGAGGAAGCAGCCACTCCGCTGAAGATTTCACAGATGTACTATGTCAATTTTGACAACAACATCACCTCCAAGTACCATGTTGTCTGCAAGAACTGGCCACTCTCCAAATTTTGTTGCCCCGGGGATATTAGCTCTCTCAATGAGCTTCGTGTTCTCTTTCATGCCTTTATGATGAATGCAACTAAATTCCAGAGGCTTTCAGATATGGAGTTTCAGCAGTGGATGGAGCAGCACTTCCAGCAAGCATTGGCACAGTCTAGTAGGAACCCGAGCGACACCAGTGGTGATGACGCAAACTCCAACAACATGCACTCCAACAACATGCACTCCAACAACGCGCACTCCAACAATGCGCACTCCAACAATGCGCACTCCAACAGCGCCAACTCCAACAATGTGAACTCCAATGAGGCATACCCTGATGCAACAGTGACCAAGGCAAGCAGGACAGAAGATCACAACAGAAGGAAACGCAAGACTCCCCCAAGCATGCAATTCATCAACTCCATGTCCACCTCTGGTGGAATTGCTATGACAGTCTTGAAGAAGCCTTGTGCAACCAGGAAGGACAAAGGTGTCCCTTGAGGTCCAAGGAAGACAAAATCTCGTGTGGGGGGCACTGCCAGCGGCTCAGCCACTGAGGACCTTCCTGCAGCCACTGGTGGCCCTGCTCCTACCCCCACTACATCTTGATTACCACTCTCATTTTCTCCTGCTCGCTGCTCGTAGCTTGATTACCCTTACAAATGCCTGGTATCATCATATATCATTATATATAGTTGCTTTTGTGTTATATCTACTTGAATGAGTAATGGTTGAAGTATTTTATGCCCCTACATTGAAAAAATGGTGATTTTATACTTAAAATTGAGTAAGATATCAAGCTCGTCATTGTCGATGACGAGCATGACGGTTGTGAACATTGCTGACAATGGCTAACACATATGACTAACGGTATTGCCTTATCTGTGTACATGGGGCGGGTTTACGGCAGTACCCGATAGCCTGCTGATATAGTCTCACGGTTGAAGGGACTTGTTTTCTCTAAGTATAGATATTCAGGATTTATTGAGCTATATACTGGCAGTGTATGTGATTGATAGATTCCGAGCTAATTAGGTTGGTGCTCCCCCCTGGGAATACCAAGCTAATTAGTTAAGTAATAGGTGAGGTCCAGGTGAGGTCCAGGTGCTAAAGCTCGCGGTTCGTCTCATTGACACACGGTCTCATTCAAGGCTCACTTGAACAATGCTGTCCTTGTTAGTCTCCTCTAGCCAGACCAATCGAAGGAGGACAGTCGTTCCTTTGTATTCCTTACCGACGCCACTTTGGAACTAGCAAATCCTCTCCCAGAGGCAATCGTGAATGCGCGGAGGACGCGCAGTAGCTTCATGCTGCTATGCATCAGATGAAGGAGGAGGCGGCGCAGAGGGTATTTTTGGGCGGTATTGTGCCAGTGAAGGCGCGGCTTATCTTCCAATTATCATGGTGAGCCATGACAACATTTCGACGATCAATATTTTTATGAAATGATTTCAGAAAGCCCTGCACTAGGCGCGATGCATTTTCTTTGCTCCACAGTGCCCTCTCATTTGTGTTCTCGATCTAGGAATGGGCGTCGAACTTATATTCCAACTACGGATGACGTACACGTCGTCGCATAAAGGCCACGGTACAAATCAAGCATAGTGCTGGATTGACTTCCTCTTTCTACCTGACTTCATGCGAAATTACTTACTTCTGTCAATCAAGACAGGAACGGATATCAACCCTATGATGTTCGTTTCGCTGATAAAGCGCTGGATGGTACCTGGTATATGTAGCACGAACAAACGGTACGTCCACAAGTTCACCGCTCCCTCACCCATCCCCTAACAGTATGACCCTAGTAGTCTCAAATGATCCCAGTTGGTGGCCGTTCATCAATGGGGCTCTTATTGCCAGCTATTTTTCAGGTTCGTGGAGAGCTAGTCAATGATGACGGTGACGTCTAGATCTAACATTGGTTGCGGTGTCGCAGTTGCTGCCTCTGCTGCGGTGATGTACGATTGGGGTGAGCAATATTATATGCAAAGACATGTGATATCCTTATGGTAATTCCAGCGCTGACGTTCGCACAAGAGGTAAGTTGAGACCATTATCAGAGCAGCCGTCTCGCTAAGAATTGCTTTATAGGTCGAGCTGGTCTGGGTGAGCATTGTCCCACATTGGAAGAACGACGAGAAAATACAATTAATTCGTCGCAGAGGCAACGCTGGTCCCTGATGACCATTCTGTATCTCAGTGTATGTGGCCTGCGATTTTAATGTGGTTGGCAAGTCGTGACTTGAAAATATCCTAGGTGCGCTATCTGGGAATAATGTATGCTGTGTATGTTTGGAAGTCCAAAGTCTAAGCAATTGGTGTTGTCCTAATGAACCATCTCTAACAATCAGCCTAATCATTTTAGGTGTGTCTCCCGACATTCACCGTGATTATTTCTTCTGACCTATGCATACAGCTGGCATTCCAACAATCCCAGAGACAGAGACAGTGAGTATTCCGCACTGATGCCTGCTATTCCCGTCCAATCAACTGTGCTCCAATCTAGGGGTGAGTGGGATTCTTGACCAGTTCATTGGGTCAATAAAATAACTACCACAGCTGTAAGTTCTTTTCGAGTGCGTGATCCTCAGAGGCTGATCACACATTGGATTTCTGAGGCCTTATTATGTACCTCGCATCTGATTGGACGAGTATGGTCGTAGAGGTATTACTGGGCGGTGAGCTACGCACCTGCAATGCTTTAGTGATTCTGACTTGACTAAAACACCATGCAAGTGATCATTATCACTAGGTTACATGCCATGTATCAGCGATCGAGAATGGTGCTGATACTTGTCGTTGTCATCTTCCTGTCTGTCAACATTACCTGTGTAGTGATCGCCGCAATAGGAATGAGGCATACCTTAGTGGGTAAGCTTTTACTTATGGATGAGCGAGCTGGGCGCATGAGGCTCACTGGCAAACACCAGAGGAGCTTATTCTCTCCGGCACCTACCAGTGCATTACTGACTTCGAGGGAGATGCAATTCTGCATTCCATGACTTGGATACTCGGCACCGTATGGGAGGTCCTCGCACTGTGTCTCGCAGTCTGGATTGCCCTAAAACACTTCCGTGAACTACGTCGACAGTCAGCAGGAGGTATTATGGGGGACCTTTTCACGGTGTTAATGAAAACCCACGTAGTTTACTTTGCAAGGTGAGCTCACAATGTGAGTGTAGTCCTGTTTCTCTGCTGAAAGTCCGCACATGCCAGCTTTGTTGCTGTTTCTTTCTTCCAGCTCAGTTTGTTATTCCCAACGATCTCAGCGGTATGTCAGTCTTTCACCTCTGCATGCGACCACGATTCATCATTTCTATAGAACCCTTATTCCACGAAAGCTCATATTTATACTGGGATTTCTCAAGTTTTCATGTTCGTGCAGATGTTTGTGCTGGGACCACGTCTGATCCTTGGCGTTCGAGAATATCACGCTAATATCGTGGTTGACTTTGACGCAGCAACTGCCATGACTTCAATTGTTTTCCAGTCGCGCGTGCATGTGTCAACTAGCAGCATTGTATGACACAAGAGATGCTCAATGTGATTGGGCATTATGCAGGGAGTGGGAGAACCTTGTGCGTTTCGTCGTGGTATTTATCAAGTGATTTAGTGTTCCGGAGGGTACTTATTTTAGCTATGTTCCAACGCTTATAGAGTTGAAAGAACAATGTCTGCACAATCCAATCACTTGTTGTATCACCACTGTCGCTGCTGCCCACCCACAAGTGGCTTGCACAAAGTGGCAAGTTGAAACCATGCGGCACGCCTTGCAACTTCGCTGGAATACAGTTATTCTTTGTTTTCCCTGCGACGGGATATGTATCCCCAACACGCAGATTTATTAGCCTGCTAGGTATTGTTACATAGGACACAGATCAGATTCGTATGCTTGACCACGGTTAAGTTAAGTTACACTTGCTCGGTAACACGAAATAAATGGTCTAGCGCTACCGGGAGATATCAGAAGAGACTATACCTGTACATATCTGAATCCCCCACCACATATCGCAAGATCCTAACGGTATCCAAAACCGCCCTCACCAACTCGTTCCATACCCGTCTCGCGATAGAATCACCACGCGCTTGCAACAATCTCCTCCGTACCTGGTCTGCAGGCGTTTCAATGCGCCGTTGCCGCTGCCTCTGGATGATCAAAGACAGAAGAGGAATTATGAAGAAAAAAATGATTAAGGTAACTATCCTGTTAGCTGTGAAATATCTTCTGAAATAAGATCGAATGAGTGCAAAGTACGTTGAGGGCTGCGCAGTGGCGAAACTATCGTCGACTGATAGAACGCGGGAGATGCGAGAGTTGCGAACACGGCTTGTGCTTGTGCTTCCCCTAAGTGTGCTTTGGTCGTGGCGGTGGCGCGGGTATTTGGTTACGGTGACGTCTGAAACTGCAGATGTGGAAGATCCGGATTGTTGGCGGGTGATTTTTGGACTGGGGGATGCTGAGACTGCGGTGCGGGTGGATGTAGTAGAGAGAGATAAGGAGGAAGAGGAAGAGGATGGAGAACGAGGTGGGGGTATTGTTGGAAGGGGAAGGGAAGGAGTCTCGGGTTTTGGCATCTCTTGCCTTGTAATCTCTTGCGCTCGAGCATGTTGAGCCTCAAGCGCCAAATGTAGTCCCTGGAATCATCGCGTTCAGTAAGACCTAGTGATTATTAAAACAAGCTCATACGTCTTTTATCAGATGACAGTTCATCCTCATAAGACAGAAATTTTCTAACGTACTCCCACTTACCCGATACGTGCAAACAGTAGAGTTCTAGGGCTTTGTTGTATGAATCCCCTGTGGAAGGGACAAAGTCGTATTGACCGTGCTTTGACAATCAGTCCTCTGCTATCGCGCGACCGATATCTGGTCAATCTATCTTGAGGGTGGATGCGACGAGTGTGATGAGGACTTGGTGCGAAAGGAACGCGAAGCTAGGTTTTCGAAGAGGGGATCGAGGAGTAAACAATATTGTGAGAGACCGGGCATGCAAAACGGAGAAAAATAATTGGAGAGACAAGGATAGAGATTCTCGGAGTGGTTGTGGAGGTCTGGAGATGAAGAGAAAATGGTACCGGTGGTTTCGAGAGTGACACGGAGGATGAGAGGCGGATTGGTGAGATGAAGGGAGGAACGTACGGCTAGACGTGATTATTCTTCGTATTCGCCTTCCCATTTGCTGCTCACGGACTTTTTCATTGCGATAATTAATGGTGCAGTTGGAGCAGGAGCGTCGTAAAATTCTGTCCTTGATCCTGGTACACGAATGTTGGGGTAATACCAATAGATAATTGCCTCAGACGTGGTGAACGATCATTTTCAAAGTAAGGTAATAATTGGGTCACGTGGTTAATGAAATTTAATATGACACTCTTGTAGTCTGGTCAACCAAGGCAGCGCCGAATGTTCTTGGGCGATAGTGAAGGCGCGGCTTATCTTCCAGTTATGAGCGATGACGTTGAACGTTCCCATGATCAATTGATTAATGAAATCATTGAAGTGAGTTCATATAATCACAAAGTCGAGTTTCCTGTTCGGTCATGAATCGCTGCACTAAGTGTTTGTTCCACAGTGCCCTCTCGTTTCTATTCTCAATCTAAGAATGGGCGTCGAATATCCATCAGATATCGATTAAAAATGATCAACCAGGATGTATCTGTCTGTGCATGTATTGATGGTATCGTCGTTGCATAAACGCCACGATACGAATCGAGGCTCGAGCGTAGCGCTGGATAAAAACACCAAGAGCCTCAGGGAGGTCCTAGAATGTCTGGTTCGAGACTAGACTTTATGCGCGATTACTCACTTCTGTCAATCAATGAACCATTCCTATAATGCTCCTTTCGCCGATAAAACACAGGTTGGTGGTATATATAGCATGAACGAATAATACGTCCACAAAGTTCACCGCTCCCTCACCCATTCCCTAACAGTATGACCCTAGTCTCAAATGATCCCAGTTGGTGGCCGCTCATCAATGGGACTCTTATTTCCAGCTATTTCATAGGTTCGTGGAGAGATAGTCAATGATGATGGTGATGTCTAGATCTAACATTGGTTGCGGTGTCGCAGTTGCTGCCTCTGCTGCGGTGATGTACGATTGGGGTAGGCAACATTATATGCAGAGACAGGTGATATCCTTATGGTAATTCCAGCGCTGACGTTCGCACAAGAGGTAAGTTGAGACCATTATCAGAGCAGCCGTCTCGCTAAGAATTGCTTTATAGGTCGAACTGGTCTGGGTGAGCCTTGTCCCACATCAGAAGAACGACGAGAAAATACAATTAATTCGTCGCAGAGGCAACGCTGGTCCCTGATGACCATTCTGTATCTCTGTGTATGTGGCCTGTGATTTTAATGTGGTTGGCAAGTCGTGACTTGATAATATCCTAGGGGCGCTATCTTGGAATAATATATGCTGTGTATGTTTGGAAGTCCAAAGTCCAAGCAATTGATGTTGTCCTAATGAACCATCTCTAACAATCAGCGTCATCATGTTAGGTGTGTCTCCCGAGATTCGCCGTGTTTGTTTCTTCTGACCTGTGCACACAGCCGGCGTTCCAACAATCCCAGAGACAGAGACAGTGAGTATTCCGCACTGATGCCTGCTATTCCCGTCCAATCAACTGCACTCTCATCTAGGGGTGAGCGAGGTTCGTCGCCAGCTCATTGGGGTCAATATAATGACCACCACAGCTGTAAGTTCTTCTTGAGTGCGTGACCCTCAGAGGCTAACCACACGCTTGATTTCTCAGGCTTTATCACGTACCTCATATCTGATTGGATGGGTGTGGTCGTAGAGGTATCACTTGGCGGTGAGCTACTCACCTGCAATATCTTAGTGATTCTGACTTGACTAAAACACCATGCAAGTGATCATGATCACTCGGTTACATGCTATGTATCAGCGATCGAGAAAGGTGCTGATACTTGTCGTTGTCATCTTCCTGTCTGTCAACATTACCTGTGGAGTGATCGTCGCAATAACAATGAGGTATACCTCAGTGGGTAAGCTTTCACTTTTGGATGAGCGAATTGGGTGCATGATGCTCATTGGAAAACACAGAGGAGCTCATTCTCTCCGGCACCTACCAGTGTATTATTCACTTCGAGGGAAATGCAATTCTGCATTCCATGCCATGGATACTCGGCACCGTATGGGAGGTCCTCGCACTGTGTCTCGCAGTCTGTATTGCCCTAAAACACTTCCGTGAACTACGTCGACAGTCATCAGGAGGTATTATGGGGGACCTTTTCACGGTGTTAATGAAAACCCACGTAGTTTACTTTGCAAGGTGAGCTCACAATGTGAGTGTAGTCCTGTTTCTCTGCTGAAGGTCCGCACATGCCAGCTTTGTTGCTGTTTCTTGCTTCCAGCTCAGTTTGTTATTCCCAACGATCTCAGCGGTATGTCAGTCTGTCACCGACCTCTGCATGCGGCTACGTCTCATGATTTATAGAACCCCTATTCACTGGAAGCTCAGATTTATACTGGGGTTTCTCAAGTTTTCATGTTCGTGCAGATGTTCGTGTTGGGACCGCGTCTGATCCTTGGCGTTCGAGAATATCACGCTAAGATTGTGGCTGACTCTGATGCAGCCACCGCCATGACTTCAATTGTTTTCCAGCAACGTGTCCATGTATCAACTAGCAGTAGTGTGTAACACGGGAGATGCTTGATGTGATTGACACTCGTCTGGTATTCTGCTGGGAGCGGGAGAACATTTTTATGTCCCAAATTTCGTTGCGTCATTAATTAAGCTATTTAGTGTTCCGGAGGCTACTCATTTGATGTTCTGACGCTCACATATAGTTGAAGATAGATTTGTTTGCATGATCCAATCATTTGCTGTACCCCACTATTACTAGCTGCCCGGCACCCACTGGCAAGCATAGAACGTCTTGCAACTTCGCTGGAAGACAGTCATTCCTTATTTTCTCTACAACAGGATATGTATCCCTTTACATGCTAAGCGTTGTTACATCGCGCCCGGACCAGGTTCGCGGCTTGACCGCGCCGGTCACCCAACGACAGCCACCGTGTCACTATTTCACTCTAGTTCGTAGGTACCTCCATTCCACATCCATTTTCCATTTTTTTTCGGGAGGCAAGAGTCTGATAGAACCAAAGAAGACACGACGGACAAGTTCTCTCGAATCGCTGTTGAGCAATGGGTGAACGAAACAGTAGTAAGAATAGTCAGTCGTGATGAGTCCTTGATTCGATCATCAAGATATAACTTTTATGATACTCATTTCGGCTATAAAAGTGTTGGATGGTGGTATCATATCCAGCACGAACGCCATCGTCATACGTCCACAAAGTTCACCAATCCTTCGAATCCATCCTCGAATAGCATGACCATCGTCTCAAATGATCCCAGGAGCTGGCCGTCCATCAATGAGGATATCTTTTCCGGTTACTTTACAGGTTTGTGAGCCAGTAGTAGATGACGACGGTGATATCTTGATCTAAACTTAGCTACGTCCCGCAGTTGTCGCCTCTGCTGGGCTGATGTACGATTAGGGTGAGCAACATGGTTCTCAAAAACCGCTGATATCCTAAGTTACGGTGGCACTTCCATTCGGACAAGAGGTAAGTCGATGCCATCACCTCTCGCTAAGAATGTGTTTATATGTTGAGCTGGCTGGGTGAGCATTGTCCCATCAGAAGGACGACGTGAAAATACAAATTAATTCGTCAGAGGCAACGCTGGTCCCTGGTGACCCTTTTGTATCTCAGTGTATGTAGCTCGTGTGATTGACATATTCTGCTGACTTGAAAACATCCTAGGTTTGCTATCTTGGATTATCATATACTATGTATGTTTGGAAAGCTGAGCGATTGGTGTTGTGCTAATGAGCCATGTCTCACGATCAGCATCCTGATTCATTGTACGTCCCCTCACATCCACTGTGTCTGTGTCTTCTGACCAGCGGTACACAGTGGATGTCCCGACAATCTCGGCGACAGATACAGTGAGTATTCTGCACCGATCCCTGCATTCCTGTCTGAGTAACTGTACTCCCATGTAGAGGCGAGTCAGATTATTATGAATGAAAGACTCGAGTGTACGAGGGTCACTGACGAATACCAGAGGTGCTCATTCTCTCCAGCACTTATCAGTGCATCATCGCCTATGAGACAGACACCAAAACTCTGGATACCATCAGTTGGATATTCGACAGCGCATGGGAGGTCCTCGCACTGTGTCTCGCAGTCTGGATTGCCGTAAAACACTTCCGTGAACTACGTTGACAGTCAGCAGGAGGCATTATCAGGGACTGTTTCATAGTGTTAATGAAAATTCACGTAGTTTGCTTTGAGAGGTGAGCTCATAATGTGAATGTGGCTCCCTTTCTCTGCTGAAGGTCCGCACATGTTAGCTTTCTTGCCGTTTCTTGCTTCCGGCTCAGTTTGTTATTCCCAATGATCTCAGCGGTACGCTAATCTGTCACCGACCTCTGGATGCGACCCCGGTTCATCATTGCTATAGGACCCTTATTCCATGGACCTTCAGATATATACTGGGGCTTCTCAAATTTTCGCGTTTATGCGGTTGTTTGTGTTGGGCCCACGCCTGGTCCTTGGCGTGCGAGAATATCACGCTAAGCAGAGGGTCGACCGCGATGCAGCAGCAACCGGCATGACTTCAATTGCTTTCCGACAGCGCGTGCATGTGTTGACTAGCAGCAGTGTGTAGCACGAGAGATGCTCGATGTGAGGTATTCTGCACGGGAGAACTTTTGATTATGTCCCAAGTTTCATCGTGGTATTTATCAAGTTATTTGGTGTTCCGGAGGCTACCTATTTGATATTCTGATGCTTACAGCGGAAAACGCAAGATAATGACGATGTAGGTTAGATCGACTCCAAAAACGTAACTGTAAATGCACGAGTGCAACTCGATTCTAAATACTATACAAGTCCCCCACCACCCATCCTAACGGTATCTAAAACCGCCCTCGCCAACTCGTTCCATACTCGTCTCGCGATAGAATCACCACGCACTTGCAATAATCTCCTCCGTACCTGGTCTGCAGGCATTTCAATGCGCCGCCGCCGCCTCTGGATGATCAAAGACAGAAGAGGAATTATGAAGAAAAAAACGAATAACGTGGCTATTCTGTTAGCTGTGAAACATTGTCTGAAATAAGACCGAATGAGTGCGAAAGACGTTGGGGGCCGTGCGGTGGCGAGACTATTGTCGACTGATAGAACGCGGGAGATGCGAGAGTTGCGAACACGGCTCGTGCTTGAACTTCCTCTGGGTGTGCTTTGGTCGTGGCGGTGGCGCGGGTATTTGGTTACGGTGACGTCTGAAACTGCAGATGTGGAAGATGTGGATTGTTGGCGGGTGATTTTTGGACGGGTGGATGCTGGGACTGCGGTGCGGGTGGATGTGGTGGAGAGAGACGAGGAGGAAGAGGCGGGGGATGGAGAACGGGGTGGGGGTATTGCTGGAAGGGAAAGGGAAGAAAGAGTCTCGGGTTTTGGCGTCTCTCGCCTTGTACTCTCTTGCGCTTGAGCACGATGAGCCTCGAGCGCCAAATTTAGTTCCTAGCATTATCGCGTTCAGTACGACCTAGGAATTCGAAAATAAACTCACGCGTTTTGTATCATATGGCAGTTCGTTCTCGTATGATAGAAATTCTCTGACATACTCCCACTCGCTTAAACGCGGCAAGACGTGCAAGCAGTAGAGTTCCAGGACTTTGTGGTATGGTTCCCCTGTGGAAGGTACGAAGTCATATTGACCGCGTTTCGACAACCAGTCCTCTGTTATCTCGCGACCGATATCTGGGCAATCTATCTTGAGTGTGGATGCGACGAGTGTGATCAAGACTTGGTGCGGAAGGAACGCGGAGCTAGGTTTTCGAGGAAGGGATGAAGGAGTAAACAATGTGAGTGATCGAGCATACAAAGTCGATATAAACGACTGGGGGGACAATAGTAGGGTTTCTCGGAGTGGTTTTGGTAAAGTAGCGAGGTCTGGGGATGAAGAGAACACGGTAGTCTCGAGGGTAATGCGGAGGATATCCCACTTTCTCCGATGTGCATCTAGGGGGTCAGGCGAGGGCTCTAGAGGAGGTTGTAGGAGTGCGAATGCAGAATTCAACAAGGTGAATGTGACTGTGATGTCTCGGTGGAGGAAAGCTCTTGCCGCACGGTTATACAGTGATTGTAGTGTTGCCTCCGTGTTCAGCGACACTTTGCTCGACATTTTCAGAGGCGGTATGCCCGCTGTCGAGGCTGTCGTCTTCGCCGTAGTCGTCGTTGTCGATGTAGCGGTTGGCATTGGTCTGCCTGAAACTGAAACTCGTAGAAGTACTTGTCCTTGAAGCTAGAATACTTACACCTGATTATTGCATGGCCTTGGCCGGTCCGTGCCGAGCACGTGACCGACAGCTCGGCAATTGCCTTTTCTATAAGTTAACCGGTAAACTATATTTTCACGCTTAACAACCAACTGGAAGTTGTAAAACGTCTCCCAGGCGCCATGTTGAATGGGCCACACTGTATAGGCGGTCCATGGGCACTTCGCATGCTTACATATGGTGAGTCTCTTTCATACTTCCAATTGGACCCTCACTTGCTTTAGAATCTCTCGTATCTCGTACCACAATCGCCTCGACAACGCATCCACCACCCTCGACCCAACAACACCCTCCCACTACAAATTTTCCTGGGTGATGCCATGTATATCGAGATGACATGATTGAAGAGACACAGCCAAGCCATGGAGCCCTATGACTCCAACATTCCAAACCCTCATTATACTTCATTGTCGATCCAGCGGAATCACTGCAATTTCTTGTTATGACTTCGGGGATATCACAGCTCAGATCTGCAATACTAGCTAGAGACCCTGGACGGGCAGGTGTACCTGCAGACCCAGCAGGAGGACTGGCTGCATATTCAGAGCCGGCGAGAGTCGTAGCCATCTCGGGCGGGTCAGGTCGTCTACCCAATGTAGCCAGCCTCGTCCGCTCAGGGTCTCGCCCCATCTCAGTCTGCAGCCAGTCTCGCCTGTTCTGGATCTGCTCCGACTCCTTCGCTCCCCAGGGTTGCAGGTGATCCACTCTAGCTGTTTCCAGGTCTGCAGCCAGTCTCGCCCGTTCGGAATCTCCGCGCGGCGAGACCGGCTGTGGATCGCGAGCGGGAGAGACCGGCTTCAGTCGGACCCAGAATGTATTCTATTTTCTCACGTTCCAGCAGATGTTACACTTCGAAGTCATTGGCCGGGTAGAAATGAAGATATCGCTTTTATCCCCTCCATCCCTCCAATTTCAAAGAAGGAATATCTTGGGATGAATGGTATGTGTGGGTTCTACAAGGCCCGTTTGAAGCTGACCTTCATTAGGGATGACTGCTTCGATACTATATAGGTTCAATATCCGCAGTCTCTGATCAAATGTTGTCGCTGAATGTGTCTTAGTCTCTCTCTCTTCTCGCGTGAGCGCTGGCAGGTGGTATCATTGCCCGAAGCTTGGGGCCGCTTCGGTTTGAGCCGCCCCGCTGTATACTGCGATTCTAGGCTGTGTCTTTGGCGCACAAGATGTATCTCGTTATTAAATGTATTATATATCTGGTTTCATTGCCTTACCCCCCAATTTTGAATTATGAAAAGTCCTTCTACATAGTCTTGATCGTCACAAACATACCTTGCATTCCTCGTGCATCACGTTATAAATTCTGAGGCAGCAAATGGGTGGGCACACTGGCGTTGAAATTGTCTTCAACTGAGTGGACTAAAAGACACTACAGAGAAAGAACGCTCTTGTGCTGTGCAGTGTGTCAGTAAGGAGTGTGGGTATCGTATCCCGAGTCGAATGTAAGAGACTGGGAAAGAAGAAAAACGAGTGTATCGTCCATATAGTTACTAAATATAAAGTACGTTCAAAGTAATGAACGTGAGTGAGAAAGAAAAGATATATATATATACCATGGTTGGCGCATTGACCTGCAACACACGGAAATTCGAACGGAAAAAACTCCCGCTCCCTGCAGAGTACTACACACTGCGGCTAGTGGACACATGCACGCGCTCCTGGAAAGCAAATGAAGTCATGCTGGTTGCTGCATCGGAGTTGGCCACGAGCTTAGTGTGATATTCCCGAATACCAAGGATCAATCGTGGTCCCAGCACAAATATCTGGGCGAGGAAGAAAAAAAACCAATATCAATCTGAGTTTCCAGGGAGTGCGTGTCCTATAGCATTGATGAACAATAGGTAAAAGTCAACGACAGATCGACATACCGCTGGGATCGTTGGAGACAAATAACTGATATTGAAGTAAAAAAAGAACTTCAGCGGAAAATGAGTGAGAGACGGCTGATTAGCACAACGCAAATTTATTAGCCTTCCAAAAATACACAGCAGTTAATATTCCACTATAGCGCACCTAGAATATTTTCAAGTTAGTACAACTGACTAACCACGCTTATAATAGAGCTACATACGCTGAGATAGTGAATGGTTATAAGTGACCAGCGTTGTTCTGTTGCAAATTGTTTGTATGTTGACATTGTTCTTCTGATGTGGGACTCTGCTCACCCAGACCAGTTCCACCTATAAACCATACTTAGCGAGATGGCTGCTCGGTAATGGCATCAACCTACCTCTTGTCCGAATGACAGCGCTGTATGTAACATGAGGATGTCAGCAGTTCTTTAATTAATGCTACCCTGCTCACCCCAATCATACACCACCCCAGCAGAGGCAGCAACTACGAGACCGCAGCCAAGGTTAGATCGGAACACTATTGTCATTATCCGGCTAGCTCTCCACGAACCTACGAAATAGCTAGCAATGCAACTCGCGTTAACGAATGACCACCAGCTGAAATCATTTGAGACTAGGGTCATACCGTTAGAGGATGGGTGTGACGAATTCGGTAAACGACTGGCAATGGCGTACACACTACATATAGGCACTACCTCTCAGTGCGTGTATCACTAAAAATGAGCGTCGCTGTGATGCCGAAGGTAGAACGTACACATACGTCCACGCTGCGGGCCCTTGATTGAATATCAAATTGAACACCACTAGCTAAAGTACTTACTGTTCGCGATTTCGGCAACTGCCAATGGATTTCAGTGCCAGAGTGACCATTAAGTACTTAAGTACCTCGGCTCCCAAATCTTAGGGAAGAACAAGGTAACGTCGTGCATCACAACATACTTGATCGCCGAGAGACCTCGAAAACTTCATCGATGGCATCGGCTACGATTGGATAATTATCAGTGTGTTGCAGCACCTGGTCCTCTTACTTGCGGAAGCTAGGAATAGCGGCGGTGGAAACCTCTTGACTTCGCACTACAACGGTCGTTCCAACGAAGTCATTGTTTCGGCGTACTCGTACCTGCTCCCGTGACATTTCCCACGACATCTGAATTGGTTGATCCGCACTCACTGCTGCCTAAGGTTTCTTTTACATGCACCTTATGGCTTCTGCTACAATCATCCGTACTTTGTTTTTTTTTTGTTTCGGACTAGTATCAAAGTCTCTTTCTCCTCGTTTCTCAAATCTGACAGTGTAAAAGTATTAAACCTTATAAGCAGTAGTATGCCCGCCAGTGCACATGCACAGGCTGGTAGTAGAGTAGCCTATAGAATAGCATCATGAAACATGCATGATACACAACTAAATGGGATCATTTGAGACTACGGTCATGGGTGTGAGATCATGGGAGTGAGGAAGTGGCGAACTTGGTGGATGACTGACGATATCCCACCATTTAGTGCTTTTATACTCGAAATGAGCATCATAGGGACGACATACGTTCCTCCAGCGACGGGCCGAGGTGAGTGTTTTTGTTGCGAAAATGCAAAGCGGCCGCACGCACGGATCGTTTGAATGTCGCTGAAGGTCGAAGTACTATTCGTGATCTCAGCAAGTGGCCCTTGATGCCATTGTCTAACCTTTCAGACCACTGATAAAGCCTACCGTCTCAATAAGCGTCGGTAGTCTCTCCGGAGCACGTTGGTCTAGGCCCATGAAGCACTCAGGGGCACACGACAAAGTCGCATTCTATCAGCATGGACCCAAAAAGTCAGGCGTGAAAATAGGGGTAGTCTCCCGCAACTAGACCTAGTCGTTCCTTCTTTAATAATGGGGGAGGTGCAAACGGAGCAAACAAATAACTCACCTGTCCAATCTGGACTCCTCCTGCTCATTCATCTGGTTATAATTTCACAAGGATGCCAAACAAAATATGGTGAGGGCAATGCGACTCTGATGAAAACCGGTACAAAACGTACTAGGTACAAAATCAAACGTATGCATCGTGTGGTATCGATTTGCACAGCCGCCTCTATACCTGTGTAACCGCATGAACGCTGCTTTGTGCAAAGATATGAAGAGAAGAAATTTCAGCAAAGTAGTGAAACAACAACTGAGCAGCGTGATTCCAGGGGCGTACGAAAAACCAAAAAGATAGCAACCATAGGAATGCGCCCAGTGCATCCCGTTACGCCGTCCAAGTCGCAACATGAAACTGAAAGAGAATTTTTCAATGCTCCCACGAGCCGGAACGCTAGCGCCCAATAAATAGCCGCCTTCATCGATGCGGGTGGGACGCTTGCGGATGTAATAATGCCCGCAACCCATTGACGCAGGGAAACAAAGTTGCCGAATAAACCAACTTGGAGCATGTTGGTAGACAGAGGTGGGAATTGAGAGCGAGCACGACCATCCATGTTCCATAAGTATATTACTGTACAACATATCGATAAAATAAACGTTGAAACCTGACAAAAGACCTTCTCTGCTTGAGAACTCCGAACAGCTATCCATAGTACATACAACTCTGTAGCATTTCGAGCGCTTCTAATACATACAATGTTCGTGAACGGAGGTCGTGACTTCGGCGGACTCTTCAGACTGCGATTCGAGATGTGTTTGCGAAGGAGAACTGAGGCTCTCCACTACTCCACGGCCTTCCTGAAGTCCAGGGTATAGCGGTGGCGACATTCTGGCTAAAGTCATGGCAACTTCACCACTCCGTTCCATGATACCCCGACGGACTTTGACGTTGTCAAACCAGGTAGCGGTTTCTTCAAGAGTGCGACCTGGAAAAAATAGTCCATGAGAGCTCGACAAAGAAAATAAACGGCATTTACCTCTCGTCTCGACAATATACACTATCACGAATAATAGTTCGAAGGTGAGCAATCCACAGTAAAAGATGTACTGTAGGGGAAAAAATTCTAGATTGATGACAAGAACGAGATCTGACGACTCACGTATTTCCACCCCATGGTATTCAGCGCCCATGGATTGACTAGCGAGTTAAAGGCATTAGTTGAATAGACGAAGAAGCTCTGTGCATGCAGTTAGAACAGTATTCAGAGACACGACAAAAGCAACCTACCATGATCGCAAGCCCCTTGGCACGAATGTTATATGGCAGAATCTCGAGCGTGTACAGCACGAGCATCGACGTATAAGCGAAGTCGTAGAAAAAATAGTATATAAAAATGAGCGGCACGGTAGCTGTACGAGCTTGATAATCAGTTGCGTCAGCGTATATGCAAGGTTTCGAACATGCCTCTCGCGGCTGCCACATGCCCGCCCTGGCTGAAAAGCGCAGTCGTAACTGTCCACATGGAGAAGGCTGACCAGATGGTAAACCTTCGAATCAGCATCACAGAATAGTACTGACCGATCAGCATGCCAATGTTTGAAATCAAGAAAAGTTTCCTTCTCCCCAACTTGTCCGCCAGCATCGTACCCAATAGCGCACTAGCTAAATTGAAAATCTGGACGTACGAAATACATTAATTTGGGGTTCTTCTTCTGAGAAACCATGGATGAACCTGCAGACTGCCGTTAATAGCTGCTTTCGTTCTGGTCGTGGTTATCCCGCTGTTGAAAGTATCAGGTTATGTGCCGTTCTGACGTTCTGGAAAACAAAACGTACACCCCATTCAGGACTGTGTTGATGTAATATGAGACTAAACCATTGCCGCTGAAACGACCATCAGTCCCCGCGAATGAAGCAGAATGAAGCTGATCAAACCTCCACTGCGAGAATATTGCAATCCATATAATGGTAAACATGCGCTGTCTGTTCCCTGGAGTTGAGAAGCACCTCAGGTAGGATTTACCGGAGGCGAGCTCTCGTTCGACATTCAAGGCATGTCGGATTTGGGCCATCTCAAACACTACTAAAGGGTCGCGTTCGTCTCCCCCGTTCGCATGGTAGCGAGCGAGGACACGCGCAGCTTGCGATTCCTGGGAAAAACAGAAAAACGTTCCAGGAATGAATTGATAGATAATTTCTTCATGAATGCTCACCAGGCCTTTAGCCATTAGAAATCGAGGACTCTCCGGGATGAACCTAAACACGATGAAAAGGCATTGAAGTAGGGCATGAACCAACAGTCCTACCATATTAGCACCATTTGAATGACAGGAATGACCGCTTGAAAAAATGTAGGGATCCTCCATGACCATGGCGACATCCCTGCATCATCATAAGCGCCCAGGCAGATCCAAGCCGCTTCCGTACATGTAAGAAGCCAAACTTGTGGTACTGGATGTCACATACAGATGATGCTGCCAGAATACCACATCGAATTGTACAGAGAGGTCATTTTTCCGCGCTTAACTGAGATTAAAGGCGATGAATGAACGACAGGGTGATTGGACGCACATGCGTTGGATAGCTAAGTTCGCTAATGAGTAAGGGAGCGGCATTGACGGTGAAAGCTATCCCGAAGCCACCTGAGGAAAAGGAGATGAGCATATGGATGATCCCTTGAATGTGCATCTTACTCAGCGCACGACCACCAAGGAAAACTTGCATAGTCGTGGCTGATGCTTGCGTGAGAACACCAGCTAGTATGATGATCGCCCCGATGAACATAGTCGCTCGTCTTCCTAGTAGGTCGGACGCATAAGGAGAAAATGGAGTCCCCTAGGGGCCAACCTGAGCTTGGTAGTAATTCGAACCCACTGCTACAACCTACACTGAGGATGCCAATGCCAGAGGCGGAATTTACGAGTCCTAACGACCGTGAATATAATTGTTATGGCAGAGCGAGCAACTGCGTACCCAAGTTCATGCCCTGAGGAGTATCAAAGTATGCTTGCCATCCGGGCAAGATCTGCAGACCTAAGATAACGTGAGTCAACCATCCACGATCACGATAGCAAATGTCCACGACTGACCGTTTATCATCGAAGAATCAAGGCCATTAAGCGTTGATGATAAAAGTGGTAATATCAAACAGATATTTAAAATCAGGATGCCTGAGCGCCGACATCGTGAAGCACATTATTTCTTTCGATTTAACGAAGCTCGTACCACGATTATTCCACCACCGTGGCTCTCGATGAATCAAGTCTGCGATCGTGCGTTGCGGGACTGTCATCAAAGTGAAGACGTTGAGTTGATGTGCAAGGGGACGGGAATATAGTTGAATGACGAGTCGCGGGGCATTTATAAGGGGCATCGCACTTGGCATGGGCGCTTTTGAAAAGATTAAACGTAGTCTGGGTCATATTAGGTGAAGTAGGGATGAAATTATATGTTGTTTGGTACATGGTTGGCAGAGGTGCAACGTGGCGAGCACACCAATCAATCAAAGATGCGCTGGAACTTCCACGAGGTACGTCACAATACCTTTATTCGACCCAAATTTCCCTGGGCCCAATTTTAACTGTGCGCACTGTGGTCGTTGGTCGACCAATTAGCCTCGATTATATATCCTGGTTGCATAAGGTTGCATACAACTGAAGTACAGTGCCGCATATTTACCAGTTACTGGAAAGTATTATTCAAGTGGTTGAAGTCAAGTTGAAGTTTGTTGTAAGTTCCTGCCAAGTGTTCAACGTTTTAACGTTGAACCAGAACGTTCACTGAGCGTTCCTGACCCGACAGACATTAATGTGGAAATTGAGCCTCCGGAATCCGGAATCGGAACTTAGAGAGTCTGACAAAGCTGAATATTAGTGGTACTCAAAATAAATTTTGAAATTCTTGAAAGCTCGCTAAACTGCGTTCAACTCCCTTCAACTCCCCGCTAAAAGTTTGAATGAACGCGCGCAAGTCCGAGAGAAATATGCTCGGCACACATCGGCATGTAGTCGGACTTTAAAACGACACTTGTGATTTTCAAAGCGTGCTATGTACATAGGGGAAAGTGGTAGAGTAGCGGTTCAACATACTTGTATTTCAAATGAAAGCATTAATAAAAATTGTAAAAAAACAAGGCCCACGGGAATGAAATCAGCTGTAGGTAGGGAGCGTGGGAGGGTCCAAAATAAGTGCCGAGGGGAGGAGGGGGGGATGCTGAGCAGCTGGGGGGGGGAGGAAAAGTGTTGGGAGGAAGATCTGCATGCCTCCACGGAGACGCAAGATCAAGTGAAGGGTGGACTCCTTCTGGATGTTGTAGTCGCTGAGAGTACGGCCATCTTCGAGCTGCTTTCCAGCGAAGGTAAGACGCTGCTGGTCAGTTGGGATGCCCTCCTTGTCCTGGATCTTCACCTTCATGTTGTCGATGGTGTCCGATGACTCCATCTCCAACGTGAGGGTCTTAACGAAGACGTGCGTGCCTCCGTGGAGACAGATAAGGAGGTGGAAGGTAGATAATCCATTTGCCGGTAAAGACGAGGCGCCGCTGGTCAGGTGGGATGCGTGTGGGATCTGGATTAGAATAGATTTCCTGTAAGATAAGGGTGAATGTTAGCTGCAACTTGCAAGAGACGCAAAAATTACTTACCTCGGGTGGATGACACCCGGAAATTTGATGATATCCTTCTCGGCGCTGTGGATGAGCATTGAGGTTTGAGGGTGAGGTCGACAACGACAACGACAATGACAACAACAACAACAACAACAACAACAACAACAACAACAACAACAACAACAACAACAACAACAACAACAACAACAACAACAACAACAACAACAACAACAACAGTGTGCTCAGTTGCAAGATGAAGCCTCGGAACTTTCCGAAATTTTAAACTCCATTGAAAACTGTGTCACATATGCACCAAACAGATAGGAGTTTTGATCCCACACCCACTGTAGCCCCCACCATGCCTCGTCCATCCACACGTAAAGACCTCCTGGATATTGTGGATCAGGCCGCACTTTCTTCGGCCAAGTTACAATACCAGGATATCCTAGAGGACTGGTCAGACTTTGAGAGTGATTCCAGCTCCGAGGACTCACTTTCTACTACTCCTTCAGACGATGATGTTTCAATCAGTCTGTCTTTTAGCTCTCCTTCCCCCATGTCCCCCACCTCCCCTATCACAGCGATTTCAGATTCTTCTGATACCAGTTCTGTATCTTCCGATGACGTTGCTTTGCCTTTCAACAGGCTCCAAGACACCATTGATGCTCTTTGTGACGAGGTTATGAGGGCTCGTGTACTCCACAAGCCAGACGAGCCTCCTCCACGAGCATCTCAACTTCACATGCTGGTTCATCATGAGGAACACCGCCCTCACTTGTTTCGGCAGAAATTTCGTGTCAACCCAGAGATCTTCGATGACATCCTCGATTGTATATCTAATCACCTTATCTTCAAGAACCAGTCCAACAATCCTCAGCTCCCTGTCTCCATCCAGCTCACCATCTTTCTGAATCGGGCAGGCCACTATGGCAATTCCATTTCACTCGAGGATGTTGCTCAATGGGCAGGCGTGAGTGTCGGGTCTGTAGTTAATTGCACTAATCGTGTGATGATTGCAGTGCTTGATGCCCATGATAAGTTTATCTGCTTCCCAGCAGGTAATTCTGAGGATGCTGACCTGGCTCGCAAATTTGCCGAGTCACGTACTTGTCCAGAGTGGAAAGGTGGCTTTCTAGCCATTGATGGTTCGACTGTGAATCTGTTCACAAAACCTGGTTATTATGGTGAGACATTTTATGATAGGAAGTCCAATTATTCCCTTGGCTGTCATGTAACATTTTTGTTCTTCATCTTCATGTGCAAAAATTAATTTAATTCTAGGCAGTCATCCTGCCCCATAACCTCCTGATTGTTGATTACTCTCTTGGTCATCCCGGGAGTGTCCATGATGCATTCGCTTTTCGATCCACTTTCCTCTATGACGAGCACACCGATCTTCTGCCTAATGGTCATTGGGTTTGGGCAGACAGTGCTTATCCATTGGAACCATGGTGTATCGCCCCTTTCAAGAAGCCTCGCAATGGACGGCTGACAAGGGACCAGAAGACATTCAATTATCACCTCTCTAAGGTATGTTTTTTTTTTAAGTGGTTTTTGATTGATTCTCATTTATGTAGATTCGTGTTCGTGTTGAACACATGTTTGCTGTTTTGAAGGGACGGTTCCAGTCCCTTCGAGAGCTACGGTTCAGAATTCAGGCTGAGAAAGACATCGAGTTTTCTGTGCAGTGGATCAAGTGTTGCATCATCCTGCACAACATGATCATTCGCTTCGAAATCAAGCGTTGCAAGGAGGACGGAACATACGAGAGTTCTCTAAAGTGGGCTCGTACGGAGGGGGAAGATTTCATGGATCAAGAGATTGAGGGTCCAGATGGTGAAGAAGTAGTTGGTGACAGGACATATGATGGCACTCCTGGTCAAGCTGCTCGTGCAAAGTTGATGGATGAGCTCTTTAACAGTCCTCACTCAGATGCACACCATAGGGAAGGATGATTAATGCTTTTTTGAACATGTAATACTAACAAAACACTTGTACAACAAATGTATATAGCTATGTACTCAATTACAAAAGGTAGCAACAAAACTGAAAACACATATGTCCAGTGGAAACAACAACAGCAAATAAGACGACGAGATGGCGAGATGATGACGAGAATGAGATGGCAACGAGACGACGACGACGAGAGCTCACTCAACTCCATCTGATGCTGGGCCCTTGCTCGCCTGCATCATTTGCTGAAACTGGATCTTGAGTCGAAGAGTCTCCGCCTCCTTGTCAAGCACCAATGAATGTGCTTCGTAGACTCGGATGTCAGTCTCGCGAAGGCGGATCTCGCTATCCTTCGACTCCTGCAGATGCTGATGGCTGATGGTAGCCTGGAAGGTCTCGTGCTTGCGGGTGGCGTGAAGCCACTCATACTTCTTGATGTCGCGGCTGTGTTCAGTCTTCGCCTTGAGCTTCACGAGGAAGCGTTGGTGTTTGTGATCGTGGCGTGACATCGCGTCGGATTGCATAGACGCTATCTCATCCTTCACCTCGTTAACCTGCTGCATCACATCTGACTTTGCTTTCTTCTTCTTCGAGCCGCCGGCGCTGTTTGGAAGTGAAGTCTGGGGGGTCGAGGACATCAGGTAGTCCGACGATGAGCTAGTATTGTGTGTCATGGACGAAGGCGCTGACATGCTGAAAGAGATCTCCAATGGCAGCCTGCGATGTCTACCGTGGCTTGGTGGCTTCTTCGGGCCAAATGCCGAGCGGCTGTTGTAGACAGACGATGGGGATGCTGCTGGCACGTTGAAAGGTTCGGGAGCGTCGGGAGGGGGAGACAGCGACGAAGGAAGTTGTCGCTTCTTCCCAGTGACTTTGGAAGAGCTATCGGCCCTCTCGTCACCTTCGAGGTGATGTAAGGTGTCTCCGAGGGGGGCATCCAATGGGCCACTGGTGCCTTGAAAGTCCATGTCCATGTCGTCATCTGATGCCGGAAGGCCAGGAAGATGAATTTGAGGGGACCGAGTGTAGGGGGCAGCAGAGGGTAAGGAGGCAGCGGAGGGCAAAGGGACAGCGGAGGGCAAGGGGACAGTGGAGGGCAAGGGGACAGCGGAGGGCAAGGGGGTAGCGGAGGGCAAGGGGGCAGCATAGGGGGCAGCAGAGGGCAAGGGGGCAGCGTAAGGTAATGTGGGAGCAGGAGCAGGTTGTTGCAGCGTTGGATCGATGGAAGGATCACCACGTGAACCCCCAGCATAAGGCATTGCTGGCGGATAGTAGTGCTGGCTGTAATGCGAGGGCGGAGTGCTGGAAGGATGGGTATCATGCGGGGGATATACATGAGGAGGTGGCTGAGGGTTGGAGGTGCGAGACCATTGAGGGGCGGCGTTAAACTGCATGGGGGGACCAGCACTGGCATCAACCTGCATGGGGGGACCAGCCCCAGCACGTGGTCGAACCAGGGAATATAACGCGCCGGCGTGATCAACACCAGGTCTTGATGAGTGGGTTTTCGTGGCCATGGACGGATTGGCATGCCAAATGGCATCCAGTTCTGTGTACCATGGGAGCTCTCAAAGTGCTGCATCTACAGAATACATCAGCCAAGGACTGAAAAATCAGGACTGAGGACTCACCCAATAGGTTTTTCGTTTGCATGCCTTCATCAGGCATCACACCAGCGCCAGTGCTGTCAAAAGATGCCTTCAGCTTCTTGTATTTCCCCCTAAGACTACATAAATTTTAGTATTTTTATTAACAGAAGAAAAAATGGGAACGACTTATGTTCCGATGCAATTGCAGACTCCGTCATGAAATTTCTTTGTGTTGACGGCATACGCGTAACCGTACCTCGGGTGGTCGATGAAAATGAGTTTGGCCAGGGTACTGTATACCTGCCCCTTGTCTGAGCCCAAGGCACCATCATCGACGGCGGACATCACTTTCTTGCCGTCAGAGTAGAAAAGCACTCTGCAATCGGCAGGGTGCGTGGTGAGATGGTTGACGAGGATGTCAGTGAGAGCGCGGTTGCTCTGCCACTGGATAGTCAGGCAGGGTACATGCTGTTCTGGAGGGGGTTTGGCCGATCCGCGAGTGTTTGGACCTTCGTCGTCCATCGACCTCAAGCAGCGCACTAGAGGGTTAGCTTTCAACCATGCAGAACAGCGGACACATTGACGAGAAGGAGGCATGGTTGTTTGAAACTCCACCAGCAATGCCGGCCTGAGCTTCAATCACAGTCCCATCGGCTGAAATGTTGGAAGCTGCTTAGCCACGAGTTGAAAGCCTTAGTCAAAGTTTAGCAAGCTTTCAAACATTTCTAATTTTTATCTTGAGTACCACTATTGAATATGAATTCTTGTAAGCACCTCGGTCCTCCACACCCCTCAGGCAGACCACTGATAGAAGGAAGACAGTGCTACTAGTCGTTTCTTCTCTACCTTCACACATCATTTACTAACATCCTCAGCTCAACTATAGGCTTTCCCACTACAATACAACCGCAGAAAATACCATCTTGCCCGTCAGATTGGCCGAGATGAAGCTTATCATTGCTACGCTTATGCGTAATCATTTCCATCCAGTGAAGACTCGAGTCATGAATGTACTAGTACAACATGGACTGTGGCTGAAAAACAAGATTCGAATTGCGTCCAACTACTGTATGGTAACCCACGAAGCAATAAATCATCGAGCTTAGAACTTTCTGTGCTGTGCAAGGCTGCTGCATGGATTGCTCATGAATCATGTGTCATTCACATTCCATATTTCAAAATTGTTTGACTGCAGCCTGGTGTTCCACATAGATCCGGGGCACAACCCCTCACATTTCCTTTTCGGTCTTAAAATCACATTGGAGCACACATCCAGTTGCCGCATGCACATGGCATGACATCAAGTTCTACATTTCACACTTGGTCTTTCACGGGCTGGCCCTGGACGCAGGTGATGCGACCCTTTCAACCAGCAACACTGGATCGCTAGTAATAGTAGGTAGCTTTCTGATCATAACATGACCTTGCAGCAATCAGGAGACCTATGATGTGGTGTTACAGAACAGACAGCTCACTGTCTACTTCAAAGATGTTGGTTGGAGTTCCGCACTTGTGGTTTGCAGTTGGTCAAGTCAAACCACTCTAAGCTTGTCCCTCGCCTGCACGTGTCTCACCTAGCACCATCCCCCAGAGTGATCTGCCTTGTGCACTGATGTACCAATTGATTCTACCTCATCTTGACTCTACAGCAAATTCCAGTCGTCGTCATCAACAATGCTCCTCAAGACACCCACTAATTCCTCCTCATCTCGAAGCAGATTGTGGAACTGTCTAACCAAGTTTAGCACCACGTCTTTCGTAGTTCCATCGTACACTTCGAAATCAATGTTCATGCTGTTTTCAGACATCCAATAGATGAGAAAATCAATCACCTACTTGTCTGAGCCAGCCTTGCTCATGGTTTGGGGGCAAGTTGATGTACAAATTTGAACCCACCACTTGAGTTTCATCAGGATTAGGATGGATAGGTGCTTTCATGAAAGTGAGTCTGCTGATTATATGCAAGAGAAAATGATGCACACACTGGAGCAAGCTCCACCATCAAGAGGGGTGCTGGCATTGTCGGCAGTCCAAGTCCCCCTGCTGCCAGTGTCTCAATACAAACATTTCCTTGCTTCAAGCTATTTAACCACATCCTCCTCGGAATCAATTGGTTCCTAAAATTGTTCTAATGTAAAGGAACTACCAAAGGGGACTCTTAGGACTCACCTGCATGAAGTACAACGATAAAACAGCATGTGCGAAGTGACTGTCTATTTGGAACAATGTTTCCCTCAGCATCAAAATATTCATGCCGCCCTTCAGCTTGATCAGGACGTTGATATCGTGCTAAAGAAATGGGAGTCAGATCATGTCAGCCAGAATCAAAGATTGTATCATATCTGGGTCGGTCTCAGGCTTCCCAGCACTGACTATGCATAACCTCCAATATATGAATGAGAATGTCCAAGCTGTGAGAGATATTCTGATAGATGGTGAGCTGCTTGTATGTGATCTGGTGTGTATGTGAAGACGGAGATCTTCATTGGCATTGTGAGCAATTAATGGGTGGAAGTTTAGAGTGAAACATGCTAAGGAGGATCCAGCCCAAAATCAAATGGATAGGGGGAAATAACTAACAGTAACTTATAGACTGTAATGTATGAACAATAAGTTGTCACCCGTCAGTCAGACCTAGATGGATCATTGGTAACTGGTAGTTGCTTGATGTCAGCTCCATCAACACGAGTCTGGAAGCAAGGTCTTCATTCAACTAGAGATATGTCCCAACCACACCAAAGGACCTTCATTAAAGTACCTATCATAAACCCTGTCCAGAATTTCTCCCACACCACTGAGGTGCAGGACATGGGCAACAGCATCATGAACAACAATAAATTTGGGGTGTGGAAGCACCATTCTATGTTTGGAGTGATCCTGAAAGCAGACTTGCTGTAAATTCTCAAACCAACAAGGGACATGTCTGAGTCAATGCACATCATGTGTCCGAGACATCCTTTTGAGGGCATGAGTATATGGAAATTCCTAACAAAAACCCACACATACTGTGGCATGTAGACACCATGAAAATCGGTGAAATAAGATGTGCATAGTGTTTTAAAATCTGGTCCAGTCCAGTTTTTTTGGCCATTTTTGGCACAACTGGACCTGTGTTGAGCTCTGATAAATCAGGAGGAACTGAAGACAAATCGAAGAGGAAGTTAGCGATGTCAGAGTGAGACATAACAAGTGCAACCAAGCTGAACGATGAGGTGACGCAATGATGTCAGCCAAGGCTCGTCATTATTGGACTACTTTATTTCTATGACATCTGTTATTTAGCGTATCCATACTAACTATGTATAAAGCTACGAGTCTGGCATTTGGGCATCTCGGTTTCTAACAGATACTGAGATGTAAGCTGTTATATTTTCCCTTATTATACAAAGCGCTAACAAGACGTAGAATACATTCTCTTATCAGGTACTATAGCTGTGCTACGAGTTTCTAACAGATACTGAGATAATACATTCTCTTATCAGCTCTTACCCCGTTCCTGCTCACCTGTGATCACCACAACCTGGACCGGACCTAATTTTAATTGTAGTTCCACAAGACTGGACTGAACTCTCAAAAACTGGTTGCCTTCAGTTGCTGGACCACACTGCAGTAGGTTGCAACTGGTCTTTCAAAAACCAGTCCACTGGCAGGACTGGTTGTAACTGGTCTAGACTTTGTCATAGAGGAACATGTTCTACACATTGTTGTATTTTAATAATACTGTAAGACACTACCAACTAATCAATACTTTACATCTCCCCACTGCCTCAATCTTCTCTTTAACTTGACCATGAAGTCAACCCACATGTGACAACCCATGGAAAAAGTTGTTGCAATGACATCTGCCAAAGCCAAGCACTCACAGCCTCCAAAGACAAAGCAAGTGTCACCAAAAGGGAAGAATTGCAAATGGAAAGCTGTATCAAGCAATAGCGAATCAGAAACCAGCAAGAGTGAGGCTGAACCAAAACATACTTCGAAAAAGAAACCTCCAGGTCCTGCAAAATCTAAGTGTGCATGTCAAAACACTATTGACAAGGTTGTCCATGAGAGCAAGGCCAGTGAAGAAGTAATAGAAATTGAGCCTCTCATTGAGGATGCTGAAGACAAAGAGGTAATCATGACTTGTATCATTGACATCTGTGTATTGGATGTCAGCTCAACATCACTGGATAGCAGGACAGCGATGGCTTGCAGGAACAGCACCACACTACTCTACCCAATGTGCTGAAAACAAACAAACAAAGTACAGCTGATTTACTCACTGTGTTCTTAGATTGTTGTATGGTGAAGTTTTGCCAGACTAATGGAAATGTAGAAACATTGAAGGGGCACTGGTGCAATGCATGCAAGTCAGTATATCAGATTGAATACTAATATTGACAAGTACTTACATTGCACCTGTAGAGATGATACAGCTTTTGTTGCAAAGCATGGAAAACACAAGGCATTCCATGTCGGAAGTAATTCTTTGTGTCGGCAACACATCCAAAGCCACTATGAGGTATACAAGAGCAAATGCAAAGAACTGGGCCTGAAGGAAAATCACCATGCAATACCACGTGATATAGTGAAGTTGCAAGTGAATAGGAAGAAACAAGGGAAGGATGTCCAACAAAATCTAGGCCAGATGTTCCAGAAGTTGCAAAACAAAGAGTATTCAAGGGAGGATGTGCTGCGCACAGTTGCTGAATTTGTGGTCTGCAACGACCAGGTGAGTGATGATATTGATGATACATGAGATTGGGAAAATGCTGAAACAGTGTTGTTGTGCAGAGCCTTGTAGTGGCTGACAAACCCACATTTAGAAATTGTTTGGTGGCAATGTGGCCAAATGCTATACTGGCGGACATACTTTCAACTCATGATGTGTTGGCTTACACCCACAACACATTCATTGAATTCATCGAGGGTCCCAAAATCCAAATGCAGGTGAGTACTAGTACTGCTCCATATTCCTCTGAAATATCTTACAAAATGTTTACAGGCTACAACAACCAGCCTTATTTCAACAACTACAGACTTGTGGTCTGTTGATCAGACAAAGGCTGCATTTTTAGGCTTAACAGCTCACTGGATTGAGGCTAATGATGCCTATGGTACATGGACACTTGTTTCACAAGTCATCGCTTTCAGAGGTATATTCAGAGCGCACAGTGGGCACAATCTTGCATCGTATCTTTTCGGATTGTATGAGCATGCAGGAATTATCCAAGGGCAATCAAGCCAGGTATGTACTCTACCATCCAGGTCTCAATTTTTGTGTGCTGAGTTCTGCAATAGCTTTTCTGTATTCCTGCTGACAATACTAGCAACAATGACACCATTTGTGACATCATCGAGACACTACTTCACCGCCACCATATATACAACTTTGATGCCACTCAACAGCATCTCCCCTGTCTTGCCCACATGGTCAACCTTGCTGTCACTGATGTTATGTCAGTTATCACACACATTGCCAATGTTGAGACTACAACTGCAATATGGGAGTTTGACCCATTGCTCCCTAATAACCATGTTTTTGGAGACTTGCTTGATGTCATAGCTGCAGTGCGTACACTTGCCATTAAGGTACATTTTCACTGCTGCCCATAAGTTCTATCATCTAACATATCTTACAGATTTAGTCCTCAGGTCAATGCATCAAATATTTTGAGACCTTGCAAGTCAAGTGTGGGATCCCGACACCACCCAAAATCCCTCTCCACAGTAATGTATGCTGGGGAACTGCTCATGGGATGCTTGGACACACCTATTGCCTACGACAGGCTATCAATCTCTTCATCTCCTCCGCTGACAAGCCTTTTGGGCCGATCACATCCATTCAACACCATGGACAGGTCATGAAGCACATCCCATGGACCACATTTGCTCTCAAGGCATCAGACTGGGAGCATGTGAACGATACACAAATCATAATCTCAGTAGGTCACAACTAGTCTCTCTTCGGTAATTTTGACTGACATTTTTAGGATGCTAATGATATTCAACAATACTTCTCCTCTGAGCAACAACCAACACTATGGCATGCAATACCTGCTATGGAGGAGCTACAGATATGGAACTGCATGGGTATACCCCTGGGTGTCAGTAGTCAAACCCATACCCGCACCCTGAGATATACCCATACCCCTGCAGCAGGTATGGGTTTTCAACAGGTACCTGCATAACAGACCTGGGGTACGACCCATGGAGGGTATACCCACGGGTCTCTATGAATTATACCTAGTATGAGATAACCAATGTACTAGCTTACTGAGCTTCTAAGTCCAGTCTCCCATTTCCAGGAGGAGATTCAGACTAACAGTGCACTACCATAGGATTCGCTGTGCACACCATTAAGCGTTTGCTAGTGTTCGAAAGCCCCATTCGTCAGCATCATTTCAAGCCCTTACTCGACACGATCAGTGCAGTTCTCCTCTCACAGTGCGTATTTCATCTTCCCCTCCTTGCAACCTTATCAGAGTCATATCTAGCTCATATCTCACCCGTACCTGTGCCGTTTCCCTTGATTCCGGATATGTTAGAAAGCCCTCATTCACCTCGTCATTCCAATACCACACTTACCCTACCGCACATCGCGCTTGCTGTGCAGTACACCTGCATTGTGTTCTCCCCCTCAGTTCTGGCCCTTTATTCTGCTTTTGACCACATCTTGCTTGTTCCTGCACCGATTTCTACAATTCCAGATGCGTTGGAAAGCCCTTGGTCGCCTCGTCATTCCAGTACCACACTTACCCTACCGTTTTAACCTTAGCCTGGCATGAGGGTACGGGTACAGGTATTGCAACACTAGACCCATACCCGTACCCCGCATGTACCCATACCCTGCACCCGCACAGGTATACCCATACCCATGCAGTTCCCTAGCTACAGATGGCTTGGGAATTGAAGAGTGAAAATTTATGGTTCATGCTGTACAAGGAGGCTATCCAGCAGGGTCTCGCAAAGATTGGAAAGTATTATAGCAAATTTGACAACAAACCTGTCTATATTCTTGCACTTGGTATGTCTATCATATTGTATTGTATTTTTGATTAATTAAATGTGCAGTACTACACCCATACTACAAACTCGCGTACATCACAATGACATGGGGTGGTCCTGAAGAACAAGCCAAGGAACGAGCTGTTGGGATCTGAATGCCAAAAATTGGTATGATGAAGCTCTCAAGGTAGTTGAAAAGACTATGGAGGAGTATTGGACTACACATAAAGCACTTGTAGACTCAGGATGTGCCACCGCCAACACCATCGACTATGACTCAACAGTCTCAACTGTCAAAACCATGGAGTCCAAATATGATCGCCATCGCCACATGTTAGTTCAGCAGGCAGTCTACAAGCACAACACTGGATGGGAAGCTGAGCTTCATCATTACCTCAAGGATATGCCAGAGGATGTTACAAAAGAGACAGACATCATTCAGTGGTGGTTGGTGAGTCTATCTAATATGTTCCAACATATTTTTATCTCATATCACGCAGAAACATTCATCTATCTATCCTACCCTTGTGAGAATCGTGATGGATGTTTGTGCAATACCAGCATCTTCAGTCCCATGTGAACAACTGTTTTCAGTGGGCGCAGAGATTGCAACAGATCACTGCTCAAGACTTGGTTCAGACAAATTTGAGCAACTCCAGATCCTCAAGCATACATGGCAAGATTCCATTGTGGATAGGGCTGCTTCCAACTCTTTCACTACACAGGAGGTCTCACTGGAGGAATTCAAAGAACTTCTGTCCCTTGACAAGGATATGGTTGAGTGGAGTCATAGTGAGGACAAGATGGTCACTGTGTAGTTTGCTTTCCTTACATATCTTAGAATTAGAAGTTTGTTGTATCATTGTGCAACCAGTTTCACTTGTGACCAGTCACAACCAGTTTTTTATCAGTCTTGAATTTCTGGTCAATGTCAGGCAATCAAAACCAGAGTTTAGCAAAATGTAAGGCAACCACAACCTTGGTCTGGTTGCAACCATTGACAGTCCAGTTCAGTTGCCAGTTTTTTCATTCTGGCAACTGGACTTTCAAACACTACTTGGTTTGACTTCTGGTCAAACAGCATTACAAGTTTACAACACTGAATCACTAATCACGTCAACACTTGTCAACAGCCAGCCAAAACCATTCAAATATTTGAGCCTTGTTCTGCCAATACAGAAAAATTGATTCAAACAAGTTAGCCAGCATCTCCCTGAAAAATGTATTACTTACACACCTCTTGAGTGCCAAGTTCCAATCACCATAATCATTGCACAGCAGCTCAGGCCTCATGACTTAGAAATATCAACAATATGAACACCATAAATGAGTGAGTCAAGGCCTTGCATAATTCATAGATCACTGACAATTCAGTAGATTAGTGAGTTACAACAGGTCATGGAATGTTGTGGACTCATACTTTGCACCAATAAGAACTTTACACTTGCAAAATGAATTTAAGTGACTCCAACCTGCTTGTTGGTGCACTGTACTTTCTTAACATTAACCCTTACACTGGGCATTATACTTCTAAGAGAAAACATTCAAAATTGTCAAATGTGAAGTGTAACATAGCTTGAAGCATCATTCCATTTTCAGGAGTATCAATACAGTCACCCAGGGTGTTAAGGTCATGCTCAAGGGGGAGATTACTCAAAGGGCTTCAGCTTCAGCTTGTGCGCTGCACCCCTTACCCGAGTACATGCCCTTAATTTCTGGGGGGCAGAAGGGAAGTCCGGAGGTCAGATGTTGGGGGAGTTCAGCGGAACTCTGGAAGACTATGAGAGAACAGAGTAAGACTACTATGGACAAGTCTGGAGTAGAAACAGAGCAGAGTTGCGACTATCCTAAGGTAGAGCCGGAGAATTAGTCCTAAGGTTTAACCCCTAAGACTCGGAGGTAGACAAGAGATGAGACTCAAGTCCAGAGATGCAGGAATGAGCAGAACTAAGATGATATTCAAACTGAGGAGTTCCGGAGTATTACAGGAGCTTATATACTGTAGGTATCATGTAAGTAAATCAGTCAGCAAAATAAGGGCTATGTACGAAGCATGTGGAAAGTCTATTAGTAGGTGCATAATGGATCAAGTATGAAGCATGTGGAAAGTCTATTAGTAAGTGCATAACAGATCAAAGCAGTGAGGTTGGAAATGAAGTAAGAATGGACAGATCAGTAAGCATAGCAGAAAGGACATAACCAGTAGCCGGAGCAATAACTATTCTAAAAGGAGATAGGGGTGAGTATGGAGATGAAGGCGGAGTGCTGGGCAAAATAACAGGATGGAAAACCGGACTTTAGTGGAGGGGTTCCGGATCCAGAGGTATGGGATATGACACAGGGTGTCCATGGATTCTTGAGGAATATCAGTATCATGCTTAACTATGTTGAGTGTTGCTGCCTGGAAGTACTGGAGAATAATCAGCCAGAGAGCCACAACAACTTGACAGCTGATGGACATAACTTGCCTTCAGGGTGCTTATGCAAAATGGATCTTCAAAGAATATGCGCAGCCTGCAGCAGTGTTTGAGGATGTGGGGAGTCTTTTGATCCACATTTTGATTGCCAGGCTCTGCTCACAACACACCTCTGACCATCTCATTCAAGTATCTAAATGGTCATTGGTTGAGCATCCTGAAAAGTACAAGGCAAGGCACTGGAGTGCATCTCTTTCCAGAACAATGGCCTTCAAGTCACAGGCAGATCATCTGCAACCACTTGGGATATTTTGTAAATTGGGGTAAATATAGAAGATTGTGGAGTCTCATTGGATCTATAGGCCTCCTTAACTTGGCTAATGTGAGCAACAGCACTGTGAATACAGTGGATTAAATACAAGGCCACAATAACAAGTACTACATCAGGAAAAACTATATCTCTATATAGAGGACCATCCTCTATATAGCCCCGATAGCACACCACAGCTCTATACAGTCTATGGCAAGCTATCACAGCACTATAAACCAGTATAGACATCATGAAAGTCTATATATTACCATAAAGTTTGGTAAGTGTATTTAGAAGTAAAACATTTCAACAACTATAGACCCCAGTAGACCGTGGGAACTTTTTTCGATGAAACCCAAAGTTGTAGTCCTTGTCTAGGGAAGTCTATCCATAGTCTTATGACTTCAATAGGTTAAGATCCTAGTGAGTTATAAGGAAAATACTCGAAATTGAAGGGTTCAAGAAAGCAACTTGATCATGGGAACTTTTTTCGATTAAATCAAAGTTGTAGTCCTTGTCAAGGGAAGTCTATCCATAGTCTAATGACTTCAATAGGTCAAGATCTTAGTGAGTTATAAGGAAAATACTTGGAATTGAAGGGTTCAAAAGTGTTAAGGTACACCTTATTTATGTAAGCAAAAATGCGAAAATTCACCTTATGTGTATTCAAAATCCTAATGCTAACAGTCAATTTCATTGTCTTTTTCTTACTGTCATAATCCTAGTCCTATTAACCAAAAACTCGAAAATTCACCAAGTCTTGTGTTGTGGCTTTGTTTGGCACTGCTTATGTAAGCAAAAATGCGGTCAACCAACAAGTCTTTTCCCATTCTTTCCTTCCCCCCCCCACTGCCCCCTCATTAGATTATCTTCCATATTTTTCTTACAATTTTCGAGTTTTTGCCTCTCTTCTCTTCTTCTTGCTTCTCTATCCTTCTCTTGGTGTTGATGTTGTTGGTGCTGGTACTGGTGCTGGTGCTTTGAACTCTGGTAAGTCTCCCTCCATAATTTTCGCATTTTTGACTATTTGACTAATCTTTTTCTAACCCTCTCCTTCTAGCTCTCTTCCCTCCTGCTCCTCCTCCCCCCAACTATTTTCGCATTTTTGACCATTTGGCAAGTCTTTTCTCTGACTCTCACTTCCTCCTGTCTGATCCTCTCCTTCTAGCTCCCTTCCCTCCTCTTCCCTCAAGAATTTTCACTATTTGGTAAGTCTTTCTTTTTTTTGTATTCATCTTTCCTCTCTGATTCTTCCTTCTAGTTCTCTTGCCTCTTCCTCCTGTAATTTTCGCATTTTTGCCTGTTTTGTAGTTATTAGTTTACATGTATTGTAGTAGTTGAAATATAATTTGGAATTTTCGCTTTTTTTTAATTTTGAGAACACTATCATGGCAACAAACAGCTATTAAGAGAAATTTTTGCTTTGTGTTTTGAGCTATAATAGCTACAATAGTTGTGGTATGTTCCACCCAGCTATAGCAACTTTAATAGAGCTATATAGCACTATACACTGGTGTAGTAAGCCTGCACAATTGGGCACTTGGCTATACGAGCTATAGGGCTATGGAGTCTGTATAGCAGTCTATAGCGCTATGGGTGGCTATATAGCCTTACCACATTTTCCTGATGTACTGGCCAATCATGCCCAAACTCTGTTAACTCTGATGTAGAGGTGTTGGATGTTTCCCCTTTTTATGCACCACAATGATGGCAGATGCAGTATAATGTATATCACAGGTACAAACTTCAAGTGCCCCCTGTAACATTGCATCCAGTATTCTGTATACTCGGATTGGCTCAGACTCGGTAAGTGGTATTGCTGTGGTTTCCAATTGAAGCTTCTGAAGGACAGCCCATGCACAATGGACCAACACTTTGGTTGTTTGCATCTCATCATTCATTGTCTGGAGAACATCATCATTGGATGCTGAGTTTGACAGAAGTCTAAGTGTGCTTGGGCTGGGGGAGCACTCAAGAGGCATATGTACTGGAAACTGAAAACTGTAGAGGGCAATGTTGTCGAAATTTGCACAATGGTATGATCTTCAGAGACCAGACTGATCTGTCATACTTAATCAACTTATTAGGAGATAACGACCCTAGTCTCCCTAAGCCAGACCTTGAAAAATGGAAGATACTGTATAATTTCAACCTTAGGTTTATGGGAGTTTCTGCACTGCATTACCTAATGGCTTCGTGACAGGTTCATCTCTCGAGGGCAGCTGTGATAGACTTACAATAAGTTCATAAAGTTCATATATACATGCTCAGTAGGATAATATATGTACTTTCTACACAGAGTATAGCCCAAAATGGACAATAAGAAGTGGAAAAAGGTGGTTAGGTGAATGTTTTCAAAAAAAAACATATCTCAAAACAAACATATCATGTGTTATGTCACAAAATTAGGTTCGTCAACCCGAAAACAGCTGTGACTGTCACAAAAAATAGGTTTGGTTTGTCAAGCTAGCTACAGTGTGACGAACCTAAGGTCGAAATTATACAGTAATTGTTCCTTCTTTTAGCACCAGTGTGTGACTGTTTAGTGTGCTCATTAGCGTGATTTCCATTGATGGTAAGTTTTGTTTACCTTGGCAACTTCAAGGATATCAAGGATCATTGCTAGAGGCTGACCTTCATGCTCTAGATGGACTGACAAGGCTACATATGCTCTATGATTTGGGGATGTCCAAGCATCAGTCGCAAAATTCAGCTTGCCCTCATAATTCTGGTGAGTTTCTTAGTTAGTTTGTGTCACCGCATGCTAACTTTAATTTACCTGTAACATAGTCGCAATGCGTTTACGTGTCTTTACAAAAACTTGTTTCACGTCATGTGCGACAGTGGACAGGGATGGTAAATAGTATTCTGGCCGCCCAGTCTTCATTAAATTTTGAAACCCTTGATCATTGACCATTTCAAAAGGTCTTAGACTCTCAGACACCCAACGGACAACCTCCGCCCTGGTTGTGTACAATCAGTGGTGTCTCATTGAGTGTGCTTACTTCAAACGAACCTGGTCTCAGCACGGGTGTGCTGACGATGTGAATAGGTAACTTTTCCCTTTCCTTTCCGCTCAAATGAAGTTTTAATTGATCTGGTTCCAAGTAGACTCTTGATAGGACCATCTCAAGCAGCCGTGGTGTTACCTAACTCCATCGCAGCTTGTAAGGCTGCCTCTCCCCAACAACTTTTCATGTGTTTTCTCATATTGCCGGTTGATTTGGCATCTTTTTTGTCCAGGTACCGTTGGATATGATGCTTGCAGCCGTATGCAACACATTTGAAGACATGGCATTGGCGCTTGTCATGGTATTCATTTGCTGGTGTTGGTTCAAAAAACACGTAGATCGGCAATGTCCAATCTTTCATGAGTCTTGCTACATCTAATGTTAGCATTGGCTCGTATATTTTGTAAGTACCTACTTAGCTTGGCATCCGATGATTCTGATGGATCTTCTTTAGAACTCTCTGCAGCTTGGGTATCAGCATCAGAATCCAATATGATGGTCTCTGCATCTCGGTGAGCTGCCTCTTCTTCTTCTTCTTCTTCTTCTTCTTCTTCTTCTTCAGTCCTCACAGTAGCTTGATAGATACTCCAAGTGGATGATGGACTGTTGGGACTATTGTTAGTCGGTTACGTGGATGCCATTGTTTTGGGCCATTTCGATGCTGGTGTTGCATTGGGGGCCTTATCGGTGGCTTTCCGTTTGGCTTGGCCTTCTGCGGCCATAGCCAGCACCTTCTCAGTGGGTCACGTGGTTCTTTTAGGTAACATCCTTTGATGACGGGAGAAGTGTGGCTCTAGTAGTAAATTATATTTGTAGATTAATTCTTCGGTGTGGCTAGTTTGGTACTGTACAGTTGTTGATAATAAAGGGACCTGTCAATGGTCCAAGGGTCCCATCATTGGTCCAGGGGTCCATGGGTTGCAAAGCCACTACCCATACTCATACCCTCAAGTACCCCTACCCATGACCCACAGGGGTTACCCATACCCCTATGGATCCCTATGGAAGACTATCAACCTATTTAACAGGTTATAACCACAATGATTCAAACACCCATCCTCAATCTTCTACCAGAGGAAGTCGCAGAAATTGCCCTCCAGGTGTTACAAGACGCTGGTCAGTAATTTGAATGGGGTACACTACTGTACAAACTGATGAAAATTCCTCATGTACTCAGGGTGAGTGTCATATACCTGATCCGACCGCTCCGATATTGATATCCGCTCTGCTTTCCGACCCCCTCCGCTCCATCCATCCTCCACTCCATCCAATCACAAATCCACATTCCACCCCTATGCTTCCGCTCAACTGCTCAACCGGTCCCCTTCCATAACCTCTCCATTCAACTGGACCTCTTTCCCCTTTTAGATATATACTTCCCCCTTTGGTACATAGACCCTTACTTCCGGATGACTGGTAATTCCTATTACCGCTCGATCACTGATCCAATGCATACATATTGATATCCGCTCCAACTTATGTCTGCGCCTATGTAAAGTACTGACAAACTATATCCTTGGTACATAGCTTTACTACATAGTTATCCTGATCACTGCCTCATACATAGAAGTATATAACATATCCTGTACTTAGATACTTTTCCTCAGTCTTAATATTACTTGTCTTCTCGCAGTTACATCTTGTGAGAATTCTCAGTAGGACCTTGCCTCCTCTGGACACAAGTCTCAACTTGTTGTCACCTCCAACCCTCCGCTCTGACTTAGAGCCGTGCTCTAAGTCTTTCCCTTATACTCCGCCCCTATCAAATATTCTCCCTTCTCCCTCCACATTATCCTCCACCTTCCCCACCCCTACCAAACATTCCCCCTGCTCCTACTCATCCTCCGCATCACTCCCCGCCTTCTCCACTCCACTCCTAGTCGGCCTGCCGCTAGTAGCTCTCACTCCCCGACCCTCAAAGCGGACCAAAGTGGTCCACTTGTCCTATCGTCGTGTTATGATCAGCGTTCACCAAATGGTAAAGGCCTAACACAACCACTAGGACTCGTCAAGATAAGAGCAAGAGATGTTATTGAGAGTGAACGTCTGAGTCTACACTGGGTAGGAACGAAGAGGTTAAGTCTAAGGAGTACTACTGACTACGACCTAAACTATATACTACTCTCTAGGCGGAGATATCTGAGTATGAAAGGTAGTGATATATCTATATAAGATCATAACATTGCGCCTAGGGTATAGGGCGTCTTATCAACCAATCAACTACAGGAAAGGATAAAGGGTTTATAGGGGTATCGGTAATTAAGCAGGGTTCTCAGGGTGCTGCTTCTATTCAGGGTAAGCGGAGATGAAGAAGGGTGAGAGAGTTCTGTGACAAGAAGTCTCGAGCGGTGATTAAGGATCTCAATAAGAGATAGGATCTGGAGATGTATCGGGTGCGATCGGATCTAGGGTTCTCCAGGGTCTTCGGTAATGAGCATGTTTCTCTATGAGTGGTGCTTCTGTGATAAGGGTTCAGGGTTTAGCTGTGACTGTGCAACAGGTTCTTATGTAAGGGGTTCGGTGAATGACAGAGGTAACTCTTAACATGTCATGTGTGGGAAGTGAAGGTCTGCGATGTGAAAGGATGATAACTCTTCGAGAGATGACTCGTAAGGGACTCTCGGTTATGGTTCAATCATAGAGGCGTGTAGATGCTTATGATGTAGCCGGTTGCCTAATCGTAGGACTTCTAAGGATATGATGATGTCGGATGTCTAGGGTTACGGATATAGATGGATGACGTCGACTTAGTATAGATGTGATGTAAAGATAGTGATCGTTAATCGGTTATCCATCTTATCTTATCAGGGATCTAATCTAATCTTATCAGGGATCTTATCTAATCTAATCTTATCGGATAGGTGATTTAGGGTTCGATAATCGAAATTTAGATGCAGTTGGTAACATTCATGACACGTCGGACCCGCTCCAAATTCGGGGCACGTACTCGGCTAAGGGCACAGCGCAAGAGCTGAAGCCAAGCCCCGACCCCTCTGCTTCCTGAGTTGGCATGGTACCTAACAGTGAGCATATTTCAGATTGTTCAACTGCATCTGACCCCACATATTCTACTAGAATTTACAGTATGTCGTACCCGATGATCACCTCAATGATGTCTCCAACATTCTTGAGTCTCTTAGCCTTTCATTCTCCCCCCAGCCGGACCTGCTAATGAAAATGCAAGGCAGTATGCATGCCAAAGGTCACTTTTACCATATGACTTCATCAGTAAAATACCACGTTACTTAAGCTGCCTTAAACAGACTTAACTCGCACTTAAGTGACTTTGCAGAAGTTGACACACTTTGCCAAAATTTCAACTTCAACATGTTCAGAAAAAAGTTGTTGGGTTATGTTAACATACATATTTTATTATAGTTTGCACTAAAAAAAATCAAGATATGCCAAGTGAATGTTGTAGGAGAGAGCAAACAGTTTTCAGCCAAGTCAGCCAAGTTGATTAAGTAACGTGGTATTTTACTGATGTTGGGCCACTTTGCTCACCTACATCGTTCACATCATCTTGCACCCTCCCTCTTTCCCCTCTTTCTCTGAACTCAGAGCAGCACCCTTCCCATCTCTCACATTTTCAATGCTCAAACATCCTGGTACCAAGACCCTCAGCCATATGGGTCTCCATCATCCGCATCATGTCTAACTATCCTCACTATTGTGCTACTTGCACAGTTCTCAACAGTGACCTAGATGAAAAGGACTTGGAACAGGAAGATGAAGACAGACGAAACACTGCTGCCTCTCATCTCATTGAAAATGGGGCTTAGATGTGGAATGGAGGCAAGATGAGTGGATTGATGATATAATGGCGGCTACAGTCACAGGATGTAATCCTGATAACTTGCCTTGTTTTCAGTCAAGCTAATCCTGTGTACATCACCTAGCATAGCTTGCTCATGCTGATGAATCTGTCTATTAGGGATAAATCCACCAGCTTAAGCCAGGGACCACAAAATCTCAGCTCCTCTTGGAAATCTGAAAATTTGACGCGCAAACACAGGTGTCCATAACCTCCTTTCACTTGTCCAGACTTGTTGCATTATGTTTAAAATCTATGTCGGAATCTAATCTGTATAAGTACATATTATGTCGAAACTTGAAACAAAAAAAAACACATTATACTGCTCCCTGTGTACCAAACGTGTGTGAATCATGTCGAGCATTTCTCATGCTACACACTACTAGTCAACACATGCACGTGCTCCTGGAAAGTAATTGAAGTCATGCCAGTTGCTGAAGTTACCTAGGTCAACCACCCCCCACACATCACGTGACTTTGCCACATGTACAAACAAACACTTTGCGAGATGTTCAAGCTCACTCATCAGTAAAACACACAGTTCCTTACCTTACTTATATTTAACTTTTCTTGTGCAACAAGTAGAAATAAGCCTAAATAAGCAAGGGTGAAAATAAGTAGATGGCCAGTTGAAAAAGGCCATTCATCATCTGAATTCTCACTTATTTCTGACTTAGTTTACTTTTCACATCACAAAAAAAGCAAAAAAGGGCATTGTCCATTCAGAAAAGCACAACATGAAAGCAATCAAGGGGGCCACTAAGGAAAGACAAAACCGAGAAAATCAACAGTAAGCTATGCATGGAGTAGTAGAAAATGGTACAAGAGATGCATAACGAGTGGTGATAGTAGTAGTCTGAGCAAGTTGAAGATGGCGGCGAAGGGCTATATGGAGAACTAGGGATCGGCACCGGTAAACCCCCAGGTACCAGAGCCCACACCCAGCAAACCACAGGTAACACATACAAGTGATATACAATTAGTAATAAAAACATCCACTGGATTCTAGATTAAAAAACGCACCTGTACCAATGCAAGCAAGCAAAAATAAGTGGGAGCAAGTAAACACAAGTGGCGCCAAGTGAAAACACGCGGAGACAGGTGCAGACATGCAGAAATGAGTGGCGCCAAGCGCATACACGGCAAAATGGGCAGTGATATGTGCAAACAAACAGGGACAACCAAAAATGAGTGGCAGTGGGCGACACAAGCGGCACCAAGCGAAAACGTGCGAGGGCAGGTGCAGAAAAGTGCAGACATGCAGAAATGAGTGGCGGTGGGCACAAACGAGTGGGGATAAGTGCAAATACACTAGACCAGGTGCAAACATGCGGGAGACATACTTGTCAGTGCCATGCAACATTCGGCATCGTGAATGCGTGTCCGCACAAGGCCGTCGAGGTATTTTGCCAATGGTCGAGTTGGAGACTCAAGTAGTCTATAGAGTTGAGTTGAGTAAATTGTAATAAAACAAAAACAAAAACAAAAAAAAAAGACTTACAAGATCAGTGCGCAGGTAATAGCAGCTGCAGCAGGTGGAAGTTAGAGTTGAAGTTGTAAGTCATGTACACGAAAATGAGACGTCACGTGACATGTCGGGGGGCAGTTGAGCTGGGACAGCTCAGTTGCTGCATTGGAGTCGCCTGCCTGCTTAGCATAATATTCTCGAATGCTAAGGATCAGGCGTGGTCCCAACACAAACATCTGGACAATTGTGAAAATTTGAAGAAAACCAAGATAAATCTCAATCTTCAGGGAATATGTCTCCTATAGAAATGATTAACCGTGGTTGCATGCAGAGGTCAGTGACAGTTCAGCATACCACTGAGATCGTCGGAGAGAAAAACACGAAGTTGAGGCAAGAAACGGCAACAAAGCTAGCACATGTGGAACTCCAGCGGAAATAGAGAACTACATTCACATTATGAGCTCACCTCGCAAAGTAACTCACATGAGCTTTTATTAACATTGTAAAAGCATCTCCAATAATCCCTCCTGCTGAATGTCGTCGCAGTTCACAGATATGTTTTACAGCAATCCAGACTGTGAGACATAGTGCGAGGACCTCTCATACAGTGTGAGTAGCCAAGTCGTGGAAATCAGAAGTAGTAGATCATCTCCCTCGAAGCTAGTAGCGCACTGATAGGTACCGGAGAGAATGAGCTCCTCTGGAATTCATCAATGAACCTGATGAAATTAAGTCCTTCATTAAGGCTTACCCACTGAAATATGTCTCAATATTACGGCGGTGATCGCTCCACCGGTGATGTTGACAGCCAGGAAGACAACAACGAGAAATGTCAGCATCTTTCGGGATTGTTGATACATGGCATGCAACCGAGCGATCATAATCACTTGCATAATGTTTGAATTGATCACTGAGACATTGCAGTTGTGTAGCTCACCACCCAGTATTATAATTGCAACCGTGGCAACCCAATTTTGTGCGACATACATAGTATGGCCTGACAGATCCAGTCGGTGATCAGCCTCGGAGGATTACACACTCGAAACAAACTCACAACTGTGGCAATCATTATATTGAAAGTTGATCAATAATCTCTCTCACCCCTGCATGGGAGTGCAGTTGATCAGACAGGAATGGCAGGCATATGTGCAGAATACTCACTATGTCTGTCTCCGAGATTTTCGGAACACCAACTGTGTGCTGCTGGTCAGAAGAAACAAAGACAGCAGATGTGAGGAGACATACACAGTATGCCGATGCTGATTGTAGGAGATGGTTTATTAGCACAGACGTTAAATGCTTGGCCTTCCAAACATACACAGCATATGGTATTCCAAAATAGCGCAGCTAGGATAAATTCAAGTCAGCACCGCTTGCCAATCACACTTATAACACGAGCTACACACGCTGAGATACATAGCGGTCATGAAGGACCAGCGTTTCCTCTGTTGCGAATTAATTGTATTTTCATGTCACTCTTCTGATGTGGGACTCGACTCACCCAGACCAGTTCAACCTATAAAACCATTCTTAGCGGGGTAGCTGCTGGTAATGGGATCGACCTACCTCTTGTCCGAATGACAGTGCTGGACGTAACATAAGGATACCCGCTGTTCTTTGATACTACCTTTAATGCTCACCCCAATCATACGTCACCCCAGCACAGGCGGCAACTGGAAACCGCAGCCAAGGTTACATCGACACGTCAAAGGCATCATCTGACTGACTCTCCACGAACCTAAAAAATAGCTAGTAATTCGACTCGAATTGATAAACAGCCACCAATTGGGATCATTTGAGATCAGGGTCATACTGTTAGAGGATAGGTATGAGGGAGTCGCGAACTTGGTGGACGTATGACAATAGCATTTGCTAGATATATATACTATCATCCAACACCTTCATGGCATCTGAGGAATTATATCCGTTCCTGCTGGCCTCACTTGACCACAGTAAGTATTTGTGAGTAGAACGGGTCGTCAATCCAGGAGCCCTCATGTTTGAATGAAACGAGGTAGATTTTGATCATGAACATACAAAGTCATGCATGAAACATCCGGACAGTGTAAGGTAATCACTGTTCGCAATTTCGGCACTTGCTTTCCCGTGGGCTGTTGTCCAGACCTCCTTGCTACACGTGCATCAGTTAAGACGTTCCGAAACCATATTGTACGTGCCTGTACTATCACTCCTGGGAATCTGCAACTGGCATGTAATATGCAAAATGTTCAAAACACCTCAATGCGCTGCTTGAATCACCTCGAAAAAATTCATGTGTATGTAGGCTACTTAGAGATGATGTATTGTCCAAGTAGAATAAAATTTTCTTGAGTGTTGCAGCTGCGAGAGACAGAATAGTGGTGATTTGCAACCTTGTATAATCATAAATGATCCAGATCCCATAGATCCTAGAGAGATATTCAAAAAGTTACACCCGGAGCATATCAAACACCTCGTCAGGGTGTCAGAACACAATTTCGATAGAGGCCATTCTCTTGTTTTAAGATGCTATAGACAGAGGATTGACGACATGTATGAAAGCGTGACAGCAGATAGGAGAGTGTGTAAGAAATTCAATCTCCTCCAAGTGAAAGCCGCTACTGTGCCGATGTGTGACACGACGTGACCATGTTTTGCAGAATACCAGTCAGACCCTGAATTTTCTCGGCCTTCATCCAACACTCCACCACAAAATCCTTAAAATCCTTAAAATCAGATTCATATAGAGCAGCTACGAATCTATAATGGTGCAAATCCGTAGAAGAAAATATGATGTGGTTGAGGAGTTACAAAAGATTTATTGAAAATGTTGCAGAACCCCAGGAGTGATAGTATGCTATGTAGCTTGAACTGTCAAACGTCACGCTGACCGATTTGCCCCCTGTAACGAATCACGGTACCTGGCAAGGTGCCAGTGTAGAAAGAAACACGCACTGAATATGCCTGCATCGAGCGGAGATTTGACCCAAGTCTCAAGATCTCAAGTAGACACGTCGCTCGCGACGCCAGCTGTATCGCAGCCCATCAGAATAGTATAAACAAGATTAAACCCACAGTGAGAGCACGCAACGGTGACGGAGCAACAATACCCGGCCTTGCACTTTTCTTCAAACTCCGACTGGTGCATCCGGCAGCTCTGGTTTCGGGACTAACGTCGTAGTAGGTATATATAGTATGGTAATTCAGTGCTAGCGCTCAGTTTTCAACGTTCAAACGTTCATTTCGGATCTTAATTAACACAGGCCTATCAGCTGTGTGATGCCAATAATTCTCCATGAATATCGGCACTCTCTCAGCCTGACTCGGACCGCGTCGCAGCTCCTATGTATCGGCCCATCATGATTTGAACATGACACGGTATCAGAAAAGTCAAACACGCCCATGGGAGCGGAACACTTGGATCCAGCTAGCTTAGAAATTCGCCAAGATCTACTATGGAATATCCAGGCCCTCGCTCTGAATCACACTCTCGAGTGATCGAGTCCAATGTCCATTCGTAAGGGACGTCAAGAACAGGGTAAACCGTTTACAAAGCGACACAATGCATAATAATAATAAAAATGAAGCGACATGATAAGGAATAAGAATATCCGACTCATTCATAACCCAACTCAGCATCAATTCGTGCTCTTCGCAAGTTCCTCCTCTCTTCGTCAGTCATACACGACCACCCCTCCACTGTCTCTAATAACTCCTCCTCGATACGCTCCTCCATCTCGATCTGCTTCTTGCTCTTCTTCGGCGGGGGCGGTCTCGGTAAGGGTGGCGGAGGGGTTCGTCGGTTGGGGTGGAGCGGTGCGATGCGAGAAAGCATCGTTCGCGAGGATTTCATCAATGGCGAGTAGGAAGGGCCATTTGCGAATGGGGAATTTGGTTGCGAGTTGACGCGTCGGATGAGCTCCGACATTGGGGTTGACTTGGATTTGATGGTGAATGTGCGTGACTTCAGACCGGTGGATGGAGCCTGCTTGGGCGGGGCAGCTACACTTTGTGGTGAATTCTTCTGGGAAGAATATAGATTATTATCAAAGTAATGATATCAAATTTTATCGAAAGGCGGTACCTTGGTTGTTGCAGAGTCTTCAATCGTTCGAGAATCCTTCGTGGAGTTGCCACCTCGAGATTCTTCGAGTTCGTTCTCAGGCACATGGCTGCATTGACGAGGTGACTTCGCACGAGGAGGGTCGTCATCCTCATTCTCACTCTCCGAGAGAATCGTTTTGCCTTTGCCCTTTGGTTTCGATTTGTTTTTTGTAGCGGGCTTTGGCTTCGATGGTGCCTTCTTCTTGGAAGTAGCTTTCGGGACCTCCGCAACGAAATCGTCCGCCGCGAGACCATCATTACCTGCAGCTGCTTCATCCAGAGAGGACTTGTGCACAAGATCGTCGAGCTCGACTTCGTCAGCCTGCTTCCGATCTTTTTTCTTCCCCTTTGCCCGAGTAGACAACTTTGTGTCTTTTTTCTTACCCTTGCCCCCAGTAGCGATAACGACAGTGTCCCCTTTTTCTTCTTCAAGAGGGTGCGAGTCATCGATTGGAGGGACAACGGGCGATGATTGTGCAAAGAATAGAGGAGGATCTTTAATCAAAGACGACGGACCGTGGGGGATGTCTAGATCCATCTCCTCCCCCTGGACGTCGGGCTCAAGCGGGAGAGCCCTCTTCCGCTTGCGAGCCATCACAGGTGGAGAAGAGGGAGGGGAAGAGGACAAGTCGGGTAAAGGCGGAAGAGAAGACGGAAGGTGCGATGCCGTAGAAGGCAGATGGGATGGAAGCGCTAGTTCCTGGTATACGGGAAGGACGACAACGTCGTTCGACTGAGTATCGGTCATGGCTCGTCCGGCAAGCTTAGGTGAAGGTGATTTAGATTTAGCCTTTGGCGGTTTTGTTTTCGGTTTCGGTTTCGGCTTCGGTTTGACGGGCTTGTCTTGGGACTTGTGCCGCTTCCATGGAGGCTTGAGGGATAGTTCATCGAGGTCGGAGTCGGACGTCAGCTCAATGACATCATGGGCGACAGGGACGTAAGTCGGCTTCTTTGCCTGAGTTTTCCGAGAGCGCGTCTTAGCTCGGTCGGCAATGCTAAATGTGTGATTGACGTCTTCGATATGTTCTGAAACGATAGAAGGTGTAGTCGGAGCGCGGATACTATCTGGAGCCAAGGTACTAGCTGTAATTGCAGATGCAGAAATAATGAGTGAACCAGAGGCACGGGACGCATCTTCGTTGACGAAGTCGTCATATATGGTGTTCGTAGTTCGTGACTTTCGCGGCACAGGTCGCGGACGTGGCTTTGACTTGGGTACAAACGTTTCCGCGTCTCGGGGAAGTGATGGGGAAGCGTTTGGTGGGTCGGAATCTTGGTACCCGGGAGGTGGCGTAAACAGAGACACATTACTTATGTCAAGGGAATTGTGTGCTCGTCGGGGGGTCCGCGCTGGACTGGAAATCAATGAGGCGGTCTGAATGACTGATGCTGCACAGACATGTTCGGTTAGTACGTAGTACAGCATATAAATGATTGCTGACCCTGTGAAATCTTTGTAGAAACTGGGCTCCCGCTCAAGAGGACGCTCTGGTCGGCAACTACAAGTGGCTGGAAGCCGTCTTCGTCCTCGCTATCAGCGACAATCCAGTCGTTTGTGCCTTCGCTCATGTTTAAAGCGATATGTACTTGGCTATTCGCCGTGGTTATGCTCGACGTCCTCGACGACACGATGAGGATGTAGAAGTGTAAGAACAAGTGACGATCTAAGACACGAATTGAGGTCGCGTAACATTGATCCACAGTCACGTGCTCGCGTTAATGTAAATGATCGGAATGGCCTTCGATACCGCTGTGATACGCAATCACCGGTGCCGACACCTTGTATAGTCATGTCCACCTCACAGTCTACACCGTCATCGCCAACGGCCCAACGAGTAAAGTCTGTCTCTAGAGTACTCTCGTCTCCGTTGCGACCTACGTCTTCTCCAAGTCCTTCAACCTTGATTCCGTCCAATTCTCGCCGATCCTCACTTGGTGTCGGACAAACGTCTGGCACAAAACCACCTACAGGGCCTGTTCCAAAGACACGCGCCAGAGATCTCTTAAGGAAGCACTATGGTCTCGGAGTAGGTCCACCAACGCCTTTGCCTGGGAGGTCAAACGATCCCATGGATTTGGGTACGTCTCGAAAGTCAGAAGTTCAAGCTCAATCTCAGTTCTCATCCTGCTACTGAAGATTCTACAACGTTTGATGCAAAATCATATTACGAACAACTCATAACCACATCATCTCTGTCTGCTTTACTGAAGCGGGAGAACGACCTACTGACAGGTTCGTGTTGTACAAGACCGTGTGAAAATTTTGCTCATTGAGGTTTAGAAATACGACAACTTGATGGCGAGAGGCAGTCGCTGGTTTACAATCACCATCATGAACTGATTGCAGCCAGTGATACCATAGCCGCAGTGTGTATACGCTCAATGTACCCCTTTGTGTAGTCTCACGATTTTGTAGATGAAGACTCGAGCCGAGGGCTTGGATGCAGACCTTGACCTGCTTAAGGCAGCGTTCTCAGAGATATCCCGGTTGGGCGCTAAAGTCTCCGTTGAGAAGCATCCTTCCGATATCAATCCCAACCAATGACATGCGCCCCGGCCGTTGAACATGCGAACTCTGACCCGCAAATCACCAAAGATACATGACAGCAAGATATGGAGCATTTTATTGATACAGGATTCTCTCTGCAAGCTCCAGGCTTGCTATACCACATTATAACTATGGAATAATGATATGCACATCCTCCGCCTCAAACCTTCGCATAAAGTTCTACCTGCCAGGTGGATCCTGATCGGTGGACAAGACTAGTGATCAAACAATCTCTCCAGATGCTCGGTTTCCCACGTGGCCTCCATATGAGCTCGTACTTCTCGTATCCCGTTTCCACAGGTATTTCTTTGCGCTGCACATGGGGATCAGCATCAATAAACAAGGTGAGTGCACTTTGACGTACATGGACGTGGTGCATGAACTCCTCGATATGCGTTGCTAAGATCATGAGCAGCTTAGCCCTCGTGAGGGTTCCGTTTTCTGTGCAAATTCGCCGTTCCACAGGAAATTGACCATATCCAGGCCACTGCCACAGAGGACAATCAGATCATCTCGGGGGGTGGTGTAGTATTTTCGCTTACCGTCATCACGACCTTGATATACCTCTCTCCTATGTTCTTAAACACCTGATCGTGCCTTCCTTCTATCTTTGGCATCATATCGGAGAGCTCAATTAGCTCGTCGACGCGGAAAGGATTGCCCCCGCCCTTCCTGTTAAATTTGATAGGCGCATGCTGGGATCCTATCCTACTCCACGAAGACGGCTGTACGCATTTGTCCACGCTGGCTGTCTGCGGAAGCCGGTGAAACCCCGGAGGAACGGTAGTGTTGTATATCATTTTATTGGCAGCGGGTGGTGTATGTCCCGTGTAGTTGGCGGGGTGTACAACGTTCCTCTCAGGGTATGGGTACGCAAGGCGCACAGACTTCGGGAATTAGAAATGACAGCAATAAGTGTCCGGTGTGCACTTACAGATGACCCTTCGTGGCCTAGCGCATTTGGAGTAGACGGATATGGGGAGTTGACTGTTCCCTATAATTTCATAACATGTGAGTCAATTATCAAGCACCTCAACACGCATCACCTACATCAGATGTATTGGGTTGGGGCCGTACATATTGTCTAGGTGCAGGACCAAGGGCACCTGCGAGCTCCGGGTTTGATGGCGCCTGAGTACGTAGGTATGCGGAAATGGGTATTCCCTATAAATCATAATCACGTCTACGTCAGTGAGGCTGCTAAAAATCCACAAGGACCATCCTACATCAGTGCAGCTAGCATTCGGCCTAACGGGGTACATCGACTGAGCCGGGGCAGCCTGAGGCTGAAGAGCACCGGATAGTGTTGAGTACGATGTTACATGGGCGATTTGCCTGGCGTCAGGAAATGCAAGAGGATACGGGTAAGCCATAATTTTACTTGGAGGAGACAGATATCTTCAACGACGATCAGGTGGTTTGTCTGTCATTGGCGTCTGTGAAGGCATTTTATAACTTGAGTATCGTCAAAGCGCCCCGTCCACGTCCACATCCACCAGCTTTGACCAGCATCCTGCGTCCACAGGATACTTACAATGGCGCGCTATGATTGTAAGCTGCTAATACTGTGGAATGAGAGTGATATCATCCAAAGGGTCTGGATTGGTAGACGTCTTTCTTTGTGTAAGGTGATGAGTGGCGTATCTTGGCCTGGAGATGTGGCTGCCACCCACAGACAACACCAATGCGGCTGCGATTCGCAAGGTGGCAGATGGCAATAACGACAACCAACGTGAGCTTTGGCAGCCGGGAGCATGAGTGTACTTCTTTCCGACATCTACTGTAACTTGTTGTGGGTTTGGAAGTTGGAACGTTGCTGTGGAAAAAATATAATATGAAAGAAACAATGGAACCTTCAGTTCCATGAGGTAATAGTGCCCGAGAACCGTACTGACAAATCCAAGTTAGAGTCCAACGGTGTTGCGAATCTTCATCTTCGAAATCCAACAAGTTGCCACCGATCTGTGTTTGGACTCGTCTCGAGAGACACTTCAGATCGATACTTTCGGGATAGTTCAGGGACACTCTCGTACGCAGTGCACACCATACTTTTTCTGGTAGTCCTCTCCACCAATGAAGACGCTCGCTTAAGGTTGACGAAAGCTAGGAAAAGCTTCAACGTTGTCAACGTAAAGAGAGGCTCTCTCAGATCAAGTTGGAAGCGACTTCGAACATGGTTAGGCCAGCGTTGGCCAGGGAGTCTTTTTCAGGAAAGACTTCTAATGGAGATGATGATTTCTAATAGCTGCTTCCACACAGGTGATAGTGCCAACCGTACATGCACTGTACGTGTGGTGGCGAGGTGATGGTGGCTCAGCAGTTCATGTGAAGAACCACCGAGCACACGGCAAATAGTAAGCATCATAGCACCGTCCTATGTAGACGCGGCCCCACGCCATACTCGCTGAGTCACTGGCGCCACGAGTGGAGACGCGCTCCGCAGAAGGGCATTTCACGACGGTAGATTGGCTGCGTGCGATCCTGTCAGATCAAAGTTCCACTGATAATCAGTTGGCAGGTCCCCCCTACTATATAATGATGATCGATGAGTTTCGGGGCGCCGTGACCAATGGGTCTTGTACCGGCGACTGAACTTCTGCATTTCACGGTGACTTAAGTCACAGTCCAGCTGTCAACCCAGGATACCCTGCAAGGGAATGCAGGTAAAACAGTGATTTAACCCGCTCACGATTCAAACAAGGTCACTTGGAGGTCGAAGAACTGGAATAAGCATGAAGTCTATTTTGAAAAAGCGCTCGCTCACTGAGCAATCAGTTATATTTGACAAATCGTAACAGCCCCGACTGCCCCGCTATTAGCTTTAGTTACCTTGTTGTCTCGCCCCCCAGACTGCCATATTGTAAGGATTGAATATCCTTTATGCTCCTCCCGTGCTTTAAAATGAAGACGATCGAATAGCCACAGTGCGTTCAAAATCGTCTATGTGACACACTGATGCGAAGAGCGTCACCCGAGTCACGCGGATACATGTCTCTTCCATTTTATTTAATTACCATACCTTATGCTCACTATTACACGGTTCCCTATCTTCCCCGCTCAATTTTCGTTGTACCATGCGCTATGGGTCCTTGTTCCGGCCTATTCGACAACTCGATAAAGCGTTCATGTACTTTCGTATGAATTCTATACTTAGATCCCCGCTCCAAGCACGACCGAAAAGCATCACAGAAAGTCTCCGTCCTATACGTTTACCTACTCGTCTCAATCACCTTTGCGCTCGTCTCCTATTCACTTCGTTTCGTTCCAATTCCCCTTCGAACTAACAGTCAACCTTACAATATGCATACTTTCATCTGTGCCGATCGAATTGCTATTTTAGACCAAACATTTACATCGTCCTGTGGCTGTGTTTATTGCCGTTGTGAACCGCTGTTTGCAAGTCAAGTCTGGGTGAAGTCGGTTCCCTACCTCTGCTTCTATGGCTTTCTCCCATGTTGTTAGCGCATTCGACAGTCTCAAGGATCAAGCAAAGGATGCTATCTGGGCCCTCTCTTCATGCCTTTGCCAGCAATCAGCTAAAGTAAAAATCAATGGGCGAACGTGTCAGTCATAAGAACATTTACTTGTACTCAACAGCTGGCTAATGCGAGTTTTATGATCCCAGTCAACATTATAAAGGTCCTCGGCGAAGGTGGATTCTCGTTTGTATATCTGGCACAAGACGAGACGAGTGGGGTGCGTCATCTCATGAGTTCTTTCCTTACAATACCTCACATATATGGTTGGCATTCATTTAGCGGCAATTCGCACTCAAAAAAATAAGATGTCCAACTGGGTCGGAGGGCGTGAAGGAGGCTATGAGGGAGGTAGAGGCTTACAGACGTTTCAAGTAAGTGGTGTTGATGATGTTTATATTCCTGCCTTATATAAGTATGTGGTCAGACATCGAAATATTATTCGGATACTTGTGAGTGACAACGCGGATTATGGTTATGTAGTTTTTGAACAGCTGCCCAGGATTCCGCGGTTGTCCAAGATCCCGAAGGTGAAGGCAAGATTGTGTACCTCTTCCTCCCGTTGTATAAGGTATATTTTATGTCGGGCTCCGCTTTGAAACACTCATAGACTTTTATATGAAGCGCGGGAACCTTCAAGATGCTATCAACTTGAACGTCGTGAATGGGAAGCACTTCCCTGAGCAAGATATGATTCGACTGTTCAAAGGCACATGCGAAGCCCTGCGCGCAATGCATGATTACCGCACAACTACCGGTTCCTCTTCTGCTCAGCCTCAACCGTCCTCATCACGCGTGGAGGAACACCACTCCGATGGAGAGGACGAGCTTTTCCCGCAGCCGGAGGGCGACAACGAGGGCGGCTACTCCTACGACAAGTCTGTGAACATGCCGCTGATGACAAAGCACCGTGTCGAGGGGGAAGGGGATGTAATATTTGATGGTGACGAGGAAGTGTCGGCAATTCAGACTGCTCAAAATGGGAGTGTGCAACAGGGAAACAGCGAACACATTCCATATGCTCACCGGGATTTGAAACCTGGGTAGGTATATCCCCAGATTCGTTTTAATTGCACCTCTGAACTTCACTAGGAACATCATGATCGCTGACGACGGCGTCACGCCCATACTGATGGACTTTGGGAGTACTGTGAAAGCAAGAATACGGATAGACAATCGATCACAGGCTCTGCTACAGCAGGTATATGCCGCTTTAATTCACTTTACTGTATTTCATCTCATTCGTCTCGCAGGATATTGCCGCGGAACAAAGTACGATGGCGTACCGCGCTCCGGAACTTTTCGATGTGAAGACAGGCATCAGTCTTGACGAGAAAGTTGACATATGGGTAAGTCTTCCCACCAATCGCTTATACATTGTCTAACCCTTCACAGTCACTCGGATGCACGCTGTTTGCTCTGGCATATTCCCACTCGCCTTTTGAAAATATCCAGACGACGGAGCAAGGTGGCTCGATCGCAATGGCCGTCCTGAACGCCCAGTATAAGCACCCCAGCTCGGCATATTCACAAGGGCTGAAGGACTTGATCGATAGTATGCTCAAAGTTAACCCTAAAGACAGACCGAATATTCACCAGGTACGTGTTTCTGGTAAGGAACTGCAACCATTGTTGCTGAATGAATGCCTGTAGGTTATTACAATGACTGACAGGGTTCTACAGTCGCTGTTGTAAAGCACTACAGTATACCTTCATGACTGGGACTTGTGCCTTTGCTCCTTTACTTATTTATCTCGCAGCTGTCATTGCATATCTACCGGAATCATCGCGATGTGGACTGATCAACGTTACCTACCAACTCAAGTAGCCTTAGCTCTTGTCCTTTCTTTTTCACGAGGCGCCTTCGGTTTACTGAGAGGTTTCTCTAGCAACCGTACTGGAGCTCCTGGTGACGCAGAGGAAGTTACGATTTGATCTCTTTGGACCTTGCGCTTCTTCTTTTGAGGCTCTAATGGCTTTTGGGGCGATGCGTCGAGTTTTTCTACGTCGTGAATTTCAAGCGGCTCGAGTGCTGCTGACTCCTTCCCTGCTGCATCCTGGGATTGTGACGCTTTACTGGCAGCACTTTTTGCCTTTGCCTTCGTACGAAGCTTATTGTGTAGCATTCGCTTCTCTTTAATTGATGCTTGCTTCGCTGACTGAAAACCTGGCGTTGAAAAATTCCGCCTCAAAGAATAAGAAGATGCACCACTCACTCTTTTCAGAGCACGCTTCGACATACCACCCTCTGTATCAGGGCGATTCCGAGTGCCAGTAGGATTTGACGCCTCCTTCTGTATCGTCCTTGCAACTTGCCAAGCATCACTCTGTGGATCAACATTCGCTGATAAAGTCTTGAAACGCTCGAACCGCCGTTTATGAGCCTGCGGTAGCCTGAACCTCCGTCTTTTTTCAGTTGCATGTTCAGAGAAAGGGACATACAGTAGATGCCTTGTGGACTGTTGACATTTGAGCACCCTTGATGACCTTGCCCTTGCACAATATGCAAGCTCGGACGTCCAATGGGTCGAGCGATACGACATAGATGGGGTCCCGCAATGCTTCTGACAGCGATATAGGCGGTTCTTCATCATCACTGGCATTGGCGCCCTCCATTTCGTCTATATTCTCGTCCTCAGCTTCTTCCAGATCTTCTTCACCTAATTGCTCTGCATCCGAGTGCCCGTCAGAGCTAGAGTCCGAGTCTGATGCAGATTCGTCCGAATCGGTGTCGTTAAACCCCATGAACTCCTTCATATCTTCGTCGATTCCTAGTTCTTCCTCTTCCTCCAGCTTTTTGCGCTTCTTTTCAACTCGTTTGAACATGGTGATCAATGAGACGAACGGATAGTTCAAGAACCAATTGAACCCAAATCAGTTCTAACTTTTTGCACAGCCACAACTACATTTTCCAGGTTCCTTCACATCCTTTTCATGCATCGTCGTGCCGGCCAACTGCTTGCAGACTTCCGGCCCAATGTCCAGCCAGGAAAATCATATCCAACAGTCACTCCCAGAAAGAACAATGATTCTAAGAGTTTCATCCGTCGGCCTCGAAAGCTACCACCCAATGAACTGGATGCAGCCGCCAAGCTAACCGACAAGCTTATCCGCGTTGTTGCTGGCACCAAATTCACTCCCAAACGTCCATGGAAGCATACAGAGACACTTCGAGGCGATGAAATGCGTTTACTGGATATGTTAAAGCCGAAGCCACCCATGACAGAAACGCAAGCTGCCTTCACAATGGATGTGGAAGATGTAGATCCTGCAGTAGGACCAGAAGACACTTCGGGAGCTTCTAATATAGAGCCTGGGTCCCTTGTTGAGATTCGGAAGTGAGCTTATGACTCATTTGTTTATTTATTCGCGGATGATTTATGATGCTGTAGGGGTTCTATACTTGCATATGGCATAGTTTTAGGCCACGCGTATATGAACGGTCGCATGTGGCATCTCTCTTTGATCAGTACAGGCGAAATCATCCAGCACGTCGATTCCGATGTGTACATCGAAGTCCCTCGCATGGTCAACCTGGACCTCGCCCTCCGCGGTGGCACCAACGTAAACCCAATGGACCGCGTAGAGACTAATGCGCGCGTTGCAATCCTGAAGCACCTACGGGAAGCTGAAAAGGAAATAAACAAGGCATTCATGGTAATTGGGCGGAAGAACGCGGTGCTATATCCCCACGTGAAGTCGAAACATCCAGATGAGTGGGCAACCGTCAGCCTTTCAGAGGCTGCGAAACTGGCATGCGATTATAGACCGGGGAGCTGGTCCACGCTCCTCGCAACACACAAATATATCATGGGTCGCCCTATCGAATTTGTGCCCCACATGCAATTTCAGAGACTTGCGCTCACGTATGACGTGCGGCCTGAAAACCATGTTGTCAAACTGCAGCGAGTCGTGGATATGGTGCGGAAAAGGAGTCCGGAACTGGAGGCATTTATCGAGAAAGCTCGGGGGCTGATTCTTACTAGTCGGGAGAAGGCTAACGAGTCTTGGGATGAGCCGCCGAGCAGAGTTGTCGTGGAGCATATCGCATTTTCCCCAGATGATCGTGTCATCCTTGATGTCTTGCATCTTGCATTACGCAGGACGCGTTCCAATTCTTCCGATCCCTTTTCTGGGGTGGTCACATCTATCATCAAGAGGATTGGCTTGTATACTCAGACAATGGTGGATGACGTGTGTCTGCGACAGTTCTTGATTGATATGGGGGAGATGGCCCCGTGGGAGGATGTGGTTACCCACAGGAAAGAGCTAAATCTGGACTTGGCACCGGAGGAGGAGTCGCAGCGCGTCAAAGAACAGAACGCTCTTGTCAAAAAGAGCCTGTCTTCGCTGCTACCCTCGCAGGCGAAGGTCAAACAACCATTGGGCCCGGAAGACTTTTACCACCGCGATCCCGTCGAGCATCTGCGACACGACTTCGGAAGTCTACCCGTCTACGTGATTGACGATGTGAGCGCTGAAGAGTTGGATGATGGCTTGTCAGTGGAACCCGTTCCTAACGAGCCTGGTTCGGCTTGGATACACGTCCACATTGCAGACCCTACTTCTGTCCTTCCACCGACTCACACTATCGCAGAAGCAGCACGTCGAATGGGTTCCTCAGCATACTTCATCCAAAGGACATGGCCTATGCTCCCTCCCTCCCTTACCCACGAACGACTAAGTTTGGGCTCGCTTTCTTGGAAGGGGAAGCCTGAGCCTGTGCTTACATTCAGCTTCAAGGTGGATACTGAAGGCAATATGGTTGACTACGATGTTAAAGCGGGTCTCATTCGCAACGTTACAAGAGTTGACTACGACGGTGTGGATCAACTTCTTGGAAACGGAGGTGTTCAATTTGGCCTCCCATTCGAGGCCCCGCAAACCCCTGGACCTTCCCGTGTGCCTGCACTAGAACCAAAAGATGTGGAGAACATACGTCTTATCAACGACGTAACACGCAGGTACCGACAGCGTAGTCGCCAGATACTAAATCCATTCGTATTCTCAGCTCCAATCGCGAATCTCACGGTTGCTACGAAACCACTCTACGGTGCTCCAACAACACCAGCTTGGAACGCTTCATATTATCGCGGCTTCCCTAGCCTTACCTATCAGGTGACCTCTCAGAAGATAGTGGAGCGTGGCTCGCGACTGTTTGTTGCTGAGTGCATGAAAGCAGCGTCTCGCGTTGCTTCACGATGGTTTGCCGCGAGGGGAGTGCCGATGCTGCGTCGCTCTGCAGGACCTCCGATCGCGCTTGAGGACAAGAGAGACATCGAGAAGCTAGGGGCGAAGATGGACGAGGATGGATTTGTGGACCACGCGGAGTTCCTCCAGACGAAGTTGCACGTTCCAGCTGTGGAGTATGTCCTTGAGCCAGGTATGCACTGGGCTATGGGTATCCCGGAAGGGGAGGGTTACGTGCGGGTCACATCACCACTGCGACGGTACAACGATCTGGTCGCGCACTGGCAGATCAAGGATGTGCTGCTTCGACCAACGACATCTAGGCGTCTATTCACTCCCGGGTGGCTCACTACCTACGCCACCGAACTTCTTGCACACGAAAAGCTCTGGAAGCATAGCGATCGCAGTCATCGCTTGCAATGGGCACTTATGTACATCAAGCGCTTCCTTGACCACCCGAACCCTCCCAGTGATCGCGTCGACCCTCTGCAATCCCTCACTGCATATACCACAGAGCCTTGCAAGAAGCGTGACCTGTTGACGGATCAGTGTCTGTGCCATATACCATCGCTTGGTCTATCAGCAACAATTATTATGCCTAGGGGTACGGATATCCCAGTTGGGCAGCATGTGAGTGTGAGAGTCAAGGACGTGCAGGTCGGCCTGAAGTCGCTCTTCATGCTGGAGTTATGTGGGGTTGCATAGCATTGCTTTATTTAGACTCAACGTACCGTAGGTTAATCTACTGCATAATTTTACACTCACCTCATTCTTGTCCGTCGGAAGGCTGTCATTTTCGAGGGCTATGATTGGTTCGGAGGGTAAGCTGACTAAGCCACGTGTAATGGTTCGACACGAGGATAAAACTCGCGCTGAAAAGTCAAGTTACACCAGTCGCGCTCGTGAGACCTTCCCTTTGGACAGCGCGAGAACATTATTGCTTTGCATCTTGTTGTCGTTCCTCCATGTCGTTCAATTCGACTGCTCCAGCTGCAGGCTACGTTGCAGCTTTCGTCGATGCAACGCAGCAGTATGTCGCTGCCTCGCCCGGAAGAGCAATTTTGCTTGCAATCTTGTATACGCCCGTCCTCACCATCGTGCTACATGTCCTCAGGCAGCTGGTGAGCATCTAGTAACCTGTGTTCGCGTGTGCGTTGACATTTGCCACCAGATTGTCCCCCAAGATCCTTCACTACCTCCAGAAGTATTCCACTGGATCCCTATAATGGGGTCTTCCATCACGTACGGCAATGACCCACTCAATTTTTTCTTCAAGTGCAGGGAAAAGGTACGCTCGTGTGACATACATGTCATGAAATTGTCTCATACTTTTCTCCAGTACGGGGACGTCTTCACATTCACTCTGCTTGGACGCAAGGTTACCGTCGCACTCGGTGCTAAAGGCAACAACTTTATCTTGGGTGGAAAATCGACTGCATTCTCGGCAGAAGACGCTTATACGGTACGTACAAATTTTTGGCCTCGCAAATGCTTTTCACAACCACAAAACAGCACCTTACGACCCCCGTCTTCGGCAAAGACGTCGTATACGATGTCCCCAACGAAGTTTTCATGGAGCAAAAGAAATTCGTTAAAGTCGGCCTCTCAACTGAGAACTTCCGGGCGTACATGAGCATGTTCGAACAAGAAGTGGATGACTTCATGCGTAACGACCAAGCATTCATCATCTGGCAAATGAACGATATCAATGAATGGGGACGGTTCGATGTCACGGATATCATGGCCCAGATTACTATTTTGACCGCCAGCCGGACTCTGCAAGGCAAGGAGGTCAGGAGTGGTTTGGACAAATCATTCTCGGCGCTCTACAACGACCTGGATGGAGGCTTCACCCCGCTGAATTTCATGTTCCCTAACTTGCCTCTGGAATCTTACCGCCGTCGGGACGAAGCGCACAAGAAGATGAGCGAGTACTATACTGACATCATCCGCAAACGCAGAGAAACAGGTCATACTGTAAGGCTTTCTCGTTGATGGTGTCGAACCAATAGCTATATTACATTCTATAGGAGGAACCCGACATGATCTCGGCCTTAATGGATCAAAATTACCGTGATGGCAGGCCTCTTCGTGACCACGAAATCGCGCACATCATGATTGCCCTTCTCATGGCAGGACAACACACTAGCTCCGCCACTGGTTCATGGACGCTCCTTCACCTTGCTCACAACGTCGAAGTCCAGTGAGTCTGTTCCGTTATTGACGGTTAACATATGCCAACCATCCTCATTATAGGGAAGCCCTTTACCAGGAGCAAGTCGAGCACTTCGGCAACCCCGATGGTACTTTCCGCCCAATGACCTATGAGGCCTTCCGCAAGCTTCCAGTTCTTGATTCGGTCATTCGTGAGACGCTCCGCATGCACCCACCAATTCACAGCATCATGCGCTACGTCCGTTCTGATGTCCCGGTTCCTGCTACTCTTGCTGCACCCTCCAAAGATGGCGTTTATGTCGTTCCTAAAGGCCACTACGTACTTGCTTCTGCTGCCGTTAGCCAGGTTGACCCTCGTATTTGGGCTAACCCCACGAAGTGGGACCCAACGCGGTGGAGTGACCCTGAGGGTGTCGCTGCGCAGGCGTTCAAGACGTACGCCGACGAGAACGGCGAGAAGATCGACTATGGTTTCGGTGCCGTAAGCAAGGGAACTGAGAGCCCTTACCAACCTTTCGGTGCTGGTCGGCATAGATGCATTGGCGAGCAGGTGTGTTTGATTATTTTCATCTCAGATGAATTTTCCTAATTTCTAATAGTTCGCATATTTGCAACTTGGAACTGTGATCGCCACCATCATCCGCAAAGTCGAGGTACAGCTAGAGGATGGCGTCACTAAGATGCCAGCACACAACTACCATGTCCGTCTCTAAGTTCATCACTACTCATGAGTGTTGTTGACCCCCTCCACAGACCATGATCACGATGCCTAAGAAGCCTCGCAATATTTGCTACAGACGCAGGAGATTTGATTAGAGGACGCTTCTCCTCGATATTTATACCATACATCTACCGTACTTGGATGTTCGTTCACTTGCATAGAATATATACCACCTCTAAATGCTGGACTCCAAGACAAAGACCAAGTATCGACGACTTGGGTTAACGATGAACTTGAACCACTTGATCAAAGTAACATCACAACACCCCTCCTCGACAGACCAATTGTAAGTCGTGGGCATGGCTCTTGAACGAGGATTACAACTGCTCTGAAATGATTGGATCATCTTGGATGGGGTATACTGTACATATAGGCGGACGAAAATTCCTTGCATGGAATTTTAAGGTTCCCCCACCCCCTCCAGAATTTCCTGTATCTCGTACAAATACCCGACGATACCCCTTCGAGCCATTAGTGATCCAAAAAGATATTGGTGTGTCTAGATCTGTTTCTCTTTGAAATCTACTTCGGAACACGGAATGCCTTAAATAAGTACTGTGATGTGGAATAAAAAACAAATACTCCACTCCCTGCAGAGTATACAATGGATGTTAATCAGATTGAGCATTTCTTGGACTACACCCTACTGCTAGTTGACACCTGCACATGCTCCTGGAAAGCAATTGAAGTCATGGCAGTTGCTGTGTTGGAGTTGGCCATGAGTTTTGCATCATACTCTTGAACACTAAGGATGATGCATGGTCCCAGCACAAACATGAGCATGAACATGAAAATTTGAATAAGACCATTATAAACCTGAGTTTCCAGGGAAGAGGTGTCCTATAAAAATGATGAACTGTGGTCACATGCAGAGGTTAGTGAGAGAATGGCATACCACTAAGATTGGTGAAAATATATAGGTGAGGTTGAAGCTGTAAGGCTACTTGTTAGTTCAAAGGGGAATTGGAGTGAAACGAGTAGAAGAGAGACATGCAAGAAGATAATTGAGAGGAATTGGAAAATGTGTAAGGCGGCTACTTTCTATGAGGCATTTGGTCATGCTTGGAGCAGGGAATCTAGTATACAGTGGCTCAAAAAAGTGTCTGAATATTTATGCATTTTCAAGTCATTTGATAATAGCAAGCCAGCACCAAACCATAACAAAAGGGTATAGGGATATGTCTGAAAGCCCTATATCATGGCTCAAATCTGAGATATATAGTGTGGAAACCTGACCATATATGGGCAAGCTATGGTAATTCTAAATACATGACTCATTCAGACACTTTTTTGACTTTATATTTAACCAAGACTATTTTATGATTCTAGTACTTGGTGTTACCCCCCTTGGCTTTAATAACTGCTGCAATCCTCCTAGGCATACTTTCTATCAATTTCTGACACTCCTCTTTAGCAATCTTTTTCCACTCTGCTGCAACTCTCTCCCATAGTTCAAATAGCCCCTTTGGAGGATCTTGATAGGCAGCAAGTAGTCTTTTGAGTAATTCCCAGAGATGTTCAATAGGATTGAGGTTTGGAGACTGTGCTGGCCATGATAGAACATTGATATCATGGTCTTCAAACCATTTTGTAGCCAGTTTTGAGGTGTGCTTGGGGTCATTATCTTGTTGAAAGATAATGTCTTCTTCATCAATTCCTGACTCCTGCATGCTTTTGAGTAGACACTCCTCTAGAATGGAGATGTACTGCTCTGCATTCATCCTTCCTTCCACCTTACAAAGAATCCCCACACCATTCCACCCCATACAACCCCATACCATCATACTTCCTCCTTCAAACTTCAGTGTACCCTTAACTTCTCTTTCTCCTAATGGTTCTCCTGCCTTTTTCCACACATATTCCTGGCCATCTGACCCCATTCTATTGATTTTTGTTTCATCTGACCAAATAACCTTCTTCCAGTCTTCTACAGTCCAATGTTGGTGCTTTAAAGCAAAGGCCAGTCTTCTCTTCCTATGAGCTACAGAGAGAAGAGGTTTTTTCTTCTTGGTTACAGCCTTAGGATTGGCTGCCTTGAGGGTGTTTCTAACAGTTTGGGTGGAGACAGGAGTGGAGATGATGGAATTGATGAACTTGGTAGCTTGGGTAGCATTTGAAGCCTTGCCAGATAGAATTTGGTGAACAATAGCTCTTTTGTTCTGTGGAGTAAGCTTGGGAGGACATCCCATTTGATGATTTTCCTTCTCTGGCATGTGCTGCTTTATGACTGTAGCAATAGTAGACTTGTCAAGACCAGTTTTTGAGGCAATTTGCCTTGTAGATAAACCAGAGGTACAGAGAACAAGAATATTATCCTTTTGAGCAGAGGAGATGGGCTTCATGATGATTATGTTGAATTTCATGATCTTATGTGGGTTTATATATTCAAATAATATTACAATCAGACCATATTATTATTATGACACCACTTTAATTAAGAGTATAATGTATGAATGGTCTGAGTTTGTAGTTTTAATACAAAGTCAAAAAAGTGTCTGAATAAGTCATGTATTTAGAATTACCATAACTTGCCCGTATATGGTCAGGTTCCCACGCTATATATCTCAGATTCGAGCCATGATATAGGGCTTTCAGACATGTCCCTATACACTTTGGTTATTGTTTGGTTCTGCCTTGCTATTGTCCAATTACTTGAAAATGCATAAATATTCAGACACTTTTTTGAGCCACTGTAGAATTCGCTTCCCTTCACTGTAGGTACAAGTGTACATGGGAAGTATATATACATTTGTGAATGGTTAACTAGGCCGGAATTGGCGTGAAAAGCATATGGTGCAGTGAAAATACTCGGTCAAAGAAAGGGATAGTGAAGTGTGAGCAGTAGGTAAGATAACGAGAAAGAGATGATATAGGGAATATATCTACGTAATTTGGATGCAAAGAGGAACAGAGGCACATCATCTTTGTTTGAAGCATGATCAGTGTGTAGAGGATATGCAGTCCTTACAAAGCACAAAACAACAACAAAGCTAGCTATGTGTGGAACTTCAGCAAAACAAGAGAACCACAGCTGACATTAAACCATGTATTGAAGTTTTCAATAGGCCTGACCAATTGTCAGCCATAGTGAAGAAAGAACCCAAACCAGTAATACTACAGCAGACTTCTGCAGTATGTATTTGTTTGCTGATCAGAATATATTACTGATTAGGGAGCACATAGACCAGTGTTGCTGTCAAGCAAAAAGCTCCTATGATGAAAAGGTTGAAGTCCTCTGCTGCAGGTACATCCTCTCACATGAGCATTACACCCTCCCAGGCAACAGAGATGCTAACAATCATGCTCTCTCAATCTCAGTACATGATGGAGCATCTTCCTGGAGTTTGTCAGACATTGGGAAAGTGGAGCAGCATGTTTATCCCCACTTTGATTTACTACATCAGTAATCAGGACAAAGTCTGGGCCATCAAAGACAGTCCCCTCAGCGCTACTCTGCAACTAATCTGGGATGCCATCTGCAAAGTATCCCATACATGGTCACTACTGATGGGCTTGTCATTGCTGTGGTGAGTGCATTTTGACCCCATTCACATCTAATCATCTTATTTTCTACAGGCCCTCCAGCAGTTGTCAGAATGGTGCAACAACCTCAGCACTGTGGTGATCAGAGGTGAGTGGACACGGGAGAAATCATTCTAGTAGAACAATATGAATCTCAGTCTCTAGAAAGAACTCTTCATTTGTGTACTGTACCTAGTAGATGTCATATCCCACATTTCTGAACGCAGAACTCCAGACCCTCACCTGGATATCTGGACCTTTGACCTGATCTCCATCTGGCACTCCTATTCCATTGCTGGATCTAAACTTAATCTTGCACCCATTTCCATTTAGACTTCCCCTCTTCTGGCTATCCAGTTGTAGTCTCTTCTGTCCTGCTTACTGATCCGTTCTCTGTATTCATTTCTGACTTCATTTCCTTTGATCTGTGTCAGAACTGTGCCTAATGGGTAGGAAGGAGGTTATGGAGGGGCTTAGCTTCAGCTTGTGTGCTGCGCTCCTTAGGCGAGTATGGTGCCCTTAACTTCAAAGGATGGATAGGGGCTGTCAAAGATCAACTCCAACGTGCTCTAACAGGGGTATGGTCATGGGGAACTACATCTGACATGCTCTGACAGAGGTAAGACTATGACAGACTAAGTCTGATGTAGAAAGTAAGGCAAAGACTGTCGGAAGACAGAGGTGGAGGTTGGCAAGACTAGTCTCGAGGTTGGACTAAACAATGAATAAAACTTCAGTTGAGTTGGAGGTGGTTAGGATAGGTTCGAGTCTATATTCATATTGTAGAAACACTACTGGAATACATAGGGTTTATGTACTATAGAAATAATGGGCTATGTGGCATAGTGTAGTGGAGTACAAAGTAATAGCAAAAGGTACAATGTACCATAGTATACAACAGGTTAGATTGGAATGCAGAGTTGGATCATACAAGGTACCAGGACCAGGCAGAAAGCAGAATGTACAAAGGGAACTAAGAATGGACAGATGTGTATCTGGTACCTTGATTGAATTAGGGGCGGAAGAATGTACCTGATACTGAAGATACATACTGAGAGGCAGAGAAGCATGGACAAGGGCAGAGGACTATAATTGAGGGTTGAGGGCAATGAATAAAGGCAGAAGATGCCAACTAAAGGTGGAGGAGACCTGTGTGGATTGTGGATATGACAATCTGTTAGACTTACTAATAGACTTTCCATATGCTTCATACATAGCCTTGTACTATGCTGACTGATTCCTTACATGATACATACAGTATATAAACTCCTGTAACACTTTGTACTTCCTCAATTTGAATATCACCTTAATTCCTGCTCATTCCTGCATCTCTGGACTTGAGCTTTGTCTCTTGTCAAATATCCAAGTCTTAGGATCAATTCCTTTGACTGTACCTCCAACTCTCATTTTAGTTCCTGCTCATTCCCATGTCTCCAGATTTGAGTCTTTCCTCTTGTCCACCTCCAAGTCTTAGGATTGACTCCTTTGACTATATCTCTGGCTCTACCTTAGGGTAGTCTACCTCTGCTCTGTTTCTACTCTGGACTTTGTCTGAAGTAGCCTTACACTAGTTTTACCTTTGAACCTCTGGAGTTCTGTATAAGAGTAACACAAGTTTATTCATGTGGATCTGTTATAAACAGATGCTCTGATGTGATGTGAGTAAAGGTAAAGTAAAGTAATAGTATGTCTTACCTCAGTCATTGCGCATGAATGCAAATGTCTGAGGTTGTAGTATGAAACTGCATGAACTAAATAGATGGGAATGATCTTGTATGAATGAATAAGTAAGTGAAACTAGAACAAAAGATATATGACATTGACTCATGCAAAAACAAAGGATTCAGTAAGTACAAGAGAAATGAGAGAATCACAAAAGCACATAATGAGAAACATGGGTTGCTGGACGTGACAAATGAAGACAATAGCTGACACAATGGCACATCTTGGCTGCAGGTGTGCTTGCTTATTTCCAACATTCTGCTGAACTCCTCCTGCATTTGACCTCCAGATATCTCCAGACATTGTTGAACTTCACTCCTGCCCTCTGTAAATTAAGGGCACGTACTCAGGTAAGGGGCACAGTGCACGAGCTGAAGCCAAGCCCTTTATATTTGATCCTTTGAGCATAACCTTAACAGTAGAACAATATGACTACTGGTTCATTAGCATAATGTAAAATAGAAAACAACCAATGATACTCACATCTCAGTCTCTAGAAAGATCTGAGATGCTTGTATGATACTACTTGTATCTTTATAGTAAGCTAGCATAGAAATTGGCATATTAGCATAGCATAGCACTTGACACTTTGCAATATGGTAGGTTTGGACCAATGTTAAAGTGTCGTCCTCTCATACCCTTGGTTGCGCTCACAACTCATTACTCATCTATTACTTCTGACATCTCCTCTGATGTCTTCAACATTCCTGACTTCAACACTCCCCCTCAAGCACAACCCAGACTCATCAGGGAGCACAACTTCTGAAGGCATGGTGTGGGTGAGGAAAATAGACTCTGAGTGAATCAGATATCTAACAAGGGTGTGAGACTAATATTTGTCCTAAGGGGATTGCTACTGGGTAGTGAGTCTTTGAGTAAGTGTGAGGAGAGCAAAGACTAGACTCTGTCTAGTGACCCGAATGGTTCTGACCCTTACTAGGATCAGAAACACACAGATGCTAAAAGTACACAATGAGCAGAACAAAGTGTGTGATGAATGGAACAAACATGCAACAAATGGAACAAAATGCATGGACAGCAATCATGGATAAAATGGGCGGAAAGGAAACTATGAGCCTATATGAGAAAGATTGGGTGAAGTTGGACTGGGCTTGTGTCTGGTACTTGCTTCAAGTTGTCAGATTTGGAAAGTCGGGCGTCTTGCATGGAACACACGGATGCGTGTGCATTGTGATGAGGTCAAGAATAGATTCAGGAAGATATCAAACAGTGAGTGGAGTACCAGAGAAGTACTCTGTAAGTGGAAGTGGAGTTGAGTCTAACAAAAGGTAAAAAAACTAAGATCCCATCTTTTTCTATCTATATAGGAAGGTGTTCCAAAGAGCGCTGTGCTACAACCAGATGAGGCTGTGAGATAAGGATCCGGTTCCGAGTAGTGGAAAGATCCATATAAGTATCGTAATATGTGTGTAATGAGATAGCAACATGTCAGTAACACATTGAACGTAGTGAGTACTCACCAGTAAGGATGGAAGGACAGGGACAGGATGGAGGAGGATGTTCTGAGGCCTAAAGGAATATAATGTGCAGTTGTTCCGCTTGGTTCTGCATTGTTCTGCTTAGTTCCACATAGCGGGTGAGTCAGATAAGAAGCAGATAGGTAGCGGAACATGTGGAAGGGTACTGGTAAGGTCTGGGGAATATAAGGAATACAGGCCTACAGTGAGGACATTCCCCACAGTGGTCAGGACAGGGCCTTGGTGAAAGCATCTGCAATGTTGTCATCAGTGGGGCAGTAGGTCAGTGAAAACATTCTGTTCTTGATGTGCACACAGACAAAGTAAAAATGGATGTTGATATGCTTTGTGTGTGCATGGAATTTGGCATTGGATTCCAGGGCTATCACTGCTTGATTATTGCAATACATGGGAGTGGGGAGATGCATGGGTCTGTATAGCATTACTACATACCTGGACATTGAGTGTCAGTGGGGGTGTTAGGTACCATGCCGGCTCAAGAAGCAGAGGGTCGGGGCTTGGCTTCAGCTCTTGCGCTGCGCCCTTAGCTGAGTACATGCCCCAAATTTGGAGCGGGTCCAACGATAGGACGAGTGGACCACTTTGGACCACTTTGGGGGTTGGGAGGTAAATGCTACTAGTGGTGGGCTGACTAGGAGCGGAGTGGAGAAGGCAGAGGATAGTGTGGAGGGTGGATAGGAGCAAGGGGGACTATTGATAGAGGTGGAGAAGTAAGGGGGAAGACTTAGAGTGTGGCTCTAAGTCAGAGCGGAAAGTCGGAGGTGACAACAAGATGAAACTTGTGTCCGGAGGAGGCAAGGTCCTACTGAGAATTCTCACAAGTAGAAACTGCAAGAAGACAAGTAATATTAAGACTGGGGAAATTATGATGTTCTAGATATCACAGTACATTCGCACAACTTGAAGTATCGTAAGCCCAGCATTCCTGGCCAACTACCCATTCACTTTTGCACTCACTATCGACACCACCATCGCTCCTATCATCCGACCCATTGCCCGACTCAATTTGCATTGCACTTGAAGTGCTTGCGACAACATAAGCGGCCGCTTTTCGGCCAATCGTACCATGTTTGATGAAGAAGACTAGGATCACACTGTAAGAAGAGAAGTAAGAAAAGACGCTGGTACAAGAGAAGAAGACAAAGATATTGACCCGATCGACCCCACCCCAATCCCTCATGCGATGTCTGCTGTGGGTGTGGAAAATAGACTCTGGGTGATTCAGAAGTCTAACAAGGGTGCGAGACTTAAACTCGTCCCGAGGGGATTGCTACTGGGTAGCAGGATCCTCAAGTAAGTGCAAGGAAAGCAAAGACTAGACTCTGTCTAGCGACCCGAAAGGTTCTGGTCCTTACTAGGACTGAAAGCACAAAGATGTGGAAGGTTCCTGAAGAGTGGAATTATGTGGAACTAACGGAACTAATGCGGAACAAACAGAACAAACGGGGAACAAACAGAACAAACGGGGAACTAATGGAGTGAAAAGAAACTATGAGCCTGCAGGAGGATGATTGGGCAAAGTCGGACCAGGCTTGTGTCTGGTACTTGCTCCAAGTCGTCGGATCCAATGTCGGGCGTTTCGAGTGGAACTCACGGGGGTGGGAATGTTGCAATGAGATCAGGAATAGATTCGGGAAGATATTTTAGACAGTGAGTGGAGTACTGGGAAGTACTCTGTAAGTGGAAGTGGAATCGCCTCTTAGTCCCACACTAAGTGGCACCCTGAATCAAGACCCTGGACACCACACCAGAACATTGTGCCCAACGACATCCACGTTGCCCAATGGCATCACCAAGTTTCCCGACTTCAATCAAAAAACCTCAAAAAATCCCAAAAAACATATATTGACCACTTACCTTTTTAGAACTATGGTGCCCAGTAAGGCGCTAGAGAAGAAGAGACCAAATGGTGGCTCAGGCCTGCCTACCACCCGTAGCCAGGTCTCTGTGAAAAGCCCTCTACCCCAGGAGGACATTGAATTGCTCCCAGAGGCAGTAATGAACATCAATTCTGCGGAGAAATATTTAGCCAGTATACTTTTGTGTCAAGCAGATGAACCTTTCACCCTGCCACACCTGACTGCCATCCTTTTTCAGATCATGCAAATGTCCAAATCTATTCCCCTCCCGGTTACCAATGCCATCCGGGCGGTAGCTTTCCTCTTGAAGCAAAATGCAACCTCCGAAATCGCCCAAGTCGTTGCCCAGCAGCTTACAGAATCCCTGTCCTCTCGTCTGGTGAACCATGTTGTCGCAGCTATCTCCCCACAAGTAGCCACGTTTCTCACCACATCCGAGACCCTAAAGGAGACGCTGGACCAGACAATTAAGTTACAATCGATGATCAAGAGAGAGAAGGAGGAAAAGGAGAACAGACTTCAGACTGCAGCAGAGAGATTTGAGGAAGCTGCAGACGCTCTCTACGAGTCAATGGAAGACTGCCATAACTCATATAAGCTGCTCACCCCATCCCTCAAAACAACGCAAAACAGGCTCAATACCCTATCCACCCAGCTCACCTGCCAGCTGACCCTGACTTCTGCGCAGACAACCGCAGCCACTCTGTCCCATCCCTCCTACAGCTCAGCCACTGCAGCTCACCTGCCGCCATCAGTAGACCAAGCTGTTGCCAGGGCATCCATCAGGGTGAGACAGATCTTGCTCGACCCCACTCCGGGCAACTCCCTCTTCCCTCCAGAAGCCTCGAATGCGGATATCGTTAAGAGAATTAAGGATGTACTGACAAAGATTGATAGTACAGACGCCCCATCCAGGGATGTCAGAGCTATCCAACGCCTTCGAAACGGAGGACTGATTGTAGAATTGGACAATGAGCAGCTAGCAGGCTGGTTAAGAGGCCCAATTGGAGGCCCTGTACTGGAATCTCACCTTGATTCTACTGCATTCCTATGCAATTGAACGTTCACCATCGTAATACAGTATCTCCCCATCAACTATGAAGTCGAGCGCGAGGACTTCCCCCGCCTTGTCGAACGGGACAACCAATTACCGCTTAACTCCATCGCGTCCATCCGATGGATTAAGCCCCCTCAGCGCCAAACTCAGGAGCAATGCAATGCATTTGCATTGTTACAGGTCCGGGAAGCCACCATTGCCAACGACATCCTCAAGGAGGGCATCTGCATAGACTCCCGCTGTTATACCGTCCATAAGGATAAGAAAGAACCTCTTCACTGCGCTAAATGCCAGAAATATGGACACATGGCCCGCAACTGCTCCTCCCCCCATGATGTCTGTGGCACCTGTGGGGGTCGTCACTGGACAACCCAATGTAACTCCTTCCGCACCGAGAGCTGTGTCAACTGCAGGAGTCAGAATCATACGAGTTGGAGCAGAACCTGTCCGGAATTCACTCGGCGATGCAGAGCCCTGGATGACACATACCCAGAGAACAGGATGCCATTCTTCCCCACAGACACACCCTGGTCTCATGCTGCCCACCCTCCCAGACCGCTGGCTCCTCTTCACCAGCCTGCCTACCTCCCCCAGTTGACATTGAACCTAGCATGCCTACAGCCCCAAGCAAGCAGTCCACCCTGACCTTCCAGCCCATCAAGCAAGCCGCCCCCGCCTCCACACCTATCCCCTCTCTGACACCCTCAACACCTTGGACCACCTCAAACCCCTTGACCCCCGCAATCCCTCCCACCCAGCGGATCTCCTCGACCCCTCAGACTCCTTCGACCTACTCGACCCCCAGCATGGCCCCCATCTCCCTTTCTAATGTCTGAACAACTGGAACCTACCTCCGCTAGCCTCAAGATCTGGCAGCAGAATCTCAACGCCTCATTAGTAGCTCAAGAGTCCATGATGAATAATCTGGAGAGCATCAAGCAGGACATCCTGGTGATCCAGGAGCCGCATATCAATTTTCTTCGTAACACTCGCGCCAACCACCGCTGGCATGTTCTTTACCCTACTCACCATTATTCACACCCCCAGGAACGCTCACGCGCCATCACCTTTGTTAATACCTTTCTCGATACGAACACATGGAAGCAGATTCCCTTCCCTTCCTCTGACGTGGTCGTCCTTCAACTATCTGGTAACTACGGCATATGCACCATATTTAATATCTACAACGACAGCACCCATCAACGCACCCTCACGACCCTGGATGCCTTCCTCACTCAGCACATCGCAACCCTCCACCCATCCGCTGACAACCACATGCTGTGGCTCGGGGATTTCAACCGTCACCATCCTATGTGGGAAGGCATATGAAACCGACACCTCTTTAACTAACCCTTAGCCCGTCTGCTGATTGACCTGATCGCTGACTACGGCATGTTACAGCTCCTACCTGGTGACATTCCCACCCTTCAATCCACGAGCACAGGTAATTGGACCCGCCCGGACAATGTCTTCGGCACTGAGGGCACGATTGAGGCTGTTATCTCCTGTTCCACCGAGCCGTTTCTGAGAGGACTGAAGACTGACCATTTGCCAATTCTCCTACCCCTCAACCTGGAGGTCCCCCAAACCGATATCACCTTGCGCTTGAACTGGCGCGACATTGACTGGGAGCAATTCAATACAGCACTCAGCACTGCCCTGACCCCCCTTCCACCTCTCCCACTTGCCTCAGCAGATGAGTTTCAACAAATGGCCTGGCATGTCATGACCGCCATCACGACAGCCATGGACAAGTGCATCCCTCACTCCAAGCCCTGCCCTCACTCCAAGCCCTGCCCTCACTCCAAGAGGTGGTGGACATGCACTCTCTCCAACCTATGAAAGCAGGTCGGAAAACTCAGTCGTCAGACGCACCAGATGCAAGCTCTCCCTCTCCACCCCTGTCACGCCAAATTCAAGGCCATCAAGACCCGATACACTGACAAGATCATGTCAACCAAGAAGCAGCACTGGACCGACTGGTTAGAAGATTTGGAGGGTAACGACCTGTGGACGGCTAACTGTTACATATCTTCAGAGCCCAGTGATGGGGGGCAAGTCCCACATCCCAACCCTCATGTCGAAGAAACCCGATGGCAGTATGGTGGAAGCAGCTACCAACACCGAGAAGAGCACTCTGATCGCTGAAGCCTTCTTCCCTCCCCCCCCTATTATTGATTCAGTACCCGCTGACCACCTTTACCCAGATCCTGTCACCCCATATATCCCCATTACCCCTGACCAACTTGCCCAGGCTATATCCAAGCTCAGCGGATACAAGGCCCCAGGACCGGATGGCATCTGCAACGTTGTCATCAAGGAGTGTGCTGGTGTGCTCACCCCTTACCTCGTCCCCCTCTTCAACACAGTCTTCACTCATTACACGTACTACAAGCCCTGGAAGAGATTCACGACAGTGGTGCTGCGGAAGCCCAACTACACCATCCCAAAGGCCTACTGCCCAATCACACTCCTCAACACGACCTGCAAGCTCCTCACTGCAGTCGTTGCTGACCAGCTCACCTACCTCCTGGAACTCCATCACCTCCTGCCCAACACCCACTTCGGTGGTTGACCAGGTCATTCAACTACAGATTCGCTTCACCTCCTGGAAGACACCATCAAGAACGCGTGGCGTTCACATAAGGTTGCCTCTGTCCTGTTCCTGGACATTGAGGGGGCCTTTCCGAACGCAGTCACTAAACACCTTCTGCACAACATGCACATGTGCTGCCTGCCACGAGAGCTGGTGGAATTCACTGAACAGGTTCTGACGGGATGAAAGACAAGGCTATACTTCGACGGTTTCACATCAGATTGGCTGGACATCGACAATGGTATTGGTCAAGGGGACCCCCTCTCGATTATTCTATACATCATCTATAGCGCAGACTTAGTCAACATTGCGAAACCGCGCAAAGGTCACGAGGCCCTCCAGGAACTAACACTTGCCTTCATAGACGACACAGCCCTAGTAGCCATTGGTAGGAACTTTGCGGACACACACCATGTCCTCAAAGATATGTTGGAGCGCCCAGGGGGCGGCTTCGAGTGGTCCTGCAACCACAATTCTCGCTTTGAAACTAATAAATTTGCGCTGATGGATTTTTCAATGAACAGGAAATGTGAATGGCTGTCTATGACCCTTCAAGGTGCTGTCATCCGGCCTGTCCCCACCCACCATTTTCTCGGGGTCATCCTTGACCAGGAACTTTGATGGAAGCCCCAAGTCGACAACGCACTCGCTAAAGGCCTGGCCTATGTCCTGCAACTTCATCGCCTGTCTACCATGTCGAAGGGCATCCCCCTCCGTTTGATGTGACAACTGTACCTGGCTACAGCAGTTCTGAAGATGCTCTATGCTGCTGATCTATGGTTCACACCGGCCTTTCATGAGGGTTCAGACACTCTGCAGAGGGGATCACTGGGGGTCGCCAGGAAGCTTACCTCAATCCAGCGCATTGCAGCCATCGCTATGATGGGCACTATGAGAAGCGTGGCTATGGGTGTCCTTGAGGCCCACGCTAATCTTCTCCCAATGACCTTGCTCCTACAGAATGCCTGCCATCGGGCTATTGTCCGTCTATCTGCCCACCCTGACACCCACCTGCTGTATATCCCCGTAAGACGCGCAGCCAGTCGTTACGTCTCGTCCCACTGATCATCGCTCCACCGCCTGACCCACTACCTCAAGATTAAGCCTGAAGACATCAAAGCACTCACCCCCTCCAGATGCGCCCCGACATTCAAATGCCCCTACAAGACCCACATCGGGGTTGATCGCACAGCCGCAGTAGAAGAACACCATGGACTCATGGACCAGATTCAGATATACAGTGACGGCTTGGGTCACAACGGCCAGATCAGAGCGGCCGCCATTCTATTTCGCGCGGGTGCATGGCCCAGGACCCTTCGATACTACCTAGGTACTGACGAGGAACACACGGTATATGAAGCCGAGATGGTGGGGCTGACCTTAGCAGCAAGGCTGCTGGCCACAGAGAGGGATCTCGTCTTCCCTCTATCTATCTCAGTTGACAACCAAGTGGCAGTTCTGTCCGGTGAGACTTTCCACTCGAACCCAGGTTCGTATCTAGCAGTCATTTTCCAGCGGATGATGAGGAAGATTGCTTGTGACAATCCTGACTTCGACGCCACTGTCCGATGGGTCCCCAGGCATGAAGGCATTCATGGGAACGAGGAGGTGGATAAATGAGCGAAGATTGCAGCTGAAGGTCAGCATCGCAATAGTCCCAGTGCAAGTCTCCCTCAGTACCTCCATGGCAGCTCACTACCTCTTAGTATTTCAGCACTCAAGCGAGTGCATCACACACAGATGCACAACAGATGGACCAAAATCTGGCCCGCATCTCCTCGTTATCAATGCCTCCACCTGATTGATCCTCTTGTCCTCTCACGCTCGTTCATCAAGCTCACCTCTAGTTATTCCAAGCGCCTCACGGGACTCCTATTAAGCCTTCGTATCTGTCATATCCCGCTCAATAAGCACTTATTCCGCCTGACCAAAGTAGATTCCCCTGATTGTCCTCATTGCCCACAAGTGGAGGAATCCGTTCACCACTTTCTCTTTGAGTGCCCGCATTATCAATGAGAGCATCATGTTGCAGCTTGCACACTTGGGCGCAAGGCTACCTCCCTCCCTTATCTATTGACCAGCCCAGACGCCGTCCCCCATCTTGCTCAATACGTGAATGCGACATGACGCCTGAAATCCATGCTAGGTGAAATTCTAATGCCCACTCCAAAAGCAGCTTGACATTCTCCAAGCAGATCCAGTCCATAGATCAGTCACTCACCGTAGACCCGGCTTCGTCTTCCCCGCACTCATTGCCCTACTCTATCCATACCCTACTCCTCAACTTAATCCAATACGCCTGTTAGGTATCGTGCCAGCTCAAGAGGCAGAGGGGTCGGGGCTTGGCTTCAGCTCTTGCGCTGCACCCTTAGCCAAGTACGTGCCCCAAATTTGGAGCAGGTCCGACGATAGGACAAATGGTCTGCTTTGGTCTGCTTTGAGGGTCGGGGAGTAAGAGCTGCTAGCAGTGGGCCGACTAGGAGCAGAGCAGAGAAGACTGGGGGTTGATGCGGAGGGTGGATAGGAGCAGGGGGAATGTTTGGTAGAGGCGGAGAAGGTGGAGGATGATGCAGAGGGACAAGGGAGAATATTGGATAGGGGCGGAGTATATGGGAATGACTTAGAGCACGGCTCTAAGTCGGAGCGGGGGATCGGAGGGTCGGAGGTGACAACAAGTTGAGACTTGTGTCCAGAGGAGGCAAGGCCCTACTGAGAATTCTCACAAGATGTAACTGTGAGAAGACAAGTAATATTAAGACTAAGGAAAAATATCTAAGTACAGGATATGTTATATACTTCTATGTGAGGCAGTGGTCAGGATAACTATGTAGTAAAGCTATGTACCAAGGATATAGTTTGTAAGTACTTTACATAGGCGAAGACATAAGTCGGAGCGGATATCAGTATGTACGCGTCGGATCAGCGATCAGGTGGTAATAGGAATTACCGGTGATCCGGAAGTAAGAGTCTATGTACCGAAGGGGAAAGGGATCCAGTTGAATGGAGAGGTTTATGGAAGGGGACCGGTTGAGCGGTTGAGCGGAAGTGTAGGGCAGAATGCGGGTTTGTGATAGGACAGAGCGGAGGATGGATGGGGCGGAGGGGGTCGGAAAGCAGAGCGGATATCAGTATCGGAGCGGTCGGATCTGGTATATGACAACACCTCTCTCCCTCTCCTAATGCTACTGCTACTGTTACTATATTGTCACCTAAAACACACCTCTCGCTCGTCCAACACGAGATTGCCAGTCCCACCCTGGGGTCTAAACCAATCAGGAAATAGGACATCCAGGCCTGGACTCCCCCCCCCCCCCCCCTCATGCGTAACAACCATGGGGAACTGAAGCACGCTCTTGCCTTCAAAATTTCTCTGGACCCTTATATATATACTTCCTACTGCACACCCTACTGATCTCTGTTCTGGTCCGTGCAAGCGGCCGAGCATGCATTATTCTTTTTATTGATTAGTTATGTATACATGTCAGTGTCTTTACAGTCACTCTTTCTTCGACAAATTGTCCATCTAAAATGGCCAGCAGGAACGGCGGACTGATGGGGGTACGCCCAACATCAGTGCATTTGGAAATTTGGAGATCAGGATGGGACATGGGGTCCCAAGACTAGTCAGTATTGTCCTACATAGAGTATTACTCTCAATGGACAAAAAATTGGAAACAAAAAAAAATAAAAGTGGAAGTGGAGTCAAGTCTATCAGAAGGTAAAAAACTAAGATCCCATCTATTGCTACCTATGTAGGAAGGGGTTCCGAAGTAACATGGGGAACGTAGCTAGTACTCACCAGCGAGGATGGAAGGACGGGGACAGGACGGAGGAGGACATTCTGAAGGCTAAAAGGATATGGTGCATGTGGTACATGATTGTTCTGCTGGGTTCCGTGTAGCGGACGGCTCGGGGAAGATGCAGATGGGTAGCGGGATGGTAGCGGAATGCATGGGAAGATGGTGGTAAGGCATGGGAATTATATGGGATATGGGCCTACAGTGGGGACATTCCCCACACCGCTTTACATGATCGCTCTTTATGTATTATCTCTGTTTTATCCTGGTTTTTGTCCAGTGTTCTATTTCTCAAATCACCTGCCACACATTGACCCACTACATACATACCCGACCCACCATATAGCACATACAATGATTGCCGAACTAACATAGATATACACAGACATTTTTTGGACTTCAATCACACCACCCCCACATACAACAACCTTTCTAATGTATGAAGCGATCATGCGCCCCTTTAATACTCTTTTCTCACCCGATGCCGACCAGGGATGGTCAGCATTTGAAGACCCAGGTGGGGATAGACACTTATAAGAAGGACAAAGAAGACACACCTACACAATTTTCGCATTTCGCATTTTTCATTCAAATAATGCTTACTTAGTTGTTTCTCTTTCATACAGACACCCAGTAGCTTCGGACAATGACATGGGGACACCGGACCTCAAAGTCAACTTCACAAGACACTATTCTCACCACGTCCGCTCCACGTCAACATCGGCCGACGATTGGCCAAGTCGGTTGCACTCGCTCCAAGTTGCCCCAATAATTTTGCATGCACTCGTTCGCATTTGATCACTCTCCCTTGATGATGCGCACCATTTCATATTGCCCTTCGCACTAGTAGCTCCATAGTCACCCCAAAGCACTTCGGCTCACATTCACACTTCATACCATTGCATCACTTCATACCATTGAGTTCATCATAAGCCGCTTCAACTCCCATTCGACTTTGTTTGCATTTTTGCATCATGTGATCAGCCAACTAAGCACACTGACTTTGCATGCACTCATGATTGCACTAGCCACTCCATTGTCACTCCACATCATCATCTGACTCATCTTTGACCAAACACATTCACTTGTCCCATGATGTCACTGACTGGGGACAGTCAGCATTTCAAGTACCTGGGGGATGAAGGAAGCCAATCACTACTGAGCTAGTATCCCCTATCTTTCCGATCCTCTCCGACCCAATTTCCTGTGCTGCTGCTCCACATCGATGTCGGCCGACGATCGGCCCAGTTGGTCGCACTCGATCCAAGTCAGACATCGTCTGCACATGCAATCAGTCACTGTCCATCGTCTCATGTCATTGGCCCGTCGTCTACTGGTATGTATATCTCTTACTTTGATCGCTTTCCATCCCCATCCACATAATCGGACTGCTTATCGGCCTTTTATCACCCCACCTCACACCTTATTACATGGACACAGAGAAACAAGTATTTAGCAATCCATGAGGCATCTTAAGCGACCCGAAGTTCACCTTCATTGCTTAGTCTCATTCACTATATATTCTGCCCATGTTCTTAGTAGTTTCTCTAGCAAATTCTCACTTGGAACAATTTCTTGTGTGATTTCTCATCAAGTCGTCGGCCAACTCTCTTAAATGTTCGCTCATCATACTACACACACACCTTCTCTATTCCACTCATCTATTATCCAGGCCACTCAGGACCGCTCCACTTCACTCTCTCTTTGCTCAACTTTGATCGGCCAAGTCGGCCAAGTTGGCATTGGCATTGGCATCGACTATTAAGTTGGATAATACAACTTGTTGTTTGTGGTTTGCATTGCACTGCTTCCTCTATAGGGTTGAACGCACTTGAATTGGCTGCAGTTGTGCTGATATCACAGTAGCAACCGAAACCCACACTGTTATATACTTACTAATAGACTTTCCACATGCTTCATACATAGCTTTTACTTTGCTGACTGATTTACTTACATGATACCTACAGTATATAAACTCCTGTAATACTCCGGTACTCCTCAGTTTGAATATCATCTTAGTTCTGCTCATTCTTGCTTCTCTGGACTTAAGTCTAAACTCTTGTCTACCTCCGAGTCTTAGGGTTAAACCTTAGGACTAAATCTCTGGCTCTACCTTAGGGTAGTCTAAACTCTGTTCTGCTTCTACTCTGGACTTGTCCGCAGTAGCCTTAATCTGTTCATTCCTAGCCTTCCGGAGTTCCACCAAACTCCCCCTACGTCTTCTATGTCTGACCTCCAGACTTCCCCAGACTTCCATCAGACTTCCCCTCTGCCCCTTGGAAATTAAAGGCATGTACTCACGTAAGGGGCACAGCACACAAGCTGAAGCCGAAGCCCTTTGAGTAATCTTTCCCTTGAGCATGATCTTAACAAGACTCAGTCATTAGCAAGATCTGGGAGAGAGCTTGAAACCTCACCACAAAGAGGCATGGTGTGCAAAAGGACCTGCATGAGGAATCAGAGGATGAGTGTATGCTCATCAGCTAGTTGGTGCTGTTCTTTTTTTTGTTATTTGTCTTGCAACTGACTGGTATGATCTTTCCTGTCATGATATTAGGAATAATCCCTCATTTCTTTGCATGTCACCATCTCTCTGCTCAGGCTGCCACCTCATGTGCCCATTTCCCCACTGCTCCAATTTGCTCATTTTTCCATTGCTCTGAGTCATCCATCTCTTGTCACCATATTACTGTACTACCAAGACTACTACTAGTAGTTTCACACAAAGTTTCAGTGAACCATGACCATTGCTATCCCAATTTTACATAAATATTTATTTCTGCTACTTACCAGCACTTGATTGTTACTTGCTCTCCCTTTATATCAAATTGACTGCTTGCCTCACTTGAAATGCAGTATTTGCCACCATTTTTTCATGAATTAATTGAGCACAAGTACAAGCAAGTGGAAATAAGTGTCATGCTTATCAAGTACTTGCCAGCCCTTGTAAATTACTCTATCTGAATAAGTATGAAACAAGTGTGAAACAAGTACAAAAAAGTGCAAAATAAAAGGAGGGATCTACTTGTTGAACTTGTGGCAGCTTGCAGCAAAGTGGTTTTTACCTTGCCAGGGACTTATCTGCTTCTTGTGGGAAAATAATTAATGGCAAGTGGTGGAAAAGCTAATTAAGGAATGTGTGAATTCACTGATGCATTACCTTAAGATATTACAATTATATACATACAACAAACATTGTATAATTCTACACAATGTATTTCGAGTTATATCCATACAATGACCAGTCAGAGGTGCAAGACAGAATACAAAGCTGGAAAGAGCTGAGTGTTGGCAGGAGGATTGAGTAAGGCCATGGCAGCACAGAGCAGCCATTGTTGAAGGGCAGGGAAAGAGGGTGCAGTGACCAACTGAAATGTGGAGGGCTGTACTTGGGTACACCAGTGCAGGGGGTAGGAAGCTGCTTGGTTGGTTGGCCATGGGAAGTGGTACTTGAACTGCAGTACTACGTGTATGCTTGTCAGAAATATATACAGGAGAGAACAAAAACATGCACCAAGATGTCCTCACACAGCTCTATGCAAATGGAATCACCTCGCACTGCTGATGCAGCATCACAGTCAAGTACTATGTAGGATGGGAGAAGCTGGAAGGCAGCATGGAGCAGCAGGAAGGGTGAGAGAGGCACTGCCCCATGAGGTATGCACAGCAGGAAGCAGCTGGCAAGGAGGGGAAACTGAGAAGCAGCAGGAAGAAGCGGGAAGAAGAAGTGGGAAGAAGTGGTGGGAAGAAGTGGTGGAAAATTTTGAAGCATCAATGCAGAGGTGTGAAGCCTTGAAGTGTCAACCTACATGTGTCAGAGAACTAGACAGTTTTTGCATCAGGGTTTGTGTCTTATCACACACCTTTAAGCTTCAATATGACATTATCGCCTGTAGGAAGTCACATTTGCAAATAGTGAATTTGGTATGCATCAGATCATGATGAGCTCTGACATTAGGGTCAACTTGGATTTGATGAAGGCGTGTGGCTGTAGGCCGACTCCTGAGGGGATGGAGTCTGCCTTGGCAGGGCAGCTACAATTTGTGATGGATTTTCTGCGAAGAAAATAGATTATTGTCAAGTAATGATATGGAAAGGGAGTACCTTGGTGGTTGCAGAGTCTCCAATCACTTGAGAATCCCTCTTGGGGCTACCACCTTCATGCTTCAGATTGTTCGAACTCTTTCTCACCTATTCTGCTTTTGATCAAATGAAGCAATCTAAACAGATTAGTGAAACGCACTAACTTGTGACAAGGACAATACATTATGTTACTTCTGCTCGAATATTTAATACCATATGTGTACCTTCTTGGTGTAGTGAGTTACAGGTACGAGCGGATGGGAGGGACACTAGTTAAAGCAATAATCTCAGTCTGTAGTCAGAACTCTTTATTACAAGTCTTGTACCTAGTTAAAGCAATACTAGAAACTCGTTAACTGATTGTATTGCGTCTGTAAAATAACAGGTACTCACATCTCAGTCTGTAGTCAGAACTGAGATGCTCATATGGGCCAGCTCGTATCTTTATAGTACGTAGGATGGAAACGAAAAATAAATTGATCGAGAAACGGAATATATGACTGGTACGAACCGACGTCAAAGCGTCGTTCGTCCATCACTCCTTTTATTGCGCTCGCACTGACATCTCGGATCCTTCGGACAGCTCTACTCATCATTCGGATCGTTCGGAGTCCAACACTTGGATAGTCGGTGAGTTGCATAAAATATACCACTTCTGAAAGTACGGACACCACGGTGCACTTTTAAGGCAAATACAGATGACGACTCTTGTGCCTTGTTGGACGTAGGAAATGGAGCGGAGAGTCCCGAACCGGGCAGTCTGACACATACATGAGATTTGGAGGAACCGTGTCCTACTGCTAGTACTTCTACCAATAAGTACTAGTCGTGACATCCGTCTTCCCGATGCATATCAATACTATCATAATCCTAGGACAGATGACCTATCGCTTTCTCCTTTCTGCTTTCTGCGGAGTACACGACGACCCGTCGACGAGTGTTTCTCGTGCTACATGCTAAGACTAGTTGACATATGCGCACGCTCTTGAAGAGCAATCGAAATGATGGCGATTCCTGCACCGGAGTCTGAATCAGCCATGACCTTGGCGTGATATTCTCGAACGCTAAGGATGAGGTGTGGTCCCAACACAAACATCTGCACGAGCATAAAAATTTGGAGAAGACCATTATAAAGCTGATTTTTCAGGGAATATGTGTCCTATAAAAATAATAAACCGTAGTCGCATGCAGAGGTCAGAAAAAGATCGGCATACCGCTGAGATCGGTGAAAATATATAAGCAAGGTTGGAGCACGAAACAACAACAAAGCTAGCCACGTGTGGAACTTCAGCGAAACAAGAGAACCACAAATGACATTATGAGCTCACCTTGCGAAGTAAAACATGTGAGTTCTCATTAACACCGTGAAACAGTCCCCGATAATCCCTCCTGCTGATTGTTGTCGCAATTCTCGGAAGTGTTTTACAGCAATCCAGGCTGCGAGATACAGTGCGAGGACCTCCCATACAGTAGTGAGTATCCAAGCCAGTGAATCCAGAAGTAGGGCATTTCCCTTGTAGGCAATAGTGCACTGGTAGGTGCCGGACAGAATGAACGCCTCTGGTATTCGTCAATGAGCCTGATTGACGACATTCATCCACGAGTAAGCTCACCCGCTAAAGTGTTCCTCGTAAAGAATATGGCGACCACTCCGTTGAATGTGCTGACAGCCAGGAAGACGACAACGAGAAGTATCAGCATCTTGCGCGAATTCTGGGACATGGCATGCAACCGAGTGGTTATGATGACTTGCGTGATGTTGCAGTTAAGTCGACATCATTACAGCTGCATAGCTCACCGCCAAGGATTGCATTTACAACGACGCTCATCCAATCCAGAGCGATATAATTAATATAGCCTGACAGAACTAGTTAGTGATCAGCCTCGGGGAATCACACACTCGAGACAAACTTACAGCTGTGGCAGTCATTATATTAAACCAACAAGCTGGTCAAGAATCTCACTTACCCCTATATGGAAACGCTGTTGATTGGACGGGAATGGCAGATATGATTAAAGAATACACACTGCATCTGTCACCGGGATTGTTGGAACACCGACTGTATGCCGCTGGTGAGAAGAAACAAACACAGTGAATATCAGGAGATATACCCTGAACCAGCATGCTGGTTGTGAAAGATGGTTGATTAGCACAAACGCCAACTGCTTAACCTTCGAAACATACACAGCATATATTATTCCAAGATAGCGCATCTATGATATTTCAAGTCAGCCGACCACACTTACATGGTATAATGCAAGTTACATACACCGAGATAGAGAGCAGTCATCAGGGACCAGCGTTGCCTCTGGCGCGAATTAATTGTATTATAAAGTTGTTCTTTAAGTAGGCTCACCCAGACCAGTTCGACCTATAAAACCATTCTTAGCGAGATGACTGCTCTGGCAATGACATCAACTTACCTCTTGTCCGAATGTCAGGGCTGGAAATGCCATGAGGATATCAGCGGTTCTTGAATACTGTCTTGCTCACCCCAGTCGTACATTACCCCAGCAGAGGCAGCAACTGTGAAACCACAGGCAAGGTTAGATCGACACGTCACTGTCATCATCCGACTGGCTCTCCACGGACCTGCAAAATAGCTGGAAATATTATACGACTTGATTGACGGCCACCAACTCAAATCATCTGAGACTAGGGTCATATTATTTCAGGATGGGTGAGGGAATTGCGAATCTGGATATTCCACCGTCCAGCACTTTTATGACCGACATGAGCATTATAAGGATAATATCTGTTCCTTTTTAATAAAATAAAGAAAACATATTAGGCTGTGAAACGTACCAATGTTCACGCGATTGAAATTCGACGCATCGGTGTTGCATCAATTTGCAGTAATTGATGATCCTGCACGCGCCTGTAAGGATTATCCTATCTGGTGTGGCCAGCAAGTTGGCAGTCACGCTTTTTCGCAGGGTTTTGTGTGACGAAATGTGACTGACGGTGACTAATTGTAACGAAAGTATCACATTTTGCCGCCAAAATGTGTGACCTGCTGACTTCTGTGGGGGGCCGATTGCACCGGATGGGATAGTACAGCTGCATGATAGGAAATGGAAGAACAATGGTGTAGTACCAGTAAATACTTAGGAAACAGCGACCAAGCGGCGCGACGGGAGAGGTACAGCTCATAGATACAAACAGACTCATCACATGAGACCTGAGGATATCATAAGTTCAGTCAGCGGCGCTCGCCGCCAGCCGCTACTTTTACTAGTCATGGCGTCCGTCGTCCCGTCGATTTTGAACCTCATCACCGCCCTAGGACCGATGACTTGCGACTTCATCTCCGTCCAAAAAGGCCCACATCAAACGTAATATCCTTTCACTTTCAAGTCAACCCTAACCCAAGTTAACATCCTCGAACGCAGGACAATTTGTTCAGCCATCATGCTGACGCTTGCATCATGTTATCCCATGTGGATGACCGCATATGTGGCCCAGTTACACCCACTCATTGGTGAATTCTGAAATTCGTTGATGCGATTTTGTTTGTTGACCCATGCCATTGATGCACTTCAGCGCCATACCGTTTCCCAAAGGTCGGGGAGAGTTTATCCGTCTAAGCAGGGCGTAGAGGCATACCTGTTCTGCATCAACGAAGCAAGTGGTCGACACTCCGAGTCCGCTGTGCCAGATGTGAGTACCCCGTCTTGTTTACTGTGCTTTCGTAGGAGTCAGGTGAGGAGGGGATAAACTTCGCATGGGTTGGCAGAGAAGCGCAAGTGTTTCACCCTCCCCGCACCCTATATCCGCAATCTGAGTAAGAGCTGAGATAGCTCAATCCACGCTGACAACTGACCGTGGCAACGTGCCCACGGTGAAGTATGTCTAGCAACCATGTTCCAGTCATGAAGTAGGGGGGAACACGTCATCATTACCATTACCCCACTCAACAGTGGGGCATATGTCTACAGGGCCGGCATGTAGGAAATGAAGGGCCACTTATCACGTTTTGATTCATACCATGTGATCGCATAGTGGGCCAATCATCACCTAGGGCAGATCTTATAGCCATTAATACGCTTCCAAGTGACTTCAGCAGACTTCTAATCACCATCAACTGAAGAAGTCGGCTGTACAAGTACAGTACTTAACGGGATGGAAATACCGACGAGCGGCAAGAACGATGATAAGAAACTGATTACAAAACCATAGGACTACGCTCTGGATAATACACAGAAAGAAACAAATTGGTTCAAGGAAGATGAAGTGCGACACAAAACAAAATATAGGGTGAAGGATACTTAATATACGTGAGCAGCTAAAACAGGGATGTATTATGTACGGAAGAGCGTTACGCAGCATCACTATGCGTCGCGTATCAAAGAGAACACGGAGAAACAATCAGACGAGGGCGGCAGACTGCAAGTATCCTCGCGCGGAAGATCGAGTCTCGTCCTGCTCGCCGCAGCCCCCTCATATTGACCGTCCTTCCACAGATCATGATCACGATGCCTGAGAAGCCTCGCAACATTTGCTACAGACACAGGGGATTTGAGACTAGCTCGATCGATCTACTTGAAGTAACATCACAACACCCCTCGACAGGCCACAAACAGACCAAGTTGCGGGTATCGCTCTTGGCCCAGGCATTACAAAGCACTGCTCCGAAATTGTTGAATAGGATATAGGGGATACTGTAGCGACTGTACATGTATACGCGGACAAAAAGTCCTTGCATTTAATTATGGTCCTCCGTGGTTCCAATTCCACCCTCACAATCACTCACTGCGGAAACGAGTTTTTTACACCAACCGTAATCCGAGGGAGACAATGTGTATAACACGACTGTAAACGTACCTAGCTCGTAATCAGACGTAAATCCGACATGTCGCAAATTTTGCTCGCTCGGTCTGAAGCAACAGATGTAAACAGACGCTTTTCCAACTTCACCAACACACTTTTTCGGACCTCCGTTTATTCTCTTCAGATACCTGCTATTCCACCACTATCCAGCCCAGTAAATTCAACTTCTCGATGTCTGCTTAGGGTAGACTTGAAGCAAGGTGAGTTTTTCGAAAATTTCGCTAAGTCCGTAACTCGAGCGCTATGTCAAATACTATCAGGCTCGAGTTGCCAGCTCATGTACAAGCTTTTACTTTTACCTTCGAAACGATGCGTCCGGGACCCACGGTGAGTACTAAGTGTATTTCTACGAGGCCACTACCATTAATCATTCTTTTGTAGAACGAGCTCCTTATCGGTGTGCTGTGCGTGTTCGGTCAGTCGTTTGACCTCTGTGACAAGATATGCAACGGTCTCATTCAAATTTGGCGACTGCTCAAGTGCCCCATTTCGCCTATTCACGTTCTGGTTCACGTGCGGAAGGTGAGTGGCAGGCTGTCGACCCATTGAATATAGCATCATAGCTTGATACTCCTCGCTTCCAGGAACAACAGATGGTGCCCGCGAAGATGCCTCACTACCCGAGTCTCCTGCGAAATGACGGTATGGTGTTTCGCCTCGAGAGGATGTACTATTTGAGCTGAAATTCTGTGGCACACTACCAGCTCGCATGGACTGGACGGGTGTCTGGTGTGCACCGAAAAAAGGATACGGGGATGGCTGACGCATATCGGGTGAGTGCTGCGGACTGGTGGAACGAAGCCTGTTGTTTAAATGATCTTGGTACATAGGTCCCCCAGCGAATGCGCTGCTGGTGTTGTGGTCACCGTGCTGTCCATTGCCTGACTGAATCGCATCCAGTAAGTCGCTTGACTTTTAGTGGGCGATCTACAAGCTCTTACCATCTCAAATCGAGGTACATTACCACTGAAGTATGGATCGTGTTGAGGCGGCTGATACGACACTTTCCCGGCGACCTGGGGTATATTATATTGAGGATATGCTTCTCCTGCCCCTACCAGTGCTGGCTGCTGAGAATCAGGAGCGGGAGCACCACTCGGGCGTCTCTGAGTCTGTTGGCCTTGGAACCCATACATTCTGGCGTGCAAGGTGGTGGGGGATATCAAGGACCGGGGAGCATATGTGGGGACCTAGCAGGACGAGTTCTTTGATACGGCACATGTCTATTCAGAATAGAAGCGGATCCGTTTATGCATAAATCCAGACATAAAGTAGACGTGCGGATCCTTATAACCTGGTCTGATACCGAGTTGGTTTAGATACTAAGGCAACAAACCCTATCCCTGCAAATCCCTAATATTCAGAGTCGGTTTTAGTTCTCAAACGAGTACCTTTTTCGATCTAGACGGGTAGGAATATGCTTGTTTGGCATTGTCCGTTTACATTCCGTTTACAGCCTCTAAACATACATAATTCCGATCCGTTCTAAATCTCGTTTCCGCAGTGAATACAAATATTCCCGCTCCCTGCAGAGTACACGACGGGTGTTAATCACATCGACCATTTGTCGTGCTACACACTACAACTAGTCAACACGTGTATGCGCCCCTGAAACGCAATTGAAGTTGTGGTGGTGCATGCACCGGAGTCAGCCTTGAGTTTCGCATGATACTCTCGAACGCTAAGGATAAGGCGTGGTCCCAGCACGAACATCTGCACGAACAAGAAAATTCGGAGAAGACCATTATAAACCTGATTTTCCATGGAATATGGGTCCTATATAAATGATGAGCCGTGGTCGCATGAAGAAGTCAGTGACAGATCGACATACCGCTGAAACCGGTGAAAAAAAAAATCGAGATGTAGGCAAGAAACAGCAAAAAAGCTAGCGGGCGGGGATCTTCAATGAGTTCACCCCGCAAAGTAAACTACATGAGATTTTATCAACACCGTGAAACAGTCCCCAATAATCCCTCCTGCTGATTCTCGTCCCAGTTCACGGAAGTGTTTTACAACAATCCAGACTGCGAGACACATTGCGAGGACCTCCCAAATGGCGCCGAATATCCAAGTTAGGGAATCTAGAAGTTGGGCATCTCCATCGTAGTTAACATTGCACATATAGGTGCCGGAGAGAATGATTGCCTCTGGTGTATCAGGAAAAACCACAGTGCCTAAGCGAGCCTACATGGTCTCTGTAGGTTCGGTAGCCAAGTAGGTAAGTCCTGGATATGTAGGTAGCATGTAGGACACTCATGTATACAATAGGCACTCGGTAGGAGCCAGTGGCTAGTGGGCCTGGAGGACGATCAGTAAATTCGCACAATCCTTGTGCTCGCTTGTTTCAAAAATTGAGACTTAATTTCACTTGTTCACTTGTGCCAAGTAACCAAGGAGGCGCATGTCGCACAAAAGCCGAAAAGTAGTATAAGAGCACAAGTTGAACACACGAACATGAAAAGTAACTGACGAACGACAAAGTTGGCAAGTATTAGTGCTGCCGGAGTCCGGTTCGGAACTTCAGTTCGAACGTGAACCCTTCCGAACCGGACCGTCCGTTTGGTCCGAGGTTCGACCTACTGTAGGGACCGAACCTATTATTAGGTTCGGCGTTCGGCTGATGCCTCAAATTAGCGAACCTGTCCGGACCCGTCCGAACGTGTTCGAACCGTCCTTGCTTCTGTCTATGAACCGCTTGAGGTCCTCAGGCTTATTGCTATCCATCTATACTAATATTTTCTCTGATCACCTGGCAACAAACTCATATGGCCATTGTCAGTCCTGGGAACATTGATCTCCAGAATGGCTCTTACTTCACGACCAAAACACTGAATGCATTTCTATTAGTGACGTCTGACTTCCTCGGTGATCTACTCGACATTTCGGTAAGCCCAATGTTAATCGTTATTAGGATTATAATTTAATTTATGTTCAGAACATATTTTTGGGATGCTCGTTCTGGTACTTGCTTCAACATCGATCAAAATATGTTCAAGGTGCGTCACCTTTTTCTGATCTCTTACCACAAATCTTGGTATAAATGGCCTACTACAGGTACAATATTCACCCTTCTGGCTGCGAGAATGTCGTGCGCACTTGGATGTGATCACCAACTCAAAGACGCTAGTGCCATTGATTGGTACAATGACCCGGATGATGACACCCCCATGCGTGCACCACCTCCGCTTCCTGCATCCAATGATCGATCAACTGTTGCAGTCATTGCATGGCAACAATATGTTCAAGGTGCGTCGTTTTTTTGATCTCTTATCACAAGTTTTGGTATAAACGAGCTACTAACTACAGGTTCAATCTCCACCCTCCTTGCTGCACAAATCCATGTGTGGAAGTGGTATATTCAAGGTGCGCTAGTATAATTATATGTTACGGTTTGCGGTCTAAATATCTACGTTAGGTCCAATATCCACCCTTCCTATGTCATGCGCACTTAGACCTGACGGCCAATTGAAAGATGCTAAGGACATTGAGTGGTACAACGACCCTGACGACGATTCCCCCATGCCCCCTTCGCCACCTCCTGCCACATCCAATGGTAAGATCACTGCATTCATGTCCCATCGCTCGGGACGAGCCATTAAATCAACGGAGAAGATTCGTGACGCTGTCAACGGCGCTCCAGCAAAGCGACCAGCACCAGCAACTCCTGAGGGTCGGCCTGCACCCAAACGAATTCGAGAAGAACCCCCTGCCACAGAGGGACTTTCAGACGAGGAGGAGGAAGAAGACAGAGAGGAAGCTTACGAAAGGACAAAGGCATTGGGGGATGAGGACCGCGAGCATCGCAAGCTGACGAAGAAAGATGAACGCAGCGCGGACTTAAAGACAATCTTCACACAAGAGAGGGGCCGTATGAACCCTCACACCCAAGAACGCGAGGACGGTTGGTGGTGTGAGGTATGCAGGTAAGTCTCAATGTTAAAATAATCTCCACACTGAACTAACATCAAGTCCAGAGGCAATGATGTACCATCTGGGCAGTGTTTTTTTAAAGGCAGTATCTCAACCCGCCGCACCCACATCGCACGCAATCCAAAATGTCACTTCCCCCTTTACCGAGACCGCTGCAAGGAACGCGGAATCACAATGCATGATCGTGCCATCCCTCTTAACTCGAAATCAACCGACGGAGTTCAACACACATTACACGCCTCGCTTGCACCTAAGGTTCCTGAGTTCACGAAGTCCGGCCTGATGGACTATATTGTTGAGCTCATTGTCTCTGAAGATGAGGTGCGTGGTTGTGATCTTTTGTTTCGTGTGATTGTGACTTAAGATACTTATACTAGGCGTTCCAACTCGTTGATAAGGGTCCATTTCATCACCTCCTTCAATACCTTCGGCCCTCCCTGTCGGATAAGGATATCCCCCATCGCACGAAGACTCGTGATGAAATACTCGAATGTGCCAAGCTTGCCGTGCAACGCGTCAAAGAGAAGCTTAAGAACGTCGACAGCAAAATTTCCGTCACTTTCGACTCCTGGACGTCTGAACCTGGCGTGCCTTTCCTCTCTGTCACTGCACATTATATTGACTCCCAAGACGGTAAGCCTCAGGAGTGGGAGCTGAAGAGCGAGCAGCTCGCATTCACAATCATCAACAGCAACCATAGCGGTAGCAATATTGGAAGGATTTTAATTGAAACTATCAATAACTACGACTTTCACACCAAGGTTGGATGGTTCACGGCCGACAACGCCACCAATAATGATACGGCAATTCAGACTGTTGCACTCGCTATTGACCCTTCTGGTAAGGAATGGGTTGCAGGAGAGCACCGTGTACGGTAAGGCTTATATTTATATCACATTCTATTATATGCTAATGTCTTTTCAGTTGTATGGAGCACGCCCTACATCTGGCCACCAAACACTTCGTTGAAGAGGTTGCGCCTACCCCTGCAAGTGTTCTCATCAGGAATGAGACCAACGACGATGACGACGATGAAGTGACTGACTTCGATGTTGCCGATACTGTGGGCAAAGCCCTTGCGCTTGTTGGGCAGGTAAGTTTGTGCCTCGTCTGATTAGCCTTGCTTTGACTAACTGTTCATTTAGGTACGGAAATCTCCTCAAGCCCGTACTTTCTTCCACAAGTGTTGCGCTGAGGTCAATGAACCCAACCTCGAGCTTTTGAAATGGATCCGCACTCGGTGGGCCTCACTGTTTGGCATGTTGGAGCGCACCCTCAAGTTGTGTAAGGTATATTTACCGCTACTGTCCCTACAAACAATTACTAACTCTATCGGCAGGGTGTGAATAGGTTTATACAGCTCGCAGATGATAGTGACGAAGTTCCGAACCTGCAGGGCAAGTCCTATGGCGCATTCAAGCTCTCGGCCGAGGAATGGAAGAAGTTAGAGTTGATGCATGATGTGCTTCAGGTGTGTGCTTGTTCATTGATGAGTTTAATTTTTATTAACTTATTGCATTACCAGGAGCCTGCAAATGCTCAGAAATCATTCTCTGCGACTCATGAACCCACGGTATGGCGCGCGATCCCGGTGCTTGAATTCCTCCAACAAACCTGGCAAAATATGGCCAGGTCTTCGAAGTTTGCCGACTTTTCAACCGCCATTGAGTCTGGCATTGACAATCTTCGTAAGTGGTACCATAAGATCGATGAAACCGACGTCTATTTCATTTGTCTCGGTATGTGTTTTGATTAACGTAAAGCCCTATCTAATGCGTTGTATCTAGCGCTTGACCCCAACTTCAAGATTGCGTATGCCAAGAGTAAATGGGAGCCCCACGACTTCGAGAAGGGCATGAGACGCCTGCAGATCGTTTTCGACAGATACCATCATCACAATTCCTTGCCGGACGCAGAGCCTGCTGTCGTGGCTCCTTCCTGTCTTGCACGCCAAGGCTCGTATGGCCACAGCTGGATGCGTGACACTGTCAAATCCTGCATTGTGAGTGACACTGCAAGCCGAAGGCCTCGTCAAGAGCTCGAGGACTACCTGGCTTCCCCGCTAGAGGATATCAAGAATGTAGTAGCTTGGTGGGGCGTGAGTGTTTTTTTTCGAATCCCTATTCCTTACAAGTTAACATAAATGTTCCTTAGCATCATTCAATTCAATATCCCACCATCTCACGCATTGCAAAGGACTACCTCGCTATTCAAGGCTCTGCCGTGGCATCTGAACGAGCATTTTCGAGTGGCGGCATCACTGGGACCACACGGTGCAACTGTTTGTTGCTGACAACGTTTGAGGCACTTCAGTTGTTGAAGAGTGGATATTGTCAAGGTCACATATCTGCAACGGCTCAAGCTGCGTTCGCCGCTGCTCGTGAATACCCTGACATGGATATTGTGTAGCTACTGTACTCATTTATGTCGAATTTTTTCATGTATTTCCTGCATTTTTTTTGAATTTATACATAGCGTTTGGACGTTCGAACGCGTTCTGAACTCGAACCGAACGCTTCTGAATGCATTCGCAAGGGTCCAGTTCGACGTTCGCCCTCATTGCCTGAACCTGACCGATGGTCCGGTTCAGGGTTCGCATTTAGAGGCCCATGAACTGGACCGAACTGGACTTCGGCAGCACTAGCAAGTATAAAATTGTGTAGTCAATGATACCGTGCTACGAAGTAGTAGGCTGCCCGCACCAATACTACTAGTACCTCATCCCTGACCGGCGGATTGATCTGCATGATGCTAACTAGTACATTAGGCCTGGGGCTTGCTTCCTCCGAGTCTGCGCAATAAGACAAGTACCAATAGTGTCACTGGCAGCATCCTGGAGCCTTGAGAATCTTGGCAAAGTACTGAGCACCCTCGACCTTGAACATGGCCTCGAAGTAAGGTTTGTCAAGAGGGGGGAGATGCTAGGTGTAATTAGATGATCTGGCCATTAGCAACGGACTGAGGATTGAATTGAGGACTAACCTGAATGTTCTGCCATAAGGCAGCAATGTCATACGCAGCGGTCATGATGCTATCTCGAAGGCATGGTGATCGGCGTATTTGTTGACGTAGAACGAGCGGAAAGCATCATAGGAGTGATAATACTTGAGGGAATCGGGAATGAAATCAGAACCGTAGACAGGGATTAGATGTGCTGTGCGGTAGACTGTATCAATATGAATCACGGCGAGGTTTGGGGAGTCGTCGTCATGAACACTGGGACACACTATCCACATGCCAGTGTCCTCGTCAGCACAGTCGCCAACCTTGTCAAACCAATGAACGAGAGCGCAGGGATATAATTCCCAGTCATGTTTGAATGAAAAGAAGGACTTGATTCTTGCAACTTCAAGTCCTTGCATCCCTTCAGCGCCCGGATTGGTGTTGATGAACACGCAATCGTTACGGGCGTAGACATTCCGCCAGAGTGGACACGCACGAATCTGTTCACGTTGCATGCTGCCAACGCTGCTCGGATCACTGGGGGCATAGAACGTCGCAGCAGCAGAATTGAAGACGTAGAGTTTGCCCTCATGTCGAGGGCAGCCGGCAGCAGGTACATCTTTGGGGTCTTGGGGATCATTAGGGAAGAGTTGGGAGAAAAGGAAGTATCGGATGAGGTGTTGGAGGTGTGGAACGTCAACCTCCACTGCTAATTCTGCTACCGTCCGTGCCTGTTTACGTTCTGTGAAAATCATGATGAGTATTGAGAACAATTATATCACAATATCACTCACAGGGGGTCTTTGCGAGCTGCACAAAAGCAAGTACAGTCGGACCATCAACAGCTTCACCGTCGTCAATTAGGCAACTGCACAGGTAAACCCCTGGGTACCAGAGGTCATACCCGCACCCATACCCGGTGAAAACCCGTACCCTTGTGGCGGGTACGGGTTTATCTGCGGGTAAAACACACAGGTACCCCTGGGTACTACCCATCAAGGGTATACCCGCAGGTTATATATAGAAACAGTTTACTAGTAGCGACTACAACAGTCAGCGACAGTATCAAATATTACTACGAGACACTATAGCTCAATAAGATCCCACCCATCCTCCATCTCAGCCTCATCACCATCAACATCTGCAAGAGCCGTGATGGACTGCACATCTTCAGTCTTGACAAGATTAAGGTGGCTCCAATAGTTGAGACATAAGAGGGCACGTGTTGTCTGAGCTGAGAGTCATGAACGAACATGAGATAATAGCAGACGGCCATGGCTAAAGAGTCGCTCAACGTCGACAGAGGTAGCTGTTAAACATCCCAGTGACAAGCAGTTAGCAATGATACAAAGAAAGAATTGATACTCACCTGGAATTGTAAGGTAATCTAGAGCCATTCGTGAAAGACGAGGGTAGAGCGCACACCATTCATACCACCATGCAAGCACATCAGTAACATGTTCAATATCGGCACTAAGATAACGATCCAATTCATTGCTAAGGTCAGCGGTTTGTGGTGGCACAAGCGCAAGCATGTCGTCAAATATATTCTTTGAAAGAGTCAGTTGACAAGCGCCAGAACAAATATCAGACATACCACTGATGAGGCCTTTTTTTCAGAATCATTCACTATGTCATCCATCTCCTCGTCGGTGTTGTCAATGTCTCTTGCTGAGTATGAACGGTCAAACTCATTGCATACCAGGCATAGTGCAGTTTTGATCCAAGCATCCTCCCACTTAGCACATTTAAAATAAGACAATTTGTGTCGCGGGTGGAGAACTGCAACACCATTTAGTTTCGTTAGTAGTACTAGCAATACACTCACTCATTGCAATGCGGTAAACATCTGAACTATCGGTGAGCTGGTAGTATCGATTTAATGTTCTTTTGGCAAGTCCAGCAGCAGCGCGAATTGAGGGAAGGAGGGCATTGTTGAGCATATGTGTAGCAAGGGTCTCGTTAATGAGATCCATCGCAGGTATCACCATTGCAAGGCTTTGTGTTGACCGAGAAAAGAACAATGTGGCGTCCTTGAGGATCTATTTGCATACTACATTAGCGGTAAACAAACATACACGCACAAACCTCACCTTCAACACATTGCACAATTGCTCGACAATGCGCCACTCATTGTCTGTCATCTCAAAGGCTCTCAATCCCAAGTCGCGACACTGTGTCACTGCATCAATTGCATCCCAATGCTTCAGCGCATACTGCAACATGTCAAAGGTCGAATTCCACCGGGTCGAGACATCGCGGGGCAATATGCTGGGTGTCATTTTCAATTCACGGAGGATATCGTGCCATGTGGGGAGGATTTTTGTGGTGGAGTGAATTATCTTGTACCCAAGTTTGCGAAGCTATATGGGTCATCAGCGGTGAGCTTTGTTGATCCAAACTCATACACTAACCTTCACAAGCACTAATTGGACTGGCCGTATTGTATTTTGCAGGTCTTTCCTTTCATCAGCATTCAGAAGCTCATTTTCATCGACCAGTCCATCAGTATTATCCGTCAAGTCATCCTCATTTGTGCTGGACTCTGCAATCATTGTGTAGTCCTCAACCTCGAGGTCTTCGCTCAATTGCGCAAGCTGCTGCTTCATCTGGTGTTCCTCTTCTGTCGCCTCCTGGTCCTCGATGTCACTCGAGCCATCGATCAAAGCCCCCGTCCATTTCTTTTTTACATCAAACTCATGGATCACTGCCTTCGCTACAAGATTGACAATATGAAGGAAGCATCGTGTGTGCGTAGCTCGTCCTCCAAACCCTGGAAGGTTGGCGGCAAGTTCGTCAACCATGGCATCATTGTTGGACGCATTGTCATAGGTAATGCAAAGTGTCTATATCCGAGTCATTGTAAGTCATCATTCACATTTGTGCGCGACTCGTTACTCACTTTTTCTGGTAATCCAAACTCTTCCAGCACGTGCTGGAATGCTTGCGCAAGTTCTTCACCCGTATGCGACTACGACAACATCAGCACTTCGAGCTACTTGGTTTCAGTAAGTGACTTAGACCTTTGGAACTTCAACAATATCTAACGGCAAGCTTAGGTGTTCGCCTTTATGTTCAAAGTGTGCTGATACTGCTATAAAGGCCCTGTGGTTTGGGGAACTCCACCCATCTGTGGTGAAATTCAACTTGCCGTCATACTCCTGGTGAGTGATTCGTGATCAACGATCAACGGAATTTTTTCATGGTGCTTACCCTCGTCATTTTAGCAATGCGCTGATGTGTTCTTGCAAACACAAGACAGACATCGCGCGAGATCGTCGAAGGGGACGGTAAGTAGTATTCCGGTCATCCAGTCTTCATAAGAGACTGAAAGCCTCTGTCACACACTATTTCAAATGGGCGCAGACTTTCCGACACCCAGTGAACAATTTCGGCCCTGTTAATCATGTCAGACTATACTCAGGATGTCATTGAGAGTAACGCACTTCGTCTCTGCACAAGTATGTTGGCGGTGCGAGTACGTGACCTTTCCTTTGCCCTTTTGTTTGAATGATGTCGTGATTGATCCGTTTCGCAGGACACTACCAACGATATTTTTTCGGACCTCATCAGCATCTTTCGCATCATCTGCACTTTGCAAAACCTCCTCGCCCCAGCACGATCTAACATGTTTGCGCATGTTGCTAGTCGAGTGTGCATCCCTCTTGTCGAGGAAGCGCCTCACAGTTGCTTTGCAGCCCTTCCCCTGACACTTGAACTCATGTGCACGTCGTCCACTAATTTCGATAATCTTGGGCATTGGATTGAAGAACGCGTACACAGGTGACACCCATTCTTTCATTAGCCGCTCTGTTCATCAATTGAGTTGATGTCATGTTCTATAGATTTTTGGACTCACTTAGCTCATCATCAGCATTCTCATCTCCACTCTCTGACGCTATCTCAATTACATCATTTGGTCCATCATCATACAAGGCTTCCTCTTCCTCCTCCGTACGGACAACAGCTCGTCGACTTGTGGTAGCCGGTGTCACCGACTTGGATGGTGCCGTCACCATAGTGCTATCTTTAGCAGGTGTTGTAGTAGCCTTTGTCGGCAGTCCTTGGTCTGACATCATGACCTTCTTTGGTGCAATTGCATCACTGGGGGGAGCACTACCGGCTTGCAGGTATGTTTTTACCTTCTTGGGTTGTATATCCCCTTTATCTTCCTTGCCATCAGCTTTCCGTTTGTTGGATGAAGGTTCGGCATCTGTGGCTGCAAGGGCAGCTTTAGCTTTGACAGAGAGCTTAGGGACTCGTTTTGAGAGTAGGTTTAGTTGCATCGCAGTGTTGAAGGCTTGGTAGTAGAACAAGTGTGTAAAATAGTTCGGTTTTAAAGTTTGACATTTTGTTTGACATGTGTCAAATTCACATGGTTACACTGCCACCTGACATGAAACCCGTGACCAGGGTATGGGTACGGGTACGGGTATGCAGGTGTTGGACCCCTACCCATACCCAGGTGATACCCGCACCCCAAACCCGTACGGGTTACCCGTACCCATGCACTTGCCTATCGTCAATGCCATCTTCTGTTGGCAGTACAACAGGAGGAGCACCTGCCAGCGCCGGTGGTTGATCTTCGTGCCCTACAACCGTAAATAAGTATGCGAGAAGACAATTAGATATGGAAGTACTTACGGAGAGCGGCCACAGCTCGTGATAACACTGAGCCAATGAGCATCCCTCGTGTCGCGAAGTCTACACAAGACACTGTGAGCTTGTCGAGGCGTTGGTTGGTCAAGCATTTGACCGAGGGCGTTGTTCTTGCTGGACCACCGCCAGGGATTCTTCACAGCTTTGATATGCTTGGATTCCATGATCGACGAACATAATCTGTTCGGGGCGCCAAAGAGTCAGATCATGTCTGCATAATGGCACATTGAGTGCTGGTGAGGGAGCAAGAAGTGAGAGACTGTGCCCGTGGTTTCGAATATCTGGCGATAGCAGTGAAACTGAACCAACGCATCTTGAATTTGAAGGATGGTACCTTCGGTAACGACGTTGCGCCGAATGAGATAGCAAAATTCTAATAGTGCGCGAAATGCATGCACCATATCTCGAGGTACGTGGCCTTCGATAGCCGGAAGGAATACCTTCATGAGTGATTTTGAATCGTCACCCGTCCACTATTTGAAGTTGCGGCCTTCAGGGAATCACCGGAGGCCAGCGAACAATGCTACAGCAGCAATTCTGACTTTTCATTAGACAATATCATTAAACTAATTAGACGTCACGTACCTGCGATCTACGTCACTCATGATCTCGTCTCCTCATTTGGTCCCATGTGTGATTCTAAGGTACTTTACTACCCAGTCCATGAGATGGTCCTTGAAAGCGCCTTTGATCAGTTGGTGGAGGAGATCAAAGGACAGCAATTGATAAATATTGGCCCAGGGGAAGTCGTTTGTGAATGGCTGCATAAAATAGATTAGTATGTAATTAGAGAGCAGGTGGTTCCACTCATGATGACAACACTTATGATACCATACTCATGCCATAACGTATCTGAATGCACGTTCTCGTGTATCATTAGGTCAGTGTATTCCCGACAGCGATGCATACCGCCGCCGTCAAGGTTTGTTCGAATTGCAAGACATCTACAATAATTGTCAGTAGAAGTAGTGAGTGATTGCAAGTTTGAATACTCACTTCAGGCACCAATTTTTAACAGTGCAGGACAGCACCAGTTGCTCCTCGTAGTCTGCGATGTAGGGTCTCAGACCGTATATGACATGTTGAAAATGACCGTCTGGACAGCGCACAACCTCGTAATCGGTCATCGCAGGCTTGAGAATGGTGAGAATTAGGGAGAGCGAGCGGTGGAACAACTGGCGACGAAATGTATGAAATGCGTCGTCATGAGTATATTTCCTATTAGCTGTAGCATAGATCAGATGAAGGGCGATGAGATTTCAAATGTTAACACGTACTTTTGGGTATAGAGAGGAAACCAATGACGACGAGAGCATTGCGGTGTGCGCGCCGCACATTGTTATGTACATTACCAATTGATGCATACAATGGATAGTACTTGTTGTTGCCTGTACCGACGGAGACAGTAGTCTTGTCACTACCGAGAATGATCGGAATGAACATCGATCCATGCGTATTGCGATCATTCGATATGTCATCCTGACAAGACATTAGTTATGCCTGAGTTATAACAACGAATCAAATACTTACAGCCTGCTGCCATGCCCAGTCTCCAGACATAAAGTCTTTCCATCGGCGTGTGTTATCCGACACGTCATACTCTCAGAACGGCGCATAGTCAATCTCACCCTTGTAGGTAGGGTTTGCTAGCATATTATGCACCATCAAGCAGGGGTCCCTATACCAGACTTCATATTCATTGTCCATCCATGGCGGGACATTATCCTCAGAGCGTTCCCCCGCGTACTGAACTGAGAGACATTGCCAGGGGACATTGCCAAGTTCGGTGGCATCGATGACCTTGTGTAGATCCTTGTGATCGGCGAACGGAGGGGAGTCGTCGTGTTTTGCCAGTGTTGCAGCCATTAAATCGAACAGGAAATCCGAAGCTGCGTGAGACATATGACATTGTTTGAACGTGAATTCTGCTGTTGCGAATTCTACGTTGTTGCGATATGGGCTCCAATCATGAGGAGACTTTGGTGGTGGAAGAGTTGGTGGCATGCCGGGTGGCAGAAACACACCGTCAGCCGTGCATGGTCGTCCTGAGAACATACTTAAGTTAAAAACACAAACCACAGACTGGAATGTACTTGCCATTGAGGAGCGAGTGGTATGTGCGATAGTATCGCCCACTCGCATCCGTGAATTCTGCCTCTGGGGGGTTTGGATCCTCGTCACCAGCCATTGGAACAGGTGATGACTGCAGTGGCAGTGAGAGCTCTGGAGGTGGCGGTGAGAAATTGGGAAGTGGCGGCGAGAAGTCTGGAGGTGACGGCGAGAAATCTGGTGGGGGAGGCGAAACATCACAAGGTGGAGATGGTAACTGGTGCGGTAGGGGAAGATCCTCAAGGGGCAGTCCTAAAGCAGGCGCAACATTGTGATTTGGGTGGACTGCACCCATATGTTGAGTGCGGCCTGAATGGTTTCGAAACCAGCGCATACAGCTGGGAAATTGACATTCAAGCTGAAAGATGTTGTGAGTAGGGCGGATACTAGGCATAGTATTGGGTAGTATGGTGAATGCGAAGGGATAAATGACATTGCGCTGAGAAATTGCCGGTGATTTTGAGGCTCCAAGACTAGTATATTACATTTACTAGTAGGGTCAATGTATTATTCAGAGTCAGCTTTGGCTGCAAATTTTGAAGACATGATGAAACTCACCTTTGTCTTGTAACCCACTGCCTTCGACTTTCTTCAGCCTCCCAAGCCCTTCATCAGTATAATGTCCCAGTCTACCACAGTTCCGAACCATATGGTGACTTGTGCTAAAAACACTACTCAGCATCCTGGACACATTTTGACTGCGGGTCGTGTAAAAAGACATACTGTTGCTCAGAAAGCTGCTGATGACCAGTGTGAACAAGAGGAAATGGAGGCAAGTGAAGCCGCTGTTCAGGAAGGTTATCAGCGTATTGCTACTTTGCAGGCCAAGATGCAGGCAGATGAAGATGCCGCACGGGCTGACACACCTAAGCCCAAGCGTCCCCGTGCATGCGCTGTAAAAAAGGGTGCAAAGGCCATGGAGACCTCAACGTTGACCACAGCTCTCAGGAAGCCTGAGGCAGGCGCAGAAATCGCTGCTCAGGTCATTGGCACCAAAGGCAAGGCTGGTGGTGGGCGTGGAGGTAGAAAGGTAGCAGCCAGTGCTAATGTGGAACACCCTGCGAGTGGTGAAGAGTTGAACATGCCAGTGCCGGGGGCAGCCAGGGGGAAAAAACCATTCAAGCAGGTGGTGAGGGATGCGATTCAAGCAGTTGTAGACGCTGATATTAGTATCGATGGATCAACGATAACAAAGGCACATGATGGAGATATCACGTCTGACGCATGAGTGTCTTACCTTAACAGTCACGATGAAGCTCCTCCTGACTGAAACCGCACTTTTTTTCTTCAATCTTTCAATACTCAATGATGATGCTAAAAGCCCTAAGAAATTTGCACTTGCTGGACATATCCCAGGTTGGATGTCAACTATTCCAGCCACCATATACAGGCCAGCCTCCAAGGCAAATCCCTCTACCAGCACGTCTTCCATCCAGCGGTCCAACATATCCAGCTCCGCTCCCCTTTCTAAACTCACAAAGGGGAGCACTATGAGTAGCAACAGCGCACCCCCACTCACACCCATCAGTACTCCTGATCCCGAAGGCCACACGGGGTCTACTTACTCAAGTCTGTTTGCAGACGACGAGTTTGATGACGATGAGCCCTCAACAGCTTTTATGAACCAAGGATTTATGGTGAGTCTAATCACATTTATATTCTAATTTGATGCAATTTTAACCCCACCACAGGGTATTCAAATTAGTTCCAAGGCCTTCGAGAAGGTGGTGCCTCCGAATGTTGCACATCGCGACGCAATCCCGGTACCTGATCAGTTCGATGCCATCGAAAATTTTGACAACGACTTCCTCACTGGCATGCATTCAGATATCGACGACGGGGCAGATCCCATTGTGGCCGATTTTACACAGCCTACCTCCCTAGTGGACTACAATTCCAATTCCGACTCTGAGTTACATTCATCAGCCCGTGAATCTGACCTCGAGCCCCCACCCCTCGCACAGAAACCCAGCTCTCATCGCCCTGTTTTAGTAGACTTCGGCTTGCAGCCAGCAAGTCAAAAGCGGAAATCGACATATCTTGATGCAGACGACGACTTAATGACACCATCATCTGAAGTTGAAATCATGGAGAGGCCCGATGCCATTATCCGAGTCAAGACCAAACCTACTGAACCAGTATCTCTGCACCGGCTGACGTCTGCGGTACGCTTCTCATTCCTCATTATGCTAACATTTTACTGACTATGATATGTTAGACTGGCGTCACTGCCACACTCAAAGCCCCTGCAGCAAAGCAGCTGAAGTCCTCCATTCCAGACACTCAGACCACTGCCCCTCGTACCAGCGCTGCATTATCCAAGGCAACAAAGCCACCAGTGGAGGTCCTCCGTTGTTCTCTCTACAGGACGTGCCACCTTCCTGACGGATATTCGACGGGAAACAAGTGGAAGAGAGAGTTCATCCCGACTGTCCTTCGCTGTGTTGGCAATCTCGAAGAAGTATGGACCATTACTGACATAGATTTATGCTGTGTCCTGCAGTCAGTCTGGAATGGTGTCTACAAGGGTAAAATTTAACACATGGTCACTGTTGATGGGCCCGTTATCTCTGTGGTAGGTGCTTTTTTGGACGCTACTGAAATCTGATTGATTTTTTTATTAGAGTCTCCAGTGGTTGTCGGATTGGCGCAACGCCCTCTCCCAGTCTGCCCTCATTGTATACGCACTCTTCCTGATCTCACAGGACGATCTCACTACTGATAAGGACCGCCAAGACTTTTCACACACCCTCCTTAAGGACTATGCCTTCTTGTGTGGGGAAATAACAGATGACGGAGAGAGGTTGTACCCATTCAAGTCTGATCTTATCTTGCAGGTCCTTGTGCACCACATGACTTCTTCGCTTAATGCCATCAATTTGATGCTGGATACTAATTCAGGGCTGGGGAAAGGCATTCTTTCTCTTGTCATGGCAGTGGTGTGTGTGTTTTTTTCATCTGCTCATACAGCTGGCTCATTCTCCACGTTTCAGGTCGAACGCGCTGTCAAGCTTTTGGCTGAGGGATGCATGATCTTGAGTGAGATTGACACCACCTGCAGAGGCAGAGGCAAAGCTCCCCAGGCGCATAACAAATCCACGGGAAAGGACAGCACTATTCCACTGGCATTTTTGGATGCCAATTATGGCCAGATCACCTGGTCTTACTTAGCCGCTATTGAACATCAGTCAGAGTCGGTCCTTCTCGAGATCTCGGAGCTCGCACTGAGCATTGCCGTGAAGAGGTCTGGCATGCCAACAGACATGAACAGCGAGGAATCTCAGGATGAGCGTCCTCTCATCTGCTAGATGCAAGTGGTGCGCTGTCCTTCATTTTGTAGTCTAGCTCGTGACTGACTATTATTTGTTATCAGTACTACTACTCTACTACGCACCCTTGTTCTTCATGTGGTGTCTCATCATCACCGCCGCTACTAATATTAATATTGTCGTCATGCATCCCCTTCGTCACGCCGCATCTCAATTTCTCATTTTTCGCTCCATATTATGACCTTGCATTTAATGATACTTGGCAGTACTTGTTTTATACTTGCTCTCCCTTTTTTTGCCCGTATCTTACTTTTCTGTGTACCGTTGAATTAGCTTGTCTGCTTGCCTAGCTTTAAATGCAGTGTTTTTGTCATGTTTTCTCAAACCGAGTGTGAACAAGTACATGCAATTTTAATAAGGAGAAATAAGGTTGCATGCTTGTGTCTACTTGCTACTACTTGCGCTGCAGTCCATTCTCTTGAGCAAGTGTGGAAAAAGGTAAAATAAGTACAAAAAAAGGTGCAACAAGAGGAAGGGGTCTACTTTCCGAGCTTGTGCAGCTTGTGACAAGTGGATGTTACCTGTCCTTGTGCGCAGCTTGTCCGTCCTTCCATGGGAAAATAAGTGGGACAAGTGACGGAAAAGGCAATCAAGCAATGTGAGAATTTACTGATGACTATCATAGACATATAGGCACTATATACACATAGACACTATATACACATCAATAGTAGTAGTACTTCTCTACATCATATCATTGTCTGAGTCAGACTCGCTGTGAGTATCCCACTCAGCTGCCGCCGCTGCAAACTCGTCGACTGTGAAGTGCTGAGTGAAAGTGTTTGTGACAGGCTCGTTAGGAACATTCCCATGACGGCTGGCAAATCATTATTAGTACTAGTGACTTTGGCAGGGATCGATGTATTACTTACCGTGCAACCTTCAAAAACTTCTTGCAAATCCTCGGGATGATATCGGCATGTTTCGTACCTTCGTGAAACCTGCTTAGGAGCTCCAGGTATGAGTTGAACACCGTCGCATACTGCTCCTTGTAAAATTTCGACTCGATCCTCGATCCAGTGGTCCATTCCATGACGCAGGCCTCAATCTAAATTTGTTCTTGTCAGCACCTGGTATGACAATTCAACCATTACTTACAGCCATCAGGATTGCCACGATGATGCCAAAGCTTGCACCACCAGTGTTTGCGTCCACAAAATAGATGGGGAACTTGATCCCAAGTGAGTTCTTCTTCTTGTAGCACCATTTTATCATTCCCTTTTGGATAACGTCGGCCTCAAAGGCCCCCTTGGCCTCGTTCCAATCCTACCATAGTTAGGCATTAGTCCTACTTTAACCTCCAAGTTGTAGATGTACATTACCTTGTAAGTGAAATTCTTGCGGTTCACGAGGAGCGATTCCGCAAGAACTGCGTTGGATTTGATGGCCTCAGGTGTCTTTTCGTCAATGAACCCAAACTCTGTTACAACCAGTGGCCGCATGACAGTTTTGAGCTCGCTCCGCAGATTGGAGCCTCGTAATGTTATCTAATAATTGATTAGTGTGACAGACCATAGGACTCAGAGAAACCAATACCAATTTGTATGTGTCCTCATCATAATCAATCTTCACCCCATTTGCACAACAGGCCGCCACCCAAGCTTTGCCTGACCAGTTGCGACTCTCAATGTCACCTGGATAGATTGTTGAGTTAGCGAGGATGGCTTGGTAATGCCCCACAGCAAGATGGATGATGGACAAATAGAGACCATCAAAATCCACACAACGGACATGGCCACAACTGCCTCCGTCACCCAACTTGACCTTCTGAACTAACTGGAGGCCTTCAACCTTTGTGAGGGGTGGTGCAGGGCGCTTCCCAGCTCCAAGGGCTGTCAATTGGAACAGCTAGTATGTTTTTTTTCGTCAGTTAAATCCCTAGTCTAATGATGAAAAATCACCTGTTGCACCACTGGGGACTCGATCGAACTCAATGAACCATCAGCCATCAAGCTCTGTCGCACACCTCTGGATGGTGTTGGAGTATGATGTTCGACTTGACCACCCATAAGATGTGGGACTGCGGCAAAGCGCCGTTCAGTTGACATACTAAGCAGGGAAAGCTGCCAAAAGGAGCCACAATAGCACAGGTCATTCTTGCGTCCGATAAAACAAGTCTCTCACAGTTTCGGGGTGACAAAGCTGCCTGGCCGGTATATTTGACGATCGGGAATATAGAAAAGGCCACCCGACATTGTCCACGGATGCACGGAGCCATTTTATTGGGCTATCTGCCTGCAACAAAGCTTGACTGCTTCAGCAAAGCAACTCGGTCTGTTGCGGGTTACCGGTTGTTTCACGAATGTATGTGGAGGCTCCTGCAGCCACTAGTTGCAGCAGGCAAACATGGTGTAGAGATGGTGTGCGCTGATGGGAGGGTCCGTCGTGTGCACCCGATACTGGCTGCCTATGTTGCAGACCATCCAGAACAATGTCTCATTACCTGCACCAAGGAGAGCTTCTGTCCTAAATGTCGTTTTCACCAAGACAGCCGGGGGGAACCTCTTGCATCACTTCTGCGAGATGAAGATCACACTCTGACTATGTTAGAACACAAATGAACAGGATGTAGAGTGGCCACCTACACGCGCAAGGGGCTGTGCCCTGTGTATCGCCCATTCTGGGCAGATCTTCCGTATTCCGATATCTTCGCTGCTATCACACCTGACATTCTTCACCAATTGCATAAGGGCGTGTTTCATGATCATCTGTTGAAATGGTGCACTGAAATAGCTGGAGAAAACGAGATTGACGAGCGTTACCGGACAATGTTGAACTATCCAGGTCTTCACCACTTCTCACAGGGCATCTCCCTGGTATCTCAATGGACAGGAACCGAGCATTGTGAGATGCAACAAGTCTTCATGGGGGTCTTGGCTGGGGCTGTTCAACCAACAGTCATTCATGCTGCATGTGTGGTTATTGATTTTATATATTATGCACAGTTCCACACCCATACATCTCAGTTGCTTGATGCCCTGGAGTCAGCGCTACGTGAATTTCACAACCACAAGCATATATTTGTGGATCTGGGGGTGCGCAATGATTTCAACATACCCAAATTACATGCAATGGCACATTACGTGGCGTCGATCAAGTCTTGTGGCTCTGCAGATGGATTTAACACCGAGTTCCCTGAATGACTCCACATTGACTTCGCCAAGAATGCATATTGAGCGACAAACAAGAAAGACTATGTTGCCCAGATGACAAAGTGGTTAGCAAGGCAAGAATCAGTAGATCAGTTTGTTGCTTACCTGGACTGGAGATTGGAGAGAATAGTGGATGATGCGGAAGTTGCCAGTGCCGGCGATATTGATGATGAAAGTGGTGAAGGTGGCACATCAAATGCGGATGTTTCAGTGGACAAACAACCACCAACTCCAGGCGACACACCTTTGTCTCATGTCCTGGCTGCTCATCCACCATTTCAAGCTCTGACGGTTGATTCTATTGCCCAGACCTTTGGCACAGTCAACTTCTTTGCAGCCCTGACACAATACCTTGGTCACGCTGTTCCAAACCCTCCCTCGCAACCACAATTGTCAGTTTCTCATTGGGATTGCTTCGACGCTTACCGGCGGCTCTCAATCCCTTATCCTCGTTTATGCCCTGTTCATATGTTAAAGTTGATGGACCAGATCCATGCAGTACCCTACATCCCCCCTTCTGGTCGGTCTGCTGGTTCACAAGGGCGTTTTGATATGGTCCTTGTGCAAACAGAAAGGAACATCAATGCACACACTCAGGGTATGGTGTTGGAAGGTAAGCAGGTTCGATTTTGTGGGTTTGGCTTTGACATGGAGCACACCTGTCATAGATCTTCAAGTCGCACAAGTCCGCCTGATATTCGACTTACCGATGCACCTGCGCATGGCTGGCCAGCCTTTCCACCTTGCACTCATCGAATGGTTCAATCCTTTTCGCGGACGTGATACATTGTCACAGCTGCATGCAGTCTCTCGTTCGTATGCTGGTCAAGCACCTCATACTGAGGTGATCCCCATCAGTCGAATCATGGGTAGCTGTCACCTTATACCCAAGTTCGGCACACACATTGACCGAACGTGGAGACCAGATTTCATCTTTGACACATGCAAAACATTTTATCTTAACCCGTGGATTGACATGCATAGCTTCTACAAATTCAAAAACACCTGACATGTGTAGTACTGACTGAATTAATATTATACGAGTTTGATTATTTTGTGTGCAGCAAGTTCGACCTCTAAAAGTTGTGCTTTTCGAGCCGCTTCACAATACCTCACTTCGGCATCCCAATGCTGTTCAACAAGGCTACGCATGTAATTTTGAGAGACCACGACGGGTGCTGGATTTTGGCAGCGGTAGGGAGGTGCAGGAGTCTTTGGTGAAATGTAGGGGGGATGGGCATCTGAGGAAGTTTGGGCCTGTAAGATTCAGATGAGTCTGATAGCGCCGGTCACAGCAAAAAGATGGTAAATGTCTCACCTTTTGACATCTGAGGCCTTTGTTGTCTCTCTGATGGTCTCTGGGGAGTGCGAGCGAAGACTAGAGGCTGTTGAGGTGTGTAATGGTTTGAAATATTGTGATCCTTACCGCTTATTGTAATTTTCTTTATCTGAGCGCTCAGATTCGCGGGCCATTGTACAAGAGGTCGTGGATCGATGTTGGAAATGAAAGAAAACTTGTGGAGGTACTGTCGTTTGAGTTTGTTGAATTGTTGTGTATTCATTGGTGTCTAGAAAACCTAGGCGTCCTACGAGGTGCCTACAAAGAATGCACTGTCTATGTAGGTATATGTAGGTTGGGCCTACCTATGTGAATTTCGGGTTTTCCTGATGTGTTTGTCAATGAGCCTGATATACGTCTTTCATCCATAATGAGGCTTACCCGCTCAATTCTTTGTGAATATTGCGGCGACCACTCCGGCAAAGGTATTGGAAGCCAGGAAAACGACAACAAGAAGTATTAGTACCTTGCAGGATCTCTGATACATGGCATGTAACCGAGCAGTCATAATGACTTGGATGATGTTTCGGTCAAGTCGACATCACTGAGGTATCGCAGCTCACCGCCCAAGATTGCATTTACAATGACGTCCATCTAATACAGGGCGACATCATTGATATAGCCTGACAGAATCAGTTAGCAATCGGCCTCAAAGGACCACGCACTCGACTCAAACTTACAGCTGTGGCAGTCATTAGATTCAACCAACAAGCTGGTCAAGAATCTCACTTACCCTTACATAGAAATGCTGATAATTGGACAAGAATGGCAGACATCATCACAGAACACTCACTGCATCTGTCACCGGGATTGTTGGAACAGCAACTGTATGCCGCCGGTAAGAAGAAACAAAGATGGTCGATGTGAGGGGACATACTCAGTAGATGCAATCATGCAATTGACGCATCGTTGGTGTTGCATCAATCGATCATCTGTAATTGAGCGGCACGTGCCTGTAAGTATTACTGCTGCACAAACGACTCCGAGCGGGAAGCAAGGCTTCTTGTGGGGTAATAAATACCTATAGGAAATGGAAGATCAACGAAGTCGTAGTATTTAGTCAACAACAACCGGGGTGACGTACCAATAGCCAAAGAGAATGATAGCAAAAATTGTGCCATGTGGGTAATGCAGGGAATACGCAAATTGAGCGGATCTGGTGCCATATATATGCAATAGGGGTTGGTTGGTTCTATGGATGTCAGTGGGCATTCGGCAAATTCTGAACACTAGCTCCTCACATGCACATAAGTATTGCAGAAATCCGTCCAAATGCCTGTGGAGGGGGGAGTTCGTGCAGCAATCTGGGCATGTACATATCTGCCGCAATCCCATCAGGTTCACATCTCACCCTACACGTGCCACAGGGCTGGTCTGCAATGATAAAGTCATGCATCGATGGTTTTAACCCGTATTGACCTGTATACGTCACATCTCAGTCGTCGCCATCCACATTAGTGGTATTCAAAGTAACTTTCGGAAAGTTCGCTAAGCTCGGTAAATCTCGGTAAAGCTCGGTAAAACACGGCCAAGAAAAGTATTGAAACCTTCTGCGAATGATGGTCATGCACGGCTCACTCAGCATGCACATCGGGGTTCATAAAACATGCCTGCCCTACAACCATGACCTTGTCGGTCTGCATGTCTGCGGACCCTCTCTTACCCTCAACGAACCATGGAACCTCCCCCAGTACCCACTACTTGCAGAAAGAGCAAGACCAAATGAGGCGGAAGAGGCGGAAGAGGTGGCAAAGTTCAAGCTGCCACTCAGCCTGATGTGGCTACCGCAGACTACGATGGGCCAAGGGTTCAGGTCAACTGGCAACAAGAGCCTTTTCATACCGATATGCTTGTTCAATGGCTTATTCAGCATCCTGCAGATTCTACTGTACTATTCAACAGTAAATGCAACGTAGACCATGGCACCCCCTTGGGCAAGGACAAAAATGAGATTCAAGGTCTCATCACTCATTTTATCTTCATGCATGACCATAAATATGGGAGCTTATATGCTTCATTTCTGGATAAATTTCGCGACTCGGTAGCGTACCGCATTTCCACGTAAGTTGTCCTCTCCCTGTTCCAAAATTTATATGCTGATCATATCATTTCAAGTCTCAAGAAGGTCTGGCGTCCCCTCTATGATAAATTACGCAGAACCGGTGCTGGTGTTGTTCCTCTCGACGCTAATGCTGCTGCAAATTTGAAGGGTGCGTATGTCGCATAAATTTATTTAATTGTACTGATAATATTTACAAAGGAGATTGACCATGATTGTCCTTGGTTCGACAATCTTCGAGCAATCTGGGGGTCCAACCTGTCATTCGCAGCACCAACAATCTCTTCACAGCCTGGGGTGGATCATGCTGCCCATTTCTTCTCACTCATAAGCACAGCAGACGCCGGTAATGCCTCATCACAGGTCCACAGTACTCCTCCTTCCAGCGCCCTCATGGGCAGCCCTGCTCCCCCCCACACACAGGGGGGGAGAATAGCTGATCACCCCCAACAATCCGGCTATTCCCCATCCTCCACTGGTCCTTCAGTGAGCGGTAGCACTGGTGCCCTCCCACAATTGGGCTATCCACCCCCCTCCTCTGGCACCTTTGTGGGCGGTAGCTCACAATCCGGCTATCTGCGCCCCTCCTCTGGCGCCTTTTCAAGCGGCAGTGCTTCCCTGCAATATCACTATAGCCATCCTGCAGATGGCAGCGGCGCTAGCCCACAATTCGGCAGTCCCCCCCCTCCCAGCCCTTTTGCAGGCAGCCCAACTAGTTCATGCCCCCCTCCTTTCAACCCTTGTGGTGACGGCAGTGCCGCTTCCTCCCCACAGTTCAACTATGGCACCCCCCCTCCCCCCAGCACTCAGTCCTCCCCGCAGTTCAACTATGGCGCCCCCCCTCCCCCCAGCACTCAGTCCTCCCCACAGTTCAGCCGCACTCACCTTCCCCCTCACAAATCATACCCTCTCTCACGTCCCCCTCCGGGCATGGCACCTCAGGCTGAAGATGATTTCGATGATGCTCTTTTTACCATGGATGGGATGGATGAATATGATGATCGTGACGCGAATGCTGTGAGCCTCAACAGCCCACCCAGGGCCAGCATCATGAACAAGTAACAGCTTCCTTCATCTCCATCGCCTCCCCCTGCTCCCCCACCCGCAGTTTCGCAGAAGCCCCGCACCTCCACATACAACAACCGCAGTGTGTTCCTGTCCAAAACTGGCAGTGTCCGCACGAGCACCAAACCTTCATTGACCACATCATCATACTCTTCGGCACACACTCACTCCAGCATGCCTCCTTCCCAGTCGTCTTCGACTCCAGAGACATCAGTGTCGAAAGGGAAACGCAAGGCGACCAACAAGAAGCGGATCCATTCTGACATTCATGAGCAAGTTGAGATGTTGAATGACAAGGTTGAGAGCATCACCTCAGGTAAGACATCGGAGAGCGCATCAAGGGAGCCGTTGGCGAAGACACAGTACGAGTTGAAGAATGACCGTGCCATGGTGAAGCTGGATATTTACTGCGAGGGCAAAGAGCATGAATTTATACGCGACAAGCGTGCCATTGTCCGTGCGAATGCAAAAGTTGACCATCAGTGTGAACAAGAGGCGAAAACCATGGAGATTCGCCTTCGCGATGCTGAGTCTAGGGCTTGGGAATCGGAGGCAGCAGCATTGTGTCTCAGGATCAAGTACAAGAAACTCATGCAGGATGAGCGGACCGAAGGTAGTAATGCTGCATCTTGAGGGGGCTGCTCCACTGGGCTGTTTGTTCATTTGTGCTACTATCCCACTACATATGTTTTGTATGCCTTGATATGTTTCATGTACCCTACATATGCTACCTATGAATACAATGATATGACTGCTAGCCTTATGTATGTTGTACATTAGAATGAGGGCTATTGAAAAGTTGATCCATCAAACGTGCTCTACAAGCCTGACCTGGTGTTCCTTCATAAGACCTATCACCCACTACTTCATCACCATCTGGCTCTTCAACCTCTTGTGGCATATCTCCTGGGCCCTCACTAATGGCCCAATCCATAGTGGTGGAGTTGTGTTTCTCTTCAAAGTGAATAATCATATTATGAAGGATGATGCAGCACTGAACCCAGGCCACAGTAGTCATAAGGTGCTTTTTGTTAGCAATTGGGTGCCGAAGCTCTCAGAGTGATTGAAAATGCCCTTTCAAAGCAGCAAAGGCGTGTTCAACATGAACACGGATCTAATAAAATACAAAATCAGTATAGTAAATAAAAGGCAGAAAAATAAGGAGATACCCTGGAAAGGGTGACATTAAAGCTCTTCTGATCACCCATCAACCTTCCATTGTGTGGTTTCTTGAAAGGGGGAATACACCACGTCTCCAGTGGATATGCACTGTCAGCCCAAACCCAGTGATCATCTGAGAGAAGAGTTGCATGCTCGTGATAAACATGAGTGGACTGGAAGGCATATGCATCATGCACACTTCCAGGGTGGTCAAGGGAATAGTCAACTATGAGAAGGTTGTGAGGCATGATAACTGCCTATAATTTATTTAATTTTTTTACCATAGAAAAAATGAGAAAAACTTACTTGGCAGTTGAGGGAATAGCAAGATTTTCGGTCATAAAAACTCTCACCAGAGAGACCAGGTTTAGCATAAATTACAACCATAGAACCATCAATTGCTAGAATACCATTCCGCCATTCAGGACAGGACATGACCTCAGCATATTGCCGAGCTTTCTCAGCATCCTCTGAATCAAGAGCAGGGAAAGATATGAATGTGTCATGCTGGTCAAGGAGAGCGACCATAACACGATTGGTGCAGTTAATGACAGAGCCAACACTGACACCTGCCCATTGGCCGACATCTTCCGGGGATATTGCATTGCCATAGTGGCCAGCACGGTTGAGAAAGATAGCAAGTTGGATAGCAACAGGGAGCTGGGGGTTATTGGACTGATTGGTAAAAATACGATGATCGGATATCTGGTTGAGGATGTCATCAAAGATGTCAGGATCAATGCATAATTTCTTGCGAAATAAATGAGGCCGGGACTCCCCAAAATCATGAAGGAGTTCTAGTTGGGGAGCTCAAAGGGGGGGTGCATCAGGGCGATGAAGAACACGAGCCCTATCAATCTCGTCATGGAGGGCTGCAATTGTGTCTTGAAGTCGGTTGTAATGGGCAGTAATGTGATCAGACACATCACTAGAGGAGTCGGAGGAGTCGGAGGAGTCAGAGGAGTCCGAGAGATCAGCCATGTTGGGTACAAATGGGGAAATTGGAGATGGAGGAGTGATCACCATGAAATCAAGATCAGATAGTGATTCATCACTAGATGTGTCCATACTACTATCTGAGTTGTTGATATGTTGGACTGCATGCTCATATCTTGACCTGGCTAAGGCAAGCTCAGCCTGATCCAAGATCTGATGGAGTTCACCACGCAGGGACTGACAAGGCATGGTGGATGTGCAAGAGATCCTTATCATATTGACCGATATTGAGGGGGTGGGCCGAAAAAGGAAAGTTGGATAATGCCGGTCGGAGTTTTAATTTGACTTGGTAGTGTTGTGTGTCGTTTGCCTCAAGGTCTGATCACTGCACTACTGGTCCTTTCTGACTCTGTACACCCTCTCCGCAACCCTCCATCACATCCTCTTCAAATGATACATCCATCATTTGCAATACCTACTGCTTACGGTCTTGGCAAGCGCAATGTCCTCAATTTTGATCTTGGAGGAGGAACACTCATTGCCGCAGCCCTCCCTTATGGTCTTGGTGAGCACAATGTCCTCATTTTCGATCTTGGAGGAGGAACACTCATTGCTGCAGCTCTCCCTTATGGTCTTGGCAAGCACAATGTCCTCATTTTCGATCTTGGAGGAGGAACACTCATTGCCGCAGTCATCCCTTACGGTCTTGACAAGAAAGTCGTTATCTTTGAGGAGGATCCCTCAACATGTCCCCCCCATGCCCAGGGGGGCATTAATGATCACCCCCAACAATCCGGCTATCCCCCCCCTCCTCTGGCAGCTTTGTGGGCGGTAGTGCTTCCCTGCAATATCACTATAGCCATCCTGCGGATGGCAGCAGCGCTAGCCCACAATTTGGCAGTCCCCCCCCTCCCAGCCCTTTTGCAGGCAGCCCAACTAGTTCATGCCCCCCTCCTTTCAACCCTTGTGGTGACGGCAGTGCCGCTGCCTCCCCACAGTTCAACTATGGCGCCCCCCCTCCCCCCAGCACTCAGTCCTCCCCACAGTTCAACTATGGCGCACCCACTCCCCCCAGCACTCAGTCCTCCCCGCAGTTCAGCCACACTCACCTTCCCCCTCATAACGGACATGAGTTGGTTGTGCAGCCGGATTTTGTCCTTTAAAGGGTGCAATCCAATACAGGGCACAGTGAACTAGTTTCTACATATCTCGCACAATTGTATTACTTCTTGTTGCTTATCCCATCACTGCATTGTCTTTCAACACTAAGTCTCTTTTTGAAGTCCGCTTTCCATGCTGATCTGAGCCGTACTTATGTTAGAGTTTTCAGAACAATTCGTAGTGTGTTTTACCGAGATTTACCGAGCTTAGCGAACTTTCCGAAAGTTACTTAAGTTACTTTGAATACCACTAATGCATTTTACAGCACAACAACTTAATATTCATTTAATGGAGTACTTCAACAGATAGCTAAAATATAAAATGTGCAATGCATATATGTATTGACAATCATGTACATGGTATAAGGCTATGGTCCCTAATTCAATATCAAACAGACAGATATTCTAATTGGTTGTACTCATCAGCAACTCCATACTGATTTTCAGAACAAATTCGCTTACATGACTTGATGGTGGATTTTGGACAAGGAGACCAAAGTGACCACTCTGAGCAGACACACCATGAGAGCATGTGTGCGCCCTACATTAGCTTCCACATCTCCAAACTTTCTCTTTGCCTTCTTTGCTTGAAGTAGTAGGTGGTGTTTTCACATGTGAAATTGATGAAGAAGCTGCTCAGCAAGGTCCTTCTTGAGACGTTGAACTTCGAGATCAGCTCGTGCCATCTCGAGCAGGCATAATGCTTCCTCTGAAGTCTCTGGCATTGATGCAGTGTGAGCATCAAATTGGTCATGTGGGTGGCGGCATATGTACTGTAGGTAAAACTGATTCAAGGCAAGTGTTAGAATCCAGCTCATAATTCACCATATTATACACTTCCGAGTGTTCAGATGTATCATCTGGAATGTTGGAGTCTAAATCTACAGAAGGAGTTGTAGGACCCGACATTTGTTGACCTCTAAATATCAAAGATGAGGAATGAGATGATTGAGATGGTGAGACATAGCTTGAACAACACTTCGACATTGTAGTTACAGTTCATGTTGTGCTGGAAATTGCCGAAAAAATATTGGATCCAAATTTAGTTCAATGACTTTACATCTTTGATATGTGTTGCCCATCCTGCAGCAAGTGTTTTAAGAACGAGGGACATTTTCTGCAACATCTGAATCAGCCTTCTTCCCACTGTTACAAGTGGGATGGTAACCTAGTTCACATCTCAAGACCAGCATGAGCTCCAAGTCCTCAATTTCCTCTCCATGAAGATATGGATTTGACCTTTGACCTGGAGTATATGGACCATGGAGTTGATGCAGACACTGAAGTGGAGTATAGGTCTTTGGGTTCACGAGCAGATTATGGTGAAGAAGTGGAGGTTTATGATGGTGCAGGCAAGATGTGGGGTGTTGGAAAGACTTTCATGAACCAATTCAGCAAGGATGAATATGCTGCAGAGAGGGAGAAAAACCAATATTTTCCTTTCACTAGCAAACTGGACTGGGAGATGGCATCGTTTATTCTTCGGTCTGATCTTAGCATGGCCGATATTGACGAGTATCTTAATCTCAAATTTGTGAGTTCATCTGTCCTCTAAATCACTTGGTCTAAACTTATGTTCAGATCAAAACACTCCCATTGTCATTTCACTCTTCGCAAGAACTCTGAGGATGTGCTGAATTGCTCCCAGCTCCCCCTCAATGGAAGTATCAAAGGGTCACTACTGAGTTTCCAATGACAAATACCCTTCAAATATTTTATTGGGATGCAATCGAGTGCTTGCAGTCACTTCTCAGTCACCCACTGTTGGCCGCCAGCTTTGATTTCATCCCGCACAAGGTTTACAAGTCTGCTGAATGTGCTGTTTGAGTTTATCATGGTTTCATGACAGGTGATCATGCTTGGAACCTTCAGGTAAGGTCTCATGTCTCAATTTCAGACAAGACCAAGGTCAGCAACATCGCTGGTAACCGTTATGCACATCCACTTCTTGTTAGTCTTGCCAATATTGATACTGGTGTGCATGCCAAAGGCTCCTTACATGCATATATCCCACTTGCTTTGCTTCCTGTTGCAAAGTTCATGCACAGGAACAAGTGCATGCATGGGGTTCTTGCAGACCACTTACTTCACCAATGTATCAACCTTGTTGTTGAGCCGTTGAAGCAGGCTGCCTGTCTTGGCATTATGATGAGTGATTCACAGGGTTTTTGTCATATACCTGATCCGACCACTCCCATATCAATATCCGCTCCGCTTTCCAACCCCCTCCGCTCCATTCATCCTCTGCTCCACCCAATCACAAGTCCGCATTCCGCCCTATGCGTCCGCTCAACCGCTCAACCGGTCCCCTTCCATAATCTCTCCATTCAACTGGACCTCTTTCCCCTTTTAGGTATATGCTTTCCTTTTCGGTACATAGACCCTCAATTCCTATTACCACCCGATTGCTGATCCGACATGTACATATTGATATCCGCTCCGACTTATGTCTTCGCCTATGTAAAGTACTTACAAACTATATCCTTGGTACATAGCTTTACTACATAGTTATCCTGATCACTGCCTCACACATAGAAGTATATAACATATCCTGTACTTAGATATTTTTCCTTAGTCTTAATATTACTTGTCTTCTTGCAGTTATATCCTGTGAGAATTCTCAGTAGGACCTTGCCTCCTCTGGACACAAGTCTCAACTTGTTGTCACCTCCGACCCTCCGACCCTCCACTCTGACTTAGAGCTGTGCTCTAAGTCTTTCCCTTATTACCCCGCCCCTATCAATATCCTCCTATCACCCCTTTTCCTATCCTCTGCATTATCCTCCGCCATCTCCGCTCCTATCAAAATATCTCCCTGGTTCCTATCCACCCTCTGCATCATTCCCCACCTTCTCTGCTCTTCTCCTAGTCAGTCCGCTGCTAACAGCTCTTACTCCCCGACCCCCAAAGTGGACCCAAGCGGTCCACTCGTCCTACCATCGGACAACGTCGGACCCGCTCCAAATTCGGGGCACATACTCGGCTAAGGGCACAGCGCAAGACCTGAAGCCAAGCCCCGACCCCTCTGCCTCTTGAGCCAGCACAGTACCTAACAGTTTTAGCAGGTATTGCTTCACCCCCCTTGTTGCTTATGTCGCAGATACTCCAGAGGAACTTGTAATTGCATGCACCACTATGAACTCATCACCTGTCACTATGGCTACCCATGGAGAGTTTGGAGACCCGATCCGACACCCTCCTTGTGATGGATCATCAACCCTTGCCAACATTGCAGGAATTATCACATCTATCTTGCTGTCCAATCTTGTCGCATTCTTTGAGGCATGCAAGCACTATAATCTAAACAGTGTCAACTTGCCATTCTGGAGGAATTGGTTTGCTGCAAATCCTTCCTCCTTCCTCACTCCAGAACTACTTCACCATCTCCATAAAATGTTCTGGGACCATGACCGTCTCTGGTGCACAACAGTGGTTAGCTCACAAGAAATTGATTTTCATTTTGCACTGCTGTTAAGACCGTGCTCAGGAGTAAGGTGGAGTCTGAGGGGCTTGGCTTCAGCTCATGCACTGCGCCCCTTACCCGAGTACATGCCCCTAATTTCAGATTGTAGTCCCACTTGAGTTCTACAAGCTCCAACAGGACATCGGAGCGGAGGCTCTCCAAAGGAGGGCCAACGGATTACCAGGTGGGCATGGGAACATCAGGTGGAGGTTAGTCCGCCCAACAGGAGAGAGAGTCGGAGGACTACTGCAGTTGGAGCTAACAGTAGAAGTGGAATGGAGGAGACTGCTTGGATGAAGTCCAAAGCAGAATGGACACAAGGAGGACAGATGTACATATGTTTATATACTCTAAGTAAGTAGCATAGCATAGCAGAAGGCTATGTGCTGAGTGTACAGAATTACTAGAAAAATGACTGAGACATATGAGAAAGGGGCTCAGAGAACAGTATGTACATGACGGATCAATAATCACCCGGGTATAGGGATTACCAGTGATCTGAAAGGAGGAACTATGATACTAAAAGGAGATAGGACCAGTTGAGTGGTTCCTAGTCTAGGAGTGGACCGGTGAGGCGGTCAGACGGACTAATAGTCAGGTGGACTGATACAAGAGCAACTGGAGGAACCAAGTGGGTCGGAAAAGCAGAGATGGTGGAGGGAGTAGGAATAGGATCGGGTGGACCAACAGAGCGGAGGAGTGGAGCTCTGGATAGGGTCAGATGGTAGGGATATGGTGTTGGAGGAAATAAGGGTAGTGTTGGAGGAGTGGAGCGGAGTTGGGTGGAGGTAGCAGGGCTAGTCCTGCTGAGATGCACTTCATGCATTGTTGGAGAAGGAGGGATGGAGTGGACAGGGAAACAGGGGGTTGGACCAGCAGTAGGGATGTTCACAGGTGGTATTGGAGGTGCTCAGATCCGGTATATGACAGCTGCTCCAGGTGTGCACTGGTTACCATGCATTCAAGGAGGGAATCTCCACTTTGAAGCAAGCCATAGGGTGAGACCATTGCAATGTTCAATGGTATATCATTGGCATGATTGCTGGTGCTGCCCCTGCTGACTTCATATCTGCTATTTGGGCCCTCATGGAGTTTAGATACCTCGCTCAAGCCCCGCATTTCACCAACAAGCAAGTAGTAGATTTAGAACACTGTCTTAAAGTCTTTCATCAGCTCAAACAGTCTATTGTTGACGCTGGTGCTCAGCGGGGGAAAGGGGGTGGGGATAAGCCATGGGTGATTCCAAAGCTCAAGTTGCTGCAGGGGGTAGTGCCCAGTATTTATTCACATGGCACTGTCATGCAGTGGTCTGCAGACCCCACTGAACATGAGCACATCAGGGTTGTGAAGGAGCCATCGAGGGCAGGGAACAATCATGACTATGACATGCAAGTGTGTCGCCACCTCAATCATCATGATAAGGTGGAGTGCTTTGACCTTGCACTCCAGATGCATGCACAGGAGGACCACAAAAGTGACAAAGACAATGAGGGTGGTCTTGCCCAACATTTTGTCAAGGACTACTTTGCTTTTGCATGTGACCTCATTAATGGTGTTCATCCTCAAGCTCCCCGTCCCTATTGAACATTCTCCACCTCAATTAACACTTACCATCTCAGCTATGACCCCACCCTCACAAAAATGACAGTGGATAAGGCTGCTGAAAACTTCTCTCTTCCTGACCTTCGTCCTGCAGTCACTGATCATCTTGACCAGGTTGATGCCCATGTTGATCATTTCACTGTTGGTGGGAGGTGCTGTGCCCACCCTGGCTGCCCCCTCCCCTTTGAATGCATTCAAGTATGGTGCAAGATATGGACACAATCAAAATCTTTTCACAACCCTGAACAGCATGAGCCCTCACAAACACTACATGCTCAACCACCCTCCAATGCCTGGCAATATGGCCAATATGACTCTGTTATCATTAGTACTGGCAACATGCACAAGTGGCCAAAAAGTGGACTGGATGGTATGTTTTTATGCCTATACTGTCATGCTACTGATTGTGACAAACACAGGACACTTTGTTGCTCACCTTCGCTTAATTTTTCATCCCATCATGACACTCTCATATTCCGAAACATATCTTGCATATGTTGAACATTTAGATGTTGTGACTCTCGATGATTCTATGGATATGTATATCCTCAGGCATGCTCGACGAGCAAATAATGACCAGATTGGTGATGTCATCTCAATTACTCAGATTGTGGCACCCGTCCATCTCATCCTGCATTTTGGTCAAAAAGCCAATCCGTGACTGACAATGCAAAGCAGCATTAACCATGCTGCAGAGTTTTACCTGAATAAATTCTGGAATAAGGAGCTTTTCTTTGCACTTCATGTGACTGGTAGATAAGCGCTGAGCTCTTAGCAACATTATCTTTGGACAGATAGGGGTATTAACTAGAATGGTGGTTTTTTTTCCATTGGCCCTTGTTTTTAGCCTATTGTGAGAGTCAATGCGGCACAGTGCGTGTCATATACCTGATCTGACCGCTCCAATATCAATATCCGCTCCGCTTTCCAACCACCTCCACTACATCTGTCCTCTGCTCCATCCAATCACCCTCCGCATCTGCTCCTATGCTTCCACTTGACCGCCTGACCGGTCACCTTCTAGAACATCTCCATTCAACTGGAACCTCTTTCCCCATTTAGACATATACTTTCCCCTTTGGTACATAGACCCTTACTTCCGGATCACCAGTAATTCCTCTTACCGCTCGATCACTGATCCGATGTGTACATATTGATATCCGCTCCGACTTATGTCTTCACCTGTGTAAGTACTTACAAATTATATCCTTGGTACATAGCTTTACAACATGATTATCCTGACCACTGCCTCCTACTTAGAAGTATATAACATATCCTGTACTTAGATATTTTCCCCAGTCTTAATATTACTTGTCTTCTCGTAGTTTCTACTTGTGAGGATTCTCAGTAGGACCTTGCCTCCTCTGGACACAAGTTTCACCTTGTTGTCACCTCCGACCCTCTGCTCCGACTTAGAGCCGTGCTCTAAGTCTTCTCCTTACTTCTCCGCCCCTATCAAGTATTCCCCCTACTCCTTTCCACCCTCCACATTATCCTCCACCTTCCCCACTCCTATCAAGTATTCCCCCTGCTCCTCTCTACCCTCCACATTATCCTCCACCTCCTCTGCTCCACTCCTAGTTGGCCCACCGCTAGTAGTGTTTACTTCCCGACCCTCAAGTGGACCAAAGTGGTCTACTTATCCTACCATTGGACAACATTGAACCCACTCCAAATTCTGGGCACGTACTCGGCTAAGGGCGCAGCGCAAGAGCTGAAGCCAAGCCCCGACCCCTCTGCTTCCTGAGCTGGCATGGTACCTAACAGATTCTCATCATATACTCTCCACACCCTGTCCACGAACAAACCATGAGTGAGATGTCATTCACCATCTCACATGCTCTTCACAGCATTCAGTACAACCAAACACTCTTGAAGACCTGCATCTTAATCAATAGTCGGATGTACCCTGAACACCTCTTCACTATACCTGACATGCAGGTGACCATGAAGCCTACAACCGCAATAGCTGCTGAGACTCAACTTCTCTGGATGGTTGAATCTGGATTCACTCAGTCTCGGGTTGCCATCATGACAAAAATGGGGGATATTCTTCTATCGCACAAAGAGCTCCTCCTCATTCTTATGATCTTGGTCAAAGAAAGGAAGAAATATGTCTCCCCTGCAGCAAACTCCATTACTTGGAACCAGACACGTGAAGAGGGATTGGTGTAGACTTACAGTGACTTCACTCCTGAATGCACTGCCAACAAGTTATTTGGGCCAGTAGTAGCAATGGGGCATGAGTGGATTGACATTGAGTCTGTTGAATATTTTGTATGGGTGAAGTCTGGGGATCAGCATATCGATTTGACTGCTGCTCCCACAGTGCATGGTGTGAGTCTAATGTTGCAATAATAAGAATATTTATGCTGATGAGTGGTATCTTTGCAGACACTATTTCCCAATATTGACATGGACAATGTGACTGACACATTGAATGATGGTTTGGATCATGTGAAAGCCACAATGAGCAGCACCCTTGACACCATTGAATCCGCCATAGATCATCAGCATCTCCTCACTCCCAGTGCACTTACATTCAATTGGAAGCTCGACAGTTCCTCTATGTCAGTTGCCATTTATGAAACTGCCTACTTCTACTACTGTGATTGGTGCCATCACCAATTCTCTGGCACAAAATGTTGTTGTGTGGACAATCCTACCATGGATGAGAGTACCAGACCCTCAACCAGGAGAGCATTATCCTCTGGACATGTCCAGGCAGATAACCCAGAGAACACCAAACCCTCAACCAGCCATGAATCCATCTCTGACACAAGCAACGAGACTGTTTCCTCTTCAGAACTAGCAACACCTGGAACTGAGTCTTCCTCTGAACTTAGTGATGATTCAGATGTCTAGGTCTTGGTGAGGGGGATGAAACTTGCCCTCGAGTTTTGTGCTCTCTCTGTAGACATATATGTTTCACTGCTCACCACAGTTTCATCATGACCATTATGTTCTGTTTGTTTTGTTGTACCTACCCTAGCGCCATGTTCCACACTACCACTTGCGGAGTTTCAAATAAGTAGTACTTACTAGTACATGAAATGTCATACTTGTCTTTGGGTTCATGTTCAATGTTGGATGGGGGGCAAACGCAAGACCATAGTACCTGATCTTGGTGAGTACACTAATTTCTATATAACAAAACTGGTATGTAGCACCACAGAAGACCTCCATTGTTCTAAGCAAAGTAACATGAGTCAAGGTGGACACCTCAACCAACTTCAAAATCTCGAGTCCTCACAGATGAAAAGACAATGTCCAGTGAAGAAAAACCCCGCCCAGGACATGATAGACAGCCAACCAGTAAATGTCATGGCACCGGAGGCACCTAAATGCAAACCAAGGGCAAGACCAATCAAGGCAACATCAGGCAACAGAAATGCAAAACCAGGGAAATCAAGCAATGAGAAGACTGAACAGCATCTTTCAAGCTCCAGCTTACCACAGGATGAAAGGTGTGTTGCTGAGGACAAGCCCATTTTACATCCTTGTAGTGCCGACTCAAGGTTTGGCTTTGTCCCACTTCCACCTGTGACCTCTAAATGCAATTTTGTTGGTGCTCTCTCTAGGTTCAACAGTACACTATCAGGATCCTCCCAGCCTAACACCCCCAAATGCACCCTCACTGGTGCCCATTCGTGGAAACACAACAATCCATGTTCTCATTCCAAGTCAGATACTAGTCATGCCCTACCAGCATCCAAACCTGTCCCTCTTGAACACACCTCCACTGGTGCTCATTCACAGAAACACGATGATCCACATTCTCACTCTGGTGCTAGTTGTAAACCACCAGTGTCCAAACTCATCCCTTAACACACCGTCACCAGTGACAGCAATACACCCACTGACCTAGACTCCAATTACATTCATCCATCACAAATGGATATTTCAGACACCGAGGCTCCTCTACATGGCAATGAGGGCTATGACTCGGGATGAGATCACAATGTGGACACTAATGGTTCTGATCTGGACAACTCGGATGCTAGAACTAATGATGTGTATGTGGACCATGACAATGATAGTGATAGTGAGGAGGTGGACCAGGATGTTGATGTTGATAATGTGGAGGTAGACCAGGATGATGGTGACAGTTCTGTTGACAACCCCAACCAGGATCATGATACCTCGAAAGATAGCAGCAATGGTAAGATATCCCATGCCTGTGTCTGTCATGCTACTGAACTTGCCTGCTTGCCTTACGCAGATGAAACCACTCGTGCATGCTTACGAGTCACCGACAGCTCATGTAATGCCCAAGATGTCCTCCAAGACCATCATGCAAAGAACTGTCACCCTCATATACCTGACCTGGTTGAGCTCGAGACTTTGCATCAACGTGCTACTACTCAAGATTCAGCTCAATCTTCTTCTGAAGAGGAGGTTGTAGTACCACGCAAGAGAACACGGACAGCCAAAGCAACTGTGCAGAACATTCACTTCTATCCTCCTTCTTGGAAGGACGTACTAGAGGCCACAAAGAAGAAATCGTGCCTAGGCTTGCTCACTAGCACAGCGTTGAAGTGCAGCAATTTTCTCCAAATCAAGGGTATTGAATATCTCTTAGAAACACTTGAAGACTTTGGATCCCAAGGTGTTGGTGTTGACGACGGATACTGGGATGAATACAAGTCCAATATGGCAGTCCTGGTATTCTTGTTCTTACTCTGTCAGATCATGCTAACAATTATTTTAGCTATGGGACGATCGCGCTACTATGCATTCCAAAATGAAAAAGGTTGCATGTCCAATTGTTCTAGTGCATTATGAAATTCTTCCACCCAATGTTGACGACAAGAATGACTATGAGCAGGAGGTATGTGATAACGTCAAAACATTGTTGTAGGATGGTACTTTCCTATGGGATGGAGTGGATGCACAGGCAGGTTAATGAGAACTAGCCACACATTTACTGACTCACACGGCATGTATTAGGGCAGGACCAATAATCTTGCAAATGAGGCCCTGGGCAGCTTTTGTATGTCCTATTTTTACAAGGGCAAGAATGCACTCGCGAAGACATTTCCAGACTTGTTCGCTGATGCTGTCCCCAAAGGTGCCATCGCACTTGTGGCAACTGCGGTATGTGATCTCAGGCTCGGGATAATCATCTTTGCTCATTCATCTCTAACTAGCTTGCTGCTGCTATCGACAAGTACAAGACCAGTACCTACAAGCAAATGAAATTCATGGCCAATTTATATCAACCAATCTATGACAATGTCATAAAGCTCTATGGTGATGTGCAGAAGGACCGCTATGATGCAAAGAAATGCCGGGCCACCCAAAAGAAATGGGCTTGTACTGCAGGGTACTGTCAAGCTTTTTGAAAATTTGTATTATTTGTTGATGGCTATGCAGAATCCTGACTTGCAATGATCCAAACAGGCACTATGATTGGGGCTTGAAGCCCAGCCAGAACCCACAACAGGCTCAGCCACACTCAGACAGCCCGCTTAGGAAACCTGGCTGAGCATGGATGTTTGAGCCACTTTCTGGATATCCCTGTATACATGTGGATGTAGCAAAATATAACACAAACACTTGCATTAGATGAAACAACGGATCAAAACAACAGGATGAGGAAACAACATCGACATGAAAGCAACGAAAGCAACAATCGTAACAAGAACAACGATAGCAGCACTAACAATGCAGCAGTAATGATGAAAAAAACACCGGCAACGACATGAAAGGATCTACAAGAAAATGACTAGGATGATGTCAGTATCTCATCTGATGTCCCCACTACATCAATGTCCACATTGGGCAAGGTGACAGCGCAGGCTTTTGCCTGTTGACAGATGTAAGTGCAGAATGCAGTTGGCGTCCATGCATGATGCACTCACTGTCTTGACGAGTGCAACCCTATCTTGATACTTCTTCTTGTCCTCCTTGTCGAGTTTCCTCCAGTAGTTCTCAAATGCAGCATTGGTGCTGCCTATGTTAGATGCCACCCAATCAATAGCGCATAGACTCCTGTTTAGAACCATGAGAATACTATAGCCTACAGTTCTTTTTGGAGAGAAAACTTACTTTGCAGTTGCTCGGCTGTTTGCTTCTTTGGCTGTGTTTGGGTCCTTCCTCTTCTTGGTAGCCTTCGTGGAATCTATGTCAAGGTCAGCAGCTGCAAATGAGCCAGTGGCGATGGCAACTACAGCACTAGTATTAGTACAGGTAGTACTAGCGTCCTTCGTAGCTAGAATGGAGTTTGATAGAAGCTGGATAAACGACTGTTTAGCCTCAATAGTTGGAGGCACAACAGCATTGTTGATATTGTTCATACTCGCAGTCACCATATGTGCAATGAGATCATTTGTTGAGGAGAAAGTGGTGGCAGGTGGTGTCACAGCGGAGGTGATGTCAGATGGAGTCTCCAACTTTGTTTTGAACAAGCCTGTCAGCGGGTTCACAATCTGAAACAATTAGTAGTTACTGAAGTTTAAACCATATAAATAATTGAACATTACCTTGACAGCGTGTATCGCAGTGCTGGTGAAAATAGACTGCAATGGTGGTCCATTGTTGTCGTTGCCGGGTGTCTCCACTACCCGCATCGGGACACTACTAGTAGTATGTTTGGCTCTTGCAGCCCTTTCAATAGTGTTCACAACAGTCACAGGTGTGACAATCTTGATAGTATGGTCCTCCTTCTTCTTTTTTTGGTGTCTTATGGATGGCGAGACAGTGATGGATTGTGGCCACTTCGGTTTTGCAGATGCTGCACGTAACATTTCATCAGTGCTCTCCCGTTTGATGATTGTCTTCTCCTGCATGACAGGATCGCCCTGCTCCTTTGGTCTATGTGTCCATTGCAGGTAATGTCTGATTGCAAATTGATCCATCTTCCAATCTGAGTCACACAGGTGAAAGTGTATGAAGGCCTTTCGCATTGAAAGTCGAACAAATTCAAGGGCCATAATGTCGATCTTGGTCCATGAGGTAGGTGCACAACCAAATCTGAGTGATGTGAAGCAGAGGGTGTGGAGTGTCTCGCGCATTTTCTGCTGCATGGTCTCAGATGCAACAAAACCATCTTCGTCAACAAGATATGATGCGGAGCCAGCACCATCCAGGTGTTTCACTGTGAGGACACCACAACCACCTAGATATTCTTTTGTCCAGTCATTCTTCAACCAGTAGTACACACCATCATTATAGTCTTCTTTGCAATATAGTGGGATCTGTCTGTTGGCCTTGTGTGCCATCTTCAACATCTCATTAAATGGGTCCATGGGAGTGCCAATGCCTAGGGAGCCGATGTGTTCCAGCAGTTGCTTGTATCTAGAACTAGAGAAGAGCATAATCACTTTTAGATGGGCCAATGTGACGGTGTAAAAAAGGACTTACCTTGATATCTCAAGTTTGCCCTCAAGAGATATGACTTGCTGCTTGAGCTTGATAATCTTCTGCTCTAGGGCACAATTCTCCTTCTTGAGCGTGGATACCTCACCTTTGCTGGATTCATGCATATACTATGCGTTAGCTCACTGGCCATATGAGCATGGAAGATGATGAGCTGTCTGCAAATGATTTTCCACTGTGAGATGTGGTATCCTGTAGCACTAGTTAGAGACACAATTAAATCTTTAAATCAACATAAACATGCACACTTGGATAATAGCTATCAAATTCGTGAGACACAGATTTATTTCTGTGAGAGAAATGTTCCCCCGAGTCATCATCAAATAACCCAAGGTGCATTGACTTTGGTGATGGCCCAGATGGGAGAGGTGACTCAGTGAAGTTATAGGGTCCTTGCTGGTGCTGACAATGATGGAAATCATGATTGTGATGGTTTAAATTATGTGGGTGGATTGGAAGACTTGGTGTCATATACCTGATCCAACTGCTCCAATATCAATATCCGCTCTGCCTGATTCTGCATCCCCCCCTGCTTTCTGACCACCTCCGCTCCATCCATCCTCCGCTCTGTCCAATCACCCTCCGCATCTGCTCCTACACTTCCGCTCGACTGCCTGACCGGTCACCTTCTAGAACATCTCCATTCAACTGGAACCTCTTTCCCCATTTAGACATATACTTTCCCCTTTGGTACATAGACCCTTACTTCCGGATCACCAGTAATTCCTCTTACCGCTCGATCACTGATCCGATGTGTACATATTGATATCCGCTCCGACTTATGTCTTCACCTGTGTAAGTACTTACAAATTATATCCTTGGTACATAGCTTTACAACATGATTATCCTGACCACTGCCTCCTACTTAGAAGTATATAACATATCCTGTACTTAGATATTTTCCCCAGTCTTAATATTACTTGTCTTCTCGTAGTTTCTACTTGTGAGGATTCTCAGTAGGACCTTGCCTCCTCTGGACACAAGTTTCACCTTGTTGTCACCTCCGACCCTCTGCTCCGACTTAGAGCTGTGCTCTAAGTCTTCCCCCTTACTTCTCTGCCTCCATCAATAATCCCCCTTTGCTCCTATCCACCCTCCGCACTATCCTCTGCCTTCTCTGCTCCGCTCCTAGTCAGCCCGCCACTAGTAGCGTTTACTTCCCAACCCTCAAGTGGACCAAAGTGGTCTACTTGTCCTACCATTGGACAACATTGAACCCACTCCAAATTCTGGGCACGTACTCGGCTAAGGGCACAGCACAAGAGCTGAAGCCAAGTCCCAACCCCTCCGCTTCTTGAGCCCGGCATGGTACCTAACACTTGGGAGACAAGTTTGGTACAAGCCATTGTCATGCACATGGCTTGTGCTCATTGTTGCACAGGACAAAGAGGTTGTTTGCCCTTATTTGTGTTTGACCAAAATCATTCTAAGTTGGTCAGTGAACACAATTCTACCTGTCTGATAATCCAACATTATGAATGTCCCTCCTCCAGTGTAGGAATTTTTTGACTTTCTTTGTGACTTGCTGTCAGATTCTGATGTTGATCATTATCTGCAACAAGAACTCAGGTGCATGATTGCTACATCCGTGAAATTACTTACTTGCAGTCTTGATGTTCTATGTAGCACAGATCAGACAGACAGCCTCTGCAGCCCTTGTCTTGATGATTCGGATTTTGCCCTCCTTGACCAAGCCTACCAGCTTGCAAATCCCGACCATCTAGACCTTCTCAAGCACCGCATTTTTGGTCATTCCACACAGATTGAATCTCAGGCTGATTGGGCAACAGACCTGTGAGTACATTCATAATGTGAGCCAGTTTATTCATCCTTTGGCTATACCACCCAAGCTTTGCCACACCGAAACACAAACATAGAACCATTCCAGCCAAAGTATCTAGCAAAGCCCCCCCCCAGTACTGGCAGTATCACCAAGCCTGAATCGGATGAGGACATTGTACCTACTGCTATCGCTCCAAAGGCCCCCCCCCCAGTACTGGCAGTATCACTGAGCCTGAATCGGACGAGGACATTGTACCTACTGCTATCACTCTGAAGGCCCCCCCCAGTACTGGCAGCATCACTGAGCCTGAATCAGACAAGGAAGCTGTCTCTTGTACCACAGTACCAAAGCCTGAATCAGATTGGAGTATCATGGAGCCAGCTGACAACATCACTCAGTCAGCACAAACTTGTCTGGACCATTACTGCATGTTCGCGACACCAAGTCCACCAGCTCCAGATTCAGTTTACTGGAAATATTTTACAAAGGAGGAAGATGCGAGATGGAATGATCGTGCTGGGACAGATGAGAGCTTCCGAGCTGTGTGATAGAGAAATAGAGAGCTACAAGAGCTGTTGGATACGTAGTTGCTTTGTTTTTCCGATGAAATCATAGTACTTTCTCAGTCTTGACCTGATTTTGGCAAAGGAACTCTATTCTATAACCAACTAAGTAGCTTGATTATCCTCGTCATCCTCATCCCAAAGGATCTCCCCTAGGTTTGCCAGATCCATCCCAGGCTTCTTGAACATATAAAATCTCTCCTCGCCTGCAAGTGTGTGTGGAATCATTGCAACAACAGACTGGATAGATGAAACCCTAACTACCCTTAGTCCTGCTTCCCCACGATTTTTACAGGTGTAGAATGTGTCACTCAACTCTTGCAAGAGGGCTCGGTCAGGATGCGAGTAGATGGAGATGAGAGTGAGAGGTTCAAGTACTTGTGCATCAGGGTGTGTTCTGATCTCAAAGAAAAACAGTGCTTCGGCAAAGTATAATACCCCTGCAATAGAGAGCTGCAAGAAACATCAGTGAGAATGTTAGTAATATACTAAAGACATGCATACCTTTACATTGCAGGCACGTCGAGCATTTTGTCAAGTTTCTCTCAGTGAAAAGACTGAGCGGCAAGTTTGTCCATTGGGGAGTCGAAGACATGCCCAACAACACACTCGAAAGCACTGATACAGATCAAAGAAGGAATACTCTGGGGAATATGGATAGTGTGCATCGAGGAAAACCTTGATTGTGATGCCCTCAGCCATTGTGGTAGCATGGCAAGAATGTTCTTGTAGCTTCAGTAATGCATATCCATTTCCAAGGTCCTTCGACCATCTTGGATACAATGGTTTTCCATAATCTGGATCAAGAGTCAGGATCATAACCATCAAAGCATTGTGCTGAGCTCTGCAAATGGCACATTGTGTGAGGTTGGCATATGGGTTCAATGGCTGATGGATCTCCCCAACAAGGTTCCCAATAGTGTGCTCCATAGTCCACTGTGAAGCACAAATAAGTGGTCCCTTCATTACAACTTCATTCACATAATGTCCGAGGGTGTGAATACTTTGCCATACAAAATGAATCTGTTCGAGCTTGCACTGGTAATAGAGCTGCTCAAACTCCTTGATGAATTCAATGAATAACCTAACAGAAACTTGAAGCTGCTTGTGTGTGATGTTGTACTGTGAAATTATGCGAACAGCATGGATGAGCTTACAGAAATGTTGCCAGTAGGGAAGTGGGAGGACATTATGAAGTACCAAGGGACCTATCCCATAGAGGAGTATAGCGAACTCCCGTGCCTTGTAGCCACTGTTGATTTTTTCAGCTGGATTGCGAGGGGGGCAATCAAAGAAACCTAGAAGATGTGGGGTTGTTGCAGCGACGGCTTTTCCAAAATCTTTCCAGACATTTCCAGTAAGAACTGCCCATGCCCAAGTGGACTTGTCATTGTCAGCATCACATTCAAATGTGCCATGCCACAGAGGGATCAAGAGGTCAGGAATGTTGAGGGAAATGAGGTGCATAATGTCTGATCCAAAGCATTTTGGAATACTGAAGGTGTGAGCAGACAAGAAACCAAGAAATATGCTTTGTTTTGAGATACCCATTTCCAAGCATCGCTTCTTGTATTGCGCTTCATTAGGTGACAGGAGGACATATATCAGGTTTTTCCAGCAGATATCTGAAGAACATGTGGGGAGGTTTTTGACATCCACATCGGGATGATTGCAGCCTTCAACATTATAGCCAGGGGGCCTCGTATGTGCTGGGTAATAGTGCGGGCACCCAGCTTTATGGCGCCTTCTAACACCATAGTACAACCAATAGTCATTCTTCCCATGGTGGCCAATGAGGCCATTGAGGTATGCAAGTCCAGGACCGTTGGCAGTTCCTAGTGCTAGAAAAGGATGGGAGATGAAAATTGTGTCGTGCATTGCATCCCATACAGTGAGACCTTCGTTCTGAAGTGCTGCAAGGTGATGGAATCCAGGGAATAGGAAGGAGTCAAGGTTTTTGGGTTTGCGAGGGCCAGGAATAATGACACTGGGTAGTACGTACTTCTTTTGTACCTTGTTTCTGGGGAACGGTCAAATACAACCCATATTGACATCCAGCAGTCAGATGCTTTGGATTTGTACAATTAAGCACCATCAATGGACATCATGAGAACAATGTCCTTGTCTGCGATTTTGCCTGCTGCAACTGCCTCCAGGTAGTCAGTCCCGTCAATGAAATCACTCCGAGACTGCTTGTGACCATCTTCGCATTCAAGCTCCTCAATGATTTCCTGGGTGCACTTATTGCGGTAACACATCTCTTGTGCGCTCTGCGGATCACAGTATAGCGCCTGCAGTTGGGGGCCAATGGGGACAGAGACAAACTGTTTGCGAGGTGTCTTAACTCTGCTATGAGTTCGAAGTATCACATCCTGATCATAATGAGGTTCATCGCATTCAGGACAGTGGTCCAGGAGTGAAAATGGACCTGTAAAGCCAACACATGTGTTGATGCACATGTCGTGCACCATTTCCTCAACCCCACCAAGTTCAGCAACAATTCTCTTGATTTGATGGAGCGAGGGGAGTTTGACACCGTCATACTCTATATGAGCTGCACGGGCTTTGATATAATCTTCATCAGAGTGATTAGTTCAAGATATAGGCAAACAGCAAGACGAAGAGCATTGTCATCATCTAATGAGAGTTGGTGTGTTGGAGGATCGCGAAGGCGGTGGATTGCCTCTTTGCTAAGTCCAGTACTGGTGTCATTCAAGGAAGCATTCTGGAGGGCAGTGATAAATGCAATTGAGGTGTGGAGGTCTTCTTGTTTGATGTTGGTATATATATCCTCTAAAAGGACTTCCTCGTCTGCATCTAAAGGTCTTGGCATATCCACCAAGTCAGGTTCATCCTCGACAGTTGCTTGTCTCGGGTTATATTCAGGCTGTCCAAGTCGCAACTCGCAATCGATATATGAGCATGCTTTGGTTAGAATACACGCACTTGTGGATAGTCAAATGTAGCCAGATTGAAATTTTCAAATGGATCTGGACTTGGGACACGATCTAGGATAGGAGAACATTGCTCAGGATCCTGATGTTTGTCTGGCATATCTTCATCTGAGTTAGGCATGGGTTGTGGGCTACTATGAGGAGGCTCAGAATGCCTGTCTGGCAGGTTGCGAGGTATCTGGAAACACATGCCCACGCTCCCGCTGCCAGAAGCCTGCTCTGGGTTAGGAGGCTTGTCTGACAAATGGTACCGGTCCTAGTGCACCTCTTTTGCCCTGGCTTGCTGATGGTATCTAGTCCCTGGCGTAATTTTGGCTGTTTCATTGTGAAAGTCCTTGTGGCCTCTGTAGATGCCCCAAGTGACTTTGCTGGGGACTCCCCCGCACTTTCTGATGCAGTCACAGTAGTAGAATTTCGGAGACATGGAGGAATGGGGCCAAAGGTTGTAAGATACACAAAGCATGAACAGCAGAGTTGCTTTGCATGTTTCTCGTACTTTACAGCCTAGATGCAGCAAATATGTCGAATGACAAGACAAGTAAGGTACTGTTGCAATCATTTTGCCTTTCTGGGTTCGTAGCTAATTTGTTTACATGACGTGACCTGGAAAAACAAACCAAAGTCTGTCTGAGCATGGCTCAGCATGGCTTCCCTCTGTCTGAGTGTGGCTCAGCCTGTTGTGGGTTCTGGCTGGGCTTGAAGCTCTGTAACGGCTGCGCTAGGCGCACATACTAGGTTCTATTGATTTGTTTATCTTTCTATGCCCTTTAACTTTACCCCTCGAATATATGCTTATATTCAATATGAGTAACTTAGCTACTCCTGATCTCATTAGACTACTCCCTGATTATCCTGAGTCCCTTATAGCATTAGCCGTACTCACTTATATACGGGTCGGAGTACTAGAGTTACCTTAGTGTTTTCTGGACCCCCAAATCCCAGACTTTTACCCTGTCATTCGACCAAAAGCATTCTTCTCTCTGTGTCGTTGCCTTCGAGCTTCGCATGCTAAATAGCCAACACCACAAGCTCTGACTAGACTGATCATGTTTTTAGCATCTTTGTAGGATACCTGTTTGTAGTACGACACAATGATGATTTGTTTGGTTTCAATTACTGTGCACTTTCTGTAGCAATGCTGTGAGCATTCTTTGGTATTCCTGTCTGGCCTACCCAATGCTCTGTGTTGAAAGTAAACTCGTCAATGTCTGTTATCGTTTGTTATTATCTCGGACTCTTTCCGTTTACTATATTATATCACTGTCTACGTTTGTTTATACCTCAGCGGTTCTTTCACCAACGCTGAGGTATGTATCTCGACCGTTTGCACGCCAGCTCTCTCTTACGATTAATTGTTTCCAGACTCGTCTATTAGGTACTGTCAATGTACAGCAGTTCTTTCACCAACGCTGAGACTCGTCTATCAGCTTCACTTTCCAACACTCTGTATTGTTTTGCTCAGTGTACCTAACACTCGGTACCACTCTGTGCAGCTCTGTACAGTATCATACTGTACAGAGTTGTACAGAGAGAACCCTCTCTGTGGGCTCTGTGGCTCTGTCCAGCACTGTCCAGGGTTGTACAGAGGACCCTGGGTTTGCTGATGTGGTCACACTACCACAGCTAATAGTGGCGGCATCCTCGATGCTCTTCAGCTTAATTCAACATGAATGTCTCCGATTCATTCCACTCAACGGCGATTAACATGTGGACGGTATTCTCAACATTGCCTACAATGTGCACTACTTACTAGAGGTTAAGTTGTGTTAAAGTTCATACCGTGTTTGCAGTTCACATATTCTATATTGTTTATCCGCCGACACTGTCACAGGTTCTGCCTGTACCCTCTGCCTGAAATCCGCCAGGCTCAGCCATCCTAATAGAACTGCCGGGTACTTCGCGAGAAAAAAAAATCTATGACATAAAAGCAAGCTGTCTTGCTACTGCCAGGATCAGAGCAATTATCCCCCTTGACGCATCCTATATTACCTAGAACAAGCCATGCGTTTCTCATTCCTCCTCGCTATTGTTTCTGCTTTGACAACATCTATGTCTGTCAGTGCCTCCTCATGCCTGACCAAACTCACTCCTTGCGGAATGGACAACCCGCTCGGCGGGAAATGCTGCAAAGGTCTTACTTGTGGTTGGATTTTGGCTGTGAGTCGTTCGCTTCGTATCCGGGATTCAACCCCACGAGTCACCCTTAACACCTTGTACCAAAAGGTTGACGACTCACCCATACAAGTCTGCAAACCCGAATATTGAACCATCCCCGGATGAGCTTGGAAGACTTAACATGTTGCGACAGTGAGTCGTGTTTCTGCTTTCGCGTTGGTACAGTGATTGATCGCACGATATACAGTTCGCTGTGGAGTTGATCAATAGTATGCTTACTTCTGTACAAATTGTCCTGCTGCCTTGACTAGACTCTTGGATATGTTAGAAAACGGTAGCATTGATCAAAGACATTCATGTTGCTCAATTTGTGTAGTTTTTTTTTTGCATGAATGCACAAGAAAATCGGTGTACTTACTTATTCAACCGACATCGACTTGGAAGTACGTGTACGTACTACATGTCCTTGAAGATCATCCAGAAGGAAGAAGGCGCTAGTGTCGAAGGCACTCGAACTCTACCATTCTGCCGGACGCTGCTCCTCCTGAGCCACCTAATGAGCGCGATAAATAGAGGAACGTCTCAAACACGGTATTGATTGGATACAATAAATATTTAACCTCACTTGAAGTTCCTGCTACCCTCGACACTGATTTATTATCGACAGACCAAATTGTGGACATCGCTCTTGGACAAGGTGCTGTTCTGAAATTGTTGAATGAGGTGTACTGTATAGACGAACGAAAATTCCCTGTATGGAATCATGGTATACAGTTTTATGGTTCTAATTCCACCCTTACAAAAATACTCCCGCTTCCTGCAGATTACGCGACAGGTGCTAATCACACCGAGGCATTTGTCGTGCTACACACTACGACTAGTTGACACGTGTGCGCGCCCCTGGAATGCAATTGAAGTCATGGCAGTTTCTGTACGTACGGAGTCAGCCACGAGCTCCGCGTGATATTCTCGAACGCTAAGGATGAGGCGTGGTCCCAGCACAAACATCTGGACAAGCGTGAAAATTTGAAGGACACCAATATAAATCTGAGTTTCTAGGGAATATTGGTTCTATATAAATGATGAGCCATGGTCGCATGTAGAGGTCAGCGAGAGATTGGCATACCGCTGAGATCGGTGTAAACAAATAAACAAGCTCGAAGCAAGAACCAGCAAGAAAGCTAGCGGACGGGGAACATCAACGGAAAAGGAAAACCACATTAACATTATGAGCTCACCTCGCAAAGTAAACAACGTGAGATTTTATTAACACCTTGAAACAGTCCCCGATAATCCCTCCTGCTGAGTGTCGGCGCAGTTCACGGAAGTGTTTCACAGCAATCCAGAGTGCGAGACACAGCGCGAGGACCTCCCATACAGTGCCGAATATCCAAGTCAGGGAATCCAGAAATAGTGCATTTCCCACGAAATTAACATCGCACTGATAGGTGCCGGAGAGAATGAGCGCCTCTGGTATTCGTCAATGAGCCTGATGCACATCTTTCACCCATAATTAAGCTTACCCGCTGAAGTTTGCTTCACGAAGAATGCGGCGACCACTGTGTCGAAAGTGTTGGCAGCCAGGAAGACGACAACAAGAAGTATCAGCACCTTGCCGGATTTCTGAGACATGGCGTACAACCGAGTGATCATGATGACTTACATGATTCAGTCAAGTTGGCATCACTGAGGTATCGCAGCTGCATAGCTCACCGCCTATGATTGCATGTACGACGACGCCCGTCCAATCTAGGGCGAAATAAATCCTATAGCCTGACAAAACCAGTTAGCGATCAGCCCTTGTAGGATCACGCACTCGACTCAAACCTACAGCTATGGCAGTCATTACATTGAACCAACAAGCTAGTCAAGAATCTCACTTACCCCTACATATGCATGCTGTTGAGTGGATGGGATTAGCAAGCATCGGTACATAATACTCACTGCATCTGTCACCGGGATTGTTGGAACTGCAACTGTATGCCGCTGGTCAGAGGCAACAAACACGGTGAATGTCAGGAGACATACCCAGAATCTGGATGCTGGTTGTGAGAGATGGCGGATTAGCACAAAAGCCGATTGCTTAGCCATCCAAACATACATAGCATATATTATTCCAAGATAGCGCACCTAGAATATTATTAGTCAGGTAGCTAAACTCATAATGCAAGCTACATACGCTGAGATAGAGAGCCGTCATCAGGGACCAGCGCTGCCTCTGGTGCGAATTAATTGTATTATAAAGCTGTTCTTCAAGTAGGCTTACCCAGATCAATTCGACCTATAAACCCATTCTTAGCGAGATGTCTGCTCCGGTGATAACATCAACCTACCTCTTGTCCAAATGTCAGGGCTGGAAATCCCATAATGATATCAGAGGTTCAGAGGTTCTTGAATACTTTCTTGCTCACCCCAGTCGTACATCACCCCGGCAGAGGCAGCAACTGTGAAACCGCAGGCAAGGTAAGATCGACACGTAATTGTCATCGTGGCTCTTCACGTACCTGCAAAATAGCTGGAAATCTCATACGCCTGGATGGACGGCCACCAACTGGGATCATTTGAGACTATGGTCATATTATTCGAGGATGGGTATGAGGGGGCTGCGAACTTGGTGGATGTATGAAGATGGGGTGCGATAATCGATCTAGATGTACCACCATCTAGCACTTTTTATGACAGATACGAGCATGAGGGATGATATCTGTTCCGATTTTGATAAAATGATTACGCGATTGCCATCGCATCGGTCACGGTGTTGTGTAAATTACACTGATCGCTGATATTACGCGCGCTTGTACAACGGCTATACGACAGCACGACCAACGAGTCCCAGCTGGCAGGAAGCGCGGCTTCTTGTAAGGCTATAAATATTGGAAATAGGAGACCAATGTAGTAGTAGTCTCGTCACCAGTCGCGGGGTGAAGCGAATGAGCCCAGATGGAATAGGGGAGTCACCGAAAAGGGCAGACACAAACAAGTACATCACGTGAGATCCAGGATGAGCTGCGCTCGCCGCCAGGCTGCTACTTCTACTAGTCATGGCGTCCGTCTTCCCGGTGATTTTCGCACTTGTCATAGTCCTAGGACTGATGACTTGCGGCTTCTTCTTCGTCCCAAAGGGCCCTCAACAAACGTATGGTTTTATTTTGTCAACCCCAACCCGAGCTAATGCCCTTGAATGCAGGACAATTCGTACGGGTATCATGCTGACGTTTGCATCGTGTTATCTCATGTGGATGATCACATATATGGCCCAGCTACATCCTCTCATAGGCAAGTCATAAACTCGTTGCTGCAGTTTTGTTTGTTGACTCTTGAACTTCAGCACCGCACCACTCGCTAAAGGCTGCAGAGAGTTTATGATAGTCAACCAACGTCTGAGCAGGGAATAGACGCACACCGCTGTTATTACACTAGATTCTGAATTAACGAAAGGGTGGTTGAACACTTCGAGTCCGCTATGCCAAATGTGAGTGCCCTGTCGTGTGTACCATCCGTTCGGAGAGGCAGGCGAGGAGGGAGAAGTCTTGGCGCGGGGTGGCAGAGAACCGCAAGTAGTTCGCCGTACCCTATATCCGCAGTTTGAGCAAGAGCTGAGACAGCTCAATCTACGCTGACGATTGACCAGTGCCCACGGCGAAGGATGTCTAGCGCCGATATTCCCATGAAGTAGGAGGTTCGAGGAAACATGCCATTCTTACCAGTTCTTACCCCACTCATCAGTGGCGGACAGGATCGGCATGTAGGAAATGATGGACTACTAATCATGTTCTGATTCACACCATTGGTGGCCCAATCATCACATTACGCACATCATATGACCCTTATCGTGCCAGCAACACGCTCCCAAGAGACTTCTGAACCATCCACGATTGAGCAGACTTCTAATCATCATGATCAACTGAATAGGTCGAGGGTAGTACTTGTACAGTACTTAACGGGACGGAAATAGCGAGGAGCAGCAAGAACGATGATAACAGACTGATTACAAAACCACAGGAATACTGTTACACGCTGGATGATACACAGAAAGAGACGAAATGGTTCGAGGAAGATGAAGTGCGATACAACGCAAATAATATAGAGTGAATGATAATGTATGTGGGGCAGCGGAAACAGAGACGTATTATGTACGAAAGAGCAGTTCGACAAGAAAGCACGGCAGGTCGGGGCAAAGTTACGGAGCATCATTATGCGTCGGGTATCAAATAGAACATGGAGACAATCAGACGAGGGCGGCAGACTGCAAGTATCCTCGGAAAATTGAATCTCGCACTGCATAGTGGATGAGTTGCCGCAACACCGTAACGGCAACGTTAGAACATACCGTTTCCTATGATACTTTGAGTTGCTTTGGTATCCTGAGCAGAGGCCGCCAAGCCATCAATAAGTGCTGAACAGGTAGTGAAATAAAATAAAAAACATACGACGACATTGGTCAGGTGTGTGTAAAGCACACGCCTGTTTTCGTTATTCCGTCTGTGGACTTGAAGGAAGTGGGCACGGAAGTACTGTACAACCGCCTCAAATTCATTTGGCCGGTCGCCATACGAGAGGATGCTGAGGCCAGCTTCATCAGCACGTGAAAAACGTAGAACCACGAAGAACGCACTATTTCGAGACGGAAAGTCCTCGTTCAAGCTTCTTTTTCAGGATATCAGTCTTGTCTGCGATGGTCAGTTGAACCAAGACCTTCCATGAGACAACTAGCGTGAAATGACCTACTCAGGAACAAGACTAGATGGACTTTCTTGAGGAGCTGATTGGAGCAAATTTGCGTAAAGAGCTGGAGTGAGTCATCGATACGGTTTGTGCGAGGATCTTCTTCGAGGTACTGGGAAGAGGCACCAAGGTGTATAAAAATATCGAACAACCGGGTGCAGACGCTCTTACCTGATCGAAAGCACTGATCGGGCTGACAAAGATAATGGCGTTTGCATCGTCGAAATACGGCACCCACGAATGGCGCTGTCCCCTGGCGCCACCGACATCAAAGAGATGCCAAGTCACGGTCTTTCCGTGAATGTCAACGTCGAAGATATGCTCAGCAACGCCCATAGTTTGGATGCGTGCATGCAGGATATCATCTAGGAGGAGATGAGCACGAAGATATCGGCTTGACGACAAAGCGCACCAGTGGATGGTACATAATTCCGTGCGGAGATGCGTGAGATATCGTTCAAGAAACTGAGGAAAATTTATTTTTAGAGAAGAGAAAGATGCATATATGCGCATACTCACAACTCTGACCACTCGTCCAGCTTCAATTTTCGGCTTGTAATCAGGGCACGAACGACCTGGTTCTCCCACAAGGTACGGATATCGTCCCGCGACTGTTCCAGCATTCTCGCGACATCATCGACAAGAGGGTCAGCATCGATAACTGACAGAGCTGTGCCAGGACGCTCAATCGTCAGTTCGTCCTCGGGTGCACTGGATTTTTGGTGCCTGCGGAGCAACTTCTGACCTTTTTGGATGGTCCTCGCTTGCCACCCACTTCGAACGTAAACTTCGCCTTTGCCAGACCCTGACACGGCAACACCCCCACTCAAGCGATCAGCAAGCTGGGGCTCGGTATTTGTGAGGGGTAAAAGCCGGCGCCGGAGATCCGATATCGCTCCAGATCCTCGCATGGGACTAGTTGGACTACCAGGTGACGTAGGCGACGGCGGCGAAAGGGCTACACCGATTTGTGAGCTGTGTATACTGGGAGTTGCAGAACTCGAAGCGCGAGGGAGGTAGTCGTTGAGTTCCTGACGCTCGAGAGTGCTCTGAGAGTCAGTCCCATCATCGATGTCGTCGAAGGCTTCTAGGGTTGTGAGGATCTTTTTAATAGAGCGCACGACATTGAAATATACGACGGTTCTCCAAGACATGCGCTCGCTTTCGAGAGAAGCAGGGCTGTACATGAGCTGGAACTGCTTTTGCAGTGTAGATTTGCCAGACTCAGCCTGACCAAGAAGAAGTAACTATCGCATACAACGGTGATCAACTTTTCAACTCAAATACAAAATGGATTAAAATCACCTTGACATCACTTTTAGACTTTTTCAACTTTTCTCTCTCAAACCTGAGTTCCTCGTCTATCTGTTCTGAGATTCGACGCGCCTCGGCTTCGTTCTGCAAGCGAATATGGCGATCTGTATCAGTTTCTTCTGGAGGAGGTCTTATAGCAAGAGACAAGGGGTCATCTTGACTACGAATAGAGGAAGTTCGCATCATCGTGGTACGGAGGCAAGAGTGAGACAAAAAGCCGCTGATAATTAACTTAGCCAATTGCTTGGAAGAGGGCTATTAAAGACCAGGCGTCACAGCCCGTCGTGTCACACAGTCACACATGGTAATTCCTCTTCTCCTCCATGATCAACTTTACTGACTAGCAATGTTATTGTAGTCTGTAACGTTGCATACAACCCATGGCGAGCTCAAGGTGCGCCCATATGCGCCCAATCAATAATCTCTACGATTTACCCGGAAACTTTGGGTGATTTAGATCGAGATTTTCTGCGAGGCTGTCCCGAAAGCGGCAGAGGTATAAAATTGCATCCGCTGATTTCTCTTGTCCGATGCTAACAAGGCCCTAGAACTTCCTCGCGCTGTGCGCTTCGAATTACTATGATAATTGCATATTTCACCGCAACATCAGAGGATTCATGGTCCAAACGGGTGATCCCTCTGGCTCGGGAAAAGGCGGTCAAAGCATATGGGGGAAACCCTTCGAAGACGAGTTACGCTCCACGTTAAAGGTACCGATCTTTGCCCAAGCCGGTGATCTTCGCCCATTTTATCTTCAGTTTAATAATCGCGGGATGGTTGCCATGGCAAACTCCGGCTCCGATACGAACAAGTCACAATTCTTCATGACCTATGCAAAACAGCCTCATCTCGACAACAAGTATACGATATTTGGCAAGGTTATTGATGGCGCTGATTCCACACTTGATGCTATGGAACGTGTTCCTGTGAACAATAAGAACAGGCCACTCTCCGAGATCAAACTGACTCATGTACGTCCCTTACTGGATAGCAATTACATGGGACGCTGATGATCTTTATTGATCTTCCTTAGGTGACCGTTCATGCGAACCCTATTGCAGACGCCCAGTTAGTTTCACGTTGATCCAGAATCCAGTTAGTTGTCGGATGCTGTTGTCAGGTTGCCCGACCGTATCTTTACTGGAACTTCAAAACATCCGTATGTTTGGGTGAAAACTGCAGGATCGTTACACTATGTAGATGAACTGTACTGCTACAACCAAGGAACACCTCGGGTATATACTAACGCTTGATAAACCCAGCCAGCTCTTTCTGCAGTTCTCTCTGTCGTCGCGCTTTTTCCAAGTCATCCACGCTTCGCAGATCATAGACAATATCACGTGTTTTCCCGAAGTACACCTGTGCTACGATCAGGTCCTGTACGTCTGGAAAAAGAACTTCGTACCTCCTGGAGGAGATTTCTCATTTTAATTTCCATCTCTTCAATCATCTTTCCTGTGTTCGTGATATGAGAAGTCGGTTCATGAACAGGCCAGTCCTGCTCTGTCTGCGGGAAGTGAAGGTGTGTTGGTGGCACCACATCAGGATAGATGAGGAAGGCTGCCTACCTGTCTCGTCATACTTCCACTTAGCGTGATTTCCCCCGACGACTTCCATCCTTGCTCAGAAGTCTTTTTTTCTGGTTCGCCGAGAACGGAGGTTTCCTCAGCTTTATTGTTCTGTTTCGTCACAAGCTCCAACATGACTGTAGACGTGAGCTTGTAGTGTGCCTGTCTTCCGCGTTCTGCGGTCTCAAAAACGTGGATCGAGTCCCATGAACCCGAGGGCTCGTCAGGGCTTGTGGGTGTCATCGCTGAGATGCAGGCAGTGAGAAATGATCCAAGAACGTCAGAAACACACAGGGATCAGTGAACTACCCACCCTTCTTGAGCAACACAACGCCTGCAAATCCGCCATCCTCGAGGTCCCAAAGATAAACAGACGACACACCACCTTCGTAATATCTGTTGTAAAGATTCATTAGATCATACTTGTACGAAGGTCACGGAAACGGAAGCTCGATCTGTGTGTGTGATACGTACAGTTCGCGATATGTATCGAATGCCTCATTGGCGGCAATCTCAAGCTTGCGAAGCTTCGGCGTTGGTGCTGTACCATCTTCTAGCGGAGGATCGTATTCATTCGACCAAGGTGATCTGATGAAACGCGTTAGTACGTGATGCGCATTGGCCGGGATCCTTGAGAGAAATAGATGGAATGATAGCTAGACTATAGCGTCACTCCACGAAATTCAATTTATGCAGTCACTCGGGTCCTGAATACATTCACCGCAACCGCAGCAGAAGACTCACCGATAACTATCTCCATCCCTATTATAATCGCATGCAAGATAGTCCCTTCCTGTTGCACGGTCTGTTCTAACCTTCAGCGGCTGGTCGACGCTACCTAGAAGATCATCTGCATAGTCCGGGCAGATCTGTATGAGCGCGTTCACGTTCTCCTCGACCTTGGTAGGCGGGAGACGACGCATCAGATCGAGCATCGAGTCGACTGGATCTGGCCCTTCTGCCATCGTGGACTACTTTGCGGATGATTGTATGCGCTTAAATAGATGAATTGAAGGAACCTGGCGTCCACCTTGCAAGTTGTAGTCGAGCTGCACCCCGCTGTTTAGACCAAAACGGGAAGTCAGACCTTGACATCTGACGTTAAGCAATCATAGATCGGATATTCTTCTTCTAAAATCATAACCATGGCGTTTGGGTTATTGTCGCTTCCTACAGAGCTGATATGTCACATCCTATTACTCCTTACACCAAAGGACATTTGTTGCTGTGCAATAGTTGGCTGTTTTCCTTCCATGTTTCATGCTAGACTGACTTCCGATTTCCACCTCAGGCCTGCAAAACCCTCAGGGATGTGGCACAGAGTACTGTACACGTGCAATACAAGCTTGAGCTTTATGCTCAGGGCTTCACCGAGACCGCTACCCTGGACTCGATCGCCGATATTTCCATAAAGATGACCTCACTCAAGAAAATGGGATTACTGTGGCGGTCCGGCTTCCATTTGAACACTGTTTTTGAAGAAACCGTAGCTTTGCCAGGGCTACGATACAGTTGGCCACAATTCATGAAGTGTGGGCTTTGGTGGATGCCGTCGGGAGAAGACCGTCGTCTGTTCATTCGGGACTGCAAGACAAATGCTAAATCCTCCCAGACGTGGCTCCAACACGACCTTCCTCAGTACACCTTTGTTATCGTCGACCCTCTTCAGGATCTCAAGGTTGTATTCTCCGTGTGCCTGGGACACACTGTGACCGATACCGAACAAGATCGTCCTTTCATTTGGATGAGCTTTGGGTTGGTTTCATCCGAACTGCCGCATCCGCACGCTGTGCGCACTTCCTTGGAGTGCAACCATACTTTTGACGAGCCTGGCAATCATCACCTTGCTATTGTGGGAGAGCCTGCGATCTGTGGAGATCGTATAGTGGTCTACTATTTCGTAAGGGAAAATGGATTCAAAGTACCCTCGTTCATACAAGTGATAAATTGGAGAAAAGGACATGTGAAGGGAGTAAGTCCACTCTATTCTTGAAACCTCTACCGCTCATCATAAGCAGTATCCTTTAGGTCAACCAGGTCACCATCTCCAACTATTCCATCTCATTGACGAACAAACTCTTGTTATCATCCGCGGTTATGGCCATATAATGTTGTACACATTAAGAGAACTTGATGGCTCGCCCCAGCACAGAATCACGTATCATCTTTCGACATACTGGGATACACTCTTTCCAGAATACGTTCTCCATACCTCCCCATCGTTCCACGGCACAGCAGTTTGCCCAGACCTTATGCCCAGCTACGTACCTTCTTTGGAGTCACAAATTATGGTTTTAGAGCTTCACTCTCACATGGACACCGTTATTTTGGTCTTCGATATGGCCATTTTCTCAGAAGAGGTCATACGTTCGGAGACACCTGTAGAAATTCCGTGGTCAGACTGGGGACCCGAGTATACGTGGTGCTTTCCGCATGACCGAACCCACCGAATTAGTGTGTTCGGTAGTAAAATGGTTTATGCCCTTCCCCAACATCATATTCCTGAACCTAGAGAAAGACTGGAAGCACTCAGCACTAAGGATTCCTTCTACGTCCACATATGGGACTTCAATAAACGAGGCATCACTCGTTCGGAAAATTACTATGATCCCGACTCACCAGATCTCCTGATCCGCAAGCTTGGTCCGCTAGTTGATTCGTCCTTGGATGAAAATGAAAGCATTATTTCGAATCATCCTTACACTGCTGCTGTCTGCCTTACACCTTTTTCGACGTATGGCTGTCGCGGGTTATTCTTGGAACAGGATCGGCTTACTTTAACATGGGTATGTGGTCTTAGTTTGTGAATACAGCAATGGTTTAATGCGGCCAAACTGTAGGTGCGAGATGACGTGGTTGATATTCTGGTTGGCACAGACGGAGGCTTGGTCGAACCCCGCAAGCTAGAATAAATTTCGGTGGCTCAGGACGAAGTTACTATGCCCCATGCCACCAGTCTCGTGTAAATTCAACGTCATCTTTGTGTTTACATTGACTAGATATGTATTATTCTGTCCATCTATTAGGCAGCCTCCCCAAGTACTCATCTTTCGCGCAGGTAATGTCCATGCATCCTGAGCCTACAGTCTCACCAACGTCTTCGTGCTTCTTATTCTGTACGCGCCCTGCCCCCTTTTCAAATCTTTCCGGTTGATTGTGCGCATTCACAAGTTCCATAACGTTTTTGAAACCGATAATAATCTCCCACTATACTCATGCCAAAAACACCGGGAATGTCGGCTATGATGCGATCCTAATCCTCACGTAGCGTATCGTAGACTGCGTCACTCCCCGTGAAATTGCTTCGTCACTGACCGTGACAGAACTTGATAGAGGTGATACCATCATATGTCATCCCCATCGCCGTTTGCCACTTCGCAAGTGAAGTGTAGACCTGCCCTCAAGGAGGTGTAAAATGCAATAGCCAGACAGGCCTTCAATGGTTCCTGGTCCCCAAATGCAATCTCCGGACAGAGATTTTGTCAAATTTCGCCCTCAAAAATGCCATTTCGCGGGGGTACATTGGCTAGAACTTCCGGGGACCTCCATCCTGTCCCCATCACGAGGGACGAACGATGCGATACCATGTTTGACTTGGGCAACAAATAACCATCTGTTCAGTTCTAAGAATATACTACACCGCTCACCATGATCAACCACAGCATCCGGATTCTGCAGTTCCTGTTGCGCCATCGATCGCAACGAGTGACATCAACTTCAGCCGTACGTCCCTCCATATTCCCATTGCTTCCCCCCACCTTATCTATCCCATTGATCTGTTAGAGGGACTGTAACGCCTCAGAAGAAGAAGACGCCTCGGACGACGATACGCCAACACCAGCACCAGCAGCGCCTCGAAACAAGAAAGGCACGATGACACAAGCGGTAACAGAGAAAGAAGCTGCAAAAGTTGTGTGCGAGGACGAGGTTGAGATTGCAGAATTCGACATCCTGCAGAGAGTCGACAATAACAAATCTGTATCGAGGGCCGAGGAGGTTGTGTTTGGGCTGTGTCTGGGAGAAATTAGCATCTGTATTGCAGTTCCGAATGACCAGACGACGGTCCTCTCCCGACGGCATCCACCACAGCCCACACTTCATGGATTGTGGCCATTAATTTGTATCGTAGCCCTGGCAAAGCCACGTAATTTCCAAGTGTTCTGATTGAGACGAATTGTATCATCAAACAAAAAGTGAATATACGATTGAGGACCTCGGATCCCAACCCCCGGCACTCCCTGCTGCTATTCTCTCCCCTGTTTGCACCACTTAATGTTCTCCCCACACCCCTACGAATTTGTACAACAGAACAACTGAGTCTCCTGAACTCGGATAATGTTGCATGATCTGGTCATTGCGACATATTCTCCCGGACACGTTTCATCACACTTCAACCAACGGCATGAGATGGGACCGCACGCGGCGTTTGAGCTCTGTGTGGCTCTTGCACCAAGAGGACTGACAGTTATTGATGCCAGGAGAATGATTGTCAAGAGATTCATCTAGACCATCAGTGTCATAAGTTGGATCCAGGTTGATGAGTTGACTCTTACCGTCAAAAAGTGCGAGTCTAGGACCAGTTTTAAGGAGCTAAGCGCAAGTTATTTTTTTGTTCGTTCGTTCATCATTTCCGTGCTCGTGCGCTTTATAGCTGCTGCTCGTTACACTATCGATCCATACGTTCGAAAAACAGGACACACATTAGCAGAGAATGCAGAATCTCCTGATCTCTTGATCATTGCAGAATCTCCTGGTCATTGCAAAATCACTGGCAAGCCAATCGCAAAAAGCCAATGACAACAAGAAACGCACGTTGCTGTCCTCATGTCATTCATTTTCAGGGATAAAAGTTAGCCGCAGGCAACCGAAGCTGGAAAAACCCAACTGCCTGATAGTAGTGTTGTGGGCAACAGAGAGTTGATATTCTAAGGACTCTGAATCAGACGAATCGGGCCCTTATCAACTCCCTTGTAGCGCCGACGGTCGCATGGTCATGAAAGAAATATTCAGAAGCTGATATCTGTAAGCTCATTCGTACTGCACCTCGAGTTCGAATATCCTTGCTATTATGCAGGTGCGTTGGCTACTGCCCTTTCCTGGATCGATCCTTGGGTCTGTACAGTCATCGATCAAGAATAAGTTTGATGCTACCGTAGACAATCTGTGAGGATATTTGGCTTTATCACAGCTCATCGTGTAAGCAGAACTAATGCATATGACATACGTACTATGCATAGCGGTGCTAGGGAGTTCGAACGTTCGGTACGTTCGGTGTTCGCTGACGAATACAGCCACCACGCCCATCCCTGAACCAATACACATACTGGCGACGAACACTTGGCACCCATTAGGTTGTTTTGCAATGTCACATAAGGTGGCCAGTAGCAATTTGACGTGCTCCCGCTGTGACGAAGATACATCAAGACATAATTGATACGCGAATGGTTTGACACGTACTGCATCCGGGATCACGATCACACCGCCATTGACATTCACCCTGCCAAACAACAAGCCAGCCTTCTGGACGCTGTAGACAGCCTGAGATGCGAAAGCTTCGTTTAATTCGTAGAAGTCAACATTGTCCCCTGGACAGTCCAGTTTTCTCCTGAACTTTAGGGATGGTGTACGTTGGATCAACACCCATGATGCGTGGTGGCACTCCTACAACTGCAGCCCAGGCAGCATATTTGCCGACAATGGGGAAGACCTAACCGATTGGCCACAGATCAACGAGCAAGGACCACGGCTGCTGCAACGTTAGATACCAGTGAGGCGTTTCCTGTAATAAGTTTAGATGGGCAAAGTCCAAAGGGATATCACAAAGAACGCACAAGCATGGGTTGTGCCATTCTTCGTGAATGCGGGCTTTATTTTTTGACAAACTCTCTGCAGTAACACCATCACAAATTCTATGCCAACAACGCTCTCAGAAACCGTGTCAGTTTTCGGGTCGGTTACCTTGACCTGTAGAGCTCGAGGCCCAAGGGTCAATCTTGTCCTTGAAATTTCCGGCTTTTTGAGCAGCAGTTGCGGCCTTCTGGGAAGACTCTAGCTGAAAATTTGTCGAAAGAGTTCTCAAAGTTGATGCCCGTGGAGATCAAATAATCCTCTGCCTTTTGATTGGTGCCGGTGAGCGCTAAGCACTAGGAGGACTTCAGCCTGTCAGGCCTATGGGCAGCCATTTCTGGTCAATCATTGGTCATGTGACTCATGTCTGTCCCGGGCCCTTGAAACAAGTTCCTCACTCAGCACACCTTTTTTTATCGTCGACCCTCTTCAGGATGTCAAGGTCATATTCTCCGTTCACCTGAAACACACTGTGACTGATACCGAACAAGATCGTCCTTTCATTTGGATGAGATTTGGGTTGGTTTCATCTGAGCTGCCGCATCCGCACTTCCCTCACCAGATCTCCTGATCCGCAAGCTTGGTTCGCTAGTTGATTCGTCCTTGGATGAAAATGAAAGCATTATTTCGAATCATCCTTACACTGCTGCTGTCTGCCTCACACCTTTTTCGACGTATGGCTTTCGCGGGTTATTCTTGGAACAGGATCGGCTTACTTTAACATGGGTAGGTGGTCTTAGTTGTGAATACAGCAATGGTTTAATGCGGCCAAACTGTAGGTGCGAGATGACGTGGTTGATATTATGGTTAGCACAGACGGAGGCTGGGTCGATCCCCGCAAGCTAGAATAAACTTCGGTGGCTCAGGACGAAGTTACTATGCCTCATGCCACCAGTCTCGTGTAAATTCAACGTCATCTTTGTATTTACATTGACTAGATATGTATTATTCTGTCCATCAATTAGGCAGCCTCCCCAAGTACTTATCTTTCGCGGAGGTAATTTCCCTGCAGCCTTAGCCTACAGTCTCACCGACGTCTTCTTGCTTCTTATCTTGTACCCGCCCTGCCCCCTTTTCAAATCTTTCCGGTTCATTATGCGCATTCGCAAGTTCCATGACGTTGAATTTTTGAAACCGATAATAATCTTCCACTACACTCACGCCAAAAACACTCTGTATGCACCAAGATCAGGACTGATCCGACTCGAAACACGGAACAACGGGTAACATACCTTGAAGACCTCTACCAAAACGAACACTTCAGGATTATCAAGATCGACGATATAATTTGACGGCATGCATTTAGCTACTTCCTGGATGATCTCCATTCGTGTCAACGTATTGTGGTTGCGCACGCGTAACTCGACCTTGTACTGAAGCAGACGTTAGAATGTAAGCGTCGACGTGTTCGTAGACTTGCCTTGCGAGGCGTTTGGGACCCTTCGCTATTCTCTTGCGCGCAGAAAGCAGCGATGGTTCGACGGCACAAGGAGTGCAGTTCTGGGAGGTTTGCGACGCATGAGCCGGAGACTGGTATCAACCGATGCGTGTATCTGTCAGGCAAGTAAGCAAAAAGGAAAATCATGACGGATGGTGTATACTTTGTTCTGGTGACACCCGTTCTTTGGACGTTCTCTACGTGTTTCATCACCAGTTTTACTGGGTCCACAGGGGGTTTACATGACATGAAAACAACTGAGTTAAAACTAGTCAGGATAATCATCATAGAGGGCATGTGCTCGTACCGCATTGCGTATTCGTAAGGCAGTTAGCTGATCCTCCACATTAGCCCAAATGAATGAATTCAACGGCAAAGTTATCACATACTAAACCGCTTCTCCACTTTCGGTCGTTTTAGCGCAGCGACCTCTTTTGCAATCTGTGTTTCAAGATCGTCTTCATCTTCACCGTCCGAGTCATTATTCCGATCATCAACAGCGGAATCATGCCCTTCTACAGGCCACATGTCGGCAGCTAGCTGATCATCATAAGTTATAAGCCGGATCTTAGCCTTGACAGAAAGCTTTTCACTGATTCAAGCAGATCGTAAAGCTCGCCGACCGTTCCTTTTTCTTTTCCCTTCACGCATGTCGCCCAGATTCCTGGGCCTTCGATCGTTCGCTTTGCCCAGGTGGGTGATACCCCGTCCTGTCAAAAGTTTATTTGTAGAGATCTAGGGCTTATCGATGACACTCACCGATCGATATTTACGTTTGCGATTATTAGAAGGACTACTTTGTGATTCGGCCATTTCTTTGAGTGGAAGTTTACAAGTCGACAACTCGTTCAGACCCTGACAAGTTGTTTAGGCGCTGAGCGCTGAAATTTGAAACTATGAAACTAGAGACGTGCCTGGTCACGTCGGTACCGCAAAGGTCAGCACCCAATCAGGACAAACACTTCGACCAGGGATTGGCGGTGTATGTAGGCAGCAAAAATAACGATATTAAAGACCGTATATGATACATAAAGAAGCGATTCTGATATGATAAGTGTCCAACTATGGACCCTTCCAAGACAAGTTCCAGGACGAGGATCTTCAACCCATAAATACCATTAAGGCATTCAGCGACACTGTTATTATGATTCATCATCGTCCTCCTCCTCGTCACCATCCTTGGATTCACCACCTGTCCATTTCCGTTCCCATAGCGGGGGTGGAGCATCGGGGTGACGCTTCAGCAACGGATGATCAAGGGGGAGGGTACTTCTCGCCACCATCAGGCGTTGTTTGTAGATATCATGTTCCGACAGAAGCTCAGTGACGTAGTCGATGGCTGTAGGATTAAATTAGATTTGATGTGGATCAAACGGAGATGTAGTCTGAGCACTGACTCTTTGAGAGCACGACATGTTCGCTTTTTGGACCGGCCCTGCCATCAACCTTTTCACCATCCTCATTTCCTGCCTTCCCTCTACCCCGTCTTCTGCCGGCTTTCTTCCCATTCGCGCCCGTCTCTTCCTCTTCCATTGCCTCAGCCAACATGGCTTCCCGAAGAGCAGGAACGATGTCGCACAAAGCCTCGTAGCCTCTTCTTATATTAGCTCTTCGCTTCTGCTCCGATTGTATATGATTTGCTTTTTTCTGGGAGGGGGATAGAAGCGCTCCTTTGGTCTGACCCGCATCACTACCAAACTGTTGCGAAGCGACAGAAGACTGCCGTCGCCGCTTATTTGCGACAGTAGGATCCGGTGGCGGGGATCGTTTGGCCGATGAGATCGGTGTAGGAGTCGTAGCATGTGTTGATGGGGATGAAGACGACCGATCAATAGGAGATTGGCTGGATGACGATGAAGACGCATTCTCGAACGCAAAAGTTCTTGCTCTAGTTCTGATTGAGACTGATGACGGATCAACGGTACGTTGAAGAGGGGGTATATGCACACGACTTCGGGAGGGCGCCGGCTGCTGAGTAACAGCGTCATATTCTTCTACGCGTCTTTCTCGACGGGTAGAGTAGAGAAATGATAGGGAGTTTGACTGCGACTGTGGATGCCGGTTAACCGGCAGTGCCGAAGGTGACTCACGAGTTGGGTTAGGCGAGTGTGCCAATGGATATCGCCATTTTTCCGAATCCAGTGACATAAGATCTTTGGTCGCTTGAGCCAAGGCTTCTCTCCCTTGTGCTGGAGGCATGTGCTCATGGGAGACTTCTAGATGCATGTTCCATCCCGCTGAAAAATCGGTGGTGTCGAGCGAGGATAAGAATTTCTGAAAGGCATGAGCTTCTGTAGGTGTTAGAAGCGACATAACAACTCCGGTTGCGAAACAAAAGAAAGCGCTTCGATGAAAGCACTTTTTGTACTCCAGCAGGTTTTTACGATGGTCGTGCTGAAACTACTGTCGCGGCCAGTTCGGGATCCATGCGACAGGTGGCTGTGCTTCCCCACACGGGGCCTTGCCTTTTTCGGACTTAGTTCCTTGTTTCCCGAAAAAAAAAACTGCGAGCCTGTGCCGGGAAATGGATGCCTGGCGCCTGGACCCTGGAATGGAACACGATATGCGATTGATGTAGCTAGCTCTGACGTTTATACCTGTACAGTTTCGGTAACAATCGGAGCTACCGACTGCAGGAACGGAGACATGTCTGACGAAGGAAGTAACACTTTCGACAACAACAGACGTCCGGTATGTATAAAGGCTACTAGACTACCCATACCTAAGAGAACGACTTAGTAATCTGAAACAAAGGTACGGGAAAATGGTAAGCGAAGGGATACGACTCGGGGCGCGATCTGGTGCGAAACAGGGCTAGGCCTGGCTGAGCAAGGTAGTATGGCTTAAGATTGGGTCGGTAATATTCGGAATCATGTCATTGGTGCTGAGCTGAGCGCTTAGCTTTCAATCATTAAATTATCGGGACCTGAAGTAATTACTCACCCTCGTGACCCCGCCTTCCAAAATTTGAATTTGAACGCTTGACTACGTTTGACGCCCGGTAGAAATTTCACGAAATGAGACATGTCGTGCGTCCATGACATATTGCAAGGCATACGTACCTGTTCATCACATCTCCACTCAAGGGAGGGCCTATGAGCAGGATCCGCGTGCTGACAGCTGTTTTTAGCTTGACGTTTACTATCCAATCATTGGCACCGTTTGCTTCGGACTCGTTACAACTGGTCGCATTTGGCATCAACGGAGGACGATAGAACGCTCTAATTAAACCACTTTAATCAGCATACGACATGTTTGAGGTCATGCGCGTGGTCTCCGCGTAGCGCACACCTAATGGAAAATGTACCAGGTGATCCAAGATTTGCGGGCTATGTACCCCGGCGCAGGCGGAACATGCAAGATACTAGAGCTCATCGCTGAAAACAGCGAGAATGAGTCCTCGTTGCACAACCGGAACTGTACCAGGAAGGACCTTGAACCCAGATATTATCATCTCGGATCTACTGCCGTGCTTCGAGACCTTGGTAGAAGAAATAAGGAGTACTAAAGATAAGCAATGATAGGATTTCAAAGTTCAAACTCACTATGTAATATAAGTCCAGGCCAGCGCAACTCCTTTGACAATCTTCTTCAAGTTCCGGTATATGTTAGGACTATCTTCATTAGTCTATGGTCTGCCTATGACACGGCGTCGGATCGCCCTGGATCGCCTGCTTTCAATATGTCACGCGGTCCGACGTTGATTTTCCGATCCTAGATGTATACTGGTACACTGACACCTGCATAGCTAGACTTAGCTAGACGAGAATCCGCTGATCAAACTTAAGCGCCACGCCATTTGGACCAGTTCACGTGCGTTCTATGTATATCTCCAAGGGTTATTCCCCGTCTGCTTTAAATAAGTCTGAGATCTGATTGGCCCAATCTCAGAAGACTTCCATGATCATGCGAATCAGATAGCGATAACATCCTTCGAGTCGTGCTTTATTTCCTAGACTAGACAGCAACAACTACCGATGAGCGAGGATGCACAGTTGAGGGTGACCTTTTTCCCCCCACTTTATCTGCAGAGGAGAATATGGGTATTAGACATCCTTCGTCGGGAGCAAGTCACAGAGGTCGGTCATCAGCGTCAACCGAGCAATGTGTCTGATATCTTGTTCAGATCGTAGACATTGGTTGCGGGGAGGGTCAACTACTTGCAGTTCTCTGCCAGCCCGCGCCAAGTCTTTCCCCTCCTAGCCCTGGTGTGCTGGTATCTCCTAGCGACGCGACCTCGAGCGCACTCGAAGAAAGTGATCTCGACCTCCACCCCACGCGCATCGCTGGCCTAGATATCTCCTCCCACGCACTTGCATCCGCGATCGAGGACACCGCTCCTGCTTCAGCAAACGCGTCATACACGCGATGGGAACCACTCGAAGTGAACATCTGGCACGGAGGGCTCGAGGTATTCAACCCAGCTTTTGTAAATGCAGAATGTATCCTAGCAACAGAGGTGTACGTCTATTCCGTGCTCAGAACGCGACTGATTTTAAAAATCTGTCTCTCAAGTATCGAACACCTCCCAGAAAACATTCTAGTTAATTTTGCACCCATGATCATGGGCGTGTACCACCCTCGTCTACTTCTCGTCACGACGCCGTCGTACGGGTTTAATGCGCGTTTCAGCCCTCCTGGGTTGACTGACCCCAGCGGGTTCCCTGATCCTACGAAGCGCACAAATAGGGTGTTCAGGCACCACGACCACAAATTCGAGTGGACTACCGAGGAATTTCGGGAGTGGTGCGAAGGCGTTGCGCAGGAATGGGGATATCAAGTGGAAACGGCGACTATCGGCCGTGCACTAGAAAAGGACGAGTGGGGCCGAGACGAAGAGCTGGGAGGTGCGAGCCAGGTAACTGTCTTCAACCGTCTCGAAGGCGAGGCTTGGGCTACGACGCGGGAGGAGAACAGTACCTGGATGAGAGAAAGGTCGAAAACCCAAACGGAGCATCATCTGCTGGCAGTACACCACTACGATGCGCATGTTCATGCGGGAAAGCGAGGGTCAGCCGAGGAGATTGCGACTGCTGTAGCCGACAAGTTCGAGGAGTGGGAAGAGGCTGAGTTGCGATTAGAGGAGATCTGGTTCACAGAGGAGATCGGACCGATGTGTGGTGGGTGGGTCGAAGTTCTGATCGAGGCTATTGAGGAAAGTGCCAAGTTCGATCTTCGAAGAAGCAAGGGCCAGAGAAGGGGAGATTGGCCGGTGTTGCTAGTTGGAGGGGGTAAGAAGAAGAAGAAGACATCGGAATGGTTTCCGGAACAGACGACAGATGATATGTATGAAGATGTCCAGGAGGGATATTGTCAGAGCAGTCCTGATGACGATGTGGTATTCGAGTGGGGAAGTGGTCGGTATTCTTCAGACTCTGGCGTTGATCTTTCGTGGGATATTAGCAAAGAGGATGGTGCATGGGAGAGGGCGGAGACTACATGGACATCCCAGAGTTCTTCGGACAACACAGATGGTTGGAGCACCGTGACTGCGGGTTGGGACCTTGATATCCCAGATCAGAAGACTTAGTGTAATTCATTGATAATACGTACATGGGACCACCTGCATAGATCGCTTGCGGCTGAAGAGCGCCAAGTTCTGAAGTTCTAAACGTTGAACATTAATGTCAAGTACTTTCCGAATGACCCACGTCGCCCGCGATGTGTCAGATCATGGCATGGGCCTTTCACATGAGGTTATGACTCATGGAGCCCTCCGAGGACAGACGATAGACATACATATTTCATCTTATCGAGTATACCCGAAAGCAGTCAGTGTGTGGCAAACCAAGACACTTGCGCTCTCGCAAAGTAGAAATGATGACGCGATGTTCCTTATAGTAACAGCCAAGCTTGCATAGCATTCGACCCTTCGCAATTGCAAAGGCTCCAAGGGCCAAAAACACCAAATACATCTTCAGTGTCACCGGTCACCTCGGTATTCTTGACCATGAACTCCAAGCCTTGCTGATCATCAAAATCATGCAGGAGTTGGAATTCTTGGTTAAAACACGCAAATCCATCTCAGATTCCGCCGGGTGGCTGGCCAAATGCGGCTGGCCGCTGCAAAAGAGACGTGTACATCCCACGAACGTGTCTAGAACGTTGAACTTCGCCACTTGACAGGACTATTTGCAAAAACAAAAAAAAAGTTCTTTGTTCGTCACATCGGCCTCGAGGCAAAGAATCGGTCACGTACATGGCTAATCTCAGTGAGTCACTAGTCGGCATCCAATGAAACGATCGAATCACCCATCATCGAATATGTTAACATAAAGGCTTCTAGGTCAGCGACTCGGCGATGCGCCACTGTTGATGAAACAAGTCCATGCTTGAGAAAAGATGACCGGACCAAGAAAGGTTTCGTACTCGATCTTTACCTCGTACGATCATCTCTATTGTGAATCATGATGGAATATCAATCAAGATTGACGATCATGCCGCCGAAATGACAAGAAAAATGACCGACGTCAACGTACCGCGCAACTGCGCTAGTGACGTGCCATGACTCATGAGCATCGTAAGTACGCACACATAAGAATGGAGGACTGCGCCCGCGGAAATCGTGGCAAAGAGACGCGGCGAGCGCTTCGCGACGAGCGGAAGTATTGCCCCATTCGAACAACAGCTGTGGCATTAGCGTGAGCGTTTGTGGAGACGGATAAAATTGGGTTTACATTAGCGTTGTGAATTTGCAGTCAGCCAGCTGCTATACTCCAACAATAGTGAAAAGAAGTATGATACAGCAACGGACTTGATCGATGGTGACCCTGCGCTCGGAGATTGCGACAGCTTATAAGTATAAAACTCCATCTTCGCCTACCCCTGAGCAGTAAGCTTGGCCGGGCTTCGACATAGCCACCCCGAAATAGAAGGACAACGTGGTCCATGTCCTTGTGTAGAGGCAGATGGGTGGTTTTGCCTGCTATCAACAGTTTCACCACTCGGTCGAGCGTACAGACCGGTAACAGTCCACGGGTAGCCCTGTTTGAAAAAGAAGGTCCGCATTAAAATAAAAAAACGTCTCTTCAAATCAATCTGGTACCGCTCACGGCAAGTGGCCAACAATGCGATCACCCCGATCACATTGGCGAGCTCATCTCATGGAAATGTGAATGGACATAGTGCTGACAAGAAGGACTACTACATAGAGCCAAGACGATGGCGCATGTATGCCAGCATGATGCCCTGTGCACCTAAGGCTATATTGCCATATGTCGTGTGCATTTTTTGATGGGGACCATGTGCCCTGGGGCTCAGCGCTCGGCTATGAAGGGAACCTTCTTGTCTTGTGTCATGTTCCTTGCTGTTCCTTGAGAGTTCCACCACGAAGGACAGGATTCGAAGTTACGAAGCTCCTCGGCATAGCCAAGAGGAATGCCCGGTATCCAAGCCACCTGCCAGTGGAAGCATGTAAGTGGAGATTTCATCATACGGAGATCCGTCCCGCACAACAGAAGGGCAAACGCACCACCCAAGTCATACTTGGTCGCACCGAGAACGAAACACAGAGATCAAACATACGCACAACTGAACGCCGATATTTGATGAAAGCTAACCATGTAACTACATCTATAGCGTGGATAAAATACTGTAAAGTTCGCGAATATGAAGTCTACCACGACGAATGATGCGCATGCCGAGGATGACGGTGCCAACGAACGAGGCTGGATAAGGGGTACATGTGATAGCAAGATATGCACGTAGAATATTAATGACCAGATGGAGTGGAGTGGGTGTGATGCGGAAAGTGTGAAAACAAGAGCACTGCTGGGACAGATGGTATCGTTAAAGTGGACGAGTAAAGTATAGATGACGCCGATGATCTAAGCATGGTAATTGAAACCATTAATGGACTGCGTACAACAGACAGATCCATTGTCGTAGTTGAGGTTGATGAACCGCATTGGCGGTGCTTGTCTCTTGAAGGCGACGCTGGGATACGCAACAGGACAGCCTCGACTACCGCCGTGGCGCCAACGTAGAGAGCATAAGCCCTTGCGCAAGTTCAGTTCTTCCATGTGACGCGTTTCAATGCCTCAGGCATAATCCACCCACTCTCTCTTCCGCTCCCGGCTCTCTAACCAATCCTTGTCGAGAGTCGTAACTTCGAGTTCGTAGAAGTGATATGTTGTTGAGGGCGAGTAGATCGTTGTTACGTATCGAGTTATGTTGCCTCGAACGCCCGCTGCATTTTTATAGCGGCAATTTGAAAAAATAGCATGGGATGATCATCAGGAGATGAACAGACGGAAGAGGGACAAAGGGTGAGACCTTCTTCTAAGGCTTCCCGCGAGGCTGCCCTCTCTAAAGTTACATCTGACGACTCCCAACCTCCTTTAGGCACTATGGGGGGGTAGAGACGCAGTAAGTTAGCAGAATATTTTGACCGACAGAAAAAAAAGGGCTCTATGCTGAAGACGCGTCAATCCATCACGCGACACGTTACCGACACTATAACAAGAAATAAAAACCCATGAAAATGATATGACTTACAAACCCACAAGTCTTTCCGTTTGCGACTCGTTATAACAAGGACCTTTCCAGACGTACTTGCCAGTGGGATGGCACAGCACACGACACGAGGGACTTCACGACCTTTGGTGCCCATGACGCAGGTAGAGAACAGAGGAGAAGAGTGAAAATAACTTGATGGTATGCTTTAAAAGCACAGAGTGAGGCGCAATTTTAAATGCTTGACTCGCTGTTGCTCCACGGGCGAACAGCTATTCAGAGAATAACGTTCAAGGCAGAGAGGTGTGTGAATGTTGAGTGTCAACACAGCACCAGCCCACGTACACGTATTAGGGAGGAGACTCTGCCCGAGATAATACCCTGGGACACGATGTCACGAAATGGTCAACTATGAGAGTATTGTCAGCGGCCAGCGTCAAGACATAGTAAGCACAACGTACCTGAATTGTGCTAGGAGATGCAAAAATGTATAGGGACGCGTGCAGAGCAGACGCTAATTAAACTGATGGCGAGCCCGTTGAGAAATAAAGATGAGAGACACTCTAGAAGTATTGTTCAAAGAAAGAAAAAGGAGACCGAGGTTGAAGTTTTTGAGTGGAAACTGGTCGAGACTGAATGAAATTACGAAGCTGGACTTTTCATCAAGTTACCAAAAATGTACAAAAGCGGAAGTACACCAGTTCACGCACGTTCGCCGGCATCCACGCGGCATGCATCACAATTGCCGTAGCCTACACCCCTGGATCCCCTTACTTGTAGATTCTGCACCTTGGTTCAGGCATATGGCCTTGAAATGAACCTTCCATATTCTCGACGTTTCGCCATCGTGTATCAGAAGAATGGTATATAAGGTCTTCACGGCACAACTGTCTACACTGCAGCATCTACACTGGATCGCCACTGCCTCCGACGCTTGGAACAATCTATGCGCGGTACCTTCGTGATATATAATATTTACGTCCGGATATCAGTTCTGCGGCCGGGATTCAGCCTCCGAATCTCCATCTGCAATTGCACTAACGTACGACTGACAGGTGAAGCTTTAAAAGATTAATACGCGTGCGAGCACATCTATTCGTTCCATCTAAGAACCAAGTTATTCAGGCTCGCGAGCATCTCAGGAACGGACTTACGCAACGAAGAACATGCAAAGCACTCCAAAGGCCATCGCACCGAACTGTGGCACAGTCAGAAGTCATCCAAAAAAATCGGAAAAATGACCGTACCTCGCGAAGAGCTTGCGCACCGCTTTTGCTCTCTGCCAGCAGACTGAGAAGCTCGAATAAATCATGGGAGGCACTATCACAACATATCACTCACGTAGGTAATACTGCGACGGCGCCAATGTATAAAAATCCACCGGCCACAAAGGGGATTACCTGTGGCACCCGCCGTTCCGTGAATAAATAAAATTCATTAGAGAATAATATGCAATCACCAAATCCGCTGCTTGAACAGTAGTGCCCAGAATCCCGGAAGCATCTTGCCGCACCCCTGAAGCTAAGTCCAGCGACTCTGTAATTGTACCGGACGCCGATAAATTATGGATGGCGATTCCCATAAACGTCCTGGGTTTCAGTTGGTCAGTGATCGACAGTAAAGTTACGGCTCTAAAGATAATATTAATACTCACCCGACCTATCACGAAATATCACAATGGCACATGACCCTTCCGACTAGGATAAAAACTGGGGTGTACTCACAAATGCACCGATGGCAGTCAAGAACTGCGATTGCATTGCTTGCTTTTTGGTAAATCCACTACGCACGAGAATCGAATAGTCCGCAATTTCATGAGGAATTTCGTGGGCAAAGCATGCAAGCGTGGTAGTAGCACCAATAAGAGGTGAAGAATAGAACGATGCGGCCATGCTGATGCCAGCAGGTATCAGCCACTATCAAATCACAGCGCGCGCGTGCGCATTTCCGACACTCACGCTAATCCATCAGTGCTAGATGAAAGCAAGGCATCAGAAAAAGGCAAACGAGAATCAAAAGTAGTTCACATGTTGTGGACAAAGTCGCCAAATAGGTTGAGATATGCTGAGAGCTTCGAAGGTGCCGTTGCAGCATGGGGTTGTTCGACGTGTTCTTGGTGATCTACTTCATCTTGTTTCTCCAATCCTCGTGATCGAAGACCATCAGGTGACAAGGAGGTCGATACTCCAGATGCCTGTGCAGATACGACCGTAGCTTCAGAATGAGTGTGAGAATGGTCATGTGAATGACCGTGGCCTTCCTCGCCACCAAGTACTCTTAGTGTCTTTTCCATGATGAAAAAGGTAGCAAATCCAACAAAAATACCTAACCTTGTGTATATAGTTAGCGTATGCGTATATGTTTCTGAGCGAGACATACCCAATGAGGATATTCCTTTTCTCTTCGACCATCACAAAGTGAGCACCCGGATCTTGATGCTCTCCCATAAATGCATGGGGGACGAGGTGGAGAAAAACGTCAGAAAGGAGGCCCCCAGTCTGTGGAGCAGGTAAGCAAGAGTCTGGCCTGTCACTCCACAGCGTCCAGCCAATATCAAATACTAACAGCGAAAGCAGTCATAGTATTGAGAGTGTCTGGATGGATCTCCGCGGGAATAAATGCGAGGATAAAATTCGGCACCCTGAAACGTTGAGCGGAGTTGAGACTTGGGTGTGTCTGAACTTCGATAGAGGAACGAATAAAGACACGCACGAGCTGATGTAAAATGTCCCAAGCACTGGTCAGACAAAGGTCACATCAAAGAAACTCCAATAGACTGATAACCCCTTGCCTGAATTCCAACCAGGGCCGAATGGGAACAACCATGCGAATACTTGTCTCATAACCGGGGATTCCTTCTCCTCCACAGCAATTTTGAGAGCACTGAGCTTCTCAATGGAAGGACATTCGTGTATTTCTGATTCCTAGGTGGTTGTGACACCACGAGACACGTTTGTTCGCGCATGAGAGTTGTATTGCACACAAGATGCTCACCCGAACGACTAGGGAATCCTGTCCATTGTCTAGAGCGACAACAACACTCCACACTGAGCAGAATAATAGAGCGAGTAACAACGCGCGAGATGCAAAACGAGTGGCCATTGCTACTAGCAAAAGTGAGTATGAAAGACAACGTCAATCTTGTTGATACGCTGGCTTTCACTGGGTATCGGATAAACCCGAATGCCGCTGCGACGTGTTCTTTCAAGCTAATATGCAGGTGGCATTTGGGTGGCATAACTTCAACCAAGACGGACAAGACAGACCCGACAATGTACCCCAACGTCCAAGAGCAGGCTGCTCTTAACGCCGCCGAAAACCTCATGAAAAAAACCATGGCGCGTTATGACCCATCTCACGACGCCTTCCATGGTCAGTGACCAAACGCAATATCTCCATGTAACCGCGTTCAACCGAACAGATCGTGCATCATCATACTCCGCGTAAACAGTACAACGCGTGCGCAAAACGGCGCTGTCAATAGCCCGCTCTCTTTCTGCGAAGCAACCCGATTTACTGGTCGTCGAATTAGCAGCTCTTCTTCACGACGTTCTCGACAAGAAATACGTGTCAGAAGCCGAAGCAGCAGACCCATATGGATATTTTGTTCCTTTCTTCCAGTCTTTATCTTCGGAGCACGGGTTAGACCTGATTGATGACGGCCGAGCGCGTCAGATCGTGAAGGTCATAGAAAACGTCTCTTGGACAACTGAGAAGAAACTGAGGGAAACAGGAAAAACCGAGGAGTGGCATCGTACATGTGTTGAACTCCACTGTGTACAAGATGCGGACCGACTCGATGCGATAGGAGCGTTTGGTAAGTTGGCAGAACAGTCGTCCAACCGCGTTTGTTCTTAATGTGCGTTAGGAATCATGCGGTGTGCTGCATACAGCGCTGCTGTAAATCGGTATGTGTGTTAAAGACATGTGGGTAACGGATATTGATGAGAACGACCGGTTTAGCCCACTCCATGCACCTCCAGGTCGTATCGACACCGCCGGTGCAGCACTTCTACGACAAGCTCCTACACATCCAGGAAAGGCTCAAGACAGAGCCAGGAAAACAGATGGGCGCAAAACGACATCAATTTGTAGGTGACGCGAATACATGACGCAGTTTTGATTCTCACATTCACGAATTGCAAAGATGGTCGATTTTTTAAATTCCGTGCAAGATGAATACGATGCAGAAGCACCCTGAAGTCGCCTACACTGCGTAATAGAACACGTTGCATCCTTTAGAATTTTAAGGAACATCGCCTGCATCTAAAAGACCTCGAAGAACGATGGATATAGATCAATTATACATAGATCCCTGCTGTATACTACTATCCATACTTATACCGGGTCATTAAACCGTGGGATTCCCAGTATCACGTCTATTAATAGCTATGTCATCAGAACAGTCCTCGTGACAAATGGAAGGATGTGATACCAATAATTCTGGCAGACAAATACAGTCCTGCCTCTAGGTGCGATGCGAGTGAGTACATCTATCAAAGATAACACAGCCCCTGGTACTTAATTTCCTTCATCAGAAGGATCAGGGGATGCAGCGGCTTTGACAGATGGGAGTGCCGTTGCTCTCCAGCCTCCTCTGAATGCAGCGATGCCATTAATGAGGCTGAAAATGGTGACCCAAATCTATGAGATGTGTCAGCAACGCAAAGTAGGTAAACACTTTAAATTCACGCACATCGTTTTTGAAGATACCACTCTCCAGAGACCTGAGAAACGGTCAGTATGAACGTATTATATATCAACGAGTACGAACCAATGAAGGGCCAAGGGTAAATTAGCAGTGTTGGCCACCAGCTCATTCAAAAGAGCGTCCCATCGTTTTCGAAGATCCTCTTTATCATCAGCCGAGAATCCTTTCCCCTTTCTCAAGTTCTTCTGCCTCGTCAACAGAAGTTTTATGTCCTCTCTTAAGTGTGCGAATTGAAGGACGGTGTAGAGTAGCCAGCATCGGCAAGACCAGATGATTAATCGGTTCTCGTTCAACGAAATGCGTTTCGAGCTGCGACCGAGTATAGCGGAAAGCGAGGGAATTGAGGTGGGGATTAGATTATGGGCTCGTAAGTAGTAAAGGTGCTCAAGAGGGTAAAATCCGAGCATGGACCATCCCTGAAGTCGCTCGATGGTGTGTAACGTACGCGTCGGCGGGGGGTTGCGTTCCATGGAGATCATCCACTGAAAGATCGGCAGAAGACCTAAAGGCGTGTCAATGACACACTACGTTGAAGCGAAGGCATTCAGGATGCTCACCCCAAAATCTGCCTAACATTTTAGCATCGCTAACAATACTGGCGAAACTCGTTAGAGAAGGAGCAACTTTGCTGCTCGCATCTTTCCTAATACCAGCACGGTGCTGAAGCCGTGCGCGCCAGTGCAGGAACGGCACGATCAGTTTAAGTGTATATTGTACGAGCTGTTGAATACAAGGTCAACCGAATATCCCATCCCTGTCACGGTCAAATATGTACCGTAAAGAACTTGCTAGAACGCGATGAAAAGGGAAGAAGAAAAGACTTTAGACAACTGAACTCGAAGAATTGTTAAAACATACTCGCTACCGCTCCAGGTGCTAAGGTACCGCACAAGATGATTCAATGTCTCAGACGCCGGGACATTTGAGAAAGAACCGAGGGTAATATCGTTGAGTTGGGCAAGGGTATACGGTTTGGAAGCTCGCGACATTGTTGCCTGGCTGATGCTCTAGGCTACTGGGTGCAGAGCTGAGAGAACACGAATTCTCGGTACTCCGTTATCAGGCCGATTCTTCAGCACGTGAATGCCGTATAATCTCGTGCTGGACACCGTGGCAAAGTATTATATAATCCATTTTTGTCTTGTATATAAAGTTGTCCTCTTTGCTTCCGTGATCTTTGAACAATTTTTGAGGACTCAAAAGTTCGGGCCTGATATCAGCTCTTCCGCCTTCTCGTCCGCGTTCCCGTCCTCTAGACGAATGAACAGCACTCGCTGTGCTTGGTCTTCCCCTTGCTGTAACTGTAGCCTCGTTCGACTGCTATCATCTTATCCTGGAGGCATCGCCTCGGCTGAGGCTCATGATCGGCAGAGAACAGCAGGAGAGGTCTGCGGTTACTCAAGGGGAGACCCACAATCATATATATGTACTATATACTCTTAGTACCAAGAATGCAAAGCTTGTTCTTCCATCATCTGTTTTTTGCCCGGAGCTATCAAATTTCAACGTATCGCGATGTCATTCTTATGCACGGTCTTGATCGATGAGAATCAATGGTGCGCTGACCAAATGTCCCTTCATGTTACTTGTCTCACGACAACATCTAAGCCGTGATTCAAAAACTACAGTGCCGTGGCCCGTGGGCAGTGGACCAGTCACGATCCACACCCAAGAAAATATCAAATTACCTTACAAAATGCAACCGATTAACCGTGGCAGGCCGTCATGGGTCGCGATCATGTCTTCCAAAGTGGCAAGATCACAACACAACATTGACACAAGTCACAAAGGCAAAAGTCGAGGGGTCAAAATGAATTGCTCATTTTGACCAATCTTGACTTTTTTTCCTATGTGACGCAAATCTCGAGCTCGAAATACATTTCATAAAGGTGTTTTTTTTTCTTCGCACTGAGCAGATTCGTGACATCATGCCAGGTTCTACCATGCATAACCGCACCTGACTACGTTCACGATTTTCCTTTACATCCTCTCCGCCACCTATAGGAGCCTGTCAGGTTGTCACTCGGCGTCATATGTGTTGCCGCTATGTGAGATACCTCGATGGCGCATCAATAGCAGAGATAAGGGCTCCCTTCGTCAATATCTATGCTTTCATCTTTTAACGCCGTGTTACTTGCTCATCTTCGTCACCTGCCTTATCAACACTACTAGTGGACACACAGCAAACCACTCATTTCTCTACAGCTACAGGAAACTTTGAGGTGCTTTCTGATGTCTACTTGGTACACTCTCGTCGCTCATCCTCTACCACCTACCTATCTCAACGATGCTGCTCGTAATTTCACCTCTCTCGGTCTCGAGGTCGCTATCATGGAGTTTGACGTCTGCATCACATAGCCCAACATTGGCGTTGACCTCGAGCAGCAGATGTTCGACCACCATACTGTCGCTGTGTCGTTGGTGTCTGCATGTGCGTTCCTGGGTGCGTCGGTGCCACCATTTTTGGACTACTGCAACGACTTACCGTTGGATGTAGGATCTCCTTATTCAAAGGAATTTTAACGAGTTTATGATGAAATTTACCTTGACTGTTCGTTTCTTTCTTTCTCTGGAAGGCGTCCTCAAGTTACTGGTTTAGCCATGACACAGGCAAAGCACGAGTCAGACACATTTTCTCCGCATTCTGTCAGTACTTGTTGTGTGTGCCTTCGTGATGTCGCGCTTGTTCTCGATCGCAGCCAAGGCAAACGCTGCCTTAAAAGCCGATCACCACATCATTAACTCTCGAAGTACGTTGTTTATCACCTTATTCGAGACATTTACTGAGATGCAACTCGTTGTCTTCTATGTAGATGTAAGATTGACGAACGCCGTCATAACATTGAAGCACTGACCGTCCCTCTTTCTCTTTTTAAAGTACATGCTTGCTGACGCTGTGGCCATCGTCGGTACTACGGTATGTACCTTGTAGTTCTATTCAAGTTTTACCAGTCGCTCATCGCTATTTTCGGACAGGATCAGGTGTTTGGGTGCGTTGTTGAGATTTTGTTTTGCATGAAGTATGCACGCTAACGCATATCCATGTTAACTAGTAGACGGCATCTAGATGTATACCATGATTCTTCTAATATATCGTGATATCATGATTTGCGAAACAATGCATCGTTTGGCCGAGCGCGTGAGGCACCCTTGATCACTTGGTGTGCATTCTCGATCTGTTCTCCCAACACCGGACGTAAGCTTAGGACGTGTTCCCACCTGCTTCGCGTTCTGTACAAACGTATCTCGCAATTAGCTTTCACCCTCACAACCTGGCTTCTGTCCACACGTGAGGAGCCTCTTATCTTCACGAGTGTCGATAGGAAATATAGCTATGATGTTATGAACTACCCGACTATGCAGCTCGCCGTGAAGAATGGAAACACTAAACAACAATGGAAAATATGGTCATATGAAAAGGTGAGCGTGCCGCAGGGGTGACGTATCATATGAAAAACGAGGTCCACAAGATACTCGGCTGATCTCGATAACAATGGTTTCAATTATAGGGATAAGGACGACGAAGTGATTACGATCGTCATCGAATAAAAGTTCGCATGCTTCATCTATGTCTATCTGGTATCTCCACAAATCAACTGCTGCAGTCATCATCGTTAAGCAGGGCTAGAAATATCCAGTAACGTTGTTAACGGCGAGGGACAGTATTAAGGCTAGAAACTCACGCATCTCGGCAATTGTGCCAGTGTCGTCCATGTGCCATGCGGCTCAAATCAAGCTCAACACCACCTCTCGGGATCACCAATGCAGTCCAGGGATTATAGAATGGCTGTCGGGAAGCGTGAGGGACCCAGAATAACAGCCGAGCATTCGGTCCAATCATCCACCCATCTACTCCCGGCAGTATCAAAGGGGTTGATTTGGAATCATGATCAGAGGTGCCGTGAAGTAGATCACCGGGGTTGTTTAGCGCGTGCTCCAAGCTGGATGAGAAGCAAATGGGGTGGTTGTTCCAAGTATTTGTCGACATGATGAGGCTTTTCTGTGTGTGAGATGTGGTGCAACTTCTATCCCGAATGAATGTGGAGGAAGTGGTCTCAGGGTACAACTGAAATGACTGCCAACTTCCTGCATGCCATAGCCGGACAGTGCCATCTGAAGACCCAGATACCATGCGGGTGCCATCCGTCGAGAATGATACTGAGCGAACCGAAAAAGTGTGCCCCCGCAAGGGCTCACCCAATGGCTGCCCCGTCAATGCATCCCACAGCCGGACAGTCTTATCCGAGGAACCAGATACGATGCGAGTACCGTCCGGCGAGAACGAGACTGAATGAACTGAATCAGTGTGCCCCCGCAAAGGCTCACCCATTGGTTGTCGCGTTGCCGCATCCCACAGCCGAAGGGAGTGATCCGAGGAACCAGACACGATGCGAGTGCCGTCCGGCGAGAATGATACTGAACAAACAGAACTTGTGTGCCCCCACAAGGGCTCGCCCAATGGCTGCCCCGTTGCTGCATCCCACAACCGGATAGTGTAATCCGAGGAACCAGACACGATGCGAGTACCATCCGGCGAGAATGATACTGAATAAACAGAACCTACGTGCCCCGACAAGGGCTCACCAAATTGCTGCCCTGTTGCTACATCCCACAGCCGGACAGTCTTATCCTGCGAACCGGACACGATGCGAGTACCATCCGGCGCAAAAGAGACTGAATGTACCGAACCATTATGCCCCCGCAAGGGCTCACCTAATGGCTGCCCCATTGCTGCATCCCACAGCCGAACAGTGTTATCCGAGGAACCAGACACGACACGAATGCCGTCCGGCGAGAACGAGACTGAATGAACCGAATCAGTGTGCCCCCGCAAGGGCTCGCCCAGTGGCTGCCCCGTTGCTACATCCCACAGCCGGGCAGTGTTATCCGAGGAACCAGACACGACACGGATGCCGTCCAGCGAGAATGAGACTGAATTAACCGAATCAGTGTGCCCCTGCAAAGGCTGACCCATTGGTTGCTGTGTTGCCGCATCCCACAGCCGAAGGGAGTGATCCTCCGAACTAGACACGATGCGAGTGCCGTCCGGCGAGAATGAGACTGATTTAACCCAAGCAGTATGCCCCTGCAAGGGCTCACTCAATTGCTGCCCCATTGCTGCATCCCACAGCCGGACAGTCTTATCCTGCGACCGGACACGATGCGAGTACCATCCGGCGAGAATGATACTGAATAAATCCAGTCAGTGTGCCCCCGCAAGGGCTCACCCAATGGCTGCCCCATTGCTGCATCCCACAACCGGATAGTGTAATCCCCCGAACCAGACACGATGCGAGTACCATCCGGCGAGAATGATGCTGAATTAACGAAAGAAGTGTGCCCCCGCAAGGGCTCCCCCAATGGCCGCCCCATCACTGCATCCCACAGCCAAACAGTTTCATCCGAGGAACCAGACACAATGCGAGTGCCGTCCGGCGAGAACGAGACTGACTGAACCGCGTCAGTGTGCCCCTGTAAAGGCTCGCCCAATGGCTGCCCCGTTGCTGCATCCCACAACCGGATAGTGCAATCCCCCGAAGCAGATACTATGCGAGTGCCGTCCGGCGAGAATGATACTGAATAAATCCAGTCAGTGTGCCCCCGCAAGGGCTCACCCAATGGCTGCCCCGTTGCCGCATCCCACAGCCGGACAGTCTCATCCCAAGAACCAGACACGATGCGAGTGCCATCCAGCGAGAATGCTACTGAACCAACCGCAGAAGTGTGCCCCCGCAAGGGCTCACCCAATGGCTGCCCCGTCAATGCATCCCACAGCCGGACAGTTCTATCCCAAGAACCAGACACGATGCGAGTGCCATCCGGTGAGAACGATACTGACTGCACGACTGATGTATGCCCACTGATGACGGTCTGAGCAGCCGTCCAGTTCACATTACGTCCTGATGTCAGACGAAGGCTATTCGGAAACCGGTCGGCAAATTTGGTAGCTATGGTGGACTTGCTGGGCGAAAAAGGCAGTGCTGATGCATAGAGATGTGGTGTGCTGTGTAAAATCATGGCGCCAAAAACTTGGACAAATCTTTGCACATCCGTTGCAGCGGTTAAGATGTCTTCATATCCGGATTGTCCCTGTGCTCGCGCATAAGCGCTCCATCTGTCACCGCTCTGGATCTATGTGCTCACCTTCAGCCACTGGGAAATCTGCGGGCGTGCAGCACCTGCGCAATCCAGTGCATTGAGAAGGCCGAGTACTTCAATCCAGAATAGCAGCCGCTCGTGGTCGAAGAATGATCTGATTTCTTTAACGAGCTCCGTGTTGAAGTCTGTGGCTCGTACGTGCGTAGCCAAAAATCGACAGGAATAGGACAGATGTGGGGGGATGTATGTTTCAATGCGCTTGAGGCAGCCCGGTGTCTTCGGAATTAGGGATGTATGAAGACTGTAAATCGCAGATATTGAAGCGAAGGTCACGTTCCATCACTCGAAGTGATGCAAACGCAAGGTCGCGTTGTTGCACCTTTCGACACCTCAACGAAAAAGTCTCCGCTGCATGATCTGTCTGTCAGGAATTCGCGGAAGGATGCGTGAAGGGGTCGGATGGGGGTATCTGGGTCGGTTGTGCCGCTCAGGAGGGATCCCATGCGTTGTACTACAACCTCTACTTCGTAACGGTCGTGGTGCTCCGGAAAATGGCACCGCATAGCATTGAGTGAAAGTAGAGGAAGGGGTTCGGCTGTGCCAAGTATTTGTCCCATCACGGAACGAAACCTCGATACTGCTTGCTGATTCCTGGATTTTGTGTACTTGTCCACAGGCATGATTTCAGTCAAAATGAGGCTATACATATCATACAGCAAGTTTGCCCGCTCGACTGGATCGCGGTTCACTGACGGCATTGAAACAATCCCTTGGGAATAAGCCAGTATCGGGGTCCTTGATGTATTCACACGCAAGACGCGCCCACTCGAACAGTCCATCGGCTTTCGTGGCGAGAATTGCAAGCTCTTGATCTTGAAAATCTGACAGCCCCTTCAGCTGCTCAAATATGTAAGAGCGGATGTCGCGCTCCGCGACGTCTGGTGGAATTTTGTCCATAGACAAGGGTAGAATATGGTGTGCGCCGCGAAGGGCATCGTGGATGTCGCGAAGCGGGCGCGAGGTGACGAGAATCCGAAAGTTCGGTGGGAGTTCGGTGATTTCGGGAAGACCCTCCTGCTTAAGTTTACCAGCGAGTATGCGCAGAAGGTTACGCCGCGTCTCGACCCCACCACTCTCGTCCAGTGCTTCAATCACTATCAAGACAGGTCCCACACTCGACCCAGAGTGTTTTCCTAGCGGTTCCATGAGAAGCTTCTTCCACTGCTGGAGGATATCTGTTGCATTCTTGAGCGCAGTTGCATTCTTGACTGCGTTCGCCAACGCTCGTCTCATCTCCGGATCGCGATCAGCCAGATCATGAGCAATGGTAGAGAAAACTTTTTCGTAGCGCTTCTCAGATTCTCGGCCCCTGCTGAAGCAGAAACATGAACCGAGTCCCCCCATGTCGTTGAACCACTTGGCAATTGTATGAGCGATGGCTGATTTGCCGGTGCCTGCAGGGCCAGACAACCACAGCACACGTTGGGCATCATCTCCAGTTGCATTGATCCAATCAGTGATCTGGGAGAGAATCTCCGTGCGCGTCCCTGAGAGGCATTGTTTCGTGGTGTCTAGTCCTGCGCCCGCCGCGTAAGCCATCCCGCTGAGATCCAGTGTTTCGCCTAAAGTAACAACTGATTCGCTTAAAGTGACGAGCGTTGTAGTCTGAAGGGGTATGAGTTGACGCAAAGTCAGATGTGCATCCAAATCCTTACCCGTACGCTGGACGAAGATGGCTACGTCCCGATCAACTTGGTCCCGGAATTGTTGCATAAGCTTGTCCAAAGCGTCGCTGTACCGTTGAATCATATCATCCGTTTCCGAGATGACAGTTTTCCCGAGTCTCTTCCCTATAATAAAGGTAGAAATTGGAGAATGTACGAAGCACGACAGCTTACGACTCACAAAAGCCTTCGATCTTGGAGTAATCCCTGATGAAACGGGCACACTCTAGGGTCTGCTCAACGAGCTGTCCAACGATATCGCGCATCGATTCAATCTTGCCAAGAACGTCGTCGTGTGTCATGAAATGGTAAACTTCATCTAATTTCTCGAGAAGACGATATACTGATTGATCGCGCTCCGCTTGAGCGAGAACAATCTATATGCAATGATAATTCTGAGCAGGAGACAGAAATCAGGGCGAAATCGAACGTACTTTGGATGCCGCAGACAGCACACCCAGCGCCATCTTTGCGTATGGATGGACCTGAACAACTTGGTTAGTTTGCTTCCAATCAAGGAAAGTCACTCATACATTCCCGAGCTTCTCAATGGCGGCGTCGAAAATTTTGAGGGGTTGGAGATATGTGGTCTGGAAGTCGTATGTGGCAGTGAGATCTGCTGGGGCATTTTGACCGGCGGACACCACAGAAGTGGTGTGTCCCCCGAGTAGTCTCATGCGTTCCGCAGCCTCATGAGCATCCCGAATTTCCGCAGCCTCATGAGCATCCCGAAGTTCCACAGCCTCACGGGCATCCCGAATGTCAGCATCAGCCGATTGAGGACCAGAAGTTTCCTCCACGCCAGAGGGGGTGGCCTTAACCTGCGCGACCACCATAATTGAGAAAAGAAAACAGAACAGATTATTGGACGCAAGTACCTTCGAAGCAGGTTCTCCGGATGGGCCTTGGTCCGCACAGCCACTGGGATTCTCAGATGTGGTGGGATGCTTGTTGTCAGCAGGATGCAGATGCGACGGATCCTTGGCGTACCTGAGGTAAGCGAGAGACTGCAGCAACGGTTTGAGCACTTACAATATTCTGATCCGATGAAGCACCTTCATGATCGACGTTCTGGGTAACAAGAACGCGGCCGCGGGAACGCTTGAAGGGTTTCTGCATCATTTGACAACATTTGAGACTTGTCCAGAAAACTTAGCATTCACGTCAACGTACAGGAATCTTTTTAGTCACGGTCTTCGTAAATTTCCTCAGAGCCTTATTCACTCTGCTATGGGGCTGGCTCTGGATGAAGAATGCGTCAGAGATAGCGATGGTTTTCACGAGCGCTAATCCAAAGTGATCTCATAAGGCCACATACTGAGCTTTCAGCAGCGGCTGCCTCGCTGGATCTGGAGGCTTCTGGAGGAGGATCTGGCCTACGTTCTTTTCTCATTACGACTGATCAGATGATGGATCGGAGTAAGCGAAGTGGGTTGTAAGAGTTGAAGGATTTAAACCGAATACCCTTCTACTTAGTCATGACTAACGAGGCGCTAATCATTCGGCCAATGGGAATTCTAGGAAGCCAAAGAGTTGAGGAGATAATGGGTAAGAGCCGTAGTAGATCGAACTTATGTATCACATTTTGATTTCATGGCCATGCGGCAGGCTAAATTTCTCCAGTTAAACAGACTTTGTAAAAGTACTGTCTATCTCAGCTTGATATACCTTCAAGTTGAGGTTCCCTGTCACTAACTATTCCAGGACGACCCTTCTTCATCCTACAGTATAAGTAGCCCATGTACATTCCTGATAACGAGCAGAATAGAACAGTAGATCTCCCAGAAGAACGCCCCGAAGAACTTGTCTCATTATCTTTTCTTATCATCGCTATAACGCGGTCACTCTCGTTTATCGATTCACGATATCTCTCACATCCGTCGTCCCTCCTTTGAAGCTAACACTAACCATTATCATTCCTTCAGCGGTCTATCTACCCCCTTCGCACTCGCATCGCCTCTAGCTACGCACGTCGTAACTAACTTACAGTGGCGCCGTCTACGAACAATTTCTAGGGTCACCCTACGTACATATCATGGGAATAATCCACGGCCATGAAGTTCGGGCTGTGCCGCTGTGGTGGATCTGGGCAATCTCTTGATTCAGGACTGTGGCACGGATACCGACCTTTCCCGGATGTAGCCCAGACACAGCTTGTGGTCTCAGCATGGGCCTGAGTTTGTTGTTTCTGATCCTCTACAGGATGTTGTGATCATAGTCTCCCACTCGTCTGATGTTGTCATCATGAATGTCAGCGAACAAGATCGCCGTGTCTTTAGGTCCTCGCGCCGTTTCCGACACACAACTTCAACTTTTGCGACTTTTGGAATTAGCTGTAGATAAGTACCACGACAAAAATTGGAACATAAAAGACACATTCTCTCGCTCCCTACAGACTACTACCCGACAACTGTTAATCACATCGTGCATCTCCTGTCCTACATACCGCCGCTAGTTGTCACGCGCTCCTGGAAAGCAATCGAAGTCATCGCGGTTGCTGCATCGGAGTCACCCACCAGCTTAGCGTGATACTCTCGAACGCCAAGGATGAGGCGTGGTCCCAGCACAAACATCGGCACGGGCTTCAAAATTTCAATAACACCAATATAAATCTGACCGCTCGTGGAATAGTCCTATAGAAATGATGAACCCTGGTCGCATGCAGAAGTCAACGAGAGATTGGCATACCGCTAAGATCGGTGAAAACATACAACCGAACTGGAAACAAGAAACAACAACAACGCTAGCACGTAGAAAGCTTCAGCGGGAAAGGATAACCACATTGGCATCAGAAGCTCACCTCGCAAAGTAAACCACGTGGGTTTTCATCAACACCGTGAAACAGTCTCCAAGAATCCCTCCTGTCGATTGTCGTCGCAGTTCACGGAAGTGTTTTACGGCAATCCAGACTGCGAGACACAGTGCGAGGACCTCCCATACAGTGGCGATAATCCAAATTATCGAAGTCAGGAGCTGGGCATCTCCCTCCATGTTAATATTGCACTGATAGGTGCCCCAAAGAATTAGCACCTCTGGTATTCGTCAATGAGCGTGATGTGCATAAGTCTTTCATTGAACTTACCCGCTGAAATATGCCTCATTATTATTACAGTGATCACTCCGTTGGCGATGCTGGCAGCCAGGAAGATGACAATGAGAAATATAAACACCTTTCTGGATCCCTGATACATAGCATGTAACCTAGCGATCAGTGATGACTGGCGCGATAATTCAGTCAGGTCGATTATTAAGGTTGCGCAACTAACTCACCGCCCACTATTGCAAATACGATAGCATTCGTCCAACTCGCTGTAAGAAACAAGATACCAGCCTGACAAAGCCAGTTAGCGATCAGGCTCGGAGAATTACGCACTCCGAAGAAACTCACAGCTGTGGCAGTCATTGTATTGGACTGACAAGCTAGTCAGGAATATCACTCACCCCTATATGGTAGTGCAGTCAATTGGACGGAAACGGCAGGGATCAGTGCAGAATACTCACCGCATCTGTCATCGAGATTGTCGGAACATTCTACTGTATTCCACTGGTCAGAAGAAATAAATGATGTGTATGAGGAGACATACTCAGAATGTTGACGCTAATTGTAGGAGATGACTGATTAGCTCGGCGCCAGGGCTTAGCCTTCCAAACATACACAATATATGATATTCCAAGACAGCGCAGCTAGCATATCTTCAAGTAAACACACCTTCCCAATCATACTTATAACAGTTACATACACTAAGATACATTATGGTCATGAGGGACCAGCGTTGCCTCTGCAACGAATTAAGCGTTTTCTTACGTTATTCTTTTGATACGGGATTCTGCTTACCCAGACCAGTTCCACCTATAAAACCATTCTCGATGAGATATCTACTTCGTTAATGGCGTGAACTTACCTCTTGTCCGAATGTTAGTGCTAGAGAGACCATAAGGATATCAGCGGTTCTCGAGTACTATCACTATCATGCTCACCCCAATCATAGATCACCCCAACAGAGGCGGCAACTGCGAAATTGTAGCCAAGATTAGATCAACATGTCATCCGACATGCTCTCCACGAACCTGCAAAATAGCTGGAATTACGATTCGCATTGATGAGTGGCCACCAACTAGGATCATTTGAGATCACGGTCATACTATTGGAAAATGGATGTGAGCGAGCAGTGAACTTGGTGGATATAGACAATGGTGTTCGTGCTAGATATACCACCACCCGGCGCTTTTATGGTTGAAACGGACATTATAGGGGGAATTCAATCAAGGGGCCTGTGATTGAATCAAACAGCTGATAGTCGTGAATCTGCAAAGCAGTGACACGCACAGAATGTTTAAATGCCGCAAGAGATCGAAGCACTGCTCGCGACTTCGGTAACTCGGCGAGGCTGCATACTAGTAGATAGGTTCATATCGTAGCACTAAGTAGCCATGTAAACACAAATACGATGTTCAAGGACGGAGTCACTTTACCTGCGTCTACGTTTAAGGATGAATTTGCGCGGGAACGAGGGGCAGTAACTTGGTCCTAGGGTTGCCGTAATTCAGTCGAGTTTGTGAGGTTCGACCCCATACGACATGCTCCACAAATTGTTCCATGCGTCCCTCGACAATGAGTGCGAGTAGATCACTACGATTCCAGGTGAATGTCAGTTTTTTCTTGCATCATCACTAGCGCCAAGTGTTTGACAGTTACTTACATACATACTGAGCGACTCTCCCACGTTTCAAGTTTCAGAATCTGGTGAAGACCGAAGACATGCAGTCCAGCATTGCGCTCGCAGGTGACGGTGACAAGACTGAGATGAACTCGGATCGGGTAGAATGTCAACTTACTAGTCACATTCGTACTATTAATGCAACTATTCATATGTGTATGCATGACCTGTGGTTATAGCCTTGAGTATCACTATCAGCTGCGTTATGCGCGCGCGGCATTATGCATAATAGCTCGAATCCTCGGGGACTCACAGAATCCAGATATCCGCGATCGAGTTACTGGAATATTGTCTGTTGTCAACGTCCAATGTCCATTGTACTTGTCCAGATTCTTCACACACCTCGAGGAATATAGTACGTAAATGTACAGTATGTACTAGTGTTGGCACGTTGTGCATCGCATGAGGTGATTCATACCAAAATTGGCGCTGGCCCATCATTGTCTTTTTAGCAGTCACGACTCACTACTCCACGCGTCAAAGACCTTGAAGTCACGGCGGAGCTTTGCAAACAAATCTGCAATCACTGAATATTTTGGCTGATACCAGTGGTTTTGCCACCTTCTGATTCATGTTGTGCTGATCGCTAACCCACTAGTTGCGCAATAAATCTCATAACGCAGGCTATTTCTGCCACAGGTGATTGGTGATAAGTGTTGCAACCCATGAAGCACGCGTTGCCAATGCCATTGAGGTTGATCACAGTTATGTCCTGGAGTCGGAGAAGAAGACTTTTGAGCCTCGTAATAACCGCCTGGAAGCCGGTAGAACTGGCTGGCTTGCGGATGTATGGCAATGAATCACACTCCTGCTGCGCGACTTCCTCTTCAGGGTTTGTACTTTGCTTGGCCCTCCCAACAGCGACTACCCTGCACCAGATGGAAGCCCATTTGCACGTGTAAACGCAGGACCTCTTTCGCATGCTGCTTTCTCATTCGTGCATGGTGGCTTGGCTCCTGCATACCCCGATATTCAGCCATTCCCAAGTGCTATTGACGGTCTTGGATAGTCGCTTTTACGGAACATCCACCCAGTCCATACCCCGGTCTTCCCGCAGGAACGACTCGCGAGGAAGCCCGCATGTACGACGCCGACGGTCCCCAGTGGATAGGTCGATGAAGACGAGAAGAAGGCGTGCTCCATAGTGGACGAGGTGCTCGACATGACGGGCACGCACCGTATGGTCATGGGTCACACCCCGCACTTTGGTGGTATTGTGATGGGAAGGTGCTCACCATTGATACAAGTAAGTTCTGTCGCACGAAGATATTGTGGAGTATTCTCAATGTCAATGTTAACACCGAAGGTATTTCGCATGCTTATGGCAGTGCGTTGTCGGCACTGTCAATCGGGTACACGCTGGAGCCTGTACAGGGTGGAGGATGGAAGGAGAAGGAGATCGTCAAGGCCTTATACACTGACCAGGAAGACGAGTTGCTTTCTGTGAGCACGCGGGACCTGGACGAGGACCTCTGGTAGACCTCTACAAGGTTCCGCGACATCACTTCATTACCTCCGCTGTATGTTACTGGGCGCAGAGGACGGCGATCAAACGTGATACTTTGTGAAACGTGATCAGGCGCATATTTTTGGCGTGTGATGCTGAGGCTCTCGTTTAGTGCTCTTGGATAATTTCCTTCAGCTTATGCTGACGCTTGCCCATGGGTGATGCCAACACTCGTGAATATCTATTTTCAGAGGTTGAACGTTGATGCTCTGAGAAGCTCACTCATGGCAGCATCGTTATGGCCTCCGTTGGACAACTTTAAATATGAGTACATGTATCTTTCAAAGCGCTTCAGAATACAATTTCCACCTTAAAACATCCTACCCCCCCTCACTGGACCCGGGCACGAGCGTTAGGAACCTCAGCATAATCATCTTCATCGACCCAAACATTAACCTTTTCGTCGTAGAAGGCGACATAACCCGCCATCTGACCACATTCAGGCTGCGGCGTGCGGTAGTACCACACAATGTCTTTATGTACCTCCCCATCCGGCAGTTGAACGTTATAATACTTGGCTACCCCCTATCGAGTGAGTGTCAGCCCAACATTACATAGTGTGTAAAGGGGTAAACCCACCTTGTAAGGGCACTCCGTGACTGTGTCAGACGGCCTGAGGAGGTCGACACGGACGTCCGTGAGAGGCATATACGTCCTCACGCGAAGACCCGTTTCGAAGAGCAAACGAGGGCGATTGGTTGAGGCAAGCTCGACACCATTGAGCGTGACGCGTACTTGGCGTGACGACTGCAGCACATCCACACGCTTCATGTGGCCATTATTTTTATATAAGTCCCTCGTGCAAGCGCTGTAAAATCGAATTGAGACCGACCTTATAGGGGTCCTTGGGATGAACGTAAATTCGCTCGTCCTCCTCGAACCACGCATCGGTAGAGGAGAACTCGATCTTGAACAGCCCAGCTAAGTCTTTAGTGTCGCTCGCCTCACCAGTGAACGCTGTCACAGCGGCCGGAGCGTTGCGATCGCCGACGACTAAGTCATAAATATTGATACCATGCTCCTGGTTATCCTTGGAAGACTTGTGGAACCACGATGGGTCCATTTTTGACATTGGGAAGAAATAGGTTGGATAAAGAGGCTTCTCCCAACTGTGTTTGACCGTTAATCTCAGTGACACGACTCTTAAGATGGACCTACACCAGCTTTGCGTCCCTCGTATCCACTACATAGCTTCCCCCGAACAGCACCCTCACACGCTTCAAAGAGGGTTCGATACGAGGCTGAGCAAATGGAGGAGCTGCGAAGGACATGACTGTCACATGAACAAGTTGTGCCAGCTGACAGAGGCCTTAGTCACAAAGGGGCTTGTGGGGAATAGGGGTAGTTGTCATAGGGACTCTGTAAATTGGACAAAGTGACATACATAGCAGACAACCTAGCAGATTACTGTAGCGCGATCAGAACGACAAGATAACGGAAGTAAAAGGAAACTATATATCATGTCTACATATCCATCCATCACGCATCCTCCTCAGATTCGTCATCATCTGCCTCCTCAAGCCACTTCAAGAACGGCTCACTCGCCTTCCTCACTTTCTTGCTCGTCTCCTTATCGACGTACTTCCTGCTGACGTGAGTACCCCATTGAGTCACGACCTTTTCCTCCAAGACATCGATCTGGTACAAAGCCATGAGAATCTTTGGGACAGATGGGATAAGCTCAGGGTGAGTGAGCCCGGCAAGGCGCTCGATGCCACCCAGTAAAGCTTTCTGGTGCTTCTCGGAGGTGACCAACTACGTATCAAGTTAGCACAAAGCCACGTAGATCAAAACATAGGAAAATGCGAACCTTTGCGAGCAGGGCCTTGTACGTATCAATCTCTTTCACAACGGCCGTAGTGAACAGCGCTTGGACAAGAACGAGGACAGTCTTGTGCTTCTTCTCGACGCCGAACTCTTGCGACTTTTGGTAAATTTGCACGGCACCAATGCCTGCCTCGTCCTTGTTCTCTTCGACCCAGCGGCCAAACTGAGCATAGGGGCTGTTCACATCGTCATCACTGCCATCATCATCTCCCAAGCCTCCAGCAGGTGCAAGCGAGAGTCCGCCAACCTGACCTTCCAGCGCCTTCACGCGAGCCTTGACAGCCTCGGGAGAGGTATCGGCTGACCAATCTTGGCTGGCAAGCTTGGTTTCTGTGGAAAGCTCAGCGGCTTCGGCTTTGATCTTCCTGGTAAGCTCGTCATCGCTTTCGCCACCAGATGCACCACCGTTTTCTTCTCCAGGAACTGGAGGAGCTGAGGCGTGGACTCCACCACCATTGCCATTTGTCTCGCCCTTCTTGCTCTTCTTCGGGTTCTTGGGCGGATTCTTCAAAATGAAGGTGACGAGTTTGTGCTTCATGTCGACGTCCGTCCTCTCACCACAAGCCTTGCAATCCCTGACGACATCCTCATTACGACCGCTCTTGAGGATGATAAGGTCTGTCTCGGGGTTTTTGCATGAGCGGCAGAGAACGAATTTGTCAATGAACACGTCAAGGAGCTCCCGAAGGCGAGAGGCGTCATGAGCGCCGTTGACAATGTATCTTTCATTCTTCTCATCGAAGGAGGTCTGTGCACCGAGCTCACAGCCGAAGAATTTGGTGGGGTACGTGGCAGGGCGAGATAGGGCACGAGAGACATCCGCCATGTTAGGAACGACGGTTTTGATACCATTGCCTTTGCCCTCAATTTTGGTGAGAAGGAGTGGCATACGATAGCGGTAGAACTTGTCATCGACATCGCGACGAATATTCACAATTCCTGCGGAAGCCATGCTGGGCAGAAGTTTAACGCTGAAGAATGACCCCTAGTCAATTGAATGTTTGACAAAAAGAATGCAGACGACGTACGGTACTTATGAATTTTTTCCGAAACAAACACGTATTTGCCGAGTTATTGAGTGGAGGTCGAAGCATGAAATAAAGTCTTCTGTTTTCTCCTCGAGTGGGACAGAAGATAGAAAAAGTTTGCGTTTGAGAAGCAATCGTGGGCCAAGGAAGACCGCGAAAATTATATAGGTGTGGGCTTTGGGTTGAGTTTTGGTGAACTCACAAAAACTTGGTTAAGGAGACTCTGTGATGGTGGTTGTGGGCAGTCGAGGACAAGGAGGCAAATTTATGGGTGCCTGTTTGTTCCGCTGCGGAATTTGCCGGATGACTAATTCCGCTGCGGGCAACATAGGGTGCCGCCGCTTTGATCGGGTACATTAATATTCAGCTGAACAGTCATACGTGTGTTATACAGGTTCACTGCATACGCGGGGACAATGATTGGATAATAATATTCCTTCAACCCGAGTAGTGCGTGGCCCAATCTAGGTCTGTGAAATTTCGGACACCGCGAGGTTCACGAGACCTACCCCTGGCCACTACCCTCTTCTCCACTTGGCAAAAAACGTCTCGGTGCGGTGCATGTGAAGGGCTTAAGTTCTCAGGCGAAACAGCGTGACTTCATGGTCGTGCTCTGACGGCGACTTGCCAAAGGTCCGTTTAAAGTAAGAATATCCCCTGAGAGCAAGAAAGGGATCCTCATAACAGCGGTAACGCCTTTGATGTGTCGACGTCAACGAATGGGTAACATTATTCTTGCCCCGGATTTTGTTCTAGGCTATATCAGCCGTTGGATTGTACACCGGGTTGTTGAGTCCCCACTCTGGTCGCGAGATCCTTGAGCTTCGAGTCAACTGCAGATACAACGAACGTGCGCGCGTGCGACGAACTACGTGAACGTGAGAGTGGGCGCAAGAACGATAAGTATAATATGATGTGCTTGGGACATAATGGTTTGTGAATGATTTAGTGGAGGACAACATCTGTCAAGCTCCTGAACCTAGCGATACTCCACACCAGTGGAACATGTAATGAAATCAATGGCTCTTGTAATTTCAAAGAGCGTATTCCAACAAGAATCTGTACTGCCTCGACACATCGCGGTACTATGATGCGATCAGGTCCAATGCATGCACAGCGCCACTCGAATTGAAGAAATTATTATCGTCCAATCATTGTCCTAGTACATGGCCCGTCGTAGATCTAATTTCCGACACCGCGAGGTAGAGATGAACATGTTTCGAGCGTGCCCGCAAGTAGCTGCTGATTGGGCAGACCAGAGGGCGGATGGCGCAAGCCAACAGATCTCCGAATTGGTCAATAAACGTTGTCGCAAATGGGCCCTTGGATCTTCGACCAGTCGATCGCACCCGTCTCTCCTCTGCGAATGGTGCGCATCGTATCGTTCATTACGAAGTGGCAAAAATAGAAACGAGCGAACAGGACGGTAAACAGAATATTGTTGAGGGCTCCAAGCTGAGGAGTACTATGAGAGCTGTCTCTTTGTCATGGCCTGTGACGCGGAGGACGCGTCGAGCTGCTGTTCTCCGAATGGACGAAGACGACGGTCAGAACAGACTAGGGGTGGTAGATTCTGAAGCACGATGCACACAGTTGCATCTCTGAAAGTTTGATTTGAAAATTCACATGCCAGTACTTCTTGAGCATGAACAATTTGCGGGAGCTGGAAGACATCAAGATTGTGTGATTGATGGTAAGCAGTGAGACGTGAGAGATTACGGAGACAAGGACATCGATAGAGGTTGACAAGAGTGATAATAAGGAAAGACGTAGTTTAGCAGGGAAGTACGAGTGATGAGCTCAAGATCGAAATTCAATTTGGGAGAACTAGGAAACGGATAGTGAACAAGTGAAAGCACCGGGGATCCGAGCGTTCTATACTGTGGTGAGTCAATATCGAGTGGGCGATTACTGAGTGCCACGAGGAAAGACAAGGTGGGGGACATTCTTGACAATCCCCGAACTCTGTAAAATCAATGTCAATGATTTACATGATTGAGCCTAACATATAGCCTGTCCCCGTATCCGTCGCTTGAGACAACGAATAACCTCGATGTGTACCAGCGAGTTCACGACATTTACGTGCTCCTACGCGTTAGACTCCTTTGCCTCCAATGAGTTCGCAATGTTGATGTTGTCCTATCCATGCTGACGTAGCATCCTATAATTACAAACATTAGACATCCTCACAATCAAAGGCCAACTACTTCAATAGTCACGGTGTACTAGTAACACGTGAGTGTGACCTATTACTAAGTCACGGAAACCTGCATGCACGAAATCCCGCATCCCGCACCCTCATCGTGCCTCTGGGAGGAACGGTCTTCAAGGTTTACCAGAGACTGGTTTCTCCGTCCTAGTTCATTTGTTAAAATGAGTTGATTCGCGCACTCCCCTATTCCGTCTCTTATTCCGCCGGCCTTTCTGCCTACCTCCTCGCGCACACGTCATGGCGGCCACCATCATACGTTCCGTCATCTCGCCAGCATTCTCACACATTGCAGTGTACTTACTTGCAGTCCTAGAAGCCCAACAGCCTTTCCTTTGTCGGCCGCGTATCTATGTCTCACTCTACAGACATACTAGGTGCCTCATCGGTCAATGCCCTAGGACAAGCTCAACTTAAATATCAAACCATCATCAAAAACCAAAAGCAAGTTGTTGCCACCAGAGATTCAGTAGCATTCCAGGTGGCGATTGCGACAGATCTCGCGTCGTTATTGAAGAAGGTCGACCATGGTCACCAAACCAGCTAGTTGAACGCAATCTCCATATGCCATGGTCCTGGACGCTATCGTCTCGAAAAAAAATCTTCGTTCTGCGCGATTCGGTCTAGGTTGCGTCCCAATATACGATATTGCCAGCCATCCTCGGCAATTTAATCTGTTGGACGCAATGAGACGCTGTGTGTTTTCAATCTGGATGTTCCGGGGTATAAAGATACACTCGGTCATATAAACTTCCGAACTGGTGCTAAGCTTACAGATATTGATGGCCATGCGACCGCCAGCGCTATATGAGGTTAATGAAGGGTCCAATTCGTTTGGGTAGGGTGTTTGGAATATCACCTCTCTGTTGCCCACAACGTTGCAACACTACCTTCAGGCAGTTGGATTTTTCCACCTTCGGTTGCCCGCGGCTCAGCTTTATCCCTGAAAATGAGTGAGGATAACACGCGTCTTGTTGCCATTGGCTTGCTTCACACTCGGCTGGCTCTTAATTAAGCCTCTACCGATGTTCAAGAGGTTCTGCCTTTTCATCATGCTAACTTGAATGCCGTTTTCGAACTCACGGACAATTTTTTTTAACGGGCAGCAGCTATAAAGCGCATGAGCACGGAATTGACGAACAAACGAAAATAAACCCCTCGCCTAGTTTGACACTCAGGCTAGTTATTTTTTGACAGTAAGAGTCAATTCATCAACCTGTAGCTGTAGATCTGACTTATGACACTGAATAGATGAATCTCTTGACCATCATTCTCCTGGCATTCACAGCCATCAGTCATTTTGGTGCACGAGCCATGTCAGGCCCAGACACCGTTGACTCGTCATGCGCGTGGAGTACGTGTGGGAAAGGGCCGTGTCCGCCTGATTCTTTGACCGAGAAAATCAGACGTTGCACCCTCGAAGACGGTTCCGCCGAGGTGCAATCATTATGCTGTGGCAACTTACAACGTGGTGCAAACAGGGGGAGAGAATAGCAGCAGGGCGTACCAATGGTTTTGGCATGGGGATCTGAAGTTCTCAATTGCCTAGTACTCACTGTTCGTTTCCGTTGTCTCCCTCAGTACTTAACGTCATCTGAACCGAACTTCAACTTACCCTATGATATCAAAGTCGTGGTCATCAGAGCGTGTTGCAGGGCCTCTAGCAGATTGTCGTCAGCCATTTCAAGGTCTTCTGCTCAAGTTTTCATAGAAACCGGCTCGGCCCCAAAGCCAGGGAGCTCATGAAGTTATTATGCCTGCTGGCGCTTTGGCTATAAGTTCCGCCTGGCGAGGTAGTTCGCAGGCACTTAAATATCATTGTCGCGTGTGATAAATTGAACATACTGCCATTGTCGGGGAAGTAATAAGTTTCGCTAATCAGGGGCTTCCGGTATCCATAAGTCACCGTGCATGCGAGGTAGCATATTCGTATTTTAAAGTACGGAAATGTGGGGCTGCGGATACCTTGCGATAAGTGCGGGCTTGTTATGTAGGGACATTACCAGCAGGGAGCCCTTAATACTTTGACCAGGAAGATAGTTGTCTGGATACATCTCAGTTCCACATGTAGCGGGATAGTACTAAGGTAAGTATGTCGATACGTTTGATTGACGTTTGATGTTAGTAAGATGTGGATAAGTGATTACAAGAATAGCGTCATTCCATGTTTCGAAATAATGTGGAGAAACATTCCGTAACGCCCTCTCCACCACGAACTATTGCGCCAATCACACCGTCTGGCCGTATTATAAACACCTTGGTCTGGGTGCCTTCCACGAGATCAGCAGGAAATGCAGCGGGTGTCGCTGGTGATGATGAGGGCATGATTACTGCTGATCGTACGACATGTTTGTCGTATGATTCTAGCGCGGCCAAGATTGGAGTAGCGTCTGCAGGATTCGGCGCAAAAATAAGGATTGTGTGACACCAGGGTCTATAGATATCGAAGAGCGTCTTCACGTCAAATTCCCCGAGCAGGATATGGAGCAGTTTGGGTGCATCGGGAGCCCCGTCCCGAGCCTCGAGATGCCCCTCATCAATTTCAGCCGTCTCAAACATCCAGTCCTACGCGAAGAACTGCTGTTTTTGAAGTCGTCGAACGCCCCATGCACATTGACCACAAGTGATCTACGGTCATTCGAAGATCCAGAGAAACTCCGCGGCAGACAATTTCTTCATTCACCTGACGCAAATTTGGCCGAAGTGTACGAGGTAATGGAGTATGAACGGGTCAGAGACAAAGACACTCAGATGCGTAGTATTATTTGAGGGTTGCAAAGACGAGGAGCCAGCGTTCATCATAGGTGAGGAGATGAGAAGCATGTTGACTAATTTCCTCGTCTTCTAGATTTTCTATATCCCCTCGTTTGCTAGGTACTTGTTCCAGAACACATTGGTGTCATGATCAGGCCGTGAATGCATCGTGCGAGCATAACTTTGACTGCGCATGAATCAAAGATGTCGTCGTGTTGTTCGGCAAAGCGCTTCAAGTTACCAGGCCATATTCTGCAAGAACGTAATGGTGAAACCGTGATATAATGCGAAAAAAAAGGTTTGACATAACATACTCCGTCATTGTACTACTGCACGTCGTCCACATCGTCCATGCCATGCCCTAATTGTAGAAGTTGTAGAGCAGAAACAAGTGCGTGAATAAGCGAGATGGGTGCGCGATACACACCATCGAGTCACGGCACAGACAGTGAGCACCTGTGATCAAAATACGGTGGCGAAAGAAGGACGAGCATGAGAGCACAGAGCCTGAAGATTGAGCGCTGCTATGGGGTGACAACAGTCAATGCACCAGCATGGATGGAAGGGGATAAGCGAGGGTGATAAATTCATCACGGGGGAGTTAACGTCGCCGTCGCCGTCAACACAAGGAAAGCAAAAGGCGCACATGTGAGTGTTGATTCCTTATTCTCTAAGCGATGGCTTTGACGCTGCTGCGAAAACTCGGACTTGAATCTTACATTATGTAGGAACCAAACGAGGCACCGCGGCCGTGGAACAGGTGAAGACAGTCGTCCCTGCTTACTACACGGCAGCTGTAAGTTCGATTCTCTGGAAACCGCCGGCTGCGTTACGAGCAGAGATTTCTTCCCTCATGCGCCAGCCATTACACTTGAATCTCCTGCTATGTCTGAGTCCAACTAAATATTACCATGTTTTTATTGGGAGCTGAAGCCAGTGCTTTTAAAAGACGGTAGACGTCTAAAGAGAAAGAACTCGTATGAGTTCTATAGTACATTAGTAAGGAATGTGTTAGATATACTAAACTATGACTTACCCCCAGTCGAGTATAAGAGACTGGGGAAAAGAGAGAAACGAGCGTAGCGAATCTATGGTACGTGGGATTACTATATATGGTAAGTCCGCTGGTGTAGTGAGCGGAGGTCAGAAACAAAAGACAGAAATTATACTACGTTGACGGGTTGATTTCCAACAGCTTTCTGTCTACAGAATTCTGCAGTCTTCCGAGTCGCTGCGCAGGAGAGGTTCGATCCTCTTCGCTCTCATTCTGACAATGCGACTGCAGTAATTGTATTGGATTTCCTTCAATATGAGGACTGGTACTTTGCTGTCATGCCATTCCACGATGGGTGTGATTGGTCACCTTTCGCTAATGCTGCTGAAAGTTCTCTCAGTAAGTTATATGAGCAACAGCCAAGTTCTATGCGTTCATTCAGCAATATGACATGCAGGCTGTATCGTTCCTCTATGATAATCATGTCGCACATCTGGTCGATTGTTTCGTTGTTATTTTCTCTCTTGACCAACGTTTCTTACGGTATTGATAAGATATTTAATCCCAGAAGAGGCCCAAAACGATATTAATGTCGGATTCCGGTCCGACTTCCCTGTTCGTTATTTCTGGCTGGATTTTAGGGTACGGACGATAAGTCATCCGACTGTTATTAACCTATGTTAAAAATCAAGTAGGATACGTAGGGTTATTAACAAGCATGTTATTAACATGTTATTAACAGTCACGTGACCTAAAATTTGAAAATTTCGCTACAGCTACTACCAAAATTCGTCCCACTCGTTGTCCATGCCTTCTAGGTCAGCATCATCCTCCGTAGCATCACCTTGAGTGCTACACAGGCCATTGATAGGACTTTCCTCGTGTTCATCAGACAAGGCCTTGGTGACAATTAGTGCATGAAGGTTTGCATCTGCTTCAATGTCGAAGGCTGAATCCTCCGCCGGTTTAGCCGCTAGTGTCTCATCGAGCCAAGTGCCTTCTTCATCTTCAAGGATTTCTTCCTGCTCATCTGTGCCCACAGATAGATAGCTGCCAGTGGTTTCGTGGCTTTGACGAGCAGCTGATTGTTTGGGTGAGGAAATGATGGAGTCAAGATCGCAGAATGAAATGTCTGGATGCCGTCGTTCAACCATTTTCTAAGGGGCATGAGTTATCAATACAGGCCACTGAATAAGACACTGACCTTTGGATCATACATATGCCATTGTCGAATCTGAGTCATGTCCACCAACGTCCGGACATGTTGACGGTTCCTGGCTGGTGTATTCATCCTCATGAATACCGACATTGTTCGTTCCTCGGGCACAGATGAGGGCTTGATTGAATAAATTTTTTCTGCGATACACTGGAGATAAAGCTTGAGTTATGAGTAGTCAGGACTGGCTGAAACTCACAGCAAGTATGGAGCCTTCAGGTATCTTCGTCAAGTGAGTCCAGTATGAGAGGACGTCCTGACCAGCATCCATCATTGTGTCAAAAGGGTATTGTCCTTTCACATAGCGCTCAAACTGGCGAACGAAAGCTTCATGAACATCAGCAGCTGTTTGTCCTTTGAGTGTGGGGTTGTGCTGGGACTCATTAGGTTGATGTTTGGTGAGGAAGGCTTCCGCCTGTCACCAGTTGCTTTGGACGTCCAAGAGAGTATAGGCTTGGCGCCAAAACGTCAGAATCCAGAATGGAAAAGGTTGTTCCATGTCGGCATGGGCATAGATAATAGACCGGCTACCACCTGATATTGCATGTTGCACCCCTTCTAGGAGCTTGTGCAGAACCGCAAGCTGGGGAAGCAGCTGCGTGCGGAGATAATCGAGATATAAGCTGTCCTCAGGTGGGGAGTCAGTGCTAAAGTATTTGCGCAATGGCGGAGCAGTGGTAATTGAAGCTGACGGGAGTGAGAATTGAAGGAATGACGAGACAGACAGATTCTTGTCTGGGAGAATAATAGATTGCACTGATACAGGAATAATGAGAATATCATCTGAGGCTTTTGTGTCGACGATGTCAGCCATTTCGAGTGCTCGACTGGTGCAAGAGGGAGGGAAAACAAGTTGAAAACTTCGTTGCGAGACACTCGAGTCCCATGTCAGACAACAGCTTGCTTCTCTGCAAGATTTGCGTTGCAAACTTCTAAGTCAATGATCTGCGAGGAACAGCAGAAGGTCGGAAGGCGACTCACAAAGACTATGGGGGTCAATAGACTTATTAGCACCATGTCACCCCCCCACGGCCGTGTGCCTGTTATTAACATGTTAATAACATGTTAATAACACACCTTTCTTAGCAGTGTTATTAACAACCCACTTTTCGTCCGTACCCTACTGGATTTCGGATATTCCGTGCATTCCCCTTTACTAGGCCCCGGGCGCAGTTTCCTCGTCGACCCACTCCGTAATGGACGCTTTCACAAAGCGCCTGAGTTGATTAAAACGAAATTAGACCCATTCGCGGCGGACGTCTTTCAAACCGCTAGAGTTTTATACATGTCGATCCATGTAGTGTATTCTAGCCATCCCATGAGATACATGACTTACAATGCTATTCACGCAGGAAATTGTCCCAGATGTACCTGGGCTCCTGGAACTTTTTCAAGATATGACGTACTCGAATCCATCGCGCCGCATCTCAGCATGTCAGGCGGTGGCGCGAGTTCAGAATTGTTGAAATTTGACCCCGTTTGCAATGAAGTATTCCATAGACCGCGTATCCTTGACCACATGACATATCCAATGGTCCTGATACGTCACTGGTCTTGGCTTTGGGACGCGGCTTGCCTTCGCCAGTTTGCAATTGCATGGAGTCGCGAAACACCGTCATGAACTGTAAGGGGAATTTGTCTTGCCCTTTTCATATGACGTTGATGTTTACTTAGAATTCGTGAAGTTCTGACGAAGATCAAAGCATTTACTTGGACTCGTACATAGCAGGAAGTCCAACCGAAATGGCTGGCGCAGCTTAGGTATCGGGCGAATTGCGTGAATAGAACAGCAAGGTTGTTTCTCACGATGAACATTAATATTGCGAACTCGTGGACAAAGGAGTCGAAGCATAGGAGTAAATGCCGTAAGCTTGCTGACACTAGAATGTTGACTGACACGAAGCTGGAGGGTGTTAGAGGGCGTCTGAGACAAGCCTGCGGGGAGTACTTCTTTTGTTCATATGGCGATATGTGCACCAGGAATCCGTCTTCCGGTTACATACTAAAAGTGCTTATTTGACCTCCCAGTCATTCGAAGATAACCAAAAAGGGGCAGCAAGATGACGTCGAGCTCAGTGAATGCTGGAGAGGGTGTCTCAGACTGTCAGAAGGCAATTGTGAATCCTATGTAGCTTGAAAATTGAAACTGCCCACGGTGCTAGTCTCCCCTAGCCAACCCTATAGAAGAACAGGGAAGAATCTGGTAGTCGTTCCTTCTAATAAAGCAAGTCCACTTCTTTGCAGGCCCCGGGGCAAAGGAGCGCATCAAGTTTCGAAGACACTTAGAAATAGCCTCGGTTCTTGGAGCCCCAGGATATGTTGAATGAAGCTTCTTGAGCAATTAATTACGAAACGGGTCTCTTACAACGAGCTTATTCCAACAAGAATATGTACTGTCTTGACTCCTATGATTCAAATCCCTACAGTGCATTCCAAAAAATCACTGAGCAAGAAGGTTCTCCACTGTAGCATCAATTGCCTGAGGGGTAGTGGTTGATGCCCAACGGTTCACAACTTTCCCGTTCTTATCAATCAAGAACTTCTCGAAGTTCCACTGCGAGTGGCAAGCAGCATCAGTTGCAAGTACATCGGCGATCCACCACGTATGACGAACCTTGATCCTGGTGAGGCCCATAAGGCCCGGCTTCTCGTTCTTAAGCCATTGGTAAACGGGGCTCGTGTTGTCGCCGTTCACGTCAGATTTCTTCATAAGAGGGAAGCTCACTCCGTGATTGAGCTCACAGAAAGATGCAATGGCGGCATCGTCACCTGGCTCTTGGCCTCCAAACTATTGGAAGTTATTGAGCTCTAAATCCCTGTGAAATATCCGTAGCAGCACGGACTCACTTGGTTGCACGGGAAACCGAGAATGATGAAATCACGTTCCTTGTACTTGTCGTGCAAAGCCTGGAGACCTAGGTGCCTTTTGTGAGTTGCATATCGACTTTAAGAACCATAGACTGCACCTTTATATTGTGGGGTGAAACCACTGAAGATTCAAAATCAATCGCTTGTACATCCACGATAGTCACTGACGTACCACTTCGATGCAACATTGACAATCAACACGACCTTCCCTTTAAGTTGTTCAAAGTCATACGTTTTCCCACTAGGCAACTCTGCTTTCAGATCATAAAAAGTGTTTCCGGATGAAGAAGACATTGCTCGTCGCGGAAGGTAAGGTGCTAGCTGGAGACGTGAGGATACAGTAACAAACGGTCGACGCAGGGATGAGTGAACTTGAAACGACCGGCAAGTCCCACCGATTTTACAGAGTGGGCTGTGGCTATATCCTAGAGATCTGATGCTAGAGCGGGTAACCAATCGCGATTGCGTCAGCGAAAGACTTGGGAATGATGCAACCTTCATGAGTCCTTCCGCAGGTGTGCGCTTGTTGTTTCATTCTTGACACGTGTTTATCTTATCTTTCTGCCGGACTCCGACGGAACGATTTGAGGGGTCTGCTATTGCTCCAGAAACTACAAGCTACTCATTTAAATCCGACCGTGCCGGCTGAGAGATGCATCGATGAGATTCCACTTCTTCCTCCGACGGTGGTTATGAATCATCTTGAACTATCATATCAAGATCGCAGGACATCCTCTCGCAACCAACATCCCACAATGGCTTCGTAGAGAGGTCGTTTGATGAAGACAGCATTCTGGAATTTGCACTGGGTCGAGTCACATCGCCCAAAATGACTTTCTGCCTTAACAATAATGTTCAAGGACTGGCTTACACAAGGATGATGGTCTGAGGCGACGTGACTATGATTGATTTGGTCACAGTAAGCCTTCGCCGTATGCACAATTAAGAACACCTACCCATGTGAAAGTAGCCCTGTTCCAAGAATAACATATAAAAGCCGCGCGTCAAAAAAGGCGTACGGCAGACGCCAATGATGTAAGGATGATTCGAAATAATGTCTTCACCGAAGCATAAATCAGGTACCCGACCAGGCTTGCGGACAACAAGGTCTGGTGAGTCGTGATCGTAGATATTTTCCGAACGAGTAATGACTCGCTTATTGAAGTCCCAAATGTGCACGTAGAAGCAACCCTCCCTGGGCAGTCCTTCAAGTCTTTGTCCTGGTTCAAGGGTACGATCTAGAGGAAGAGCATAGGTCATCTTGCTACCGAACGCACTGATTTGGTAGCTTGAATGATGCGTAAAGCAGCACGTACGCTAGGGTCCCCAGTCCGACCAGGGAATTTTGATATGTATCTCTGAGTGCAGAGCTGTTCCGGAGAAGATGATCAGAAAAACAGGCGACGAGTAAGAGAGAAGCTCTAGAACCATATCTGTCTGCAAGTACCACATATTATCGTGCGAGCTGGTGACCATACTTCGTCTATCGGGGAAAACGGCGACTGCAAGTACTATATTGAGATCGTGATCTCCAAACTCTCGAGGGGGTGTCCGGGTGCTTGCCAGAATGAGCCGTGCCATTTTACTGAAAACTTGTGAGAGTAACAGAGTTTAGTCAACGACGGCAGAATGCGAGTAGTTAAGATCCACGAGTGAATACTATACTGAGGTTGTAACCAGGAAACGAGAGATGCTAGACTGGGCGGGAGTAGCAGCAGCCTCCAACCTCTCTAGATTGTAGCTCCAGGTTGTAGGGGACAGAAATTTGTCTTAGAGCTGCGAATGTTAGCTGATGTAGTCGAGTAGACTGTGCGGGCCAGTGCGGCTTCGTACCTCGTGAAAAGTGCTTTCGTCACCACGCCAGTCATGGTCTTTGAGTCGTCGTCGTGGGCTACCAGGGTCACCAGTCAGAATTAAGCGAGAAGCGTTTGAGCTTTTGAATTGGCGAAGTTAGTAATCGAGTGGAGGGTGTATGACATGTAAATCACACTACATGTCCTACACCATACACTCTATTATTATCACTAACTGCGATTGGCGAAGCGACAAAGCAATCTGCTGCGATTCCATTCGATGAGGATGATGCGTGCGGGGTATTAACGAGATTCAATGAAGGGTGGATTTGGCCTGGCTGAATCGTGCGTGGATGCGGGTTTCTTGTTGATATTGTCGCCGAGAAATTGTCGAGCGGCTTTGTTGGAAGCTAGAAGGAGAATCACAATCGAAAGTCAAAAGAATGATGTACCAACACCAAGATCAGAGACATTCTCTGATCTTGGTATGAGCTGATACGTGGGGTCAAAGACAGCTTTCTTGAAGTACGAGGCGGCGAGATGTCCCGTGCACCGTTACTGGATACCTAGCTGCATCGTAATTCAAGTGTGAAGATATGCAAGTAAGCGTTTAAAGAGGACACTGGATGCTCTGCAGCGAACACGATATCTGAATTAAAGTTTGCGGGCGTGCACACTGCACAGTACACAGACTCATGTAATGTTCTATTCGGCGCGTCGGTCACGTGTTTTAAGTTGCCCCCGTCCGCGGTACAAACATGCAAGAGCTATTCACGCGGTCATGGCTGAGCACGATAAACCGGGTCAATTCTCAAGTCCAAAAGGTTTGTCCCTTCCCTCCGCTTCTAGTATCCATCTTGGTTGTGCTAAATTTGTCGGCAGACGCTGGTCTTGTCATACTACCTGTGGAGTCGCAGGTATTTCCCAAAGTGTTCTCTTCGCCGGGCGCTTTGCGCATTATTCGACGCGCAAGGTTGTACTGAGGCGGCTCATTCCGGCACGGATGCGAGATTATTTGTTTGAGGGATACATCAAAATATTGCGGTAGACGTAGATCACGCTGAGTGGCTTGACGCTAATGAATATCATAGGCAGTTAGATAGGGTAGCATCGGAATAAAGAGCAAGAAAAAAAACATGGCCAGTGTCCCCACCGTTGCAGCTTATCTCTGACACTTTCCGCAAACCAAATATCATGCAAAATGGACTCGCCTAATCCATAACCCACTGGTCACATTACAGTCTGACATGTATCAGTCTTTGGGTGTAGGAGAACCACGGAGAGCTGGTACAGTATTTGCCTCCGGAGATGATCGAGAAAAGCTGCTCGGCAGCACGAGGAGGGCGATTTTTATAGGTCGGGTGTCATTCGGTGGATCATACTCGTATTATGGTATGGGACAGAAGCTAGATGACGGAGAACGTGGTGATGTAAGGAGGCGACGACGACATCAAATGTTTGAAGCGTGGTGCAAGGTGTGTGAACAAACAAACGAATGTTCAGTCCCAGGCTACTATCAGCGTTCAGTACGCCCTTCTGATAGGTAAATTGACACTTACGGCCTAAACGGGTCCAATCACATCCACCTTGTAGGGCAATACTTGGACTGAATAGATTCCAACAGTTTTGCCCATACTTGAGGCGAAGAATCCTTATTGTCGGTTGATCTGAATTATCAACCATCGTAAGGGCCCTTACGAGAGCCGGTGATACCCCACGTAATATGCCCAGCTGGAATGCTTTTTGAGCTGTGATGACCTCGAATGCGACCGGAAAAACCGTTGTATCGATCTGCAGCACAAGGTCGGAGCTAGGATGTTGTTTTCGAGCGGTCAAGGTAAGTTTCTCGATGACCTGTTCGGCGGAGTTACAGTAGAAATCCTCGAGCAAGGCGAGCCACGATAGACTTCGCCGCATATCATGAGAGTTCAGGCAACCTGTTTCTCATTAGATGCAGCACCGAGAGGCTGAAATTCACACCGACCTAAGGCTGCTCGGAGAGCACCACACCAATTCGTATGATTCTTCCAGTCTGCAACCTGGCAACTTTTAGAGCAATAATGCGCAACAGTACAAGCGGAGCATCGATAACTGGGATGAGTGGATGCATCGAAACCATCTGCTACCCGCGGGCACTTTCATGTGTCTATCAGAAAACACATTGATGAAAGGATACTCTTGACTTACGTTTGGGGTTATGCATCTCCGGGCGAAAAAGGGCTTACGACGTGAGTGTGACTTCAGCTGAAGTGCCAATAGTGGGAGAGCAGTGTCGACTACCATACGCCATCTACTTTTTATCAATGGATCGGGATAATGCGGGCTGGGGTCAATGCGCATGATTTTTTGGTGATGTTGGAGCCTCTTCATGATAGTCAGGGAACCGAAAAACTGGGGGAGAAGGGAAAGCGTTTCGAGGGCAGGTTTCATGAGAGGCTTTTCCGTGTCATCATTGTGGCGAGGGATGCTGATAGCTCGATTTATCGACTCGAGAAGGTCGGCTTTAAGTGCTTCGTCCAGCGCTGAGATACTGTCATCCGCGTGATATAACACGAAGTTGACGTAGCGGAAACAGGCTCGCATGAGACGTTTCCTCTCCGCGAGTTCGACTCGGGGTATCTCTTGAGTTGAATGGTGGTGGATCGAGTCGCTCACAAATTTCGGCCATGTACACGAAATAGCGGTGACGATTGTATGCATGGACCCCATTTCGAGTAGTAACTCACGGCATGAGCTACTAGTCTCGCTGATGAGGAAAATGAATTCGATGGCGTGCGAAAAGCCTGTTACCGTCGAGGCACAGTACTCGTATACGCTATATGCGTAACGATCTTGCGGCGGTGACCACTGAGGAGACAAGGATGAAGCGAGCAACTGCAACTCCCTGGTCATACGTCGCACATATTTTAGAGCCATGGAAACGAATGTTGTGGCGCCTCCCGCTAAACGTATAAGGGATGGAAGCAACGAGCGGTCGTCTAGCGCGGCGACAGCGACTTCAGCCAATGATAACCGAACCAAGCCCATGATACGGCACGTCTTAAGCAAAGGATCGATGGCTTCTACCTTGCGATCACTCGGCATATTTCCAAACATTAACCACATCTGGATAAAATAGTCCCGGGTTGCGTGAGCAGTCCTGAGAAGTCGTCGCCCATCTGATGAGTATCTGCAGATGGTGTGAAGCAGCAGGATGGAATTCTTGACAGCATCAAACATGGTGACTTTGAATGAATTACTCGTCGATGGATTTCTCCAAGTTGCAGACAGCTGATGTGCAAAAAACTGCATCCATGGGAATAACATATCCCACTTGGAGACCAGAAAATGGGTGATGATGGGATCGGCTTCCGCCTCATTATTTGTAGCCACCTGGAAGTTACTGCAGACTAACATGACCCCACGGAAAGATTCCTTAGCAAGCAGGATATTTGTGATATTTGTGATATTTGCGATGGAGCCTGTCGCTGTAGTGACTTCAGGGATGCGAGAAGTGTTCAAGAGAGCATAAAACACTGGGAGCAAGCGGAGTTTGTGTTCAGGTGAAGGTGGCAGGTTTTCGACAACTAGGTCGAGGTCCGCTACGCTTCCATGTAGGGCTCGTACAGCACGTTGCTAGAAATGATGTGTCGGGGGCTGTGTGCCACTGTGATTACTAGCCAAAACCGCACCTGAATATGATCGGGTAAGGCTTTCAGCGCATTTATTTCTTGAGCAGAGATGTTCGACACCATCTATGCTGCTGCCACCAGTGAATACTAGTGAGTCGTGACTGCTAAAAAGACAATGATGGGCTAGCGCCAATTTTGGTATGAATCACCTCATGCGATGCACAACGTGCCAACACTAGTACATACTGTACATTTACGTACTATATTCCTCGAGGTGTGTGAAGAATCTGGACAAGTACAATGGACATTGGACGTTGACAACAGACAATATTCCAGTAACTCGATCGCGGATATCTGGATTCTGTGAGTCCCCGAGGATTCGAGCTATTATGCATAATGCCGCGCGCGCATAACGCAGCTGATAGTAATACTCAAGGCTATAACCACAGGTCATGCATACACATATGAATAGTTGCATTAATAGTACGAATGTCACTAGTAAGTTGACATTCTACCCGATCCGAGTTCATCTCAGTCTTGTCACCGTCACCTGCGAGCGCAATGCTGGACTGCATGTCTTCGGTCTTCACCAGATTCTGAAACTTGAAACATGGGAGAGTCGCTCAGTATGTATGTAAGTAACTGTCAAACACTTGGCGCTAGTGATGATGCCTGCGCAAATTCATCCTTAAACGTCGACGCAGGTAAAGTGACTCCGTCCTTGAACATCGTATTTGTGTTTACATGGCTACTTAGTGCTACGATATGAACCTATCTACTAGTATGCAGCCTCGCCGAGTTACCGAAGTCGCGAGCAGTGCTTCGATCTCTTGCGGCGTTTAAACATTCGGTGCGTGTCACTGCTTCGCAGATTCACGACTATCAGCTGTTTGATTCAATCACAGGCCCCTTGATTGAATTCCCCTATAATGTCCGTTTCAACCATAAAAGCGCTGGGTGGTGGTATATCTAGCACGAACACCATTGTCTACATCCACCAAGTTCACTGCTCGCTCACATCCATCTTCCAATAGTATGACCGTGATCTCAAATGATCCTAGTTTGTGGCCACTCATCAATGCGACTCGTAATTCCAGCTATTTTACAGGTTCGTGGAGAGCATGTTGGATGACATGTTGATCTAATCTTGGCTACAATTTCGCAGTTGCCGCCTCTGTTGGGGTGATTTATGATTGTGGTGAGCATGATAGTGACAGTACTCGAGAACCGCTGATATCCTTATGGTCTCTCTAGCACTAACATTCGGGCAAGAGGTAGGTTCACGCCATTAACGAAGTAGACATCTCATCGAGAATGGTTTTATAGGTGGAACTGTTCTGGGTAAGCAGAATCCTACATCAAAAGAATAACACTTAATTCGTTGCAGAGGCAACGCTGGTCCCTCATGACCATAATGTATCTTAGTGTATGTAACTGTTATAAGTATGATTGGGAAGGTGTGTTTACTTGAAGATATGCTAGCTGCGCTGTCTTGGAATATCATATATTGTGTATGTCTGGAAGGCTAAGCCCTGGCGCCGAGCTAATCAGTCATCTCCTACAATTAGCCTCAACATTCTGAGTATGTCTCCTCATACACATCCTTTATTTCTTCTGACTAGTGGCATACAGTAGAAGTTCCGACAATCTCGATGACAAATTCGGTGAGTATTCTGCACTGATCCCCGCCGTTTCCGTCCAATTGACTGCACTCCCATATAGGGGTGAGTGATATTCCTGACTAGCTTGTCCGTCCAATACAATGACTGCCACAGCTGTGAGTTTCTTCGGAGTGCGTAATTCTCCGAGCCTGATCGCTAACTGGCTTTGTCAGGCGGTACCTTGTTTATTACAAGGAGTTGGATGAATGTTAGCGTATTTGCAATAGTGGGCTGTGAGTTAGTTGCGCAACCTTAATAATCGACCTGACTGAATTATCGCGCCAGTCATCATGATCGCTAGGCTACATGCCATGTATCAGCGATCCAAAAAGGTGTTTATATTTCTCGTTGTCATCTTCCTGGCTGCCAACATCGCCAACGGAGTGATCACTGTAATAATAATGAGGTATATTTCAGCGGGTAAGTTCAATGAAAGACTTATGCATATCACGCTCATTGACGAATACCAGAGGTGCTAATTCTTTGGGGCACCTATCACTGCAATATCAACATTGAGGGAGATGCCCACTGGCTTCTGACTTCGATAATTTGGATTATCGCCACTGTATGGGAGATCCTCGCACTGTGTCTCGCAGTCTGGATTGCCGTAAAACACTTCCGTGAACTGCGACGACAATCGACAGGAGGGATTCTCGCAGACTGTTTCACGGTGTTGATGAAAACCCACGTGGTTTACTTTGCGAGGTGAGCTTCTAATGCCAATGTGGTTATCCTTTCCCGCTGAAGCTTTCTACGTGCTAGCGTTGTTATTGTTTCTTGTTTCCAGTTCTGTTGTATGTTTTCACCGATCTTAGCGGTATGCCAATCTCTCGTTGACTTCTGCATGCGACCAGGGTTCATCATTTCTATAGGACTATTCCACGAGCGGTCAGATTTATATTGGTGTTATTGAAATTTTGAAGCCCGTGCCGATGTTTGTGCTGGGACCACGCCTCATCCTTGGCATTCGAGAGTATCACGCTAAGCTGGTGGCTGACTCCGATGCAGCAACCGCGATGACTTCGATTGCTTTCCAGGAGCGCGTGACAATTACAACTAGCAGCGGTATGTAGGACAGGAGATGCACGATGTGATTAACTGTTGTCGGGTAGTAGTCTGCAGGGAGCGAGAGAATGTGTTTTTTATGTTCCAATTTTCGTCGTGGTACTTATCTACAGCTGATTCCAAAAGTCGCAAAAGTTGAATTTGTGTGTCGGAAACGGCGCGAGGACCCAAAGACATGGTGATCTTGTTCGCTGCTGTCATTCACGATCAGACGAGTGGGAGACTATGACCACAACATCCTGTAGAGGATCAGCAACAACAAACTCAGGCCCATGCTGAGAGCACAAGCTGTGTCTGGGCTACATCCGGGAAAGGTCGGTATCCGTGCCACAGTCCTGAATCAAGAGATTGCCCAGATCCACCACAGCGGCACAGCCCGAACTTCATGGCCGCGGATTATTCCCATGATATGTACGTAGGGTGACCCTAGAAATTGTTCGTAGACGGCGCCACCAACCGCTACTTATTTGAATACAGTGTTCACATGGAAGTCAGTCCACTACAAGGATGTCAGTTTCTTGAGTGAGCACATCTTTCTGATCGGCCGAGTTCGGGGTAACGGTCTCGGTGAAGCCCTGAGTATAAAGCTCAAGTTTGCACATATTGAATATATGGACATAATGTTTGGCCGCATCCCATAAAGTTTTGCAGGTCTAGCGTGAACCAGTAGTTAGCCTAAGATGAAACTTGGAACCACGGACTAAGTACTTATTGCACGATGAGTCTGAAAGGTTCCTAGGGGAAAGGAGTAATTAATAGGATGTGACATATCAGAATCTAATCGATATCGCCATCATCGTCATGCTGGCTGGTTAAACGTTTTGGAACAAGAAAAAGTCTATATTTGGGAGGCCAAATGGCTGTGCCAGATTTGTTCTTATTATCACGTCACAGATACTGCGGACAAGCATCTACATCATCCTCCGTTGACAGAACTACAGTGCCCAGCTGAACGTGCGGTTGCTCTTAATCTTTCTATTCATAGTTATCAAATTGACGCTCATAATTACACAGGATGCTGGCAGACTGCAGTAGCGCGTGTGCCTCGGACCCCACCTGGCACTTCGCGTTTGGCGTGACGGAGGGCTTGATATTCGACTACCAGATGGTATCATATTGATACGATCCATAATAACCATGTAGCCACGCAGATCGGACGGCAGCAAACTCCCTTCTGCCACTCAAAGCTATCGTGTCAGGAAACGACTGTAGTTTCTGCACCCGCATCAGGAAAAACTCCAGTGGCGCTGGGCCCTCTCCGCCAAGCGCACGGCTTATTCAACCCCTGACTCTAGTGCCGCATTTGAGGCATTCCATCATGTCCGAGTCAGAAAACAGAGCGTTCGCGGTGCGCGCCGATGCCCTGATTGTCATTTCTGGCAGGCGTGAGTAGCTCTCATTTCCGCCCTGCCTCTCCAAATTGAGATCAACAGGGTCCACGGGGAATGTTGTCGAGAGCGGAGTGCCTCGTTCTTTGACACGGAGATATTGATGCCTCGGCACCGAATGTTGTCAGGTTTACAATAATGCATACAGTGCCTGTTGTCGGAATAACTGTTGTACACAAGTCATCACCCGGCCCGCCGTCCCTCACGGAGTGATCACCGCTTCAACATCAATATTATTCTCGCTCTAGAGTAAACAATATGACTTGAACTGGTCGTGAACGGTGCCTCACGCACGCACAGTGCGTGTCCAGCAGCAATGACATACGTATAAATGGTATGAGGATTCCAAGCATTCCGATATTCATTATCCCTGTATCCTAACATCGTCTATATAACATCACTCTTTAGTCCAATATTACCAGGAATATGTTGACCTACTTAACCCGCTTTGCAATTGCTCTTGCTCTCGCATTATCTGTTCTCGGTGCTGTTATCCCCGCAACGACAGTGACCGCGATGCCCCTCGCGACCACGACTGCTCCTGTGTCCGCAAAACCACATTATAAGCAGCTTGACGGTGCTCTGTGGAAGAACAACGTTCACGAGAAGATCTATTCATCTGAAGCACCTGCGGTGACTGCAGAAGGTGATCTCTCAAATACGTTAGAGTTGCAAGCTTTTACTGACACAGACTCTGTCACACCAGGTGAACTTGCCGCCGTTCGGCGGTCCGGGGAGCTTTGGAAGGGGAGAGAACATGAAGAGGTAGTCCCAGTAATGGGCCCCTCTCGCCGATCTGGCGAACTATGGAGAGGACTCGAACACGAAGAGATAGCCCCAGCTGACCAGGCGCCCTCTCGCCGATCCGGCGAACTCTGGAGGGGACTCGAACACGAAGAGATAGCCCGAGGTAACCAGGCGTCCTCTCGCCGATCCGGCGAACTCTGGCGCGGATTAGAACACCAGGAGATTTCCGCTTACCCTGATGTTTGAGGTGAGTTCCTGTATGAGCCTCACTAACATCGTCCTGACGCACCACATACAGCTATACCGTGTTATCCTGAGTAAACTATTGGTTAATATGACCGAGGACCTCGGCGTTATCGGTGCGCTAAACCCGAATGAATCCGCTCTTGCTGTGCAAGCAGCGCTACGGTACACACTAGTTGGCTACTTGACTGGTTTTTTTTGGTATAATTATTAATATCCATTCTCCAGCGGGAGCCAAGAGCGCGCCCCACCTTGTATACTTATTCTTTATTACTTTAAGTTATTCATAACCTGCTTGTATCTGTACTTAGTACTTGTTAAATAGTTGTTCAAATGTATTTGTTAGTTTGCTGATGTGGAAATACTGCGTACGGGAAACTTGCGACTCGATCGCCAAGACCGTCTTACGTCTGTAGAAAAACGTGTGTCAGGGTCATCCTGCGTAATAGAGCTCCATGCTAAAGTACATGTTCTCGGATATGATGAACTGGATCGAGCAAGCATTGAACAGTTTGCCATGGCGAGGCCCCAACACGCCACCGCTCATCCCCCGTTGACAGTGGTTACCCAATTAAACTACGGTTTATTTTCCGCTCATGACTTCACACCATTGTCCATGACTGACTCCCAACTGGTGTTCTCCCGTGGGGTCAACTCGGCGATCTCCGCGTCAGCCAATATTCAAACTCCGAATATTTAATGTTTTCGTCGAGTCGATCGCGTTTTCACCTCACTAGTTGACCACTCTTTTTGCGTACTAACGAAGGCGCATTCGAAAAGACCTTACATTCGATGAGAGGTGAGTTTTCTCTCTGAAGCTGGTATTTCTCTGCGGATGATACCTATATCACCAAATCCGAAGCCTTCATGGCGGTGGTGAAAACATAATAAAAAAAACTAAGAACAGCCATCTGATCCTCCTTCATATTTTCATTTGCGCGCGCAGTACTAGTGCTGATTCTCATTTGTATCCACAGGTGCTTGACGTATGGCGTAACGTGTCGGGCGTGCGTCTGTTGGCTTGGCATATCGTCACCAAATCCAAAGCCATCTGGCAGTCGTCCGACCTTTTGCCACCTCTTTGTTTTTGAGCATCACGGGCTGTGTCATGATTGTGTATTGGTAAGGATTGTAAGTACATAGTCATGTGTAGACACGTTAACGTGAATAGTTATCATAAGCATGGCAGACGATGTCCCTTGTGTATAGACAGTATATCGACATCAATGGCGGCTAGGATCGTGGTATGCATCACGCAAGCAGGAAAGATCAGGGAGCCCTACAGAGGGTCGCGTCGATGACGATGGGTGCAAAACACCGTCCGCTTCATTTCTTCTTGCTCGTCATTTCCGCCATCTTGGCTTCCCTTTCTCTCTAAAGGGGGGTGAATCGCAATACTAGAAACCAAGACAAGAGTTCGTACCTCATCTGTAGCCTTCATAATTCTCAATTTCTCCACCTCGCGGGCACATTCCGCCATACGATCCTCCATCTCCCTTACAGTCTCCCTCTCCGCTTCCAAGCGTTCCTCTTGAGCCTTGGCCTCTGCTTGCTTGCCCTCCCACCGCGCGCGCTCCTCCTCAGCACGAGCCTTTGCTTCATGAAACGTACTTTCAGCTTTCTGAGCAGCCAACAGCGACTTGGAGTAGGCTCCCTCTGCTTTCGTTTCGAGTTTGCACGCGGACTTGTGAAGATCTTGCAGAGCTGCGAGAGACTTGAGAGCCCGTGCCAATGCAGCCTTTTCCAACGAAGATTCTGTCTTCAGAAGCTTGGAAAACCGCTTCGACTCTCGCTCTATTAGAGGGCTTCAGCTTCAGTTATGAAGAAAAGTCCTAATGACGCAGTACTGACGCTCATCCTTCAAGATTTTTTGTTTTTGTTTCTTACTCAAGGACCCCTCAGCGATGGCGCCCCGGAGGAAGACGCTCCCATCCACATCTGGTTTGGCGTTTGGGCCTGTGAGGACTGATCCGCTCTGGAAGGCCGCTGTCGCCTCAGCTACCGATCTAGCCGTGCGAGTACTTCTCGTTGTGCGCACTGAAGCGTTCCGCCCCAGGGAAGTGTTGCGTCCGACACCCATGCTATCAACGAGTGGTGTGTCCTCGTCTCTGTCCCCCGTCCATACAGGAAGCGATCGGAGAGAGGGTGTTCTAGTGTCTGAAGGATTGGAACGGCGCTCCATGGACTCGGAGTGGCTGCCTTCCACCTTTGAGCCTAAGATGTCACCGTTTGGTGTATGAGTGTTGCCTGGATTGTTTGGCATTGAGTCGGTTTGCTCCTGACTGCTGGATGCTTTTGCGTTCTCGGGAAGGAACTGGTATGCGTCGAAGTACTCTGTCTTTGCGCTATGCGAAGACAAAACGGGTTCCATGGGTTGAAGTGTTAGTCTACGAACAAAAAAATTGATCCCGAAGTGTCTTAAGTAGACTGACTTGAAATACAACGTCTTTGACCGACGTCACCGATCGTCGGTGACGTCAGCGTACGAGCCACGACTCCAATCGTTATGCATTTGTGTCAGGCTAAGCTAATGGATATTTGAAGTTGCCTTCAGCGCTTCTGCAAGATGGTCCGCCTCCACAAAAACGGTTCAAAGCGTGCTCATCTTTATAGTTGGAGTTTAGCACCACCGAGATTGACTTGAGTTGCCCCTTGCTGCATCTCATAGAGGTTAGCTACTAAAATGCATGATACGAAACCGTCCGTGTTTGAGCACAGGATCCCTGCCTCTGCATGTTTCTCGTACTTAGGGCTAACTTCGTCTAGGGGTTTGCCACCCGGTGGCAACAACGCTAATTTACATAAAGGATATTACCATATACGTACAAGCAGTACTTACTGCGCTTCAGTATTAATATTTTGCCTCTTCAAATCTTGCAACCCACTTCGCTCGAAATGAAGAGCCTCCTACAGAAATCTCCAGATCCAGCAAGGCAACCACTGGTGAAAGCTCAGTATGTGGCCTCATCAGATCACTTTGGATCAGCATTCATGAAAACTATCACTGCCTCTGACGCATTCCCGGCATCCAGATCTGACCCTGTAGCAAAGTCCATCAGGTTCTGGGGAAATTAACGAAGGTCGTGACTAAAAATATTTCTGTACGTTGATGTGAATGCTGAGCTTCCCTGGATAAATATCACATCGTGCAGAAACCCTTCAAGCGTTCTCGCAGCCGTGTTCCTGTTACACAGAACGTTAATCATGAAGGTGCTTCACCGAATCAGAATATCGGGGTAAGTGCTCAAACCGTTGCTGCAGTCTCTCACTTATCTGAGGTAGTACGCCAAGGATCCGTCGCATCTGCATCCTTATAACAACAAGCATCCCACCATGTCTGAGAATTCTAGCGGCTGTGGACCAACGCCCGAAGGTACTTACGTCCAATAATCGGCTTTTCTTCTTTAAATTTTTGTGGTTGCGCACTGGCGTGGAGGAAACTGCTGGTCTTCAATCTACCGATACTGAACTTCGGGATGCCCGTGATGCTGCGGAATACATAAAACTACTCGGGGAACGTGCCACTTCTGGGGCGTCCACCGCCGACAATGCCCCAGAACGTCTCGCCGCCGCAGACAATTTCCAGACCACACATTTCCAACCCCTTAGGATTTTCGACACTGTTATCGGGAAAATCGCGGATGTAAGAACCATTTTTCATGATCAAACCGGAACTAATCCTGTTGCATAGCTACATCCATGCAGAAAGATGACGCTGGGTGTGCTGTCTTGTACATCTAAAGTACGTTTGGTTTTTTCCGGAGTTCTATCTCCTCATAATTTATGATTCCAATGTAGATCATTCTCGCACAAGCGGATCGCGAAAAAGCAGTGAAGGGTCTACTCGACAAGTTGAAACAGGTTTACGGCTTCATTACCCAAGACGATACTCTCGGTCAGATTTCGTCCATGCATATTATCGTCGGACGGGTCGCTCAGCAGACTCAAGAGTGTGCCCGTTTCATCAGAGATTACTCGGAGACGAAGAACTTTTGTGAGATAGTCGAGCTATTGCATTTCACACATTCTCAATGTCCTACTATCGTGACAGGTCAGACTAGGGAAAAATGTTACATCTGAAACAAACGGTACAGTAACGCGTTAGATGGCCTTACGCAATAATTCCGGGACCAGGTCGATCGCGACGTAGCCATCTTCGTCCAACATACGGGTAAGAATTCGGAAGTGCTTCTGACTTTGCACATACTCACATCACTTCAGGTGAAACACTGGATCTTAGCGGTATGGCTTACGCAGCCGGCGTGGGAGTAAACAATGCCTATGAGGGACACGCACGGAGATTCTCTCCCAGATTACGGATTGGGTCAACAACAATGGAAATATTGCTCAGCGTGTCCTGTGGCTATCTGGCCCTGCAGTCAAGGGCAAATCAGCTATCACTCATACGATCGCTAACTGGTTCATGTTTCTGCTTCGACCGGCATAGAGAAGCAGACCCCCGCCATGAAAAAAAATTCTCCACGATCTCGCGCGGCCTCGCTGACCGCGATACGGGCCTGAAGCGAGCGTTGGCAGGTGCAGTCAAGGATGCCAACTCGCTTAAGAATACGACGTATGTCCAGCAGTGGCGCAAGCTTCTTATGTAACCTCTAAAGAAGCTCTCTGAGTCCACTGTGGGGCCTGTCTTGATCGTGATTGAGGCACTGGACGAGAGCGGCGGAGTCGACACGCGGCGTAACCTTCTCCGCATACTTGTCGGCACACTAAGCAGGGTGTTCCTAACGTCACTGAACTCCCACCGAACTTCCGGATTCTCGTCACCTCTCGGCCGCTTCACGGTATTGATAAGGTGCTTGAAGGCGCTCGGCATATTCGACGGTTATCCGTGGACGATATTCCACCAGAAGTCGCGGAGCGCGACATCCGCGCTTACGTATCTGAGGAGCTGGAGGGCTTGCCATATTTTCAGGACAGAGAGTTTGCAATACTCGCTACGAAAGCCGATGGGCTATTCGAGTGGACGCGTCTTGCCTGCAGATGCATCAAGGATATACCTGCGGGTGCACGCCACATTCCTCGCCTCAATGCTGTCGTAAACCGCGGTGGAGGGAAGCAAAAAAAAATTGTTGTACGATATGTATCGGCTTATCTTGACAGAAATCATGAAAAAGGATCAATATGATAAGGACGAGTACGAAGAAGCACTAGCACAGTTTCGTTCCGTGATGGGCCAAATACTTGGCATGGCTGAACCCCTTCCTTTTGATGCGTTGAATTCCACGCAAAAGCTACTTTCTTGACAAAAGCAAGCATGACCACATGGACATAATTAAACATATGGGATCTCTGCTCAGCGGCACCACCAACCCAGATACCCCCATCCGACCCTTCACGCATCATTCCGCGATTTCCTCACAGACCGCTCATCTAGTGGAGAGTTTTTCGTCCAGGTGTCGAACGTGCACCATGACCTTGCTTTTGCATCCTTTCGAGTGACGGACCACGGGCTTCGCTTCAATATATGTGATTTAAAGTCTTCATACCTCCCTAATTCCGAAGACACTGGGCTGCCTCGACGAGTCGAATCATGCATCCCACCACAGCTATCCTATTCCTGTCGATTTTGGGCTACGCACGTACGCGCCACAGGGTTCGACTCGGAGCTCGCAGAGGAAATCGGATCATTCTTCGACCACGAGCGACTGCGCTTCTGGATTGAAGCACTCGGTCTTCTAAACACACTGAAATGCGCAACTTCCGCTCGCCCGTTGATTTCCCAGTAGCTGAAGGTGAGCACATAGTTCCCCAGCGGTGTCAGAAGAAGCGCTTATGCGTGGAAACAGGGCCATTCTGGATATGAAGATGTCTTGACTGCTGCAGTGGATATGCAAAGATTTGTCCAGCTTTTTGCCGGCATAATTTTACACAGCACAACACATCTATGTATCAGCGCTACCACTCTCGCCTAGCAAGTCTACCATTGCTACAAAATTTACCGATACGTTTCCGAATAGTCTTCGTCTGACACTGGGACGTGGTGTGGACTGGACGGCTGTCCAGATTGTCATCAGTGGGCATACATCAGGCGTGCAGTCAGTCTTATTCTCGCCGGATGGTAGTCGCATCGTATCTGGTTCTTGGGATGAGACTGTCAGGTTGTGGGATGCAGTGACGGGGCAGCCATTTGGTGAGCCCTTGCGGGGGTACACTGGTTCGGTTCATTCAGTCTCGTTCTCGCCGGATAACACTCGCATCGTGTTCGGGTCAAGGGATTACCCTGTTTGGCTGTGACATGCAGGGACTGGGTAGCCGTTCCAGGAGTACCCAGAGATCAATTCCTTCCAGATGGAAGTTACACCACACCTCACGCACATGAGAGCCATTATGTCAACACAACCTTGGAACAATCACACCATTTCCTTCTTGTCCAGCTTACGACACACGCTGACAAACTCCGCTGACCTACTTGAGGATATATCCCATCATGATTCCAATTCAACCCCTTTTTTACTGGGGTGGATGGATGTATCGTCGGACCCAGTTCTCGGCTCCTATTCTGGGTCCCTCCCGCTTTCCGAGGCCCATTTTATAACCCTTGGACTGCATTAGTGATCCCGAGAGGAGGTGTTGAGCTTGATTTGAGCCGCATGGCACATGGACGATACTGGCGCAATTGCCGAGATGCGTGAGTTTCTAGCCTGATGCTATCCCTCGCAGTTTCAAAATCAATATTCTAGCCCTACTTAATAATAATGATTTTACTGCAGCAGTTGATTCGTAGAGATACCAGATAGTCATACATGAAGCATGCGAACTTTCACGATCTCAATTACCGCTTCAAGCTGTCACTAGGATGTCTCGATGATCAGACGTCGTCCTTATCCCTATAATTGAAAATTTGAAATTATCAACATCGAGATCAGTGGAGCATTTTGTAGCCCTCATGTGATACATCACCCCGCCTGCGGCACGCTGACTTTTTCATACGACCATATTTTCTATTGTTGTCTAACGTGTCTTCCCTTCACGGCGAGCTGTGTGGTCTGGTAGTTCATGACATGATATCACAGCAAGATCATAGCAAGTATTTTCTATGGGCGCTTGCGAAAATACGAGGCTCCTTACGTGTGAAGTACCAGACGGGCAGAAGTCAGGCTGTGAGGGGGAAAGTGGTGGCAACATGTCCTTATGTCCGGTGCTGGGAGGATATATCGATCCAAGTGAAAAATCGCGGGTGACACCGCCGCGATCGTTCAAACGATGCATTGTTTCGGCGATCATGAGCATCGACGCATGATATCACGATATATTAGAAGAACCACGGTATACATCCGGGCGCTATGTACCTGTCAACATAGACTCGGATGTGCGTTGGCGTACTTCACGTAAACAAAATCTCAGCAACACACCCAGACACAAGATCCTGTGCGAAAACAGCGATGAGCGACAGGAATAATAAAACTACAAGATGTATACCGTAGTGCCCGTGATGGCCAGTGACAGCGTCAGTAAGCATGTGCTACATAAAGAGCAAGAGTCAGCGCTTCATTGCTAGGACGGCGTTCGTCGATCTTACATCTGGAAGACGAGGCACATCTCAGTAAATGCCTCCAATAAGGTTATCAACAATGTACGTGTCATCATGAAATCTGAACCTGTGAAGTGGGCGAAGCCGGGAGCACGAATTTTGCATCAGTATGGGCGATTGGTATCATCCCTACATATCAAGTGATTAATTTTGATATTAAGACAGGGAGTGTGAAAGCGTCATGTACATAGGTATGAGACGACTCGGAGGTAGACAGCCATCTATTGCAAGACTCGATGGTACTACAAATCTCACCTGGTGGCGCTGATTAGTCTTCGATGAGGTGCAGTTGAGTGGAGGAGAATACCTCGAGCTTGAAGGAGTAACAGATCAGATAGAAGGGAGAGATTTAAATAACGAGAACATGCACACGTGAGAGAGGAAACAGGGCAAGCGAGTTATAGGTGAGTCAATAATGTCACATGTAGTGATCGGTTTTGAAGGCAGCCTTGCCAAGCCTGCGATCGAGAACAAGCACGTCACGGTATCATGAAGGCACACACTATATAGTGCCATTTCTGACAGAATGCGGAGAAAATGATCTGACTCGCGCTTTGCCTACAGCGTCATGTCTAAACCGGCAACTCGAACCTAAGCACACATTCAAAGAAGAAAGAAAGAAACGGAAAGTTCACAAACTCATTAAATTCCACTGAATGAAGAGATTCTACATCCTACGAAAGTCGTCGCGCCTGGCCACGTTTCACAGAGTATCACGTCTGACCGCCGTCCTCTGCGCCCAGTAACATGTAGGTTTTCAGTGAGGTGATGTCGCGTAACATTGTAGAGGTCTACCAGAGGTTCTCGTCCAGGTCCCGCGTGCTCACAGAAAGTAACTCGTCTTCCTGGTCAGCGTATAAAGCCTTGACGATCTCCTTCTCCTTCCATCCTCCACCCTGTACAGGCTCCAGCGTGTACTCAATTGACAGTGCCGACAAAGCACCGCCATAAGCATGCGAAATACCTTCGGTGTTAACATTGACATTGAGAACACTCCACAATATCTTGGTGCGACAAAACTTACCTGTGTCAATGATGAGCACCTTCCCATCACATCTCGCCTTAATGCCATCAAAGTGCGGGGTATGACCCATGACCATACGGCGCGTACCCGTCTTTTCGAGCACCCCGTCGACCATCGAGCAAACCTTCTTATCGTCTTCATCAGCCCATCCACGGTACCACAGGGGACCGTCGGCGCCGTACATGCGAGCTTCCTCACGAGTCGTTCCTGCGGGAAGACCGGGGTATGAACTAGGTGGGTGTGGCAGCGGCTGAGGCTTGCGGTCTCTCAGCCTATGTAAAAGCGACGATCCAAGGCCGTTGATAGCACTCGGGAATGGCTGAAGATTGGGGTATGCAGGAGCCAAGCCACCGTGCACGAATGAGAAAGCAGCATGCGAAAGAGGTCCTGCATTGGCACGTGCAAATGGGCTTCCATCTGGTGCAGGGTAGTCGGTGTTGGGAGGGCCAAGCAAACCGTGGAGAGGAAGTCGTACAGCAGTGGAATAATTTGTTGCCCATGCATCCGCAAGCCAGCCAGTTGTAACAGCTTCCAGGCGGCTATCACGAGGCTCAAAAGTCTTCTTCTCCGACTCCAGGACATAACTATGATCAACCTCAATGGCAACGCGTGCTTCAAGGGTTGCAACACTTACCGCCAATCGCCTGTTGGAGCAATGGCTCAGTCATGTACTGCGCGTTGAGATTTATTGCGTACCTATTGCGTTCATGTACTCATGATTTCCGAGGACTGACAACATGATGCCGTTGACGGCAAAGGCTTGCTCTCGAAGGTCTTCCATCCAATTAAACAACTCGATGGTATCGTCACCCCTCCAAGGATATTATTGAGTGCGATGGGAACACCAGTCGGACACCCTTACCTGTCAATAATGTCACCAGTCTGCACGAAAACATCCACATTTCCGCTCCAATTATTGTTCTCGTCCACGACACCGGCCATTTGTAATATATGTTCTGCATTTCCAATGTCACCGTGTATATCCCCAACAGCAATAATTTTGCGTGTGAAACGCGGACGGGGATCGCGTGCATGATCGTATTCATCAGCAACAAAGACTGCTTCTGCAGGCTTCTCTAACGTTTTGAACCTGAAAGGTGCTTGCACAGCAGCCTGGGCGTATGCGATGAGACCTGACAGGGCTAGTGAAAGTGAGAGTCCAGTCCCAAGATGAGGCGCAGGTCCAAGAGGCGACGAAGAGGATTGTGCGTAATACGCAAGTGATAGCGCAAGTAAGGGGAGGGCCACGAAAGCCAAAGTTGTTCCACGAGGCATCGCAGTTAAAGATATGGTGCACCTGTTTACTGTCAGGGAGTAATTAGGGAAGGAGCGTACTATTAGAGCGCGCTATATAGCTCACTAGTTGGACAGCAATGATCCGCAACTCTTACGCGAAAACCGATGCTCCCTAGATCAGTGGAGTGCGTCCTTCTCTGAATGACTCTTGGAGGAAGGAAGAAGCCTCAAGTTGTGCTGCAGGATTGTGGCGTGGCTATTTGAAAGTTCAAACTGGCGTTCAACACTTCAAATGATACAGCCTCAAGGCCGCTGTGAAATGAAGAGAGCAAGGTCACCAACGTGTCTGGCGGCGTGTACTCGTGCTACAGTAGTTGATGCACGAGGTCTGAGTGCGGGATGACGGCATGCGGACTGTCCAAATTGGGCATGTTGTGAATCGGCGGAAGCAGTCTCCCGCAGTCCCTTCGTCTAGAGACCGGAATCAAATGAACGTCAGAACATACCTGCCTGGCGCGGCGGGACATCAAAACCAATCCTGTGCAGGCAGTACGGAAATGTGATTTATATTACGCCAGCATGTTCGTCGTTTCAAAAATCTAATGAAGCAACACCTTCAAGACCCTCCTTTACCACCTTCTTAAACCGGTGCCTCAGCCCTTTGTTGCAAGGGAAAGACAACTCGAACCGAAGTGACTTCAGCAGTGTCGAAGTGCCGTAGACCTCAGGCTTCTTAGATAACACGGTGTAAAATGCATGCGTCCCCAACCTGAAGATGATGATAATGAGAACGACAGGCACACATGATCAAGACCAATGCTCACCATATCACAGAACCTGCCTGCAGACCGCAAATACCTCCACTGCTGCGCGCAATCTTGCTGCACGACTTGTGGCGTATCGCGGTATAGGCATATCTGGTAACCTTTCTGATAACATCTATGCTCGGTATTAAGTAACGTGGCCTTATTCAAGGTTGACATTACATCCAACTCACCGTGAAGAAATTTCGCATTCTTCGCGACACCAATACCCCAGCTCATGAGATAATGATGCATCTTCATTGCGGCGATGATGAAATTCTGATAAACGTTGACATATGCAGTATGCAGCCCATTCAAGTGGGTATCCGTGTAGACCATATGACTTCTAGCTTTGGCTATCCTGAAGACGATTAGGTGATGGTCCAACAAAGCATATAAATATCATACTCACAGTAGCATCTTGCGTAGGAACATCAGACCAGGACGACGTCCCTTATCTACTGTGAGCGAATATTCAAGGTCTGAAATGACGAGCATTGGAGGTCCATCATCACGCGCACAAGAAGAAGACATACCGTTGCCATGATACCTCGAGTAATCAGCCATGACTGAGAGATTAGACATGTCGATCAGCAGACCGCACCAAGGAAAATCTATTGCGTCTTCAAGCAACAACCGAGCAAGAGAAAATGACTGAACATACGCTTTCGGCCATGCTCGGTAATGTTCGCTGCCTGGATGGAGTCGTACTCGAAGTTAGTCATCGTCTTTTGCTTGGATACGATACATCCGTATTCAGGATGCCCTATAAGGTTCGAATTGTGAGATCTAGTTAAGTACAAAAAAAGGCAATTGTACCTTCATACATGACATCTAGGAACCGCCTTGCCTTTGCCAAACTGGTTGTCACATATAAATAGTCGTCGATCCATCGAAGCAATAACTATGCCAATCCTTAGCGTGAACACGCTCTCGTAAAAATGAAGAGCGAAACACGCACGCTTTGAGGATCATCCAAGATATTCAAACGAGTTCTCTCTAGATCCCCGTAGAAAAAGGAGCACAAGAGAGATGATAGCACAGATCCTTGAGGAATGCCAACAACTTGTCGATAATAGCGCTGGCCGATCTAGCGAGAACACGTCTGCGACGTGTGACAGCCATTTAATACAGATAGGACGGACCTTCACAAGGTTTTCCCTTATGTGCTCTTCGAGGAGCTTGAGAGTGGCTGTCCTGGACTGAAATTCATATTGAACCTGCATGGCAAATGAATAACTGCTATATAAGCCATATATTATGGGATCGACCTGATCTGTGAAGATTGTTTGCCGTAGGGCCGCAGCCAAATCACGGGCGTATGCCACGAAGTCCGTGTGTTCATCTCGGGGAACACCCTATCAATATGTTACCAGCCGCGTAATGTAATAACACACCTTCCGAATGCGCCGTCTTGACGTACGCGCGCTTGATTTTTCCGAAATCAGTTGCGACCTGCCCATACTTTCGTATCATATAATTGTCCTGCATCATGATGTAAATTTTGGACCAGAATACAAACGTGACTGTTTACCTCGGATATGATATTGTGAAGTATCTTCAGCAGCGTCGTTTGATCTATCGTGTCGAAGCATGCTTGCACGTCAACTTTGACGAAATATAGTTTCGGACTGTGAATGACATGCGTCAGCCATAAGGTTCCGACTGAATCAATAGGTCATACAGTTTCCCTGAGGGAGTATCCTTCAATAACACTGTTTTAAACTTCTTCAACCTTTCGTAAATCTCATTAGAGCTGAACACGGACGCTCCAAGGAGGTCTGGTTTGTTTTGCTAGCCAGGGCATCAGTATGAGCAATACTTAATCATTCCGACGTAGCACAAAACGAACACCTTTTCATATGTTAGAATTGCAAATGTGGCTCTCAGAGTCTGATTGATTGACAGCACGGGCTTTGCGTGCTTATCCATATTCTTATCCTGTGTTGCAATGAGCAAGAAACATGACTGATTGCCTAGGAGAACGGACCTCGGGGTTTTCTCTTCGTCGAAGATTGACAATGGGGCGAACACCGGTTTCCTTGGGCAGTAAGCGAACAAAGGAAAATCCGAGTTGTCGCTGGCGCAACATTTCTTCTGCTTCATCCTGCAGAAGCATAAGAACTAAAGGGGACTAGGCAAATATCAGGACGCACGTTCTCGATCTGTTGGAAAGTCTTCTCGCTCAATCGGCCTATCAGGGGTTCACAGAGGATTTCCCAATCGTCCTGCCGAAAGTAAAGAATATGCTTCCGAAATGCGGACGACTCCGTGACGTAGAAGGTTGTCTGGAGATATCATATCAATAAAGAATCTCCATCTCAGTCAAAGAATATACGAACCCTGAGCAACGGAAGCAGGAAGGAGTCGAAGTACCAGAAGAGGAATTCTTCAAGAAGTTCACGACGTTTGAGAGAATCCGACACTGATACTCTATGCTGCTTCCGGGCACCTTCTCCCGGAGGCATCAACCAGTCGCATTCCGACGTGCTGAAACCTTGAAGTACGTGATGTAATGTACACGTTTCGTATCTCCGGTACGCAATGAATTCCTTAACATCTGATAGGCGTCAGCGAATCATGATCGTGAGTGAGATAAATGTGCATACAGCCTTGAACAATCTCAAAATTCTTCTCGCATCCCCAGAAAGCTTTCGGAATGACAGCCTTAGTCACGAGTATAACATAGCGATAAACCTAGTCAAATGGTTAACGAGCCTTGCTCGCGCGAAGGTCCGGCTCGCGCACCTCGAAGTGACTACAAGTGAATTCCAGGAATCGTGGTTTGTGTTCTATTTCCCTTTTACCTTGAACGGCATGTACGACGATGCTGTTTCCTGCAGAGTCAATCGACATGTTGTTTTGTGATGCTTGCGATTTCAGTTGGATTGAGTTCTCGGACACCATTTCCTGTCGAACAAATAGAAAAAAAAGCTGTGATACTATTTTACCCTGCTCACCAGTATGATACTACTGTCCATGGTTTTGTTGTCCGTCGTCGTAATCTAGGAGCGAAGGTGAGACCGGCGCGCACCATAACCCGGAGAGCTTGTTTACCTTGGATGGACAAGCTATGTCTCGAAGTGGCTTGTAACCACATTTGCCATGTCGCCAGATCATCTTCTCCAAAAGCACGAGCACGTTCTTCAGCCGCCTCGGTGTCTTACATGTCCCAAGATCCTGTAACGTGCACATTCATTCTACGTCTGCGTGCCTCGACAGGCCACCCCTTACCTCAATATCAGTTTCCCTGTTAGCAAAATTCGGCTGCTTGTACATTTTTTTAGCGGCTGACTTCTGACTGAAGACGTTGGATAGACCGTATTGCAACGGAAATATGTATTTGCTCAGGTGCCGGGCTTTCTGGGCTTCCTGGCGCGGGTCAGGGTCCTGATATGCCCCAGGTTGTGGCTGCGTTTTACGAAAGTAAGAAGGATTAATTGTGTTAAGCACATCTTCGCAATGGTCAATGGATGCGAATCCAAGGTATTGCAAAGGCTTACGGTTGTGCGGCAAACCCACAATGATGCTTGGTGATTTGTGCGCACGATTTGGCCGTGCATAAAACATACGTGCACGGACGAATGTCACGTCAGCTGGTGTTCGTCTGATGAACTTGTTAGCACAACGAGGCAGAGGTACGTTCCGTTTCTTACCGTTCAGAAGGAATAGTGGCTGACTTGGTGACACTAATCAAGGGAACTTTACTGAGGTTCTCCTTCTTGATGAGCTTCAGGCGTTTGCGTGGCCCTGAGCCTTCCAAAGGGTCTCTCTTCCGTTTTCCAAGGTCATGTGCACAAGATTCACTCGAAGGCATGTACCAATCGAGCGTCGGAGGCGGAGCATAAATCAACGGCATACCCGTCATTTGACATAAACACTCGTTCGGCAGCTTGATAAAAACTGAGGTCTTCGTGAGGAGATGCAGCATGGCATCTGCTCCGATTCTGTAGCAAGAGTAAAGTTAGCGGTGGACCCTGCGGTGACCGTCGCTTTACCTTTCCAACAGCTTTTCCCATTCGGGGGCCTGCAGAGCCGTGATAATTGTGTTCACGAAAGAGTTCGTAATGCCACATGAAGCGGTATTCGCTTTTCGATCTTCGGAGACCTGTAGTAGATTAGATATACAGAGCATGAATGTGATATTAGCGACTCACTCTCTTATATCCCAATGCTATGATATTGTCTGGCTTGAACTTTGAGGTCGTAAATAGACGTTCATGGGCCTTCTGAATAACCTTCGTAGCGTGTTAGACACAGGTTCTTGCTGGATATGCGCACTTACATCCTTCATGCGAGCAAAATTCTCGAAGGCTGAAAATTGGGGATGATCCATAGTGGTCTCTTTCAACAAGCAAACAAACGAGCAGGTAAGCAGTTCTCGGTACTGGGCTGAGTCAGGTGTTTGCAAGAGAAAGTCTGACTGCGCATCGTCGCCGGCCTGTCTGAAGAATTCTTCTTTGATAATTTTGTGAAGATAGGCCTGAAGGTTATAAACTTCCGCGTAGTAGAAATTAAGAACGTCGAGCGTCAGGTGCTTCCTTGTAGCTGTCATGATATCGACACGCGAACGGCGAGGTATCTCACAGATTCAGGAAGGGTAGAAGTCTGACTAGCGCAACGTGCCAAAGTGTGCAGCTCTACGTAGGCTTTGAGGTGACTCTACGCGAAGCGCGTCTTGAAATTGAAACACGTTATGTCACACTCACGTGTCTAGTAATACAGTAGACTCGTGACCAGTCTGTTTAATGAGGCAAGCTGTTGACCTCATATTCAAGTTGATTTAAGCCTCGACGAGTGTGCCGAAGGTTTGCAATACTTGTACGGTCTCTCTTGCTCCGTGGGGCCCACTGATGCGGCGGTAGAAACGCAACGGCCGGCCAATGGTGGCGGTGACAAACTCTGCCTAAAGTATGCCACACACATATATATATTGTCCATGGTTAGCTCTACATCCACTTTTTTACAATTCTGCTTCCTGTGAACTATGCTAGATAGCCTGCTCTATGATCCACTGGTCTCAGATTTTCTCTCCTGCATGAATCTCTCGTGTTATCATCCTAACTGTGTTTTGTCACGCTTTCATCACAAATGTCACGTGATATTGGTAGGTTTTGCAAGAGCCCTACCTTACTTCCCCGACAATGGCAGTATGTTCAACTTATCACACGCGACAATGACATTTAAGTACCTGCGGACTACCTCGCTAAGCGGAACTTATAGCCAAAGCGTCAACTGCCAGCAGGCATAATAACTTCATGAGCTCCCTGGCTTTGGGGGCCGAGCCGGTTTCTATGAAAACTTGAGCAGAAGACCTTGAAATGGCTGACGACAATCTGCTGGAGGCCCTGCAACATGCTCTGATGACTACGACTTTGATATCATAGGGTAAGTTGAAGTTCGGATGACCTCAAGTACTGAGGGAGACAACGGAAACAAACGGTGAGTACTATGCAATCGAGAACTTCAGATCCCCATGCCACAACCATTGGTACGCCCTGCTGCTATTCTCTCCCCCCGTTTGCACCACCTGGTGTCATGCCACAGCATAATGCTTGCATCCCGACGTGACCGTCTTTGAGGGTGCAACGTCTGACGTGCTTGCTCGTAGAATCAGGCGGACACATTCCCCCACACGCATCCCACGTGCATGACGAACCGACGGTGTCTGGGCCCGGCATGGCTCGTGCACCAAAATGATTGATGGCTGTGAATTGCAGCAGAATGATTGTCAAGAGATTCATCTATTCAGTGTCATAAGTCTGATCTACAACTACAGGTTCATGAATTGACTCTTACTGTCAAAAAATAACCAGCCTGAGTGTCAAGCTAAGCGAGGGGTTTATTTTCGTTCGTTCATCAGTTCCGTGTTCATGCGCTTTATAGCTGCTGCCCGTTTAAAAAAATTGTCCGTAAGTTCGAAAACGGCACTCACGTTAGCATGACGAGAAGGCAGAATCTCTTGATCATCGGTAGAGGCTTAATTAAGAGCCAGCCGAGTGTGAAGCAAGCCAATGGCAACAAGACGCGTGTTATCCTCACTCATTTTCAGGGATAAAGCTGAGCCCGGGCAACCGAAGGTGGAAAAATCCAACTGCCTGAAGGTAGTGTTGCAACGTTGTGGACAACAGAGAGGTGATATTCCAAACACCCTACCCAGACGAATTGGACCCCTCATTAACCTCATATAGCGCTGGCGGTCGCATGGCCATCAATATCTGTAAGCTTAGCACCAGTTCGGAAGTTTATATGACTGAGTGTATGTGCACTTTATACCCCGGAACATCCGGATTGAAAACACACAGCGTCTCATTGCGTCCAGCAGACGAAATTGCCGAGGATGGCTGGCAATGTCGTATATTGGGACGCGACCTAGACCGGATCTCGCAGAACGAGGAGTTTATTTTCGAGACGATAGCGTCCAGGACCATGGCATATGGAGATTGCGTTCAACTAGCTGGTTTGGTGACCATGGTCGACCTTCTTCAAGGCCGAGTAACGACGCGAGGTCTGTCGCAATCGCCGCCTGGAATGCTACTGAATCTCTGCTGGCAACAATTTACTTTTAGTTTTTGATAATGGTTTGATATTTAAGTTGAGCATGTCCTAGGACATTGAAAAATGAGGCACCTAGTATGTCTGTAGAGTGAGACATGGAGTATGCGGTCGTCAAAGAGAAGGCTGTTGGGCTTCTAGGACTGCAAGTAAGTACCCTGCAATGTGTGAAAATGCTGGCGAGATGACAGAACGTACGATGGTGGTCACCATGACGTGGATGTAGGTTCGAAGGCCGGCGGAATAGGAGACGGAATAGGAGAGTGCGCGAATCAACTAATTTTAACAAATGAACTAGGACGGACAAAGGACGGAGCAAACCAGTCTTCGGTAAACCTTGAAGAACGTTCCTTCCAGAGGCGTGCTAAGGGCGTGGGATGCGGGATTTCGTGCATGCAGGTGTACGTGACTTAGTATAGGGAGAAAATGGGTCAATCGATTGACAAGCGCGATAGGTCACACTCACGTGTTACTAGCTAGCCTATACACCGTGACTATTGAACTTGAAGTAGTTGGCCTCTGAAGCACCGGCATACCTGTCCCAGAACTTTACCTAGACTTCCCTTGAACTTCAAGTTGCCCCCAGACTTCACACAAATTGATCATCTCCTACATGCCTCAAAAACCAACTGCAAATTTACAACGTACTTGGAAAATCTAGAGCAGATCGGCAGCATCTCATTCTGGGATTGTTGTCAAAATACTTTTACGACACTCACATGGTCCTGCTTCCAGGACGTCTACCGAACTGCAAAGCAATACGTGCAGCTTGGGGGAAGGAGTTTCTGCTGACGCAGTCGGTGGTTTCCAAGTATGTATGTCATTTTCTTTTGGGTGAGGTTGACCATATCCGCGTGATATATTAGATCAGATCTACTAGGTGCGGAGTCTGGACCTATGTAGTACCAGTGGGGGATGTGCACATTCCAGAACTGGACCCGTTTACAGCGGCCATTGTCTTCTCACTCACTGGATCGTCACGTCAAACCTATCATGGAATCAATGTCATTGGCTGTGCTCTTGGCAGGATGCTGGAGCCCGACCATTCTACCATTCAGAGACGTCAACTGAATCCCTCTACAAGACATATGGTATAAAGACGGGATTGTCCCCCAAGCTGATGCAAACCCCTCGAGAACTAACGGATTAACTCTCCTGTCAGCTTTATGAATAGTTAATTCCTTCCACCCAAGTGCGGCCTGACATTCGAGAGATGAGAGGTGACTTGTATGAGAAGGAAATCTCTACATTCACATCCCATGTGGCTGCTATGTACTCGAAGCGCTGTACTCATGGACGTTACAAACACAACGTCAATTTTTGCTGATAGCACGCAGCAACAACAGGTTACAGCTCGTTTGTGGACATTACTATGTCAACATTACTGAAATCTATTATAGGGGACAACAGCCCTGGGTTGGCAGGCATACTAAAGACTTTGCACTTCCCTTGTGATGCATTTGACTAACCCTCGTTACAGTGAGGCTCCACCGGCATTACCTAGTCAAGCGCTGCCATGCAGTCAGACACAATCAACTCCTCGATAGAGATGGGGGAGTTGCCTAATGGTTACTTCATGTACTCACACCATTATGATACAAACATGACATGATGCAGCATCACCCGTGTATTATCGCATACCAAGCCGCGGCCTGAGCCCGAGCCCTGACCGTGGCCCCGGCTTTTGGGCCCAACCGGTTTCTACGAAAAATTGAGCAGAAGACCTTGAAATGGCTGACAACAATCTGTTGGAGGCCCTGCGACACGCTTGATGACTACGACTTTGATATCATAGGGGTAAGTTGGAGTTCGGTTTAGATAACCTCAAGTACTGAGGGAGACAACAGAAACGAACAGTGAGTTTGCAATTGAGAACTTTAGATCCCCATGCCAAAACCATCGGCACTCCCTGCTGCTACTCTCTCCCGTCGTTGCACCACTTAATGGCTTCTCCCAGGACAACATAATGCTTGAATCGCGCGGCGACCGTCTGGTAAGGTGCAACGTTTGACGCTGTCGGTCGACCAACCTGTCATACATTGCGTTTGCCCACACACAGTCCATATGCATGGCGGGCTGGTAGTGATTGGGTCCGGCACGGCTCGTGCACCAAAAGGACTGACGGCTGTGAATGCCAGGAGAATGATTGTCAAGAGATTCATCTATTCAGTGTCATAAGTCGGATCTACAGCTGCAGGTTGATGAATTGACTCTTACCGTCAAAAAATAACCAGCCTGAATGTCAAGCTAAGCGCGAGGGTTTATTTTCGTTTGTTCGTCAATTCCGTGCTCATGCGCTTTATAGCTGCTGCTCGTTAAAAAAAATTATCCGTAAGTTCGAAAACAGCATTCACGTTAGCATGATGAGAAGGCAGAATCTCTTGATCATCGGTAGAGGCTTCAAGTTAACCGAGAGCCAGCCGTCAAGTGTGGAGTAAGCCAATGGCAACAAGACACATGCTATCCTCACTCGTTTTCAGGGATAAAGCTGAGCCGCGGGCAACCGAAGGCGGAAAAATCCAACAGCCTGAAGGTAGTGTTGCAACGTTGTGGGAAACAGAGAGGTGATATTCCAAGCACTCTATCCAGACGATTTAGGCCCTTCATCAACTTCATACTATCGGTTACCACAACTTCGGTCAACCACTGGTTCGGACACATTGCGATAGCTCACACAATTCAGCCTCAATAAATATTCTATCTCACCACATATCATTGTACACATATTTTAAGCTACTATAAAGTTGAATCATCGAAATTGGTGGAGAAATGATTGAGATAGTTGTTGAGGTGTGACAGAGCAGCAGCTGTTTGTCACTCGGCGACTCTGCCGCGGCGGAGTTTTGATACCTTGTAGGAAAGATGGGCTCGTAACGCCAAATACCGAGCGGGGTTCGCTTCAGGCAGCCAGTGACATGGTGTTACTACCCAGTGACATTGTGACTGTCCAAACCAGTGGTTGACCCGAAGTTGGTAACCGATAGTAACTCATTGACACGCACGCAATTGGCGCACGCACAGTCTCGAAGTTCATCACATCATAGGTGGAACTGGCGGAGAAGTAATTTAATACCATCTTGTGTGTTTGAAGATCTCATCTTGTATGTTCAGGCGCTCATCATCTCTACGGATCATATTACAACTGCATTTCAAGTCTTGACTTTTCTTCCCACCATTCCTTCGTTTCTTTGTTCAACCTCACTAGCCTTTCGTCCTCCACTTGGAGATGTTCGGATGGATGTGTCGTAAACAGGCGCTCGTCTAACTTCGTAAATCAATGTGATCTTTGTCATGTCCTCGGGATAACGCAACATACACATCAAATGGAGTGAGCTTTCCGCTGGGTGGAGTGCTGATAGTTTGTCCTTGCGATCTGTAGTCTGTGAACGTGTATGCAGAAGTCAACGATAACTGGCTACAGTGGTCTTCTTTTCTCCCTCCGGTCTATGAACGCTAAATGACCTCTGCATCGGTGCTAGCAGTAGCGCACCTTGCTCTAGCGTTTCGAGTTCTACAGGGGCCTGCGTACGTGATTCATGAATTTTTATCCTTAACATACGATCAAGTTCATTGACATATGCTGGAGGAAGCTCGTCTCCGAGTATGCTGTCTCACGAGATCTCTTCATAATCTGACTTGCACAATTTTGGACTAGAAACAGAAGGCTCGAACAGAGACTAGTATAGCTCTCTGGCCCGTACAAGAGAGGTACAAGGAAGAGCTTGCGAATGTCGTGCATACCCGTCGCGTTTTACCACTCCTATATGACAAAGGCTTTCAGCTCATTGTAGTGGAGGATTATGATCACAAGCTGGCTGGTGCGATTGTCGAAGTGCACTTTACGCTTGTGCATCACGGAATTAGGAGAAGTCAGTCTCTAATGCTGTACTTCGAGAGCTCATAGTACTGCGCAAGCCATCAAGTGGTCCTCGCAGCGTCATCAAAAAGCGCCGTCTGGCAGATAGACCATCATCACGGTCGCACCGCAGCCCACTGCCCCAGCAAGAAAAGCCGTGTCGACTAGTTGAGGTACTGAGCCTGGTGTAAGCTTCGTGAGACAACGAGGTTCGCTTTACTCAAAGATACTAAGAATCTATCCTAGCTTAGCATGTGCAGCCTTCGTCCAATTTCCCTGTGAAATATGTGTAACTCTCTCAAAGTGCACCGCGGCCCTCCGCGTTATTTTATTTTATGATATGCTACTGGGTGTTTTGTACACGGTGGTGAACAAGGCACGTGCCGGCGAAGCTCGGCCCTTCCTCAAGTGCACTTTATGCCCCGGGAGATCGATATTGAAATCCCACAGCGTCTCATTGCGTTTAAAAGACGAACTTGCCGAGGATGGCTGGCAATTTTATATATTAGGATGCGACCTAGACCGGATCGCGCAGAAGGAGGAATTGACCTTCGAGACGATAGCATCCAGGACCATGGCATATGGAGATTACGTTCAACCAGCTGGTTTGAGTGGCTGAATACCGGTGCCTCTTTGTTATTCCTCCACGCATCGATTCGTATTAATCATATTCCTTTAGGGGTAATATTCGCATGGTGAACAAGTTTAGCGACGGGCGAGTCTTTGTTGCGGGTGGTATGTAGTTCTGTTTTTGGTATACATGTGCTGATGGGAATCTGTTCCTAGACGTTGCTCAGTAGATCTCCCTCTAAGCGTCTACCAAACAGTTGTCGACAGGTAATCAGTATTCACAGTCCACTCGGCGTACCGTCAGGTGTGGTCAGAGCAAATGCCAACCGCGCATCTCGTTATGAATAGGGACTCAATTCAGGTGCACAAGATGCGGTAAGTCTGGTCAATGCAGCATGCGGCATAACTAACCGCCCCATACCCTAGTCCAATCTAGGTTGGAAACTTGTCCTTGTTAAAAAAGGACTTGCGCATATGTCTCTTCTCGAGACATACGATGCTGAACGTCTCCCTGTCATCTCCGAGGCTCAAAATGACTACATCAATCCTAAATCGTGCAATGACGGCAGCAAGCACGCCCGCCCAGCGTCACCCCATCCTTTCCATGCTCGACTTTCACTGTCGCTTCAACAGCATCGTCCTTGACGAATTTGCCGCGACCGATGGAAACTTATTACTTCCACAATAATGGCAGTATGTTCAACCTATCGTACGCGATAATGATATTTACCTGCGAACTGACCTCGCTAGGCAGAACTTATAGCCAAAGTGTCAACTCCCAGCAGGCATAATGAATTCATAAGCTTGGGCCTTTGCTGGTTGGGGTGTGTGCGGTAATATTTCGTCGATGAACTCCCTTACCCCGAGAAGAAATCCTATCTCTGGGTGCGACCTCACAGAACTTATGAACAACTTGACTACTGGCTGAACGCAGGAGACAGTGGACGCCCGAAAGGGGCGATGGATATATGATTTCATTTCCTGGCAAAGTTAGAAGAGCTTGTTATGATTGAGTCAAAGGGAAAGGCGCAAATTTGGACAGATTTGGACGTGAACTTCATGAAGGTGCGCGTGCTGGATCTCGGACTTTGACATGCAGCATAGTGGTTCGTAAAGCCGCAATGTGGTAACGCCGTGTTCTGCCTGAACTTTCTATACAAAATACTACAGGAGAAAAGGTAAGAAAGAATATCGAACCAAGTAAATCACACAGATGGTCGCCAAGATGCTAAGAGGGAGCGCATGCACAACGGCAGGGGAGGATTGTGCCAGTCTATTCAAGAGGCCTAAGATAGCACAGGGTGTACGAGGGTGTGGGAGGAAGGTAGCAACAGGTTCGGAGGTCGAAATGCAGCGCAAATCGGTGTTACTGAGTTGCAGAAGGCGAAACAGGCGGGAATGGCCAGCTGGGTGGGTATCAATTATCGTATAATTCATCTTAGTAGAGAAGGACGATTGCACTTTCATTCGTCTAAATAGGGGAAACTGAGAATTAATGTGTGAAAGACTGAAAGGGCGTGGTACTCCGCGAGCATGCTTCTCCCCTTTTCCTCACCTAAGCAATCCCCACATATGTGGTCTCGCCCCCAGTCCGTGTATACCCTCTATCACTTCGTACGCTTGAGCCTGCTCTGTTTCAGTCGGCTCGCAACTGTCTTGGATTGGCGCGTAAGGGACTGGGTATTTGAGACGCCTGAAACAGCAGGATTAGGCGGAGACTAACTGATACGACATGTCACGCACACTATTTAGATGAACCTTTGCGCAATGGTCATCTGAACATGATACGGTTTGGGCTCCATCTTAACATGGGAGATGCACATCAGGGCCGTATGAGTTGCGTGCACTATTGAATGCGGCTGCAAAACAATGTTTTGAACTATGCTCGAAAAATTTAATGCGCAAACCTTACTCGTTGATATCGTCTGGGGTCGTCATAATGGGCGATGTATGAGTCGAGATTTTCGAGTGCTGGTGGCCATCGCCGACCCTCTTCAAGGACGAGTAGCGACGCGAGGTCTGTAGTAGTCACCGCTTGGAATGCTACTGAATTCTGCTAGCAACAATTTGTTGAGCTTGTCAAGGGCATTGACCAATGAGGCACCTAGGATGTCTGTAGAGTGAGGCCTGGGGTACGCGAGCGACAAAGACAAGGCTGTCGGGCTTCTAGGATTGCAAGTAAACACACTGCAATGAGTGAGAATGTTGGCGAGACGACAGAACGTACGATGGCGGTCACCGTGACGTGTGCGCGAGCAGGTAAGTAGGTGGAGACGGGCCAGGAGTGCGCTTACTACTTAGGCTGACGCGCAGTGATTCAACTCGCTTTAATAGATAGACTATGTCGGAGTAAACTAGTCTCTTGCAGTAGACTGTGAAGAACGTTCCTTCCAGAGGCACGCTGAGGGCGCGGGATGCGGGATTAATAGTTAATCCTATGTCATTTGTCTATCGTTTTGCACCACGACAATTTAGAACTCGCTGTAGGTAGCTCGCCGTCGTAGACTTTTTTGATCCTTCCCTTGTTCCGCACTTCGACATTCGCAATGGCCCTAATAAGCGGGCATACTACCGCCAGTGTTTTCATCGTCGCATTTGTTTCTCTCGCATTCTGCCTGTGGCCTCCATGACTGCTCGCTTTCTGTCTTCTTCATTGTCGCTCTGCTTCGTTGCCGCTGTTTTCAATGTTCATCGAGGTTCATTTTGTTGCCTTCTTCAAACTCCGACATCAGCTCGGACTTCAATCGTCTGGAGTCTGGACTCACCGACAGACACGCAGATCAGTCAGATTCAGTCTGACCTCACTTCAATTGCATTTTTTTAAACATAGTGCGAAAAAAATGCCACATCAGGATACTTGACGAGCTGTTCACTTTTGCCCCCTGCACTCATCTCTGTAGTCTCTCTTTGCTCGCAAGTAGCTCTTGCATTGTGACGTACGCGTCTTAACTCACTAAAATCATCCTTTTTTTGGATTAATAGCAAGGCAGTCTCCCGTAGACTTCTTTCTAAGCTTCATCGTGGACTCATGGCGATGGCGAATGCCGAGTTCTTGTCCCTTCCTGTGGAGGTGATATGTCAGATCCTATTCCTCCTCACCCCAAGGAACCTTTGTCGTAGTGCAATACCAGTCCGATATTCCCGTTGCTCTATGTTTCCTCCTTGGCTAATTTCTGGTGTATAACAGACCTGCAAAACCTTTGGGACGCGGCCCGCAATTCTGTCCACAATCAACACAAGCTTGAGCTTTATACTTACGGTTTTAATGAGACCGCTATCCTAGACTCGGTCGGCTTCTTCAGAAAGAGGTGTTCATTTAATAAATCGGTATCCGTGTGGCGATTTGATTTCCACGTGAACACTATTTTTCAAGAACCAGTGCCCACTGCCAGTGCGCATGCCGCTACCAATCAAGAGCAATTTATGCAACGTGTGCTTTGGTGGATGTAGAGAAAAGGCGATCACTTAATTCGGGAGTGTAACACACACTCGGACAGGCCCAGCCGTACCTTGTGTCCTAGGCCGCATCACGAGTTGGAGTCAGTTATCGTCGAACCTCTGCAAGATCTTGTGGTCATAGTCTTAATGCCTCATAGCATCATTGTGAACAATGCCAAACGGGATTACTATGTATTTTCCCTTCAGTTTCACATGTTTTCAGTCCAGGATCCACATCCATATTCAGCGTGCGCTTCCTTGGACTGCAAACATGCCTATGATGCACCTGACGATTACCGTGTTGTCTTGTTCCAGAAGCCTGCAATCTGTAGGGACTGTATAGTGATCCCCTATTATACATACGGACCCGATTCATATGGACCCACGTTCATACAAGTGATAAATTGGAGGAAAGGACAGGTAAAAAGCGTAAGCTTCGTCTACTCTTGAAAGCTCTGCCGCTCAGCATCAGCAGATGCTTCACTAGGTCAAGAATATGGAAATTTCTATCTAGTTGATCCATAAACGATTGTTGTTATTGGCAAAGGTCTTATAAACTTGTACACATTACAAGAACCCGACGGTTCGCCTCGTCGCCGAATCACATACCCCCTTCCGAAATACCACTCTCTGCCAAGTTACACTGTTCATGCCACTCCATCGTTCCACAACGCAGCGGCTCGCCCAGCCCTTATGCCTGGCTACGTGCCCTCTCTGGAGTCACAAATAATGGTATTGGAGAGTATTTATCTCTTTCCGAGGCGGCCCATTATTTTGTCATCGATATCACCATTTTCTCACAACAGGCAATACACTCGGAGACACCTGTTGAGATTCCCTGGTCAGACTGGGGACTCCGGCATACGTGTTGCTTTCCGCATGACCCAAGCCACCAAATCAGTGTGTTCGGTAGCAAAACGGCCTCTGCTCTTCCTCGAAATCGTACTCTTGAACCTGGACAAAGAATTGAAGCACTCTCCACTGATGGTAGCTTCTACGTGCATATCTGGGACCTCAATAAGTGAGGTATTGCCCGTAACACCTACGACCCTGACTCACCAGACCTTCTCATCCGCAAGCCTGGTCGGCTAGCTAAGTCATGCTAAGGTGTAGACATAACCACGAATCATCCTTACACTGTTACGGTCTGCCATACGTCTTTTCGACGTGCGACCTTCACAAGTTATTCTTGGAACACGATCGGCTTACTTTAACATGGGTGAGGTTCTTGGTTTTGACTTTAAATGCAGCGATGGTTTAAGTTTAACGTGACGAAACTGTAGGCCCGACCTGACGTGATTGATATTCAAGTTGTTTCCCCCGATAGACGGAGGGTGGCAGCCTTTAATTCATCGTGAGTATTAGGGATCTGAAAAAAAAACTCGCTGGTTGTTAGCAGCATGTTAATTAGCCTGCTGCTTGTCAGCTAAGAGCAGGCTAATGACTTGTACCCAAATATACGAGGCTAAAATTACCTGAATCATGCAACAAAGTGCCGCGTAGCTTAGTCAACAGTGCATTCAAGCTTTGGACGTCCATCGCCAGGCCTCGTCACCGCTTCAACGTTCAACACTTCAACGTTCAACATTTCAACGCGCGAGTTGAAAACACTGGGAGACCAAGTTGCGGTGATCGGCCTGAGCCACTTCCATGGTACTGGAGTCACTCACACTTACCACGAGAATCATTGATACCCACTCGATGCCAGCGCTTCTTTGAATTTGCAAGAATACATTACCGGGACAGGTTTTGATTTCGATTTCACCAAGGATGGCGAAAAAGCTATAAGAAGTCGTCACCGCGATCTCCCAGAATATTCCTCATCCCTCGCATGCTATCCATCTTCGCTATACCTCTTGTTGCCTTGTCCGCAGTAGGCGCGAGCACACCCGCCGCCCGCTCCACTACACCTGTCGTAGCAACCTGGTATGCCGGCTGGCACGCCACTGTGGGATTTCCGCTCTCTTCAGTTAGTTGGGAGAAGTACAACACGCTGTACTACTCATTTGCGTAAGTGGCATGGACGTAGTTTTGATGAGGTCGATTGACGTAATGTCTCACAGAGAGACCACCTCAGACGTCACCCGTCTTAGCCTCGACGGCTCTGATGGCGATCTGCTCCCTCAGTTTGTCTCTGAGGCCCATGCACATGTGAGCAAAGGAGAATTGACTGCTTCTACAATTAATGTCTAAGGCACGCGCAGGGTGTTAAGGCCCACATTGCTGTCGGAGGATGGACTGGCAGTGTTTGGTTCTCTTCTGACCTTGCCACCGCAGAAAACCGGACGGCATTTGTCAAAACCGTGGCAGATTTTGCATTACAGTACGACCTTGATGGCATCAATTTCGAGTAGGTTCATTCATGTCACTCCGTTCTCATGTGCTGATCTCAGTCGTCCTTGGTTTCGAATAGCTGGGAGTCTCCAAACAATCAGGGAATTGGTTGCAACACCATTAGCGTGAAGGACACGGCAAATTTCCTCGTATTCCTCGAAGAGCTTCGCAAAAACCCAGTGGGGGCAAAACTCACCCTCTCTGCCGCCGTAGGATTGACACCCTTCTTTGACGCTACCGGGAAACCCTTGACTGACGTTACTGGGTTTGCGAAGGTCCTCGATTACGTCGCAGTGATGAATTATGACGTTTGGGGCTCTTGGTTTCCGACTGTGGGGCCAAACGCACCATTGAACGACACCTGCGCCTCGTCCGCGAACCAACAGGGCTCTGCCGTTTCTTCAGTCAAGGCTTGGACGGACGCAGGGATGCCTGCCAACCAGATTGTGCTTGGTGTTGCTTCCTACGGTCACTCGTTCAACGTCTCTCCCTCTGACGCTTTCGCGTCCGGCACGAAGACACTGGCTGCATACCCCGCTTTCAATGCCTCGAATCAACCTTTGGGTGATTTATGGGACAACGTTGGCGGTGTCGACGTCTGTGGGGTGTACGAGGGCTCCGGTGGCACTTTCAACTTCTGGGGTCTCATTGACAACGGCTTCCTCACCAAACAAGGCAAGCCTGCTAAGGGCATCTACTATAGATATGACGAGTGCAGCCAGACGGTAAGTAGAGATTTCCACCTTGAAAGAGGAGCGCTCATTTCACTGCTTTGCAGCCGTACGTATACAATGAGACCTCACATGTTATGATTTCGTTCGACAACGTCCAGTCATTTTCTGCCAAGGGCAAGTATATCAAAAAGACTGGGCTGCGCGGTTTCGCAATGTGGGAGGCGGGTGGTGATTACAAGGATATGCTCCTTGACTCTATCATCAATGCTGTCGGGTATTAGATACGTCGCCGCTAATACACTCTTCTGCTTCTATAGAAGTTACCATACCCACAGATTAATTACCCTTTGCTGTGAACGCGTCGACACCCGCTCCTTAATAGTATCTTTCCTTCTGCACAACGCTGAATGAGCAGGTCCGCAATTGCAGTTAATGGAGGCGTAGTATACGGTAAGTGGACTCGCAGCCGCGCTACAAGCACGCCAAAACTCTCGTGACTCGTGAGTGACATGTCAAATGATGCAGTCACAAGACTGCTCAGCAGTGTAATCAAGTTGGAGGGCCGACGTTAGCAACAGCACGAAGTAGGTATCTGTCGATGTCACTGTCGGGCAGTAGGTTTCCTTCCGCAGTTTCGACTTCTCAACCTATAGTAGCAGTCAGTAAGGTGTTAAGCAAGTAAGGCCAGCTGCGCAGCTTCAAGTGTTGCCATACCATTGTCCAATTTGAATCATGTTCACAAGTGTTTGAACGTTCTGGTTTCCATGTGTTGCCGGGTCGAACCACGTCAGCTTCGGGCCTGCCCGCTCATCTGGCATCGAGTTGATGAGAACTGAAAATATTTTGACTGCGAGAGCCTACGGACGGAACGGTTTGAAACGAGTGAGCCCAATAACGATGATCAGAATGAATAAGCTTACTACTGCACGAACATGGGCATGGGGATGTGGTAGGAGCACACCCCACCATGCAAGAGTGTTTCCATCTTAAAGGGGGGCATTGAATGGCTACTCATTGCACCAATAAAGCTCCTACTTCGCATCCGGTGCGATCTAGCAGCTCGGCGTCGATTGCGAATGGCAAGAGCGCGAGGTATTTTGATCCGAAAGCAGTACTGACAGGCAAGTCAGTTGGCAGGTTTTGTAGCACAGTAGCAGTATGTTATGTGAGGTACAAGTCGACAATCAGTTGACATACCTGCGAGGTGGTCTGTGTACTGATCAGTCGCGGAGTTGTCTGAGTTATCGGTCATATAAGTAGGGAGATGGCAAGAGCCGAATAATGTAATTGGATTCTCCTGTCATTACTCTTCTCAGTCTCAATCGCTCGTCCCTCGCTCGTAGCCCTCGTAACAATAATCCGCAAGCATTCAAGCACACCGCAAAACTCGGCAGGGGTCAGATGGAATGTGGGAAGAGGGTCAACGTTATTATAAGTCGTGCTTTATGCCACCACCATCTATCGAGTTTTCCATAGCACTGATCACCGACGAAGAGACTTATTACGCCAAAAATCATCTCACGATCTAAACATTTTGCGATTTCCCTGATTCACATATTAGTACGTCGGGTCTTGGCATACCCACAATATGATTGCTGACCATGCTGTTCAACCCAAGCAGTGCATCCCCGAGTTTTTCCATTCCTTCCGAACCGGTGCCAAGCCTATAGATATTGATGGCCATGCGACCGCCAGCGTTATACGAAGTTAATGAAGGGCCCAATTCGTCTGGATAGAGTGTTTGGAATATCACCTCTCTGTTGCCCACAACGTTGCAACACTACCTTCAGGCAGTTGGATTTTTCCACCTTCGGTTGCCCGCAGCTCAGCTTCATCCCTGAAAATGAGTGAGGATAGCATATGCCTTGTTGCCATTGGCTTACTTCACACTCGGCTGGCTCTTAGTTAAGCCTCTGCAGATGATCAAGAGATTCTACCTTCTCATCATGCTAACGTGAATGCCGTTTTCGAACTTACGGACAATTTTTTTAACGGGCAGCAGCTATTAAGCGCATGAGCGCGGAGCTGACGAACGAATGATAATGAACTCCTCGCTTAGCTTGACGCTCAGGCTAGTTATTTTTTGACGGTAAGAGTCAATTCATGAACCTGTAGCTGTCATCAGTGAACTGGTGGGAACGTGAGAAGGACATATATTACAATATATAGTAGACAATCACCAACATCAGTATAATTCTGCTACCGGCCGTTGCATTGTGATGCTTGACTTTATAAAGGAAAGCGGAGATTTGAATTCGCATGCACAGGTTTGCAACTTGCTAAAGGCTCATGGATCACCTAAACTCGAGATCGAGAGGTAGTTGGTGCAAAATCTGATGTTCGATCTGAACGAGTCATGCCTACCACTTGCGGAACTAGGTTCACAATTTTTAAGATCAGAGCAGAAGTTGGTACCTTGTAGAGACCGATGATTTGTCCACAGATCGAGCTCGAACCGAATGATATGCTGGTTTGGTTCATTGGTCCGAGCACTTTGAATTTATAATGTAGTTCTGTCGGGTATCATTGACTACTCCATACAAAACCGCTGTAACTTCTCGTGGAAGCGATAATTTGTGCGTCGATTGAGCGAGAACCAAATCAAATGCTACATCGAACCTTTAGCCTATCTGCTCTGAATAGGCAGTTTTGGTTGGGTGGTGATTGATGGCTATTCCATACAAATTTGTTTTAGCTTTGTGTCGGCGGTACATTTTCATGACATAGACAGTAGGCTAGAGACTTGAGAGCAGTGGCTCATGGTTCACCTCGGCACTCAATTTACCATTTGATAGGTGTCCTATCCATTGTGCCATTGTCCGTAAAATGGTGTGTCTTTATACCCTACTTCAATGATTGTTGATGCGCCCATAGACAAGGAGAATATCCCGGCTAGCCTATATACCATTAGCAGGCTTATGATTTCGATGTGTTTTACAATTACTGTCATCTCGCAGTCCTACACTTAATTGCTGTCCCCTCGCGTCGTCAGTAAAGTTGACCATTTCTGGCCCCCTACATTAGTAATTATTTATCCGTCTATTTGGAAAGTCTCTGTTTGCATTTGTCAATCCCAACGATTATGCTATTGCTGGGCAATACTAGGCATTTATGTAAACCTCCTGAAACCGAAGAGAAGACCACAGAAAGCCTGCGGATAAAGATAGTGTCCTGAATACCCCATGTGCCATGTGCGGTACTGTGATTTCGGAATGTTTTTACAATTGTGTCCATTTGTCACCTGTCCCAAGAAGTCACAGCTGTGCATGAATGCTGTGGAGTTATGACCTAGTAACTTAACTCAGAACTCGACAGCCAAGGGTCATCCCTCGCCACAGTACTTCGCCTACTATTCAACAGCCATCATGTATATTTGGCTCATGCCATCAATGTAATCTATACATGTGTGTCATTTCAACTTTAAAAGCCATCTTTTTGATATGTCTAATGTTTGTCAACTGTATATCGGTTTGGATGTGTGTGAAGAAGCTATATCTTTGCGTGGCAGCTGGGCTTTGTTCAAACAGGCAGGCGGCAATCAATTTGTATCATGCCTCAAGTCTCAAGATGATACTCTCTGAATAGCTAACAGCTGGTGGTGATATATCACTTACAACTGCATCCCAAGAAGTTGGAGCTGTTTGTAGACCATGTGTCATCGTAGCAATGTACCTTGACTTCAAATTCGGCAGTGAAGGGTCATGTATCAACCTTGGTACCCAGCTTACAATTCGACTGCCCTCGGACATATTGTGCCATGCATCATGTTCTAGTTGTAGCTGTGCACAGAATTCAGCGATGTTCATGGTTGCGCTGCACTCCCTGGATCCAGTTTATCCAACACAAGCACACAGATTCATGAACTGGAGCTTGAATCGCACTGTTAGTGCAAATGATCAAGAATACTCATGGTTGCACTGCACTCCCTGATTTAGCTTAACCAACACAAGCACACATATTCATACCATCTGACACGGCAAGCTTATGAATCCCCGGATTGGACTCGGAGAGCGCTCTGAAGGTAGTAGCTCAATATTATTCATTTATTTTACACCAAGCAGATTAGCATCAAGCTGGACATTAATATGGAAGTAATAGTAAACTATACGACAAGGGATCTCTAGGCCGAGTCAAAGGCCGCATCATTGCATTGTGCCCTCTGCATTGTGAGGGCATTGACGGACATTCTGGCCTTCGCCACGTTGCTGATGTCGTTATGGTGGCTCCGTCCAAAAACCTTCCTAAACAGCAGAGTTCAGGTGATGTTTATTGAGAGAAATACATGACACACCTACTCCACCACTTGAGAAGCTTGTTGACCCTGCGCTGCGCATCTCGACCAGGGGGCCTTTCAAAGAAGTCAACAATAGTACACCAGAATTGAACATAGTCAAAATCGCCATCAACAGACCGCCATGATGTAACTGAAGAAAGTGAGAATCGAACCTGCCAGAATGGTTATCATACATCATCACTGACCTCACCAAATACTATGACCTACTAGGCACGCAATGTACGCGATTGAGCAAGGAGTGACCTTTTTCATATTGATGATCTGCGCTACGTGTTTTTTGACCTTAGCTCCGTTGAAAGACTTCCTGGTGCGTCTGTTGTTCTGGATGATATCTGCTCCATCCCCATCACCTTCGACGTCCTTTGCTGAGGAAGGTGACGTGAACACGGCTTTATATCCCTGCCTAAAAGTGAGATTACAACCAGGCTATACTAGTGAAACAGACCTGAATGAGTATTTTGCCTTTGAACAAACCCTCCTCCAGATCATCCGGATTGGCAGTATACCCATCGTACAGGTAGGCCGGAAAGGAGAGATCCGTCACGATATAGCCCTCTGAGCGATCTCGAATGCCTGCCTGGACCCTGGTGAGCAGTGAGCATTTTTTTCTCGGCATTCCAAGAGCACTACTTACACTGGGTTGTTCCAATCTAGTTTGGCAGGGCAAAGCAGCCTGCCGCATGCATCGTTGGAGAATCCACGGGTATGTTTGTCATTGGAGTCGACTGGTGAATCTGGCTTGAATTCCTGATTGACCCATTCGGAAACAAGAGCCTTGAGCTTCGAGGTATTGTCACCTCGAGCACTGTCAGCCCCCTGCCGAAGCTATAAGAAAAAGACTCAGCAATGAAGAACCAATCACTGATGTATGTAAAACCAACCATTTTCAACATCTGCATGTATTCATCGTGCTCCATCTCCGACCCATTCCTGTAAAGCCACGGTAAGGTGGTTGAGAGGGTGACATACCCTATTTGTAGCTGATCTTGGCTACATAATCAAGCTCATGGTTAACGCTCACAAACCAACTTCAAAGTCAAAAGACTCACTCAATAGTATGGTCTTCGTCGCCACCTTCATATCTTTGATTGTTTTCAGCAACGAGGTCCTCAACGTTATCGAATAGAGCAACAATGTGCCTGATCGCCCTTCCCTGAGCCGTGTAATAGTTTGCTTGCCTAAAACATACAGTCAGAAAAGTGAATGATAGGGTAGTATGTGCGATCACAGTGGTCATACTTTTCTTTGACCACACGCCCCGACTCGAGAGCCTCTAGCTTCTCCTCCAACTGGGCAATTCTTTGTCTCTGGTGAGCCTGCACAGATGCTGCCTGTACTGCAGACTGTTGGCTGTGTGCGTTGGTTGTAGATGTTTCGTGATGCTCGCTCTGCATGCCTTCGATGTTGCCATCGTCCTGTTGGTTCTTGGTGTCCGGTGGGATGTCCTCGGCGTGCACCATAGAGACAAGGGGAAAGGAAAAAAAAATGAGCTGGTATAGAGAAGGGCGTTGCACAGCAAAGGGAAGGATGGAAAGCACGACTTGGGGATGAGGGATGATACTAATCACCTCGTACCTTATATACCCATTGGCTGGCCGTGCAAAAAGCATATTCCTATTCAGGACAACGTTGAAAATATGGTGATGAAGTCACTTGAGCAAATGCCTGTTTAGGAAAATACTAATGTTAGATATAAGGAACAAAGTCAAAAACAGAATGCTTGATACTCTCCTAGTATATTAAGCTTGTATAGCCCTGTGAGATTGGATGGCGTAATCCTGTCGGGTAGCCACCTCAGTGTGATTGACTCAGACTCGGAGGGGGTTTGCACACTCATCTTCGTTGGTCGGGTCAATAACGGGCAGTCTGACGCCCAGTAAGGATAGTCATCCTGAATAGATCAACAGGTATCCTTGAATCATCCTGCATTCTCATATATTCTGCAAACCGGGCCTTGAGCTCTTCCAGACACTGCAAATTTGTCAATTTCACATACATCAATATTCAACAGATAGTACATATGCAGAGTCCCCAGCAACAACCGCCTCCTTCTGCCTCAGTACCCGACGTCGTTTCAGCATTTGGCAAGGGAGAATGTTGTTCACTCGGACCAGCACCTAGACTGATATGATAGCGAGTGCAACTTGAAGGATGATTTAGCTTGTTTTTCAAGTTGATGCGTAGCATAAGACTGGGCAAAGACGCGGCATCCCCAATTTATGACAGTTCTTAGTTTCTTGTTCGAAGGCTCAGAGGATGGTGACTCTGAGTTTCACGGTCTTGAGTTTTCTTTTCTCTCTGGACGCCTTGGAAGTAGAGCTAGAAGACGAGTTGACAGTATGCATTTTCAAAGGAATGGCGCTTTGTCTGGTCTGCATGTCGAAGGCTTTAGGATTCAATAAGTACAAACAACCATCGCGAAGCTCACTTCTATTTGTGATGATTATATATCATTCGAGTACATATAACGCAGAAGCCTGATAATAATGCACAAAAAGCATTTGTTCACGACACAGCAGATTCATATCTAACTTGTGCACAACAATATTAATTATCAGTCGGCATTGTCACGGTTGGCAAATGTTCAACGGTGTGTTGAATCTGCCACTGATAGATAATAACTTCCCAGTAGTGACTATCAAATTATTTGAATGACTTGGATGACTCGAAGGTATGCCGCAGTAATGAAAATTGAGCTCAACTTTACGAGCTTTGGAGGGAGCTTTAGAAAGAGACATAATTATGATTGCACTGGTCATCCCAATCATACTCGTCACCATCATTGTCCCCCATAGCTCCCTCATTTAGTTCTCCGTTAAGTACCTCTTCACATTCTTTATGGCCGTCGTCGTCATCGTCGTCGTCCTCCTCCTCCTCATCCTCTTCATCGTAATCATGACCCTCGCTATCACCAGCCTCTTCAAGGTCTGTGTCGTCCTCATTATCTTCAATTACATTGTCCATAGGATCGGCCAGCACCACCAATACAGAACCCAGGCAATCCCTAGTGATCTTCCGTAGCATTGGGGAATGTCCGACACCAAGGTGAGTATACCGCATGAACATATCACGATCGACGAATCTGGCTCGAAATTTGAGTGTTAATGTGTTACTAGGAGATCTGTACCACCTACATCCCAACATAATACTGCTCCCAGTCATCCAGCTGTCCTCCAGGGCGTGCCAGTGACTTTCCATAGCGCAGTGAGCTCACACCGCGTCCTGTGGTGAACGCAGGGATCAGATGTGCCCCCCGGATTACCTGCCCAGGATCAAGGAACCCAAAGGCATCCCGGTCGGACTCCTCCACAAACCCAATCTTTGGAAGGCAAGCATATTTAATGCCAGACCTATGGCCCTGTATGGCTGCCAGCCATCTTACTCAGAGTACCTCGAGATGCCGCTTCACTGGTTGAGCTCCACCGCTGAGCCATACCTCCATATGGTAGATGCCCAATACCTGGGCATACCAGTAGGGGTGGCTAGGGGATGTCTCTCCTGAAAGCACCATGATGTCCCCATGTGTTCTTGGATTGATTGTGTCATACTCGCGCCTCAAGTCATAGGTCGTATAGTGCACCTGCATAGTCTGGATGGAGTAGATCGTGTTATTGGGAATAATAACAGAGTTTTTTTCCTCGTCTGTGAACATATGGTCGCAACAGCTAATATCTAGCTCCCGCAACCTGTAGATGATGTGGTCCCTTATTTTTGGTACAAAATTCTAAGTGTCTCTGTGAATAAATTATACCGTGCCGCCAGAACAATGTTACTTCTACCTTAAGGGCAGGATCACCATCATTTTCTCTGAGAAATGCAAAAACATCAACTGGGTTGTTCCGAGTAGTTGTGATATGGTGATGCTTTTCGTAGGACGCCGATGGGGGGGCATTAGCTGGCGGTTGGCTGCTAGAGGACTGTGTGTCTCCAACTTCTGCTACTCGTCGTAGTATGCAGCGCCTACACTTGTGTTTGGCTAATTGTGCCGGGGTATCTACTTTGCTGGTCAGCAGATAAAAGGTCTTCAGTGCTCAGTGAGCAAGCTCTCCCTGACACGACTTAACTTTAGGTACATAGCATGAATTTAGACAGTACTTACGATTTGAGTAGAGAAGGAATCCGTTGTCCCAAAAAGCCAGATGGTTCTCACATAATCCCCCATGGCGTGAAACTTGTAGGTTGCCAAGTTGAACCTCTTCATCCTTGGCCCATTGGACTCCGGGATGGTGCCATTCATTACAGAGTGTTGGGCAACTCTTCGCTGGCGGGCTGCTTTTTCCTTGGGTAATTCCAGAGTAGTGAAAGCTGCACAAGTGTCGTCTCAAAATTTTCGCAACATCCGAGACAATTTCTTGAAAGATTCCTCAAGAAAACTTATTGTAGGGTCCAAATGCATTCTAAGCTTGGCCAATGCATGCCACTCTGCAAATCGATATAGCAGAGATTGCACAAGTGCATCATGTTCGGCGGGAAACAGCTGGTCAAAGACCGGAATGGCACACTGACAATGAAGATCTATCAGTGGGTCAAATACAGACAACTAGTAAGTAGGAAAAACCTGTAATATGTTTTCAAAATCACGCGCAGCTAATCTTTTCATCTCAGATGTGTTGTCTGAGAACTTACGAATAATGCCGTTACCGAAGGTCGGGACCTGTCGAAACCTACAGTAAGGTTAAGGGTTGGCGATTGTTAGCAGGCAACAGCACCACTTACGAGATCCCCATACCTGCTGTCGAGGGCCACAATAAGCTCACTACTGTGAGGAAGGGCATGGAGGAGCCTAAGGAGGTGTGTGAACAGCGCTTTCCAAGTGCCTAGTTCACACTCATGCATGAAGTCGACTACGAGCATGTGGAATGAGTCGAAGCCGAGTGGTCCAAGCTTCTGAGAAAATAGATTCTGCGAGTAGAGTGCATGAGCTGATAATAATAAGAAAAGTAGTCTCACTTACCAGAGTAGGTAACCAAGAGCCCTCTCCAAGGGTATGCTCTACCTTGACACCGTCTACTGTATTTCCATTCATGTAGATAAAACCACGAGCTTTGACTACCCTCGTCATCACATACTCATGAAGGTTGGTGACATGATTTTTCATGTCCCTCGAAAGCCCAAGAAAATTAAACAGGCTTTTCAGTGTCAGACAGCAAGGGCACGGACACAAGCCCATGTCTTTGATAGTCGCAATTAGAGCCCTGTAAATTTATGAGTGATTCGATCTTTTTGATAAGGTGAATGGAGCGACACACTTTTCAGGATAATCAGCAGAATACGTGAAAATTTGGGGAAAGACCCTCCGCACCACTCCGTCGGCACATTTCAGAACAATGCCATGGCGGTATGCGGACAGAAAGTCTTCATCCAACAAAATGTCCCAGCAGGAATGAAATAACTCCCTGCAACAGTGGGCATGAAGGGACGCTACAGTGGCTCAAAAAAGTGTCCGAATGTTTACGCATTTTCAAGTAATTGAACAATAGCAAGGCAGAACCAAACAATGACCAATGGGTATAGGGACATGTCTGGAAGCCCTATATCATGGCTCAAATCTGGTATATATAGCGTGGGAACTCGACCATATATGGGCAAGCTATGGTAATTCTAAATACATGACTCATTCGGACACTTTTTTGACTTTTTATTGAAATCACAAAATCAGACCATTCATACATTATACTCTTAATTAAAGCGGTGTTATAATGATAATATGGTCTGATTGCAATATTATTTGAATATATAAACCCACATAAGATCATGAAATTCAACATAATCATCATGAAGCCCATCTCCTCTGCTCACAAGGATAATATCCTTGTTCTCTGTACCTCTGGTTTATCTACTAGGCAAATTACCTCAAAAACTGGTCTCGGCAAGTCTACTATTACTACAGTCATAAAGCAGCACATGCCAGAGAAGGAAAATCATCAAATGGGATGTCCTCCCAAGCTTACTCCACAGAACAAAAGAGCTATTGTTCACCAAATTCTATCTGGCAAGGCTTCAAATGCTACCCAAGCTACCAAGTTCATCAATTCCATCATCTCCACTCCTGTCTCCACCCAAACTGTTAGAAACACCCTCAAGGCAGCCAATCTTAAGGCTGTAAACAAGAAGAAAAGACCTCTTCTCTCTGTAGCTCATAGGAAGAGAAGACTGGCCTTTGCTTTAAAGCACCAACATTGGACTGTGGAAGACTGGAAGAAGGTTATTTGGTCAGATGAAATAAAAATCAATAGAATGGGGTCATATGGCCAGGAATATGTGTGGAAAAAGGCAGGAGAACCATTAGGAGAAAGAGAAGTCAAGGGTACACTGAAGTTTGGAGGAGGAAGTATGATGGTATGGGGTTGTATGGCATGGAGATTCTTTGTGAGATGGAAGGATGGATGAATGCAGATCAGTACATCTCCATTCTAGAGGAATGTCTACTCAAAAGCATGCAGAAGTCAGGAATTGATGA